TATAAGAAATTTTAATTTATTATTTAAGATTATAATAATAATAAAAAAGGATTAATCTTAATATAAAACTTAATTATTTAAAGAATAAGCTAATAAACAATCCTTGCATTTACCGTCTTATTAATTTAAGAAAAAAGCATAATTTTTATACTTTAAAATATTACTTAAGCCTACCCTTAAGCAAAGTTAAAATTATATAAAACAATCCTTGCAAAATTATTAAAGGAATTAAAGAATAAATACCCTTTAAGCATAATTATCCATATTATTTAACCCCTATATAACATAATAGAATTTAATATTTATTAATTTAATATATATTAAAAACATTATTAATAAAAGCTTAAAATAAATTGCTTTATATATAATCCTTGCTTAATAATTATAAAGCTTATATAACTCTTTAAAATAATAAGTATATAAATGGATAATATATTAATTTTATTTATACTAGAATTCTAGGATAAGGAGGAGATTAAAATAAAAGCTATGAAATTATAAAGAAAACTAAAATAAGAGCTAACGCTTAAAAACTTAATAAATTATAATAAGGCTTATATAATTATAAATATTATTAGCTTAATCATTACTCATTAAAAAGGATAAGCTAATAAACTTATAATTATTAATGCAATAATTAAAAATATTATTTAAAAATACCTTAAATAAAGAGCTTGCAAAGCATATATAGCTTTAATTTATTAATTAAAAGCTTTATATAATTTTTTAATAGCTGCATAGGTATAAAACCTAGAGGCAGGAAATTATAAGAGCTTAAATATGTAATTATTATAATAAATAAATAACGCTATATAAGGAATTAAGTATATGCCCTTAAATCTTAAAATAGTAAAACTTTTTATATTTATAAATAATTAAAACTTAATATTTTAACTTAAATATATTATTATCCTTATAAATAAGATTTATAAGGAAACTAAGAGATTTATAATAATGGGCAATATTTTCCATTAATTATTAATAAAGTATAAATATATTATTTAAAGCATATTAATAAGCAAAATTTACGGCATAATAAATAAAATAAATATTAAAATCTCCTTAATTATAATAATTAAGATAATTATAAAACGATTATTATTATTAAATATACCTTTAATTATTTATATAAATTTATATAGCTTATATAAATGCCTTATAAAGCTAGGAATAATAAAGGAAAAACGCTTTATAATTAATATTATATTATTATAAGAGTTATATAAAATAAAAAAAATTACTAAAGTAAGGTAAATAAATAGGAAAGATAATCCTATTAATATAATAATAAAATCAACTTTAAATACTATATTATAAAAGCTTATTAATAATAATAAGCTTTATATATAGGTAAATGGGTTAATTAAGAAACCTAAAGTAGCCCCTTCCTATTAAGGAAGGAGCAATTTATTGCTAGCCTTTTCCTTTTAACCTTGCTGCCGTTAATTGCAAAACCTTATACTTCTTAAATTTAAACTCTTAATATAAACTTTAATCTTTCATACTTTAATTAAAACCTTCTTAATACCTTATTATATATAAGGATAATTTTATAATTATTAATATTATTAATAATTATTATTTTAAAGTTAACTTTATTATTATTATTACCTTTTGCTGCTATTTATTAATAATAATATTAAAATTAACTTTTATTAAATTTATTTATAATTTATTAACTTTTTTTATAATTAAAAAATAAATTAATAATTATTATATAATAATTGCAAAGTTTTGCATTATAAATATTTATTTTAATTACTAAATTTTTATAAAATCTTTTCCTTTTTATTATAATAAAGAATATTAATAATAATTTATAAAAGTTATTTAATATTTTTATTAATATGCTTTATAAGAATAATAATAATAAGTAAAATTATTTAATAAATATTACATTTATTACCTGCATTAAAGATATACTTAATATAATTATTATTATAATTGCCATTAATATAATTAATATTAAAAGTAGCCTTATTGCAACCCTTAAATAAAATTAAGATTCCCTTATAAATATTGTAATTATAACCTTAATTAATAAAATAAACATTATAATTATAACCTTAATTAATAAAATAAATATTATAATTATAATTTTAATAAGCAATAAGATAAAGATTGTAATTATTATTAAGGCTATAAAAAGGGCTAGAATTGCCTTAAATAATAAGGATAAAGATAAGCTTATTAATCTTATTAATTTTTATGGCAAAGTTATTGCTAATAATGCTTATTTAATAAATATTAATAAGGATATTAATAATAATAACTTTTATTTACTTATTTATTTAATAAATATTAATAAAGATATTAATAATAATAATTCTTATTTACTTAATATTAATAGTAATTTAATTATTATTAATAATAAAGATAATTAAAATTAAGCTAATAAAACCTTAATAAAGATTATAAAGATTGCCTTTAATTTTATTCTTATGCTAAGCATTAAAAAGAATAAGCTGCTTATTAAGGTTAACTTTCATAGAATTATTAAAATTAATAAGCTAAAAGCTATAGCTATAGCTTAAGCTAAAATACTTTTTTTAAATAATGCTATTATAATAGCTATTATTTAAATTATTAATAACTTTTAATATTAAGATAAGCAAATATCTTTTAATAATATAATTAAAAAGCTATATATTTATATTAAAAGCATTAAAACTTTTAATGCAAAATTACATAATATCCTTAATAATAAAAATTATTAAAATAATTATTATCTTAAATATTAAATTATTATAATCTTTATAATAAATAATTTAATAGAAATTTTAATCTTAAATATCTTTTATATATATTAAATTAAAAAGATTTAGCTATTAAAAGATTAAATTATTATGCTAACTTAAGTTTAAAACTTTTTATATTAAATTATTAATAAATATATATAAGGCTTATATATAAAGAAACTTATTAAAAAATATATATTATTATTTAAGTAACTTAAGTAAAAAATAACTATTAAAGAAATTAAAAAGAATAATAAAAAGTAAGAAAAGGAGCTAATAAATAATTAAGCTACTTATAATGCTTAGTTTTAAAAAAATAAAAAGTAATTAAAGAAAATTAATTTAAAGCAATATTAAATATATTTTAATAATAAAAGTAAGGCTAAAAATAATAATATTTATATTATAAAAATATATAATAAAAATAAATATAAGCTAAAAGATTTAATATTAGCTTTATAAGCATTAACTTTCCTTATAAAAAAGAAATTTAAAACTAAGGCTTTTATATAAAAGTTAATAATTTTTATAAAAAAGCAACCCTAAAAGCTAAGTATTAAAAATAATAAATATAATGTTTAAAAAATAATATAATAATAAAGGTTATAAGTTTAAGGAATAATATAATAATAAAAGTTATTAAGATTTACTTTAAAACTTATAAGTTATAATTTTAAGCTTTTTTAATAATGCTTTTTTATAATAAAGATTATATATACTTAATATATAATAAATTATAATTTTAAGCTAATTATAATAAGGATTATATATACTTATTAAAAGAAGAGAAAAACTATAAGTATTGATAAGTACAACCCTTGCACTTAAAAAGCTACTTTAGTTATCCCCTCCGGGGCACATAGCCTCTTAGAACTTAGACAGAACAATACCAATACACGATTGCTTCCCATACGAGAGACCTACCAACATACGCGAAGTGATCAATGCCGGACACGGGTCAACACAGGTTGCGTCACAAAGGGTCCGCGACGCACGCCACTCCTGAGAATCAGGTCATTGTGCTGTGCACGGTTGATGCATCGTTGTGTCAAGTTATTTCCATTCTTGGACATTCTCCCTGGTATACAACAATTGAATCACTTGGATGATGGTTAGCGTACTGAAAACATGTTGCTCATCAACAAAGAATATGGAGAATGCTCCATCCTCCCTCCGATTTGAAGGATCGCTTGACATATCATGTTGCTTCAACTTGTTCGTATAAGCTTTCCAATGAAGACTCACACTGGCCTGCGCAAGTTTCCATTCGCAGAAGTCCGTGCTCATGCAAGAAATGTTCACATAATTCCTTGAAAGTGGTCGAACTCAAGGTTCTCTCCCTGCTCTGTTCTCAGAGATTTTTAAGTTTCATCTGGCGTTTTGAGCTCTGAATCATGAGAAAAGCCAGAAGGCAGGCACGCTTGCAGAAATTCTACACTCCTGTAACACAGACTTGATGCGACAGACACTTACGACAATTTCCGTTTTGAGAACCATCTTCGTGCCTCTCCCCGCCCTCTCAACAACAACAACAACAACAACATCAACACACACCCAGGGCTGCTGCACACCAAAGAAGCCTTGCAATTCATCTGCAGAAACGCAAACTGTGGAAGGAGCCGTATAAATCCATACTTGGTGGTACCTACACGTCTTAGTTCTTCTTCCGGCTCCTGGCTTGTTACCCCTAACTCTACTTGACGTCTCTCCACTAGGGCCATTCTCCATTTCTCCCACGTGTTTGTTCTCAGCACCGGGGGATACTTGAATATTCCCTGAACCGTCACCCCCCCCCCCCCGCACCGCACCTTATCTGCGCTACGAGACTTATCTGCGCTAAGAGACATATCTGACTTTCACCTGGACCGTGGAGTACGTACCTCTGAACAACCAGCACCCGCATTACCACTTTTGTGGCAGTCCCTCAGAGCACCTGCCTCTCTTAAGTCCACAAAATCCCTGACCTACAGCTTTACTCAGCTCATCTTTGCCAATTGGCGTACACCACATCAAGATCAGAACCCCTGCTGGGTCCCATGCTTGTGGATATACCAGTCACTAAGTCACTTGGCTGAGCTGGAGGTACCCACGGTTCTTTACTGCAGGTAAGTATATCATCTCTTCCAGCCTTCACTACCTCGTAAGTAACCTTCAATCACTTTCTTTCTGCCCCGTCTCCTTTCAATCTCATGTGACGGCCCTCGTATTTTGTTTTGCTCTGACAATTTACAGCTTTAGTACAGAGACTTGGCTGCCAGCAAAATGTCGTCCTGGGGGCCTCCTGGTCGGCTGGCAATCACCATTGACTTGACGTCCGACGACGATGTGCCCGCCCCGGCGACCATAGATTTGACCTCGGTGGATGACCCACGATCCTCTTCCTATGTCTCACGAGAGCCAGAAGTGAAGGTTGAAGACGAGTCTTCAACCCTGGCTGGGTCAAGTACACCTGACTCCGGGGAGTCCAGTCCGAAGTCGCAACAGGACGATGACATCGCCCAGACGGAGTCCAATCCTACTGACTTCGGCGACCTGAGCCCGAGAAATCCGCAGGATCAAGGAGGCAGCTCAGCAGACGAGGGTTTGACGCTGAGTGCCATACTCGCCCGTAACAAGAAGCGTAAGCGTGACTCTGGTGACGTTCGCAACTCCGAGTCCAAGTCTACCGACGTGTCCATGCCTTTGACACCCAAAACCCTCGGATCCCTGGTCGGCTCTCATACTCTGAAACCTGCCTTCGACAAGTTCTTTGCCGTCCGCAAACGAATTGGGAACGAGTCCTGCTCCGAAAAGTCCAAACAGGACGAGAAGTCGAAGACTCCCGCAAACGAAAGCAAGAGCATCCAACAGGGAAGGCAATCGGCCAAGAATGCAAATCCTCACATCCTGAACATCGTCAGGGAAGAGGTGTTTCGCAAGGAGGAGAAGAAGAAGAAGAAAAACAAACACCGCGGAGACCCAAGCTCACAGGAGAAATCATCGAAAAAACACATTCAAGTTGATGGGCAAGCTTTCTCGAAACCTGCTCCTCCACGCGCGGCTTCTGAGGCACCTGAAACCGTTCGCCCGAAGAAGAAAATTGAAATTTATGGAAGCATAAGACAGCCTCAGGCCCGTGAGGAAACTGAGCAGAAGCGCCCTCACAAGAGGCGCAAGCACAGCAGCCCCGGAGATACTGCTTCTGGCTCCATCTCTCTTGCCGCTGCTCCCGACACCACCATAAATCAGGCGGCGTCTGTAGACAAGCTCCGAGGCCATAAGTCCAAGACCAATGGTGTAGGGAGAAAACGTCCCGCGGGCAAGGACAAGGCCACTGATATCCCTAATGGCTCTCCAAGATATCGGCCAGGCGGTTCCCACCGCAATCGCATTGAAAAGGCTCCGCATCACGAGAGCCGACAAAAGAAAGACCCTGCAAGAGTTCGAGAGAAAGCTCACATATCCAAACGAGCTGACTCTGGGAAGCAGCAGGGAGATAAGGCATATCTGGTGGCAGCTTCAAATGAGCGAGGAGCATGGGCACCAAAATGGTTTGCAGCGTGCTGGAATGGCATCTCAACGGCCATTGGAGAGCAGATCTAGCCAGAAAGCGACTTCTGGTCGGAATGGCCGTCTTCAAGAAGCTCTCGGTGGGCGCGGTGTTCTCAGTTCCGGCGCTACAGGAACCCAGTTGCCGTTGGAGAGCAATTCTGGCCGAGATGAAGGCCTTCATGAAGCTACCGAGGAACCCTATGGCCTCGAACCCTGTGCCACGGGATCTCAAGTGCCTTTGGAGAGCAATACTGACCATAAAGCGCGTGTGGGACAACATCAAGACCTTCGCGAAGACCGGGAGATGCCAGAAGTTCGCCTACAGCAGTCTCAGCAGGTGCGCTCCAGTGGTGGCCAGCAAGAGAGTCACAGCATCCAGTCGAAGCTGAATACTGCCCAGGCAGCCCGCCGCCTTGATAAACGTCAGCAGACAATGGGGTTGGCTGACAAGGACCTCGAAGATACAAGGGAATTTTTCAGCAAGCATCCCTCACAGTTAGCGCAACAGCGCAAGACTATGTTCCTCGATTCTATACCACCTGACGTTGGTAAGCCCAGTTACCCAGATCGTCACCGGGTGGTAAAGGGAAGTACTGCGGGGACGTTTGGCCCGAAACCTAAGACCGCCATCCAAACTGCCAAAAAGAGGGCCAGGGACCGCGAGAAGCAAATCAGAGAGAGGCGGGAGAAACTCGAGGCGCAAGTGAACGAAATCTTCCCGCACGAGTCCGAGGATTTCAAGGAGCGGCACATTGAAGCTGGCCTGGCCGAGTTGCGAAAGAAACATGCGAGAAACGATGAAAAGCGGGAGGCAGAGAAGGCACAAGGTCTTCTGACCGTCAAATTTATCGAAGACAGCGAAGGTGCCGAAGGCGACCCGATCGACGGGCAGCCAGCACCTGGTCCGAAGGGGAAGAGTCGTGGGATGCCCGTGGCGAAGGCCCTCGAGCCAGGTGCCACTATCACACTATTTGTCGTGTACAAGAGTGAGCCCTTCAAGAAGGGTAAGAAGTTTGGCGACTACAGACTGAATCGCATGGAGGATCAATTTTTCAGAAAGGAAGACGCCAACAAGCACGCCGAGGCCGTCCTCAGGAATGACCGGTACGATAATTCGCACCTCGTCTCCATCCAGTTTCGTGTCGGTCCCGAAGACGGCCTGTTCTTCGGGACCAAGGAGCTGGCCGACGGGAAGCTGGTCATGTGCATGGTGCAGAAGGAGAGGCAGATGTCCAGCGACCTGGACCTCCGCGATGTTTTCGTGCGCAAGGAGCTCAAGCAGATATATTGCCCACGATACGACGTGTTTCACACACATGTAATTCCAAAGGTTTTCCTCGAGAGCGAGGAGGCCAGTATTGACGAGGACAAGGAGAAGAAGTCGAAGACGAAGTCGAAGACGAAGACACCCACTCCAGATGTGGGAGAGGGCGGACCAGAGCCAGGCGAGAATGAGCACGGGGATGGAGACACTGATAGCCTTTTCTCTGGTCCTCCGGTACCCGAGACAGAGTCTGAGGATGAGAGCGACGCCGAATCCATGGCCACAAGCGCCACACTGGAGCCCTCGCAGCCCGGCGGCAACATGGGATCGCTCTCCTGGAACGATGTCGACTACGTGCACGAGCACGTGGGCAGCTTCACTACCCTGGAGCTCGCGAACAAGAAGGCCATCAAGGTGGCTCTTGAGCGCTGGCAGCCGAAGGATGCCCGATTGGACTCATGGCTCCACTATAGGGACGCCATCAAGCCGAGCCTCGATGAGATGTGGGCCCAGGACCTGGACGTGGAGAAGGCCGAGCTCGAGTTCGAGGTCCCGGAGTTTGAGGGTCATGTCAACGATAGACCGTGGCGCTTCATCTATTCCATGGTATACGTGAGGGAGACGAGGCTGGAGGGACCAAGGGATATCGGCAACTACATCGTGACGGGCAATGGTGAGGACGACGGTGAGGAGAGCGGCGGGGAGGACGAGGACGGCGAGGATGATTGAGTGACGGATCGTGGCGTTCTTTTTCCGGAGCAGTCTGGGGGTTGGTGAGAATGGGTTTGGGACGGTAAAAGTGTGATCACACGCAATAGGGCCAATGCTCAGCGCCTGTGTTTTCTTTTTTGGGAGATCCGGGGAGCGTAACCCTACGGTGAATGACATTCTAATGGTATTTTGCCACTCGTGCGATGCTTCGTGCAACTGTCGACTAACAGCCGTAAATGCCAGCTCGACCCTATTCGGGGTCATCCGCATACTGCGACTCCGACGTGGTCGCCTTGCCCTGGTCCTGGAGCGACTTCCACTCCGCCTTGCCCTGGTCCGTCGTGGCGTCTATGATCTCCTGCTCGAGGCTCAGGACACCCGCCTCGTTGAACTTGCCCACCAGATCCTCCGCCTCGTCCACCTTCATGTTGCCCAGCACCTTGTTCACCTGCTCCAGGCTGCCGCTCTCGAGCGCCTTCTTCATCTCGGGGCTGAAGCCCTCGAAGATCTTGCGCGCCTCCTGCACCTCCGGGTCCTGGCTGTCGGCGGGCGGCACCTGGATGTTGATCACGGTGCCCGGCTCTACCGCGTGCAGCTGGATCTGCTCAACGCCCTCGCCCTCCGCGAGGCCCGAGCCGGACGCCGCGCGCTCCTTGTTGATCTCGGCGGCGCGGGTCTTGATCTTCAGATAGGTGTCCTGGACGTCCTTGAAGAACACATCCTGCGCCTGGTGGCCCTTGGTCATGATGCGCTTGAAGAAAAGACCGACGCCGTCCCGCCCCAGGGCGCGGCAGTACTGCAGGAGCAGGCCCTGGTGTACGCACTGCCGGGCGAAGTCGTCCTTCCCACTGAGCTGTGCGTCAAAGGCCATGATGAGCAGGCCGTCTGTTTCCTTTTCCTGGAGGATCTCGGGATGCTTGCCAAGGAAAGACAGGGACTCGCTGTAGGAGCCGGTCTTGATCTTTGCAAACTGCTTCGCCGCAGGCGAGGCCTCGACCTCCTCGTCATCGTCATCTGGTTTTGATGCAGAGCTCTGCTCCCCAGCCTGCGGTGTGCTGAAGTTGGGGTTCAGGAGCTCGACCTTGGACTCGTCCTTCTTGCCCACTGATGAAGACGGGGCGGTCGCCTTGGCCACGTGTGAGCTGTCGAAGCCCGTGTGAATACTCTCGCTCGTGATCTTCCTGGCCTCCTCCTTCTCCAGCTCATCCAACTTCTTGTGCAGATCCTTCTGGAGGTTCGTGACCTTGTCCAGATGCTCCTGGATCTCCGCGACCATGGCCGCGTACCGGTCCTCGTCCTTGACCTTCTTCTCCTCCATGGCCTGGTTCACCTGGTCGAGCAGCGTGGCCATCATCTTGCTGTACGTGGGCAGCTTCTCCTCGGCGTTGTGCACGCCCGCGGGCCGTGGGGGCGGCGTGTCGTCCTCGGGCTTGAGGTTTGCAGCGGACTCCATGACCGCCGCGAAGGCGACCTCGCCAGGGCTGCGCTTCCCATTGTCGACGTCGGCGGCGTGGGCCTTGAGGGAGTTCAGAAGGGAGGTGATGCGCTGTATCAGTGCGTCGTTGATCTGGCGTTCGTACTTGAGGGTCACAATCTGTTGCTTGCGCTGCTCCCGCTCCTGGTGGATCTGGTTCTGCTTCGCGCGGATGAAGGATCGCTTGTCCACGTTTGGGTGGACTTCGACATCGGAGTCGTCACTGAGCTCCAGTGCGTCCTATTCAGTAGGTATACCAGTTAGCTCCTTGCCAGTCTCTCCTCGGGGGCTCTTTGGACAGGCCGGGAGCGACTTGCCCATTTGCTATAGTCGACAGGCATTTTGGCTTAGCTCATCCAAGGCCCTTCTTCAGCGTGTCGTGTGACTGTGGTTCGTATTCGTTCTGGCAGTTCGAGAGTTGCAGTGACCCGGGAGAGTGGTCGTTCACAAGTCTGATGACATTGTGGGAATCAGGTTGCGGCTCTGGAAGCTTCCAGCTGTGGTGGAGGGGAACGGGATCCGGCTGGCGGGGTATCCTAGGTAGGGCGGTCCCTGTGGGGTGCAGCAGCTCTTAGCGATCTTGGTTGTTTGGCGCAGGCCAGGCTGTAAGTTACCTGTTCAGCATTGCTTTTCGGGAGGAGCATCATGCCAGTCAAGTTGAACAGCTGTTTGGACCCCCTTCACAGAGCTCAGATCTTGCCACTGGGTTTCATGGGCGCCGTTATCTGGGCACAAATTGTCAAGATATTCATTAATGCAACCTGAACAGTTGAGGACGATGGCAATCCATCTTGTTCGGATACAGATTCAATCTAGACTTAACCACCGCCGTCTAGACTCATGGGATGGTATTGCATAGAACCGTAAAACTCCTGCCTGCTGTCTTTATAGACGAGCAGATTGATGCCGAAGGCCAACCCCAGCTCCTACGCTTCATGACCGTAGAAATGATCCAACACCCGGAAATGAAAACAACCCAAAGACACTTCGTCTCCCGCGCCCATTAATCGCTTGTTCCTGGGAGACCAAGATACACCCATACCATGCTCTTACCATCCTACTCCATCGTCTTCAAGAATCCGTCCAAATCAAAACTCTCCTCGTACTGCTTGTTGTCCCATAAGTCATCCAAGTCCTCCAACCAGGCAGCCTTCTTGCCCGGCTGGCGGACGTCGCCCGTCTCAATATCCACCATGTCCTCTTCACGTCCCTCGAACCCTGAGCTGCCCCCGGCTGGCTTCTCGGTGATCAAGCCAGGTCCCGAGTCACCTATGTTGAACAGATCCAGGATCTGATCAGTGTCCATTGTCGCCAGGCCCGCGTTCTGCTGGTTGACGACCGTCGAGGCCACATCAATCTTGAAGCGCTGCAGACTGAGAATCTTCTCTTCTAATGTGCCTCGCGTAATCAACCGGTACACGTTGACTACCTTTTTCTGGCCGATTCGGTGCGCGCGATCCATGGCCTGCAGGTCCTTCTGCGGGTTCCAGTCGTGCTCGACGAATATGACGGTGTCGGCCCCAGTGAGATTGAGACCCAAACCGCCAACGCTAGTGGTCAGAAGTAGGCAATCGTAGGATGGGTCGCTGTTGAACTTGTTGACGATGTCCTGGCGCTTGTTGGCTTCGACGCCACCGTCAAGACGGAGGTAAGTGACAGAAGGAAGCATGGCTTTGAGTACTGAGTTCTGCACCATGTCCAACATCTCCTTCATCTGACAGAAGATTAGTGCCCGATGAGGTTTGATTGGCTGATACAGCGGGTCATTCGAATCATGGCCCTCTGTACCGATGCCGCAGTCTACCAAGAGGTCTCGGAGTGCTGTCAGTTTTGGGGCGTGGGCGGCATCTTCCAGGCTGGTGTTGCCCTTTGCAAGAATACGTTGAGTCTCATCGTAGTTGGGATGGCCCGGCTTCAATACCATAGCAGGAGAATTGCAGAGCTTCCGCATGTATTGCAACGCTTGGAAGATGTGCTGTTTGGCGTCCTTGTCATCACGGCCCGCCTCGTCGGCAAGTTTCTTCGACTCGCGCTTCGTGAACTCATCAAACAATTTCCTCTGCAGATCGCTGAGGTCGCAGTAGTAATTCTGCAAGATCTTAGGCGGGAGGTCGTTGAGCACTTCTTCCTTCAGACGTCGCAAGAGGAATGGCAAGACCTGTTTGTGCAGGGCTTCGATGGCGAGGGCTCCGGCTTCTTGTTCTTTCGAAGAAGCCTTGCTGTAGCGGGACGCAGAAATGGGCTTCACGAAGCGGTCGGCGAAAACCTTCTCTGCCCCAAGGAAGCCGGGCATCAGGAAATCGAACAGGGACCACAGTTCCAGCACGTTGTTCTGGATCGGCGTGCCGGTCAGGATGAGCCGATGATTGCTGACCAGCCTCTTTACAGCCATGCTGATCTTTGCCTTGGCGTTCTTTATGAGGTGGCCCTCGTCAAGGACCACGTAATTCCAGTTGTACTTCTCAAGAACATCAACATCATTGCGGCATACATCGTATGAAGTGATGACGATGTCGGGCTTGTCGAGATTGTCCTTCATGCTCTTGCGCTCGGCCGGGGGACCCACGTATGCCGTGACGCTGAGGAACGGCGCGTACGTCTTGATTTCTTGCTGCCAATGGCCAGACAGGGTGGGAGGGCAGACAATCAGCGAGGGGAGCCGTCTGACATCCGGTGATCCCGTTTTGGAGAACTCTTCAGCTCGTTCATGATGGTCGCTGGCCACTATGCAGAGCGTCTGCAGAGTCTTACCCAGGCCCATATCGTCGCATAGAATACCGTGGAGGTGGTATTTGCGGAGGAAGTTCAGCCAGTTCACACCGTCCTGCTGGTAAGAGCGCAGTTCTGCTTTGATGGCAACCGGGAGCGAGAACGCCTCGACCTTCTTCGGATCCAAAAGTTGCGCAATGAACGTTCTCTCGCGGTCTCTGCCCTTGAGTAGTTCCTGGGAGAGGCCTGGAGGATCTGGTATGCCTGCCTCCAGCGGTACGAGCTTCACCAGTGTCGCAAATGATGTCGTTGCTATCAGCCGGATCTCGTTGTCGGAGTCGCTCATCCGGCCCAGGACGGGCACGATAAGGAAGACCACGTAAGGTAAAATCGCGTCTCCCATGACGGCAATCAGGTGGTATATGACCTCAATGGCGCCTTGTCGGAAGTGTAGGTCCAGAGGGTTGCTTATCGACGGCAGAACCTTTTCGACCAGGGCTGTCATGCCTTGGACTGTGATGACGCTGCAGATTGTTGCTAAGCATTTGGCAGCCATATATCGGAACACCGACAGCTCGGAATGCAAGGCCTTGATGACAAGCGGGACCATCTGCATGATGAAGGGATGGAGAGCAGGGTCGATTGTCGGGGTCATCGTGCGAATCACAGACATAGCGTCGACAATTTCTTGTCCGAAGGTGTTCTCAGGGTCTCTTGCTTCTGCCGGCAGGTCGCCCGAGAACGCTTGCAAGAGAGGCTGCTCCATGAAAGTGCGAATGCTGGGAACGACGTTCAGAAGCTCGGCGCCGAAGGTCTTCGATAAGATTTGCAGCGCCTCCTTTGCACCGCGGCGAGTGATTCGAGCTGCCTTTGCTTCACGAGCCCATTTGGCAGCGTCAGGGTGGTCAACACGATCCTCTTCCTTTTGCATCGAGAGCACCACGTCAGTCTTGCCGGCGTGGACCGGGAATTCCGGTGTCTCTGCCACTTCCATGCAAGAAAACTTGACGAGGTTGCCCACCACCTTGTCCGCGGGGCCCCTACGACCAGACTCGGTAAAGAACTGGACGAGATTTGCGATTGTCGATGCCGAGCGGCCTTGAAGATCTTGATTCTCCTCGTATTTGATGCTGTCCATGACGGCCTTGATGAGCGGACTTGGCTTCTTGGGTAAGTGTTTGATTGCCACAAGAGCACATGCTGCTGCTGCTTTGATCCGCACATCGCGCGTCTCCTTCTTGGCCTTGGCTTCTTCAATGGCATGAGCGGTAAGATCACGAGACTCCGCAAGCTGTTGACTGGCGATGAGCCGTTGCCCTGGAGCCATTGCCTTCTTGAGCTTCTCGTAATCCTCGCCCACCACCTTTTCAGCATTTGCGATTGAGAATGCTCCCGGCCCTGCTTCCGCCTCGCCCTGGACTATCACAGCAAGAGTCGGAAGCTTGCTAGATGCGACCTTTCCAAAATCGCGGAATAGATGTATGAGTTGTGAGCACTGGGCGCGGACACCTCGGACATAGCTGACCAAGTCTCGATAACAAGACGGCCGTTCACCCTCCACCATCTGCTGCAGCAACGTTACGAATCTAGAGCACTGCTCAACGTTGGAAGAACTCTGGGCGTATTCATCGATGACCATGCAAGCGCTGAGCTGTGTGGAGGAGTATGACGACGAGAGACCTTTGATGATGCTTGCATCGTACTCTTGCATGCTTGATGCCGGAAGAAGGGACATGATGAAGCCCATGGCTTTTGCGGCACAGATCCGGGATCGCACCAGTGTTTCCATCCCGACCAAGTCGACATCTCCCTGCATCATGCGTCCGTCGAGATCGTGTGATTGGGAAGCAGCTTGAGGTTCTTCAACCTTGGTCGACTTCCTGCGTCTCTTGGTGGCACGTTCCGCGCTCTCAGACGGACTAGGTCTTCGAGGCGGCGCGGGGGTCCCGCTGAGGGGGGCGTATGTGCCGCCTGATGGTTTCATGAAGAGTGTCGCGTCCATGGGGATGGGATTGCGCTGGACACCAATGGGATGCAGTGTCAGCTGCATCAGTGGGTCGACATGAGAAGAGAACTCCATTGCCAGCACTGCTGGATCCTGTGCAAGAGACTTGACTAGTGAGATCCACAGCTCAATGGACATGTTCAGCGTCTCTGCATCGCGCTCTACCAGGATGTTCTGGAAAATCAAGAATCCGGCCATTTAGCCAACCTTGTGCTGATTCTGCGTCAAGTTTGGCGAAGGTCATGAGAGCCTTAAGGACGGCTAGACGGACTGATGTGATGGTGTGGCGTAAGAATGGGTAGAGCCTGGGAACAAGAACAGTGAACGTTCTCTCCTCGTCCTCTTGCGCCGAAGCCTTCATAGCCGCCAGGACTTCCGGGAAGCTGCAGAGAACAGCAAGGAGATCCATAATCTTGCCGGTCGAAGCGCTAAGGTCGTCGCTCAGGTCAGCCAATCCTTCCCAGACAATGTTGATCAGGCCATTCAACTCCCCAGGACGCTGAGTGACGAATTCCTTTGCCATTGGTGTCAAGGTCGCGGCGCTAACGGAACGAACGTCGTCGTCCCTGTCACCGAGACCCTTCATGACCGCGCGAATTATACCGTCGATCATGTCGCCGTCTTTCAGTAGCAGGTCCTTGCGGACGGCGACAACATAACGAAGCCCAACCATGCCGCCGTGGCAGATCGGCCAGACATGCTGTTCCAGCGGCAGGTCTTCTTGCATGACCATACGATAGAGTATTTGGTAGATGGCGTGTACGGAGTCGGGAGAGACATGGAACAGGACGGATCCAAGTGTCTGGCCAACCGTTTCCCTGATGGGCGCAACCGAAGTGTCCGAACTGTAGTCTGTAAACCTGTCCAGCATCAGAACACAGCAGAGCCGACAGGCGAGGTCGTCGAGCCACTTTCTGTTCAGCTCATTGTTTGCGCTGCGTGGTACGCCACGGACCCGACCGGCTCCTGCACCATGGACTCTGATCAGCTCTCTCAGGCCCATAGCTGCACCATGCCTGGTTTCCCAGGATGGATCGAACAGGTCCACCTTGAGGAATTCACATAAACGCTCGTACGGCCACTCGGAACCTTCCATGTCGACGTCGGTCTCCAATTCAGACTTGATTGGCAGGACTGCGCCTTTGTACTCAGATACAACCTTGCTGTCTTCCTCGAGATCAGCCGGCCTATCGAGACTGAAGTAGTCAGCCATCTTGCCGTTCTTTTTCGAGTCGGCATCGACCATAGGGGTGTCCTCGGCAAACCCTTCCGAGCCAGCCGTCGTATTCCGCCGGAGCGAGAGATCGCCGAAACCACCCTTGCCTTGAGCGGCCTTCTGAGCCTCTCGTTTCCGTTTCCGCTTCAGTACGTTCAGCTGTCTTGCACTCATGCCGCTCTCTTCGGTGGGGTAGGGCGTGGTGGCAGTTCCGTTGCTGTCGGGGCGGCCGAAGCCGTGTGAGCCGTTCGTGTCCGCCGGAGTGCCTGGACTCACGGCCGACTCGTTCGGAATGGGTATTTCTTCATCCTCGTAAGGCCGGCCAAGCAGACCCAGGCGGCCAATGAGGGTCTTTTTTTGGTGTACTAGGCGCTCCTGGGGTTCCAGAGCACCAAGGGAGTAGTCGATTGTCCCTCCGCGCAGCAACTGCCTGCCGTGCCTGATGATATCAGGCACGTTCAGATTTCCTAAGCTTAAGCTGTCGTAGTCAGGGACGGATGGCTCAGCCTCCTCCTTCTTGACGAGACCATTGCCGGCGTCCTCGTCCTTTTTTGGTTCGACAGGCTCCTCGCCGGGATTCGGATCGTAGGTTTCCGCATTTTCAATGATCTTGCCAATGGCCTTTGCCGCAGTACTCCGTGTCTCCCAGTCCTTGTGGCGCAGGTATGGAACCACTCTCGAGAGAAGGTTGAAAAGTTCCTCTGGCTGTTGTTTTTGCCAATCGGCCAGCTGGTTTACTGCCGTGTCCCGAATGAGCCGAGTACTCCCGGTCTCGAGGATTCTAGATGATGTTAGCAATTGGTGTATCAGACAGCAGGAGAGATGCAAAACCCCCTGCGCTCCAGGGTGCTAGTAAAACTAGCGCGATGAGGAGGTAGAGACAACCAAACAAGACAATAAAATACAAAATTTCAAGCTTGCATAGTACTTTGAGAGGGAGCTGATTGGAGGGGACTCACGTGACAAGTCGATCAAGCCTGGATGCCATTTTTTCTCATATCATGATATATGGCTTCTCCAGGATTATGATGTGAGAAATGCTATTGGCAGCAAAGACTCGGCCCCAACAAAGCCATCAAGCTATTGAAGCATCAGACTATTGTGTTGGCAAAGTGGTTGTTGCTTTATGCTACAAGAAGCACTGTCCAATCGTCACAGTCAGTCGGCGCGTCCGTCCGTCGGTTTGCGCATGCAGCAAAAAATATCATGGAGAAGACGCAGTGCAGCTGTGGTATGCTCTGGCCCGGCGAGAGGCTTGGCACCCAGTACTGACTGGACCAGGTAGATCCGCTTAAAGGTGAAGCTTGTGATAGCTACAGGGGTGTGAGAGGAGGGTTTGGCTCACCTTGGAATGGGACGGTGCAAGGTGAGGCCTGCCCAATCAGAAGCTGGCAAAGTGGACACTTGGACGCTGGGTCAAAGAGACTTGGCCGGGAATGGAATGCGCGGATCCCTGCGCTAACAATGCAAGCGGGTCGGGGGTGGGTGGTGGAAATGGAAATGGCTATTGGGTGTTAGTGTTGGATTTGATGGGTGAGATGGGACCTTCAGCCTGCAAGGCAAGTTGAAAAAGTCTGAAATGAAGGGTTGCTGTAATTGCGATGCAACTGCGGCGCGATGCGATGCGATGCGATGGAATGAGATGCAACTGCTGTTTTCTTTGGTTTGGGGATGGTGATGATGATGATGATGATGATATCAAGGGGGGAATGGGCTCCTTCAGGATCAAAACATGCGCGAACTAGGTGTTAATCAAATGTTCATGTCCCTTACTAGAATTCGTCTGGTGTTGGGCGGGCAGGAGCTGTGCTGCGTTGATGGAGCTTCCCGTCGGTGGAGGTAGCTGATGCTTGTGCTTGGTGGTGCTGCTTGCTTGCTTGCTTTGCTTGATTGCTGGTCGCAGATTGGCCGGGGTGGTGCGTGTGCAGGCTGGGCTGGCTGGGCTTGCTGGCTGGGCTGGGCTGGGCCTTCTAAAACCTGAGTGGGCTGTGGGCTGTGGGAAAAAACGACGACGGGGGAGGTGGTCTTCTTCTAATCCGAGGCACTGTTGTTTAAATAGACATGAGCCACTGGCAGCTCCTGCACTTTGATTTTTAGCGCACCGGCGCACCCCTGCAGAAGCCGCACCTGCCATCACTGCTGGGCTACCAGATTTTTCCTTGGCCTTTGCCTGGGATCCTTGGGGTACGTCCCTCCCCGTCTTTGATCTCATCATCCATCAAACCAAACCAAAATGCTGCAGCCCGCTACCAGATGCGCCGACGCCATCGTCGACCAGCAGCGCACCTAACCTTAATTCCAGGCTACCCAACCTACATGTCTGTTCTCGACTCGGCAAACTCGATTCAACTGCCTGTTACCCGTCCGCGCCTCGTCACTACCTAGCTGCCAGGAACCCACCCAAGTACGACTAACCTTGGAAGTATGTAGTAGCCTACCCTCATACTGGCGCAACCATTTCTGCGTTGCGGCCTCGCTTCAGTTCACATGCGCGCGCGCACAATGCACACATCCATTCATCTATCCATCCATCCAGAGCATGAGCTGGCGCTCGACGGCATCGCATGATGGTATTCAGGAGACAGGGCATACCATCTCTTATCCTGGCATCCTGTTTGATGTCTGCCGAACTGTCCATGACTAGAATCCAGCCAGCAGCCGTGAATTAGATACTCACCTCATCGCCCCATTACCCTCCCGACTCCAGGGCCCGGCGCGTTGCCAACACCAAGACGGCCGGGTGCTTCTGCCTCTTCGATCTTCGAGGAGCGCCATCTCATTAGGAGACATTAAGCCCCCTCGTGCGCACCATACGGGCTCTTCACAGCTCTCCGAGGCGTCTACGCCTTCGGGTGTGCCTCAGCACGCAAATCTAGGTGGCTCCGAGTCAGACCCGGTCCTCGTCGGGAACTTTTTCGTCGTTAAAGCAAGATCCTTGTCCCCCCAACCAACACCGTCTCTGGAGCCTCATGCAAGGCATCTCACCCAGATGCGCCGTGGACGTTGGCCCTGAGTCCAGAGGTGCAATGGGCCATTCCATCATGGTTCATCTGAGAGAGTCTGCGCCACGGGCGAGCCTCCCATTTTGCTTCGTGCAGTGTCGCGACGGCAACCCCGGACGGACGGGTCGGAGCTCAGCACATGAAACGGCATTCCCATGTTCAATCGGGACTTGCGATCTCAGATGGGCGGTGGGTCATAGACGTTGGTTACAACAGTGGACTAGACCCCTGCAGCCGAAAATCACCATCGCCTGCCTCATCAACACTTTTGCCGCTCAAGGCTTCAAATCGTCGCCTCCCACCTCTTCCGTCCCACACCACCACCTCGGCAACCACGGCAACCATGGCGATGCCTATATATGACAGCATCTGCAAAGGTAGTGTGGGCAATGTGACCCCTGATGTTTTGCTCTTTCTTGCACAATGAGGAACTCCCAAGCCCCCGATGGTGCTTGAGGCTTCGAACCCTTTCGAAAGGCTGTCTCCCATTGTTCGCAGCCTCGCAAGTGCTGGCCACATCTCGTCTCGCTAGTGTAGATTCTCGCATCAATTGCGCTTCTCGCAACAGCAACCACAACCACGTTTTTGGTTTGAGCTTGGACGCGCTCCAAACCCCTGTAGCCCCGGATTCGCCCGTGATCAGTCAGTCCGTCCTTATCATCCACTGTAGACTCGTTACTACCGCACGAACCAGTCGAGGTACTAGACACGATGCTGCAAGCAAGCAAGATTCGTGCTCGTTTTATGCATATACTTAGTAGTAGCGCTGTGCCTATCAAAGCACACGAATGTAGTAGCTACCCAGCAGTCCGAATCATGAGGCAGAGGTGTGAAGGCTGTGAGTTCAATGACAAAGGGTGATTAGGTAATCAACCTCGCAGGCGCGCTTGAGGGAATGCCCCCCGCCTCCAACCGCGTCGCGTCGCCCAGTCCAGCATCCAAGCAACTGAAGCTCAACGATTTTTCGCCGTGTCCCACAACGGCGACTTTCCACCTGCAACACACAGGCGATACAGCACTCATGTTGCCAGACTAGGCGACCGTGTCAATCTCGGTATCTAACAGCTGCTCCGCCCTGTCCGCTGTGTGGCGTTGGCCGGCAACATGTACATCAAGCAGATCATCATCCAGGGCTTCAAGAGGTTGCGCGCGTCCTCCCACAATCGTGTCTATGCGACCGCATGCTAATCGACCTCAAATAGCTACAAGGATCAGACCATTATCGAGCCGTTTTCTCCGGGCACGAATGTCGTCGTCGGACGAAATGGCTCCGGCAAGAGCAACTTCTTCGCTGCCATCCGATTCGTCCTGAGCGATGCTTACTCCAACCTCAGCCGTGAGGAGCGCGCCGCTCTGCTACACGAAGGCTCCGGCTCCGCTGTCGCCACTGCCTACGTCGAGATCATATTCGACAACGAGGACCGCCGATTTCAGACCATTGACAAGGATGACGTCGCAATAAGGCGTACAATCGGGCACAAGAAGGATGAATACTCCGTAGACAAGAAGGTCTGGGCCAAGAAGGAGGTTCTACAGCTACTCGACACAGCCGGCTTTTCCAGGTCAAACCCTTTCTACATCGTTCCCCAGGGGCGTGTGACAGCTTTGACGAACATGAAGGAAAAGGAGCGTCTAAATCTCCTGAAGGAAGTTGCTGGTACCCACTTGTACGAGGACAAACGTGCCGAATCCTTGAAGATCATGAACGAAACGAACAACAAGAGAGAAAAGATCGATGAGCTCCTGGCGTACATCAAAGAGCGTCTGAGCGAGCTGGAGGAGGAAAAGGAAGAGCTTCGAGGGTTTCAGAACAGCGACAGGGAGCGCCGATGTCTCGAGTACGCGTACTATTACCAACAGCAGACTCACTTTGAAGAGGCTCTCGAGGAGTTGGGGTCAGCCATCAAGGATGGCGGAGAGAACGATACAGAGCAGCGTGTGGCCTTCTCAAAAGGCGAAAAGGCTATTGCGGGCATGGAGTCCAATCTGAGCTCTCTGGAGCAGCAGCTGAACTTGCTCAAAATCGACAGGCGCCAACTTGAAGAGGATCGCCGAGAAGTGGCCAAATCGCGCGCCAAGGCCGAGTTGAAGGTGAAAAACCTGGCCGACAGTCAGTCATCCCGAGATATGGCCAAGCATCAACACGACACCGAATTGGACGCCGTCAGGAAAGAAATCAAGGCCAAGGAGAACGAGCTTAAGAAGCTGACTCCTGAGTTTGAGAAACGCAAGAAGACGGAGTCCGACGTGAAGCAAATACTGGATCACGCTGAAAATCGGCGGATGCGCCTCCTGAACAAGCAGACTCGGAGCTCACAATTCAAGAACCGTGCTGAGCGAGACGACTACTTGCAGAAGGAGATCAATGATCTCAATTTGACCATCTCGAAGCAAAAGGCGAACCTAATTGACGCCGAGGAAGAGGTCAAGAACGTAACCGAGTCTATCGATGGTCTCGAGAAATCTGTTGCAGACCTTCGTGGTCAACTTGAGAATTGGGGTGGCGGAAGGCAGTCTTTGATCGATCAGGTTGCGCAAGCCCAAGAATCCCTCGACAGCCTCAACGAAGAGAGGAAGAGGCTGCGCCGCGAAGATGACAAGCTTGACACTGTTCTGGCCAAAGTCCGGGAGGAAAAGGACCGAGCGGAACGCGAGCTCTCCTATGCCATGGACCACGCTACCGCCAAAGGCTTGGCTACTTTACGCCAAATAAGACGAGAGAAGGACATACCAGGCGCCTACGGGACACTCGCAGAGCTGATGGAGGTCCCAGAGGCGTATCGCATTGCTGTCGAGCAGACAGCTGGAACTAGCCTCTTCCATTACGTTGTCGATAACGAAAGGACCGCAAGCATGCTCGCAACAGAGCTGTTCAAGCGACATGGTGGTCGCATTACTTTCATGCCCCTTGCCCAGTTGAAGCCGAGACGCGTGAACATGCCCCGCGCGAGCGACATCGTCCCTCTCATCAACAAGATCAACTACGATCAGGAGTACGAAGACGCCTTCCAACAAGTCTTCGGCAAGACTGTCGTTACCAACAACTTGCAAATTGGTGGACAATATGCCAGGAGTCACAACGTGGACGCCATTACATCCGACGGAGATATTATCAACAAGAGGGGTGTCATCTCGGGTGGATACATCGACACGCGCAAATCACGGTTGGAAGCTGTCGCGGCAGTGAATCAGTGGCGTGACAAATACGAGGAGATCTTGTCGCAAGCATCGGAAACTCGGAAACAGATGGAACAGAAAGACCAAGAGATCACCCGTGCATTGGGCGAGCTGCAGAAGAGAGAGTCACAGTTGCGGCGAGCCGATGGCGGTCTGGATCCCCTCAAGATTGAGCTCAGAAGCAAACTCAGCCAGCTCGAGCGCGAGCGGGAGCATCTCGATGCAGCCATGAGTAGGAGAGATCAGGTCGACAAGAACATGCATGATTTTGGTGCGAATCTCGAGGCGATGGAGGCGGAACTGGCTTCTGACTTCAAGAGGGCCCTGTCCAGTGAGGAGGAGCAGGCGGTGGAAGAACTCACTCAGCAGGTGCAACAGCTGCAGAAGGAATGGAACGTGGCCGCTAGAGCTCGGAGAGAGTTGGGTACGCGGAAGCAGATACTGGAGACAGATCTGCGCCAAAACCTGCGTCTCAAGGAAGACCAGCTGAGCGGGTTGGCCTTTGAGAACTCCACTGCCGCTGACGGTGGCAGCAGCTATTCGGATGCACAGAAAGAACTCAAGAAGATCCAGAAGTCCACCATCTCAATTGAGAAGAAGATACAGCAAAACGAAGCTCAGGCCGAGGAGCTAGGCTCTCAAATCGCGGAAGTGGGATCTGCAATCGAGGTGAAGCAACAAGAGCTGCAAGAGCTTGCCCGGCAGATTGAAAGGCATCAGAAGAGGATAGAGAAGAGCGCGCAGAAGAAACATATTCTCACCGGCCAGATCGAAGAGATGGCCAAGAGCATACGAGACCTGGGTGTGCTACCGGACGAGGCCTTCACCAAGCACATCAAGCTCAAGTCAAACGAGGTCAGTAGAATCATATGGTCGTCTGTCGCCGTCATTCAGAAGCTAACCTGCCCGGTTCAGATCACGAAGCGGCTGAAGAATGTGAACGAGAAGCTCAAGAAGTACAAGCACGTCAACAAGAAAGCCTTTGAGCAATACAACAGCTTTACTACGCAACAAGAGCAGCTGCTGAAGAGGCGAGAAGAACTGGACGCCTCCCAGGCATCTATCGAGGAGCTGATTGCGCATCTTGATGAGCGAAAAGATGAGGCAGTCCAACGGACCTTCAAGCAAGTCTCGAAAGAATTCGCGGAAATATTCGAACGGCTGGTTCCTGCTGGACGCGGAGGCTTGGTCATCGAGCGGAAAGCTGATAAGCGCCGGGGAGAACCTGAAGACTCGGATGAACAGGATGGTGGCAGTGTCGAAAACTACACCGGAGTTGGCATCAAGGTGTCATTCAACTCGAAGATGGATGAGCAGCAGAAGATCCAACAACTCAGTGGTGGACAGAAGAGTGCGTATTATTGCCCTGCGATGTTCCAATGATGCGTATCCTGTCGTTCGCCGTTTCCAAATGTAACTGCTAACTTATGGGTCCACTATTAGGTCTGTGTGCCCTTTGCCTGATCTTCGCACTCCAGCGCACCGAAAGCAGTCCTTTTGTCATTTTCGACGAAGTCGACGCCAACCTCGATGCTCAGTACCGGACAGCGGTGGCGGAGCTGTTGCAGACTTTATCCAAGGAGGCCGGCACGCAGTTTATCTGCACTACTTTCCGCCCTGAGATCGTCAACGTGGCCGACAAGTGCTACGGCGTAACCTTCCGCAACAAGTCGAGCGCTATCGGCTGCTACGACACGGAGGACGCGCTGGAATTTGTCGAGGGCCAGGCGCCGAGGTAGTTTGTTGATTATGTCACTCGGATGCGGATGTTAAGAGGCTGTTCTAGGAAGTGGCGGCTTCCCTAATGACTATTCTGGCGAGTTTGCTTTTGTCACACGACATGAAAGGCGGATTCCGCCTCCAGGTTACGGGCGAGTGTGGTGTTTCTTGCTTACTTTGTACAAATCGTGCCATTGCAGTATTTCATGAGCGGAGGGAAGGATCATTTCGGTATGATATCCTGGTCGCATAGGTATTAAAACTATTTTGCTGAAGGTCCAAGGCTGCTTGTCAAGTGCCGTCTCTCCTGCACAAGAGCGGAAACAAGAGTCTGAGTCCGAGGCTTTTACCCATCTGCGTACAGGTACCTACCGCAGTAGAGCACCGTAGTAGTTCTTCGCTACCTCATCCCTGGAGTAACAAAGAGGGTGATGAGACCGTCCTGCTTTCACTGTCTGCGCCTGGGAACCGTACACCTGTTCCACTTGAGAGTCATTCCTAGCCTTTCGAGGTTTGCAATTAACAGGAACTAATGTCAAACCGGTGTCCGTCTCCAAGATAGGATGGGTTTAGGAAGGGCTTGGATCTGCTAGCCCGGCTGACCAGGTTAAGGCTGCTGCTGCGGCCGATCCTGCCAAGGCCGGGACCTGAACCCCACTGGCGTGTCACTGCACATGCACCCCAGGCCCAGGCCAAGCCCAGCACCGCAGCGCCTATCTTCCTTATCGGGGCTTCATCATCGCGCCAGTGTCACCTCTCCAACATCTCTCCATTGCACCCACACAGTACAGTAAGAGACCAACTTGTTATGGCTGGCCCATAGCAACCAGCAGGGCTTCCATGAATGACGGTCGGGACTAGGCATTTACTGAGGAGTGGCGAATTGATTGGCACACTGGTCCCAAGACGAGGAAGCCACGTCGGTACCGGGCCACTTCCACAATGTCCGTCATTCAAGTCGAGGAGTGAGTGCCCCCTGCCAAGCAGTCGAAATGGTACGGGAAAGAGTGCTGACAAAATACTTCTCCCCAGCCTGGTCTCGTACCAGCTGCGCGCCAGCTACCTCACTGAAGTCGCCGATGGAGTTGGGGAGCGGCTTATCACCCTGAACGAGAACTTTCTCAACTCGGCCCCCTTTAAAGCTGCAGGATGGCGAACCAACCCCTCCCTGATCAAACGAACGCACTCGCCCCCGATTCCTACTGCTGTCGCATCCGAATACTTTCAGGCCCCACGCCATGTAGGGGTTAACCTCGAGGATGAGCCCGAGGAAGGTGGGATGCTCACGGCCGGGGGCAATGACACCCTGGGCCCCGGAATCGCAACCAAGCGAAGGAGACGCCGCGAGCAGATGGAAGAAGAGGATAGTAGCGATTTGAGTGACGAAAGCGACGATGAATCGGAACAACGAGCAGCCCAGCAGATAAAATTCGCCAAAATGCCCGTACGACACCGCTCCGGCTCCTCCCCGATACAATCGTCTAGCCTGCGTCAGGCGACTTCGGCCAGCTCTCCCCGTCCTCCCCCGCGCAGAGGCTCACAGTCTGCCCTGGAGACGGTCAAGGAAAGAGCAAGGCGAGACACTGTCACGAGCAGCGAAGTCTCTTCAGATAACGAACTAGACGTTTCTGGGTACCAGAAGCAGAGGGATGCGGCAAGGGCTGCTGCCAAAACCGTGAGGATACAGACAAACCTCAACAGGTCGGAGCCTGCACTGGGGCTAGGCGTCAAGAGGCAGGAGAGCGACCTCCTCGAAGAGGAAGAGGAGGACTCGGATGCTTCGGACCTGTCGTCAGCTTTCAACGAGAGTCTTGAATCGGCATCAATCCTCGCTGGCGATATTGAGAAACAGCTCGCGAACATGTCACCATCGCGCCAACTTGTTGGGACTCCGCCGCGCGACTTCAAGAGGCAATCAACTATCAGAAAGTCGATACCACCCCCACCACAGGTTGTCGGTGGTGTTCTACCTCCCAGGAGGCCGACGAGCACCATCAGGCCTATCAGCATGATCCAGCCTAAAAGTTTGATATCTGAAGCTCTGAATGTCAAGAAAACAAAACCCGCTGCCCCCTTTGAGAGCTTTGCCACGCTTTCTGGCAAAGGCGAGGCGAGCCCGCTCATGATACGCATCTACGCTCCATTCTCTAAGAACCCATCCAAGCCATACGAAGTTTTGATACGAAGAAACGTGCGCGAGGACAATGCTGGTGAACGCCCAGTCAACGTAGCAGACCTCATCGGCCTCGCTCTGTGGCGGTACAATGACGAATCGCTCGAACCATCTCTCCCGGGCGACAAGCTCAACGTGAACTGGTGGACACTCAAGATGGTGGAAGAGGGTGGTGAGGTGGATGATGACTTTCCTCCGTTCGATCGCACGAAACCAGTCATCTCTTTTGCCACTGCAGCGAACAATAAGAATGAAGGAATGCGGCCCACGGCTGTCATGCCTAGGTTTGGCAGGGGCCGGTCAAACACCAAGATTCATGACGATTTTGCTCTCGTGCAGGCCAGTGCAGAAGAATTCGAGTCGAACAAAGCCTTGACTCCACAATTCACCGAAGAGTCCGTCGCCGAAGACACGAGTCCGGAAGATACCTTGCACAACACTCCCCAGCCGAGTACGTCGGTACTTGCGGCGGCATCAGCCAGACCGACAACTGGCCGACTCAATCCAGTACTGACCACGACGTACCGCTCCGACGCCAACATGCTTGACGCCCCACGGCCGCAGGTCTCTACGAGCAATACACAGAGGGGACAGCACAAATTCCTGCGCATTCATATCATGACCCCAGATGCACCCTCTGGCCAGATAATTACCCTTGATGTCACGACGGACATGTACATCGAGGAGGTGCTTGAGCTTGTGTGTCGGAAGCGCAATCTCGACAAGAACTTTCATATCCTCAAGATCCCCAATTCCGGCGCCATTGCCCTCTTGGATCGGCCCGTGTCGGCAATCGGCACGATGCAGGACTTGGAGCTGCACAGACGTCGCTTCGGCGACCCGACATTGAGTCAATCTCCTGTTAGCCACTCACCGGGCGGACGCTTGTTGTTCTCAGAGTTGGGTGTTGGTGGTAAGAAGAGCTCCAAGACGAAAGGAGTGCCGCACCCTCTCGCCAAAGAGGCGCTCGCTCAGGAGGAGCTCAGCAGGAACAACAATTTCCGCCGTTACGTTGTCTATCGCAAGCAAACTATGCGTTTTGCGGGACTGAACGAGAGGCTTTTTGCCATTGAAGGCGAGTATGTGCACGTCACGCCATCCTCAGGCGGCAAGCCGCTGGCCGACAGCAGCAGCAAGACCACAACAGTCCACTTCAGCAATGTTGTGGGCTGCAACCTGTCAAGGAGACATCCTTCGCAATTCAAGGTGAGTGAAGGCCGCTTTAGAAACCAGGATCATTCACTAAGAGCAGAATAGTTTGTTATACTCCGCGATGGCGAGTCCAAGCGGTACGATTTCGAGACCAAAAGCGCGGACGAGGCCAACGAGATCGTCACGGCGATCAAGCAAGGAATGTCTCTGAACCAGTGAGGGACAGCTTTGAGCAAGCATTCACAGTACTTCAATATCCGAGGATGATTTCCAAAAGCCTTGGATGCCAGCAAAGCCGCAGGCTTGGCTTAGCAGCGGTCCCCCGGTTTCAGCAAAGCAGTGCTCCATCCAGGGATGCGGTCCCCACCTGCAAACCCCTGGGAGCCGAAATGCCTAAGGAAGGTCTGGGCCGCTTGATTTACAACCTTCCTGCCTCCTAAGACATCCCCTTAAGGCTTATCTGGATGGCGGGTCTCCTATTGTTGCATGCAGAGTGTATGTTCAGATGGGCGACGATGAACCCGCAGGCGTTGTGAACCAGTCGCCCCGGACAGACTCAAGATTTCGATCGTCCCGGACTCCACATCTCGGGTAAAGGGGCGTAGGGCGGAAGGCCCCATTTCGGCAGTCAGGGCCCTTGCTCAGCCACTCAATACGAAAGCACCATCACGGGCTGGACTGGGCTGACCGGAGTCATGAGAGGAAAGCGACTCCATTATGACGCAGGGTCTTCAGGCAAAAACCAAGGAGACACCGCTTGTGAGTAGGGAACGAAGTGTCGAGAGTGCTCAAAGACTTTGGGGTTTCCGATGGGAATCGACAGCGTTCGTATAGCTGCAAATCTTTTGACATGATTCAGCTGCAGACATGCAGAATCGGAGCCGATGTGGCACTTCTTGCAGATACGGACATGCTCAGCCGCGACACCAAAGATGTTGAACCCGTTCAGTCGTTATTAGTCAGTGCCAAACATGCCAGAGCCTCAAAGGATGGTGATACGAGCTGGCCAACTCATTGAAGGCGCACGGTAGCAAGGATTGTAGCCTTGTTTTTGCCCCGTCAGTGTGCTGTCCTGCCCGTCACCGTGCAACCCTTGATACATGATTAATTGTGGAGAGGGAGGGACAGTGTTACTGTTTATAAAAAGAAGAAGGCTCGGGGGCGTCCTCAAATCCCCATCGTAGAGCCAAGTTGCTGAGCCATAATTATTTATTGCAACGCTTCCCAATCCATCTGATCTTCAGTTCGTCCCTGGGTTCATCCTCTCAACTCTAAACTCCTCAACGCATCAATCCCACACATCCCTCATCACCAACATCACCATGCGTTCCTCCATGATCCTCCTCGGCCTCGCTGCCGCCGTCTCGGTAAGCCCCTGAACCCCTTAAAGGCACCGAACACGCCACAACAAGGACAAGTGACTAATCCAGCCAACGCAGGCCCAAGACCTCGGCGCAGCCCTCTCAAATGTCGGGTCAGCCATCGACCCAAGCGGCCCTCTCGAGACAGCCTCCCAAGACCTCGAGTCCGTCGCCAGCCAGGTCACCAGCGCCCTGGCCGGCGCAACCTCGGTCGTCGGCGGCGGCGCCTCCAGCGTCCTGGGCGACGCCGGCTCCCTGGTCAGCAGCGTGACATCCGATGTCGGCGCCGGCGCCACGGGCGCAGCGGGCGCGGTCTCCAGCCTCGTCTCGGGCGCGTCGGGCGCCGTTGCCTCCGTGACCGGCGGCGCTGGCGGCTCGCGCGTGGGCACCGCCACCGGCGCCCAGGCCACCGCCTCCGGCCGCGCCTCGGGAAGCGCCAGCAACGCCAGCGGCAGCATCAAGACCCTGACGAGCTCCGCCTCGTCGTCGTCCAGCACCAGCGACTCCTCGAGCGACTCCGACTCGGAGGGCTCGTCCGAGAGCTCCAGCAACCCCGCGCCCATGAAGACCGCCGCCGTCGGCATGGGGGCCCTCCTCGGAGGTGCTGCCATCTTCGCCAACCTGTAGGCGGTATAGCAGAGAAACGGGGGCGGGCGTAATGATGTATGCATGTGGTGGAAAGCTTTTGGTCCAGCTGCGGCATTTTGCTGCGGCGGACACGATACCCTTCGACGTTTATATTTATTGGGTGTTTTGAGGAGATCGATTAGGCCATAATAGTTAAAACTATAAGTCAAATTCGGATGCCTATATAGGTTAGAAGGCATACAGCAAGAATGGTCCTGTCCTATTGCCAGACAGCATTGCTGGGCATAGGAACAACGGTGCGGCTGCGTCACAGCCGCTTCTAATGAAAAGAAAGAAAAAAAAAAACATTCACAACACAGAACGTCCAAATGTTTATGATATATTTTCAATTGTGAGGGTACATGTTACCATGGACTAAGTTGGTGTTCATCAGGGCCACGTTGTTTCCGGCTACACACAAAGTGACAGTGCCGACATAGACTGGCGCAGAGAGTCGATCCCATACAGGAGACAGATTCCACATCACAACTCAATGCAGCAGCCGAGTCTTCTAAGAAGGAATGTAAAATTTGAAACTCCGACCATATGCCATGCAAGTATTTAATCCAGTGATGGTGGTATCTTTACACAAAAAAGAAAGTCGTGGTATCATACTCCGCCCGTCATACATTCCTCAAAAGGCACCGCAGTCCCTCTACCAGAACGACACTCTGGTCGACGTCACCCGCTCCCAACCGGGATCCAGCAAGCACTCTCAAGCTCAACAAGTCTCCACAGCGGCAGTCTTGAATCTGAACGGGTCACTGACCATGAGGAAACCCCACTCGCCCCTCGTAATGGGCGAGAGGTCATCGGCCCCGTTGGGCGTCACCGGCCCCAGGCGCTGCGGCGACTGGCCCCAGGACGAGCTCCTCCGGTGGTGGCGGCGCGACCGGAAGCTGTCGGTGCTCCCCCGCTTCTGCTGCCGGCTGCTGAGCATCTCGTCGATGCACCCGCCGACCCAGAAGGACAGCACGCTCGTGGCCGTCGGCGGGGGCCGGGCCGTGAGGTCGCCGTCCTCGAAGTCGGTGATGTCGCCGTCGTCGTCGGCCTCGCGCTCTCTCTTGATGTCTCCTCCGTCCTCCGCGCCGCTTGTTGATGATGGTCCCGCCCCTGCTGGGGTTGTCTTCTGAGACTTGGCGCTGGGCATTGGCGTCATCTTACGCCTGGGCGGGAGCGATGGGAATGATGTCTGCAGCTTTAGTGTGGGGAGTGCGGCTTTCGGTGAGGCCCTCGGCGGGGAGCGTGCGATGGGACGTTGTAGCGGAATCGCCGGGGGGGTTTCGGTTGTTGTTGTTGTTGTTGTGGTTGTGGTGTCCTGCACCACCTCCTTGTCGTTGGGTTTCGTGGGAGTTTTATCGTTGTCGTTTTCTATCGTACTGTCTGCGGCCTTCAACTCGTGAACAGGCAGGTGTGGACTCTTTTCCACCACCGGAGTCTCTGGCATATCAGCCAAGCCCTCACCAGCCATAGGCGAAACAGGTTGAGGTACAAGTGGCCAGTTTTCCGGGTATGAGCTCTCGTTCGAGGCTGGGATATATGGAGCGGCAGGAGTGGCAGGCCTTCCGAGGTCTTTATCGTCCTTGGGGGGCGGCGTAGGTGGGATGTCCATGGTCAGGTCTCCCTGGCGTATGACCAGGTCGTCCTCGATGCCGGTATCCTTGCTGACGCCGCCATATGCCCGGCAATACATCTTCATAACCCCGTCCAAGGCCGCGTCGCTGACGGGGCCCAGCCACTCGTAGGACCTGAGCAGGGCGCTCTTCAACAGACGTCGGCGCCCACCAGAGGACGACAGGACGTAGCGGCGCAGCTCGTCCACGGCATTTTCTAAGCGGAAGTCCCTGCCAGGCTCGTGCATGGAGGCAGCGTAGTGTGCCAGTGCGCTCTTGAAGGTGTAGAGGTGGTCCAGCGACAGGACGGTCAGGCCCTCGGATGAGAAGAGGAGCTCGTTCTGGAGGATGGAGCGGTGGATGACATCTGGGGGGATGCCGTGGGCCGATGGGTCGTGGGCAACGAGCGGAGTGCCCAGATTAAACTTGCGAGTGGTGCGTTCCAGGGTAGTTCTTACAACTCTGTCGGCCCGTGTGGTTAGAGCCGCGGTATGGATGAGCTGGAAGTTTGGGTCCAGGTTCTCTGGCGAGCCTCCAGCTGAATACGTGGTACCGGTAGTCGAGGAGGCTGTCGTGATAGACGCTGGGGTCGCGGGCGTCATGGGCGTAGCAGGCGTTCTAGGAGTCGCAGGTGTCCTGGGGGTTGCTGGGGTGCTGGGCGTCAAGGGCCACCGCAGCCGCCTGGGGCTACACGGGCCATTATCGAGCAGCGACGCCAGCGAGGGCTTCTTTGGCGGTGCAGCTATTGTCTTGCTCCGTTTCGGGGCCTTGAAGTCGGACTCGTCGGTGCTGGCCGAGTGGTGCTGTGTTTTTGATCGCACCAGTGACTTGAAGGTGGAGAAGCCCGGTGTGCGCGGTACGACATCGGGAGTCTGGGGCGGCGTTGTTGTGACCATCAGGTCGTCCGATGCGGTGGGCTCATTATTGTCACCCACAATCTGGGTAGAGCCGTGGTGTTCCTTCCGTGCGACAGTCAGGGTTATATGCAGGCCCTTCCTGGCGAGTCGCTTGGACGTGTACTCGAACACGGGATTGTAACATGACGGCAGATGGTGTGCGTCGAGTATGGAGGTGCCAGCCTCAAGGGGCGAGGATATAAGGCTCTTGAGGGCCATGATGTTTCAAAGAGATGTGGAGGAGTGACTGGTGTTTCCCCTTTCACGGGTATAGTTGGGTCTCGTGTCGATGGACTGAGTGAGAAGAGAGACGTCGCCCGAGGCAGACTTTACTTAGGCTTGCCCAGCACGACCCGTATTTTGTCTCGACATATAAGAAAGCAATAGTTGGAGAACAAGTCAGTGAGAGTGGGGTTTGAGAGACAAGGAAATAAGTGTCTACTACAGGTGTAGCAGATGTGGCCCAAGAGTGAAGCTGTCGATGGTGTGGACTATCATGCATCATCCATCATGGCAGAGACGGAGACACCTCGAGGTATATGTATGTCTAGTTTCGAAACATGCTGACATGCAGACGGGTAGCTGTCGGCAGACACACAAATCTGAAACAGCAGATCTCGAAACACACGAACAAACATTGGCAGCTCGGAGGAAAAATCAAGCAATGGCAGTTCGTGGTCCAACCTACCGGAGTCGAGCGTTGCGTGTGATTCTTTTTTTAGGCCCCATGTGCCGTGGTCCAGGGTCATGGTGCAGTGTGACGATGTGACATGATGGTGGATCTTGTACAGATTCTCGCTGGCGTCTTCTATGGATCACAGTGATATACTACGTATAACAGACTCGGAGTTGGACTAGATGCTGCAAGAGAAGGGGATCGTGAAGGGCGGGGGGGGGCGCCATCGTGCAAGGCCCATATAACGCGGGGTATTCAAAAGTTGGCACGGCGCCACCTTCTGGATAGGTAGCAGTGTGACCGGACCAGTCCTGGCCTGCATATCCGGATAGCCGTCGCCGTGGTCGACGGGTGACGTGAAGAAGTGGAAGGAATAGTCACGAAAGAAAGAGTCAAGACCGGCACTTCTGATGACTTGCAGCTCTAGTACGGCGCTTACAAGCTATTTTCGGGGGGCCTAGGATTGGGGCAGCCAATCATTACACGCAGCTAAAAGTGGGGAAGCAAAGTGATGAGGGGACGTGCCTAGGTGCGAGAGGTACCGATGTATCTTTATTTTTAGAGCCCCATCTCCAACGTCCTCCCATCTAATCGCCCTTTTCTCCAGCGACGACACCGCTTAAACCTATCCCAACCCCCGCCATCTTGCCCCGGTGACTGTCGATTCAGGAAACGACAATCTCCTGAGAGCTAACCGCCCAAGCTAGACAAAGGAGAACAGCACATATATCCACCCGGACCCGGAGGCGACATCTATTTCCATCTTTAGAACAACGACCAGGACAGACCAGCGGCCAGTTGCCACTGGAATATGGGCGACGTCAGATAGACCGCGAGATTGAGCCTTTGGGTGTTGGCGGATGTGCTGATCTTTGGTGACATGGGACTCTGTTTTCCTTCCATCCCAACATTTGCAACGAAGGACGAAGGCTAGCGGGACCCAACAGTCACTCGCCTACAAACTGATCAGAATCTAATATGACGGATAACATGGCGGCTCGGGCCATCCGGCCTCAAGAATGGCCCGCGGACCGCACGGCCACGAGGACGGGGCCAAGACTCCGTGGCTGTCAGGCGGGAGTCAATGAGCTACGCTATCGCTCGCGGGAGGGTCATGACAGCCAGCCAAGCCAAGGTTGTCCTGTGTCTGTTGCCTTGGTCCGGACCAAGGAACCCCACTCCCCCGGTCCAGATCCGGAAGTTCGTCCAAACACTGGCTGGCTGATCAAGGTGACATGACAACCTTCCCGTAATGTACCAGGCCGCCAACAGAGCGGCAACATGAACTGAAAGAAAATGCTTGTTTCCAGCCCTGGCTCGGTGTAACAACCCCCATGACATCCCCGGCTCTCGTTCCTCACGAACGAACCCCCCCCCCCTTTTTCACCACGACCATTCTCACCGCGAGACCATCTAAAAGATTAAGCGCCCATCTCCCTCAAATTCCGCTACGAGTGCCACTCGCCCGCATTCCCAAATTTAGCAGCATCCTCTTCCATGGATACTACGACAAAGCCCCTCTTGAGAATCTCCTCCGTACTGGGCAAATGCCTGAGAACGAATCGGGCACCTGCCGCTGTGGCTCTGGAAACACAGTCATCGAATGCAGTCGTCCGCCACCAAGTCTGCCCTTCGCCTGAACATCCTCTCATTTTCACACCCTCCAAGCCTGTGTGTGGGTTTGGATGTAGAGCCCGTTGGCCCCGGTCACACTCTCCCATCAACACAATTGGTTCAAATGCACGCAGCCATTGAGGTCCTCTGGTCTCCACAATTCATTAATATCAATAAATCAAGTCCGTCTGGACCACTGGGTTGTCATCATGCCCGGCCACCGATTCGGCCCTGTATCCCTGACGCCAGCACGCCAATAAGCTATGCCAATCCCTTAACACTTGACCTGGACTCCTGATGCGAAGGTGCGCCATGTCGTCTATCATCGCTCATGGCATGTGCTCGAGAAAATATTCCATGCCTACTCCCACAAAGTCCCGTCCTGGCCTTCCAGACGCGGATGATGAACACACGTATCACAAGTGCTTGCACGCAACCTTCGCGTTACCTAGACCATCCCATCTCCCAATGACTGTCTGATCGCAGCTGGCCAGGCAGAGTATATGTAAGAAATAGCCACGCGCCCAAACGGACCTTAAGTGTCCACGTCCCTGATGTCATCGTCCCCAAGGCTGTCCATCTGGTCGGATGACGCCACCGAGTTCTCCCAGTCTTTGGGACGAAGAATCGTCAGCTCTCGGTACTGTTGATGGATAACGGACACGGACGAACTGAAAAGGGAGAAGTCACTGTCAGACATACCAGACCCGTCATCCTCCAGGTCATCCACGCTTAGTCTTCGAAGGCTGTCCAGTATCACTACAGCAAGGAATAGTCAGTATCAGCAGCATTTTACACGCCAAAATGCCCCACGGTAGGATAGTGCCAAACGAGGGGAACATAGAACGCACCTTGCCGCTCAGCGAAGAACTTCAGGCTGTCTTCACCAGCCACCTCGTCGGTGGCATCAAAAAAATTGCCGCACTGCTCGAGGATGCTCTGCAGCACCACAACAGTCTGTGCTGGAACTGAGGTGCCACGCTTGGTGTAATTCTCGGCAACGTAATGCAGACACTCGACTCCGATGCGCTTTGCACTGCGCACGACCGCCTCAGCACGCTCTTGGCCTCCATGTTTCTCTTCAAAGTCTGGATTAGGACCATGTCGGAAGACCTTCTCATAAATCACCTGCTTGACCTCATTGCTGATGTTGTGGTCGTAATGTGCCAGCAGACCAGGCACCCAAAGCGGCAGGTACTCGAGGCACTGGATATTGGTTGCCTTCTTTGTCTCACCGGAATTCTCTCGAATTCCGTCAATCACCGCCCTGTTGGTGAAGAATGCCAGCACCGCCTTGGGCTCACTGTTCACCAACATGTTGCTGTTCCTGGCTATGTGCTCGATAAGCCTGTCGATATGCGCCGGCTCACGGCTGAGACGGCAGTACAGCGCCGCAACTCGTAGATATGGCGCATGAACGAGGAACGATGGCTGAACATGAGTGTTCACTATCAGAGTTTCCAGGATGTCATCCTCCAACGACCAGCCCTGCTTCAAGAGGCTGGCAAAGATGGCATCTGTTGCCTCCGGATTCTGGTTGATGTAGATGAGTTTGTCCAGGAATATGCTGCAGCCCCCGTCCCACTTCTGTTCCAGCACAGAGGCTTCAACGGTGGTCAGCCGCAGCGGTGATTCAGGATTCTTGAGATATATGTTCTCGCGCACAGCGTGGGTGTTGACGGGGTCGTCCACAGTGACGGACGCAAAGACGCTGTTCAGCAAATCCATGATGGTCGAAAAGGAAGGGGGGCGATTCTGTCTCCTGGCCAAGGCGTTGCTCAGCCTGGCGAACTGCTGGTCTAGTTCCTGGTGTGACAGGTTCTCGGCCACGATAATAAGTAAAGTCTTGTACAGAAAGTTGTGGCCAGTAAAGGCGAGAAGCTCTTCCTTGCCAAGTTCGACGAACCGGGCCATTAGATAGAAAACCTCAAACCATGACTGAGGGAAACGTGGAAATTCTCCCAGAGAACTTCAAACATGGCACATACTCCTGAAACAACGTTTATCTCGAAGTTATCGAGCGTGACGGGAGACACCGTGTTAACGTTGTAGTTTCCTGGGAAGGCCTCCTTGACGGATTGGAGAGCTATAATGAGCAGATCCGACACGGATTGCCGTATCTCTGGCTCAAGGTTCCGCTGCACCAAACCCCTGAAAGACTCATGCCGATCGCTGAAGTATTCGTAGACAACAAAAGCGCAACGTGCGCATGAATTGGTCATATCTCTCAGCCTCTGCAATAGTCTCTGAGCATCAGGGACATCTTTTGCTCTGGCAGCGACTTGATCGAGGTGCCCAAGTGCCATTTCGACCGCCGAGGTCTCGATCTCGTGGTCTTCGGAGCAAACTCCGCCGTTCAGTTCAAGCATGTGCTCGATGGCACCATCCACAAGCCGAATGTGGTGGGGGTCGAATAGGCAGTGCCTCTGCAAAAGTCGCAGATTGTCCTCTCGGATAGAATTTGCGAGTATCACGGGCATCGGAGCTTGAAGCGGGCTTGACGACAACGACTGCTGTAGCTCATGGTTCTTTCTTTGCAGAGCCGAAGAGCGCTCATAGAAGAGCATGTAGGCGCAGTAGTTCTTCTCGTACGTAACACCACCAGCATCCCAGGAAGATTCTGTGCCACCGTAGCAGGATGCCTCCATCTTTACCGGGTTCCAAGGGGTCACCGCGTCATCGTTGAATTCGAACCAGTCCTGGTTGGCACGAGATGTTGGCCGCTCTCGGATGAAGCTGTAATAATGTCCGGACTCTGCCGTGCCAGCGTGGACGAGAACGCCAACCAACTCGAACCAGTCTTCCGAGGAGCCTCCAGTAGGGTTGCTGAGGTGCTCGATCGTGAATGGTCGCATGTCAATGCGGTCTGGGAAAGCGAAGTAGTCATTTATCTTGTTGCGTGCCAGTGTCCTGAGGTTGAAATCGAAGCGCTTCAGGTGGAAGATTAAAGAGTCGGGAACTTCCTTCAGGCATGAGCTGTATCCTGTCAGCATGTGTACAGTGCACGCAAAGCAGGAGAAAAGAGGCCAAGCATACCGCCTAACAGCATCAACGTGCCGGCCGCAAGTGGTGCAGTTGTACTTGTTGTCTAGCGGAATTTGTCAGCTTACTGATTCCAACAGAAAGGAACCAGGCTCGTGAAATTCTGGGCTTACCGCCTTCCATGTGCTCCCCATCAACATATGCATCAAGACTCTCCAACAAGTCCTTCTTGCCTTTGATGTCGCATTGGATAGCAGAGAATGGTTCCATGACCTCCGAGATGTGTTCACACTCTTTTGACTTGGTCTGTGTCACTAGTTGTCCGCCGTAGAAGGATCGGAATCGTTGCATCGCCTCCTGAGAACGCAATTGGCCTTCCCACCTGTCATTGAGCAGATTGAAAAACTCCTCAACGTCCATCTGATTGTGAATGTTGATAAGATCGTCATCGTAGGTCTTGATACTGGCCACAAAAGCCTCAGGATCTATGAAGCGGCGATGGCTGCTTTGGAGTTGACCAAACATGCGTTGCGTGTGGTAAAGTAGAGATTGAGTCTTGTCTCCGCCACTGACTTCAGCACTGAGCATGAATTTTCGAAAGTCAAAATTCATGAACAACTGTGTGCAAAGCGAATTCAAGTAGCACGTATTGGATAGGTTCCGGAGACCCGCGTAGCCACATTGTGATCTGACGGCCTTAGACCTCTCGAAGTTGTTGGCTGGAAGTTCATATTGATATGAGGAGCCTAGAGGCGACAGTCAGCGCATGATTGTGGGTGATGGCGGAGGTCAACAGGTTGAATCTTACCATCTTCGGTCTCATCATTGGTCGAGCATGGGACCAATGACCTGAGGTCCTCTATGAGTTGTCGGGTCTGCTCTGGAGTTCTCCCCGCCACCCTCAGAATGATATTGATGAGTTGGCACCGGGTGGCCTCGTTATAGATCACATCACCTTGCCAAAGAGAATTGGCACTGGACCAGCGACGGGGGAAAAGATGATGCCAGAACAGTTGAGGTGTGAAACTGGAGTGCGTACGGCTAATCAGTCTTTCTGTATGATTTGTGAAGTTTCAAACAGTTAAGGGTTCCAGAGTGGACTTACCTTGGAGGTAGTATTTCTACACCAGCTTGTTCGTGAACGTCACACAGGATGAAGTGCAGCAAGCCGACAAGACCTTGAGCCGCCAAGTCAACAGCACCAGGCTGGATGATATCCTGTGTCGAATTAGTATCATTAGAGATATCACTTGGATGTCGGAGCAAGAATGCCAACCTCTTGGGGTTTGTAATCCAAAAGCAGTCGGCTCAAGAATCGGGTTGTTTTAGGCAAGTCAAGCACATCTGATTTTGACTCTTTCATAGACTTGAACAGAGCAACTGCAAGCTGGAAGAGCTCCGAGCATGTCGCGGGCTGCCCGAGACCACATGGTATCAACTCGATCAAGAAAGTCCAAAAGTAGTCACGAAACACTGGTTCAGGAACAGCTGAAGGACTAGATACCGATGGGTTAGCTTGAGAATCACAATTCATGGAGACTGTTATACACATACCTCAGAGGCCGAACTGTCTTCTCTCCGATTGCAAGTGCTGTTGACTTCCTCAAAGCACCTCGAGGGTCATCAAGAAGCAGCCTTCTTATGACAGACTTGACATCGGCTCGAGAACACAAGGTACTCCAGAGATCTACCCTCAAGGAACACGTGTCCAATACGGCTTGGAAGGTGACATTGAGCAGATTCGTGCAAGCAACTGTTGGGCGTGTGGTCAAGCAAAAAGACATGATATCGACCAGTCTCTCCAACAATTTGATGTCCAGGCATTCAGGCACTGTCGAAGCCCGCAAAGGATCTACAGCTGTCAGTGGAGCAACAACATAACATAACCTGGGTTACGAACCTTTCAAGATGGAGAGTAACTGCTCAACAAGTCTCGACGCAAGCCGGATTCTCAGTTCGTCACTAGAGTTTTGGTCGGCCACATGGGGCTCGGAAATCGCCCAAACCACCAACCTGAGGGCTCTTGCCAGCGCGTTGTTGTAAGATCCGTGCTCATTGTTCGACTTGGCCAGGGAGAACTGTATGTTGAGGTACTCTTGGATGGCGTACACCGCGTACAGAGACTTCAGCGGATAGGCGACTGGGAACACTTGGTGGTAATTAGGGGTTTCTTGTTCAATGGTTGCCAGTATGCGGTCGTCCACGGGCAGAGTATTGAGAAAAGCGAACACCTATTATGTGTATTAGCCAAGGGCAGATTCAATAAGGGCGGCCTTCTTACCTCAGTTGCCAGTGTCTCCTCCAATCCCAGAAAGTGCCATAGCTCCTCGAAATGCCTCAGGATCTCTATCTCCACGGCAGAAGCGCCGGGCCTCACCTGGAGAGGTTGTTCAACAGTCTCTGACTCGCGTTTGACGAGAATGAGTCCTTCGCAAATTTGAAGCTCATCCAAAGATCTGCAGATGTCTTGTTCAGACGGTGTGAGGGCTTGACCCTTGTAGTACAGGCGATAGTTATCAAAACCCGTGGCGTCGCGGATGCTGGCCAGCAAAGACCCGGCTGTATTCCCTTTGCCTATAGGCAGGGGCTTCACCTCAGTCTGTCTATCACCGTCAAATGACTGAAACTTGAGATCAGCCGATTCGCCTTGAACGTCAATGTTCTTGGGCAACACCAGCGATCTCATGTCAGGAGTGGAGAACTGCGAAGTTGCGTGGTAATGCTCGTTGAAGATTCGGAGGATCTGGAGAGAACGGCTGAAGAGAAGCCGTTGGTCTCGAGTCTCATACCCACTAGACGTGGTATCCATCGCATCGGGGTCTACCTCGTCTTCACTAACCATCAGGCGCCTTGCCGCGAGGGACAGTTGCTCCAAGCACCGGTTGACAAGAGCAAGGTGGACTTTCCGTGCTCGGTGGCTTGAGAATTTCTGGATACAGCGGCTGTCGATGTAAACCCCCTTGACAAGCGCCCTTATCGCCGGCTGCTCAACAGTGTTGGTGGGAGCAGTGAGGACAATCCTCCACAGCTCTTCGATAGCCTGGCGGTCGCGCGAATCATCGTCATCGAGAACACTACTGTCCTTATCGTCCACTAGGCGAGCGATCTTCTTGAGAGCGAAGTCCAGGCTACCTTCGCAGAACAGTTCCGGCGCCAGTGTGGGTAGATAAACGTCGAAGCAGATCTCCAGGAACGGGTTGTCGGCACGAGTGTTCAATGCAATGTTGAGACTCTGCCAGCCACAGATCCGATCTTCTTGGGATGCTGCATGCTTTCCGACCAACAATTCCCATAGCTTTTGTCCAAGATCTCCCTTGATCGCCTCTGGCTGCTGCTGAATGATGTTGGAGAGCATTTCCAGGCGAGGCTTATTTTCTAGGCCATTGATCACATGCTGTTTCCCGGAATGTTGTCTGGTAGTGACTGCATGCTCGAACTCGTCAATGAGGAGTCTTGGCAAGTCGTGTTGTGATGTGAGCACTTGCAGCTCCCTCCCGATCGGTCGACACAAGAAGGCAAGACAGTGTATGCTGCCTAGGGTGCAGGGCGTTTTTTGAGCGATGTCTCTTAGGCACTCCTGGTATAGCAACGCTCTATCCTCATACGACGGCCCGAATTTCAGGAGCTGAGAAATAGTCTGTGCAGCCCACCTGTGCATCCCTTGGTGGAATGGCGTCCCCAGTGCAGAAGACTCCCTCAGCAACCGAAACATCAAGGAGTAAGGCAGGAGCTCCTGCACAGCATCGTGCTTTTGGCAGAGCTGGTTGATGACGGTGACACAGAGATCTTTGATTGTTGGGCTGAAGGCCTCGATCGGAACGGTCTGCATTTTGCGACAGAAAGCGAGCAGATCGGCTGGGGTAAAAAGATGGACGATATGGATAAACATCGCAGACAGGCTCTCCGAGACCCCGGAGATTTGGCACGTGGTCATCGTTTGCCACATGAAGTCCAGGTGTTGCTCGGTAAAAGTATGCGACGCAAAGAGGAAGCCAATAATGTTACCGCTGGCCGTCGTCACCTCTGGGTGGCACGTGGGGCCCAGGATGTATGTGACGACACCTGATTGCAACAAAGTGTTCGAGATGTGACGCAACAGCGGCTGTTGAGAGTGTTCGATACCGTGCCCCGAGTGGTCCTTGAAGATGCGCACCAGGTCAGAGCACATCGTCTGCGCGGCTAGAAGCCTCAGTTGCATTTGGCTCGACATGATGAACTTTGTGAGGGTCTTGAGGCGCCACTCGTCAACCATGACATCGTGGGAGAAAACTCGAGGAATGTCCGGATGATTCTGCTGGTGCTCCCGTATTGCGGCCGCTGCATGTCCGGTTTCCGCACGCAAGCAGAGACGCAGGAGATTGGTGAGGACGAACATCGAAGTCTCAGCAACGTCCGCTTGTATCTGGTTGACGTTCTTCTCGATGCAGGCTTCAAGAGCGCGTGACATGGTCTCAGTGAGATGGTATCCTTGCTCCAGGAAAGCCATTGCTTCTTCAGCCTCTCGGGCGGGCTGGGTTAGATGTAGCCGCTCGGTTGCGTCGCGAATAATAAAAGTAGCCAACTGGCCAACGACGTGCAAATGATCGATCAATCTCGGAAACCGGGGCACAAGTGAAGCCATGAGCTGGCCCAGGTGAAAAGGCGAGTGGTTCGGTGTGTCTGAGCTGTAGGCGGGAAATGAACGGAAGGTATCGATCAGTCCGCCCATGAATTCGGGCAAGAGCGGATCAGCATCAATATAGTTCATGTTGCCCGCCTGACCGCCATACTCCATCAAGTACTGGTTGAGGTATATTATGTAGATCGGCGAGGTCAGTTCTTGGTAAATGTTCTCTCCAGCTTCGACGGTACGAAGCATCAGGTGATCGAGGTCGGTGAAGAAAGCTGTTAACTTCGTGAAGGCCTTATGCAAATCAAAAATCAGGCGAGAGAGCTGAGGACTTCGCATAGGGGCACCTCGTCCAAGGGTGGTATTCTCCCATATTAGTCGCGGAAGTTCTTTCCAGAATTCACGATGCTCCTCATAGTTCTGTAGCAGTATGTAGACCCCGCAATCCCGTGCCCAAGCCAGGTACTCTTCGATCCACATGGTGAGCTTCGGGGCCGCCTCTCGATAGGTCGACAGCGCGCCGCATATGTTCTGCAGGGCATCTGGCAGGGATTCGTCCGGACGGGTCGGGAAGCCATGGACGGGATCCGCAAGATGGAGCTCGATGTCCTGGAGGTCCGCGAACTGGGATATCTCGTTCTCGTCCACGCTTTCTATAAGGGGTTCGTCGTGATCGTCGACAGCCAGAGGCGAAGACGCGGCGCTCCTGAAGTCTGGCACGGCATTTGAGACATCCAGCTCTGGGTCCTCCACACTTGCCCGAATGCCACTCTCGTGACTTGTGTCGAGCTCACCGTCGGCATCCTTGGGGGATGTAGGTGACGAGGGTGTTGATTGCGGCGCATGCTTTCTACTCTTCAAGTTTAGAGTGATTTTGGTTGGCTTTGACTCGGACAGAGGTTGTGCGTGGTGCTGCTGGTGCTGCTGGTGCTCGGGTGTTTGAGGCTTTGAGGGCGAAGAATCCATCGTCATCTTGATATCCTGGTCCGTTGGCAGACCTTGTACGTCGTCGTCTGCAGGGCCGGCAGGAGTATGGCGGGAGGAACCCTCGGATTCGAGGGACCGGCTGCGCGAGGCGCCGTTGAGAGAGGTACGGCGTCGCTTGCGGGCCGAGGACCCGTCGTCGTCGTCAAAGGGGTTCGGTCGGGTTGAGCAAGGCTCGGAGGAGACAGCACGTTCTCTCGACTCGACTGGGGAATTCGAAGCTCGGTCCATCTGGATCTGGCCTGCTGGCATCGGAGCTCAGTAAGCCTGGAGCCTCACAGAGTCACGGTTGTTGTGCGAGCCCAGGGCTGAGGGCAGCTCTGCTCCGGACGACTTCAGTTTTAGCATGTGGGCTGGCAGGGTGGCATCGGATAGGAGGGAGCTTGACAGGGGTGGGGGAGTGATAGACTGGTGTCAACAATGAGGCAAAGAAGCTGCAGCCGCAGTGTAGCCCTGGCCGAGCTCACAAGGCTGAAGTGGGCTAGGTTTGCCTGCTTGTGGGGGCGCGGGAGGAGGAATGACGGTGCATGTGGTGGAGGTGGTGGTAGAGGCAGCAGTGTGGCGATGGGCGGCTTTTCTGGACAGGACAAGGAGGGGTTCTGGCAGATATGACCAAGGGTAAGAAGAGTGAATGATGATGCTTCGGAAGAGCAGCCTGTGCTTTGTGCAGTCCTGTTCGACGTTGACATTGATCCTTTTTTGAGTGCCTGTTGGTGGTGGGGTATGAAGATGGCGGGGTAGGGGTGCGTGTCTAGGACAGGCTCACCTAGCTGCTGGTGGCGGTTCCCGGCTCTAATAAACTCAAGGAAGCTCTGGGCAAACAGCTCTCTGGGGGCGGGACAGGGCAGGGGCAGGGCAACCCCATCAAACAATCCAATCGACCTTGGACAACCACAAGGCGCGGGGACTGGGCCGCTGATGTGAACACTGGTGGTTCACTAGTGCTGGATGAGAAATACTCTCTTATGAAATGTAGATGAATGTGAGTGCCAAGAGTAAACGCCGGAATGGCTTCTTCGAATGGAAATCTGAAAATGCAGCCGTCTCAACCGGGATGTGTTTGGGGTTGCTCAGTGAATCGTCGGCGGGAGGGAGCTCTGGTGGATTACCTTGAAGGCTTGGTAGCCCAAGAATTGTGGGTCGCGACAACAGGGATCCTGGGAGGAGCTACCATGCAGTCCATCTGCCTGGGGTACCGCAAGGACTAGCTCTAGGCTCGTTTGTGAGCAGTGGCCTAGGCAGAGGCATTACCTAGGTATTCCTCTATACTTCTGTACAGTCTGACATCACACAGTCATCATGGGCCAAAGCAATGTGATAATGGTCCTGGCCCTGCAGGCCAGAAGACACACTTGAACCCTCTTTGGACTCGTGGACTTTTTGTAGCAGACTCCCACAAGCCTGAGGGAGCAGGATGCTATATATACGCAGCCTTGTCCGGCATTTCTCTACAACAGAGATCAACAAGGAAATTGCCAACTGGCCCGCTGGCCGAGGCCCGTTCGCAATCTCCAGGCTGTCAAAAGTCGGTTCTATCTGGGTGGTCATCCGCGCCCACGTGTCAGTCCTTCTATACCTGCCCTCGGCGGCACCTGAGAAACTGGCGACCGTTCAGACGTCCTTGCGCTGGCTTTATCAATTGCCGACAGCGGCATTCAACCAGTTTCTGCAGCTGTCGGCAATGACTGATCCAGAGGCATCCTCGGTCGGGCGCGGTCGGTCGGGCCGCGCGGCTGTGTGACTTGGGCTTGAGCTTGGGCTTGGGTGAAATGGCCATCGACATGCAAAGCGTGTGCCCACTATCCAGCTGCCCCAAGACCGGACGCAACCTGTCGGCCTGGTGGGGTGGAAACGCCCAGTGAAGTTCAGCCTTGTGACATCGAAAGCGCAGAGATTACTCCATGCAGGTAATGTGGACTCTTCACTGTGCAGGGGGCTTAAATGGAAATGATCGTGAGACGCGTTCTCGCGTCTGATAGACCCACAGTGGTGTATGAGTAGAGACGCTGCGGTGCGAGGTGCACCGGAGGCCATCTCTGTGACGCAGCATGTTCGCTCAGCTGGAGCTCCACGGGCCAAGCTTACTGCTGTCGTCCTCGGTTGCGCCGGAGCTCTGTGAGACTGGCCATTTTCGCTCCATCCCAAGGTCTGAAATTGCACATTCCACCTCTCTACTGGATGGTCGTCGCCCTGCCACTTGTGATGACGGAGCTTCCTAGGTCTTGCTGGGGTAACCCAGCCTGCGGGTGGGCCCACCGATGGCCCGCCGTCAGAGCGGAGCTCTTTCCGCAGGCGCGGTGCCATCTCCTGCTACTTCCATAGTACCTAGGTAAGTTCTTAGTAGGATGAGCAGGTCCAAGGCTAGGGCAGTAGTTGACAGCCTCGTCATGCGACGGAGACACGCGGCCGCATGCTCAATGGCCAGCTCGAATGCCCAACAAGTGGTCAAGTATCGAGATACCTGAGCCTAGTACTACTTGGCACCATACTTTTCATCAACTTACGAACCTCTGCTGTCTCTGGCTAACATCCTCGGAGGTAGTGACCTCCAGGTTATGGCCCGCTAGATGTTATGCCTTTGATCATTGGCGAACAGATGGACTAGCTGCCAGAGCGGATTCCATAGTTGGGAGCTAGCAAACGATGCTGGGGTTGATTTCTGGGCGGATTGTTGCGGCAGTAAGCCCTAACCCTGATCATACTTATGGACCACATGCGTAGGCGAAGCCCATTCTTCTACATTTCAAGTCCACAACTGCCCAGCCGGCATTCTTGAAACGCTGCAAGACAACGACGTGAGATAAACATACAAAAGAAAAGTCAGAACTGGCGGAATCAGTTGCAGATCTTCAGTATGGACAAAACCAAACTGGTGTATCAGCTTGGTACTCCCTTCTCCAGCGTGCAATGGTGAGTAAATCCCTTCAACACCAAAACCTCAAGCCCTCTCCGCCTTGCCAGCCGCCCCGGTCTGACGATGCACATAGGCCAGAAATCTCCCAACAAGATCAAGATACGATGCTAGATCTCCTCTGCGGGTATGTGTTCTCACTGCTTCATAGACTGTAGCGGCATACAGCCATGCCAACCTAGCCACCTTGTGGGACTGCTGCTGACGGGCACGCCGCAGCCTCCTGTTTCCAATATGCCAGCATCGGAATTCATACATACACCCTTCCAAGGGCAAAAAGGCCAGGGCGAGGAAGAGGAAGCGCGATCAGTCAAATGAGACTCAAACCCAGCTGCCTACACCCCCACTGCCAGCTGTGGCAGCCTCTGTAGACGTCGGTTTGACCACCATCACCAGAAACCTTGCAGCCTCCTCTTCCAAATCACGCACCGGAGCAGGCGAAAATGGTGACCATGACCAGTGCTCTCCATACTTTGTAGTCTTCGTGGTCAGGTCGGGCCCACCGTCGACATTCTTCAGTCATCTGCCCCAGATGGTCGCCGCGGCGTCCCGCCAGTTGGAGGAGCCCATTCGGCTTGTTGGATTCTCCAAATCATGTGAGGAGAAACTGAGCGCGTGTCTTGGTATCCCCCGGGTATCGAGTGTTGCTTTGCGGGCCGGAGAAAGCGGCCAGTTGAAAGCCCTGGTCGACTTTGTGCGAAAACAGGTGGCTCCAGTCGAGGCTCCATGGATGGAGGATGGTGGCAAAGGCGAATTCCGCGAGACAAAGATCAATTCGATTCAGGCACCCATAGGGACGAAACGTCAGAAGAAGGGATGAGCTTCGATGGGGCTCGAGCAGGGTAATGGAGATGATTGCTGTACAGTAAGGGCTCTCCGTATCATCAATCTGGTTTCACTCTGCAATGCAGAGATGCTGAGGTTAGTGTCTTTTCTTGAATGAGCTCTAGCTGGGAACAACTGACACTGAGTCTCTAGGCAGTCAAAACGATCCGACAGGATTGGGAGTTAGCAACGCGTAAACAGGCAATAGAGACCCTCATCCGTTCTGCTATCTAAATGTCAGTTGTGAACTGCTGGTACCTCACTTTTCCAAGCAAAGGGAACCACGGCCAGAGGGATGATTTCCATGTGGGACTGCCTTCCCTTCTGTTAAGCTTCCTTTCATTACACGTAGTCCAGACCACTGCACTTTTGTTCTCCAAGTTGACTTGCCCCTCTTGTATGTTTCCTAGGCGATCGGTCAGCTTCGGCTGTGTCCAAGAAATTGACGCGTCTCTCCTGCTCCCTCCTCTTTAACTCCCCCCTTTCATGCTAAGAGGGCAAGTAAGTAGTGCAGCTCCTTCCAACACTTGAAGTCGCTGCCTTGAACAAGATACAGCAGTGACCCCAGCAGTGCACAGCAGAAGCTTCGCATTCCCTTTGAAGCTGCAAAGCGAGCTCAGCACCTTCCCTTCCTGCAACCTTTCTGACCAGCCAACCTTGGAAGCTTGCAAACACAAACATCAACCCACCTTGCAGGACAATCGAGGTCTTGTATCCTCCAACTTTCATTACGGAAGGCAATTCCTCTTTGTACTGCACTCCCTTTCTTGCCTTCATACTCGTTCCCTGCCTCAGTGGCCCATCTCTGCAAAGGGCAAACGCTTCTTGCGTCGCGAGAAACTGTTGCCTGCCTCTCCTTCCTTCCTTCCTTCCAGGGAGGTTCGACAACTCATTCAGCATCGAGCCTTGATTCAGGTATGTGCCGCCTTCCTGTTGAAATCGCTGTGCCAAGCTGACCCATCAAAGTTTGGCAGTCTAACCGACGCGACCATCTTGACGCCATCCACTTGTGACATCCACAAGACACACATCATGGACGGTGCACCAAAAAAAACACTCACAAAGCAGGACATGATGGCAGAAGCCATCGCGTTTCAACGAGAGGTCGGTCGTGCCACCGATCGCCGTGGCGGTCGCACTTCCACCAACATGCCCTTACCTGGCCGTGGCTCTGGTGGTATGTCCAGCCCAATGTCTGGTGCTTATGGTTCTGGTGACCGCACCGCTGCTGCAACTCCTCGAGGCCTTTCTCGTCAACCTGTGCCGCAGAAGCTCGCGACACCTGAGCAGCTCTTCGGTCTCCCGAATCGCCCTCCCACTTCAGTCCCTAGCAACGCACCCGCGCCTGTCACTCAGCAGCCTGCTCCCCAACCCGTGGCCAGTTTCGAACCTGTGCAGGTCGATGTCCACAAAGTCGCCGCCCAAGCTCCTGGCCCTGGGCTCGTCGGCTCCCGATGGGCCACTTCAGGCACTCCGAACACTGTCTCTGACAACAAACCCGCGGGTGGCTTTGATGCCATGGACGTCGACCCAGAGTCTTTTCCCGCAGACTTCGCCAAAGACGCTGGCAATGCTGGCGTTACCATGAACCAGGGAAAGAGCTTTCATTCATCGTTCTCCAACGCTGCTCTTGACACCCCTGAGGTACCGAAACCTAGCAAGGGCCTGATGAGTTCCAAATGGGCGTCGTTTGCGTCTCCTTCGTCGCCTTCTCCCTCGACCCATAAGTTTCCAGACCCGGCTACTCTTGAGCCGGTGTATGTCAGTAAAGACTGGCTGTCGGATCTCTCTGCGGAGTACGAGGCGCTGGCCGTCAAGAACAAGCATGCTGGTGAGACTCAGCCCAGTCGAATCAGTCCAGCTATCCAGCCCACTGGTACGCAGACTGCAGCTCACACTGCGAAGCCTCCGGCCAGTGGGGCGACTCAGCACTCCGGGCAGACTACTATCAACTTGTCAGCCGCTTCTCAGGCAGACACTGCTGTGCAGTCAGCTGCCCGTCCTGTCGCCCCGGATGCCAGCACTCAGGGCCAGACCTTCGACAGGCGTTCTGGACCTTCACCAACCAGACCCGCTGAAGGTTCTTCTGGCTTCCGCGAGCAGCCTGTTCAACAGAACAACACCAATGCTAACCCCTCTGCTGAGCCCAGTCACACCCCAGCCTCTGCGCACGCTGCCAACGACCAGTCGCCTGCACCAACGACGAACACTGCGCCTGGTGGTATCTTCAACGATTCCGCCTTCAAGGATTGGTATAACAGCCAGTTCATGCGCCGCAAGGCGTAGTCACCCAAGGTAGAGCATGAGAGCTACGCTGCATTGTTCGCAAGACAACATGTCTTTTGGGAGGGGGAGGGATGAGAGGACTCGAGAATTTTGACCACGTCCTACAGGGGAGTGAATTGATGTAAGCAACCACGAGTGGGTCCATGCCCATGATGTTCCTGGTGAGAACCGCGATCAATGGGAGCATCTTGGGGAATACTGAGTGGGGGAATAAGAGATTCCTCATGTAGAGGTCTTTCTTCTCGCTGTTTCGCAAATAAATCGGTCTGCAATGCTTAGTTCACGTTAGGATGAGATGGACAGAGGTAACATTGGCCTACATGCTGTCGTTCCGCGACCAAGTGCTTTTAGACAGCTGAAATAAAATGTCATGTTCACCAAGTCAGCCAGCTTCAGTGCCAATATTTCTCAGTCTTTGGACTTATGACGATCTTGTGCCTGAATTTTTACTTGACATGAATGTTTAGGAAGCAAGTTGGTATGATGCGATGGTCTATCGTGATACAAGGACTCTTATCAAGCGCAAATCGCTAAAGTCAGAAAGATTAAGTCTTGTCTAGCCGTTCTATAGGTTCCCCCCCCCAGAAATTGAGAAAATGAGTCGTTGTAGCCAGCGCCTCGCTCTTCCACCGTCTCAGAATCGAGAGATGTCCCGGCCGAAGACCCACGACACAAACCACTGCAAAACAATCCTGTCAGTCTCGAGCCGTACCGTACAGCAACCAACCAGACCTTGTCCACTGAGAGGAGATCGGTGTACTCACATAAATAGGAATTAGTAGCTTGTTCTTCCAGCTCATAGACTTTGTGAGGTACGCTCCTCGCCACAAGACCCAGGCCATAAACCCGGTCAGGTCCCCGGAGCTCCCCTGGAAGAGCGCCTTCCACTGTACAGCATCCCGTCAGCATGTCTTCCAGACGTCATGTGCTTGTCGCGCGAGTGGAAAAGAAAAGAAAAGGGGGGACATACGTTGCCCAGATACGTCATCGTCCCGAGGTTGCGGAACTTGAACGGCTTCTGTTCCTCAAGCGGCCCCTTGTTCAGCGCCTTGGCCAGGTATGACGCCTCCTGCGACGCCACCTGGGCCGTCTTGGGCAGCGTCGGCCGGTCCGCGATGACGGCGCAGTCGCCGATGACGAAGACGTCGTTGAGCACTTGCGTCTGCAGGCCCGCGGCCGCCCCGGCGCCCGGCGCGTCCCCGGCGGCGGGGGCGGGCGGGGGTGTTGTCCCTGTTCAGGGCGCTGGCGTCGGCCAGGCGCGCGCGAAACCGCCCGTCGGTGATGACGCCCCCGGTCTTGGCGTCCTTCTCGAGCCTGAGCTCACGCGGCGCCTCCTGGCCCTCGACGGGGAGCGGAGCTGACAGGCTCTTGCCCATTAGCTTCTCGATGAGCGGGTTCTGCATCAGCCCCGTGCTCCACACCACGATTCCGGCGCCGACCTCCTCGTCGCCGCACTCCTTGATCTTGATCTTGAGCCCGCCGGTGCTGTCCGTGTCGGGCCGCACGCGCTGGATGCTATGTGCGGTCTTGATCTCGATGTTCTGCTTCTGGATGGTCCCCATTGCGTAGGAGGCGAGTGCCTGGTCGAACATGGGCAGGATCTTGGGTGCGATGTCGTAGACGGTGATTTTCACATATTGCATCAGGTCGGGGTAAATCTTGGAGAGGTCGTCGTGGATGAGATCGTGAAGCTCGGCTACACATCTGAAGTCAGCGGGCGGCACTCGAGAGAGGGCCTCGGACGAAAAGAAAGGCGGAACACTGCCTGGCTTGAGCTTGCCTCAAAGCTACAGCGCAACAGGCGAATTGACCCCTTGACAACCGCAGAACGTTTTGCGAACGGGCGTGGCCTCTGGTTTCTGCTTACCTGCAAATTCTATACCAGTGGGCCCGCCGCCCACAACAGCGAAGTGAAGCAGTTTACGACGGTTCTCTTCGGCTGTATTGCGAAGTTAGAAATGCCGTTCTTTGACAAAGTTAGAAGGCGTAGTCGAGTCTCCACTCACAGATGGTCGGACTTGAACACTGCTCAAATAGAGACAACACCCTTAAGCGAACCCTTCTCGCGTCTCCGATATCTCTCAAGAAATGCGCATGTTGTCTCACACCCTCGATGCCAAAGGTCTGGCTGTATGCGCCAACAGCGATGACGAGCTTGTCATATCCGACATCCATTACAGGGCCCTTTGGTATCTGGGGCGGTTCGACCTGAATCTCATTGCTCTTGGGGTCTTTCTTGGGAGGCGGCAAGACGGTCTGGCTGGAAAGGTCATCTGCCTGGTTCTCTTCCACATGGATGACCTTGCGCGAGAAGTCTATGTCGTCCGCCCATCCCTGGTGGAACTCAACATCTCCCAGCCTGCGGACCGACTCCAGGGTTGTCCTGAACTCGAGCGTGCCGACGGATGTTGAGGCCAGGAGGGGTGTGAAGACGAAATAGGAACGAGGCGAGATTATGATTCTTTCATATTTCGCAGGGTCAAGTGTTCTTGCAAAGGCGTAACCCGCCCATCCTACTCACAGCGTCAGCCACGGATGTCCGTCAGAAGGTCTGGAGCATTGGAACTGACCAGATCCTAAGATTGCTATTCTCTCTCTTTTCTTGCCTGCACGACCTGTTAGACGGCGTATACCGCTGACGATGAGCGAGCGCAGCCCTTCACCACCGGCCATTCTTGAGATGAATGAGCCCTCATGGTCCTCCTCGCCAGACCGAGGCCATACAGCCTGTATTTATCAGAGAGGAAGGGGTGTGAGATTTCCAGGTTCGGTCACCGAGTGACAGACTACCTGTCCGGGCTTATTTGCACGAGCCCTAATGGAACTTGTCCGACCTGAGGCTCACACGGGGCCCACACCTGTGCTTCCCTACGACCGATATAAGGAGTGCGACGCACCTTTCTCTGACTCGACGCTTGTCGCGAAGCACCGAGCACACTCGCTCCTCCTGCCGATCGACAGGGCGCGCCGTGTAACCAGCCTACTACTACTGGTTGCTGATTTGGCGAGGCTTGACGCCATCTCTTTGGACTTTTGCTTTCTTTCCTATCTCGTGGGGCCTGGGCAAGCAAGGGTGCCGGTATGGGGATCTACCGCGAATTCGACGTTGACGTGTTCCATCTCCTGCGAGCTGCCGGTTTGCCTTTGGGGCGAGCCTGGAAACTCTTTAAAAGGGGATCTGATTTTTGGTGTCGTTGGTGTGACGTTATCCCGGGCCGGACAGCGGACTCCGCTGCACGCCCCGAGCGTCCCGGCTGGCAGAGGTCTTTCTTACACATTTTTTCCAAGGGCCAATCTAAAGGGATATTTTCTTTCTTACCGACTACGCTATACATAGCATGCTTAGACGGATTTCTCGATAAAGGCTTGTGCTTGTCCCTCTCGCTTGGCGCTTGGCGAGTAGGAACAGAGTGAATGGATGTTATACGGCGAATACCGGAACCAGAAACGGCGAGACCCACTTGAGGGCGGACGGGGACGGACTCACCACTGCGGTCGGCCGGACGTTGGGGCCCGGAACCAGGATGTCCTAACCAATTTGAGCGCCTCTGGTCCCGTCCGTCGGAATCGCCTGTCAACTTCACCACAATGTCCAGTCTGTACAATTTGCGGCTTGAGCCTAAGCTGTTGGCAAGTTCTTGGCTCCACCACCAGAGCCTACTTGGCGGCAACAATATTCTGTTACCCCTTCGACATCCGGTAACACAGAGTGGGCCCCAACAACCGCTGACCGAGGCCGGTGGGATTTTGAGCTTGGGTTGGCCATGATGCTCTGCCACGCAAAATTCTACTAATGCATATGGACATATAACAGGAGCCACATTGCTAAGAATTGGGATAGGCAATTTGAAACTCATGAAAGAGAGTTGTCATGTTCCATAGTTGGTCAGCTTAGAAGCACAAAGCGGGAACTGAATAAGTCTGCACGGATGACAGGACACTGCTGTGCACGAGACCTTTGACGAATTGCTGTCAACGAATATCCAATCTTCCCGCCAATTTGCTGGCGGGCGATTGTGTCCCGCCGGCGACCCGTGTCGTGGAGCTAAGATTACAGTACGCGACGGCTTCAGCCTCTTCGCGAGTTTTCGGAAGGCCCAGAGTCCCACCGACGGATCTCCCGCTGGAGCCCGCTGTCTCCGGAACAGCCGGGCAGGCTCTACTCTAGATCGACATGTGGAAGTGACAAAGGTGGAAACCAAAGGTCTCCGCAAAACTCAATCGTCGGTGAATTGGTCTACCTCAGGATTACTTGCTACAATTCGGACATCGGTGTATACCATCCATGCAAATGCTTTTTGATTACGAACCGAAGGCTTCAGCACACGGAACATCCCAACTGTTCGGTGTTACTCTTCCATCGGTCCCTCTACTGCAACATCGAATCCAAACTCTCGCCTAGTACTCCTTCGATCTTGACGATCCACTTGTGCGTCTCTCTATCGACCACCTCGTCTTCGTCATCCTGCAGCTCACTGATGTACGGCAGCATCTCGGGCAACATGGACAGCCACTCCTCTCCGACCCTGTCCACCAGGGCCTGCTCACACTTGACAGCCGCCAACCGAACAGCCGCAGTCTGGGATTGCGCATGCTTGAGCAGCGCTGTGTTGAGCTCCTTTTGATGTTCTTGGGAGTCGGCCGCGCTCGCGAGCTCCACCACGGCTGGGGAGAGATCCTCCCCGAGGTCTACGTGCGGAGCGTGCCGGAACTGCTGCACCAGGACGGGCCCGATGGCGCTGAAGTGCGAGGGCGCCTGCCAGAAGTCGTCCTGATCGTGCTCGAAGGATTTCGTGAGAGTCCTGAGGACACGTCTCCAGAGCTCGTGCTGGTCGGCGTCCTTGATGTCGATCTCTTGCAGGATCTTGGCTGCCTGGTCGACAACGTAAGAGCTATAGCTTGTGACGATCGACTTGAGACTGTCGAAGAACTTATAGAGGAAGCCGTAAATGCTTTGCTGCCGAAGCGTGATGCCAAGCACGTCCGACTTGGGAAGCCCAGAGCTGGACCACTCAATAAGCTGGGTGAAGATTGGTCTGAAAGCTGCGTCGTTGAGCTTGTAAATCATCTTCAAGGCCACCTCATTAATGGATTCCTCTAGGCCGCTCAGCTTGTTCGCGTTCGTTCGCGACTTTGCATTTTCGAGGCGGCGAAGATCAAAGGCGGCCAGGAAGATGGCAGATAGGGATGTCACGTTCTTGGCGACTTCCGCCTTGGAATGCTTGTCAATGCTCAATCCGAGGATTTCAACGAACTCATTCATGGCCTGTACACTGTTAGCTCTTGGTCTTTCAGATCTGGTGTCTTTCCTTACCAAATAGCCGGCATCCATTGCGGACGCCCAGTTCTTCTGCAACGCGTTGAACAGCACCTTCGAGTCTAGCTGCTTCGCGAGGAAGTGCAGACATTGTTTCCTGTTGTCATGTACGTCGTCATCCAGGGGAGACTCGGCAGACTTGTTCGAAACATTCAATAGTTGGTCAAGGTAAGGCCCGGAGAGCATGTACGGCAAATGCTGAGCCAGTGCTGTCATGAGAGCATAGCAAGCATCGTGAAGCTCAGTGTCAGAGTCCACGCCGTCAATTGAGGCAGACAGATACTCCAACGTCTTGGGGATGGCGGTGGGCAGAATCGGGACAACCCCATCCTGTAGCACATCGACAAGCGAGGCAAGGCAAAGGAGAGCCATTATACGGAGACGCCTGTCGTCCTGGCCAAGACATTGCTTGCCTGCAATAGTCGACGCTGCCGCTGCAACAGCCTCCAGATCCTTCTTGCCGTATTTCTCTGAGATCTTGTCCACGCAGGTAACCGCAGTATGCTTGTAATGAATGTCGTCTGAGTCGCGGATGACAGCGGTCAACTGAGGCAAAAAGGCCAAAAGGGCCGTTCTCGACTGCGCATCGCCCTGTTTCTCCTTGTCGACGCGTGTCTCGAGTGCACGCAAGACCTTCTGGCGGAGGCCAACATTCGGCCGATCAAGTAGGGTCTCAACCGACTTGATGAACTCACCCACGGAGAGAAGGTTCAAGAGGTTGGACAGTGCGTCTCCACAACGGACATGCAGAGCCTTTCTTGTCTTGACGGTGTCAGCCACCGTCAAAACGTCCTCAAGAAGTTGTGCGTAGAGCTCGCGAATCTTAGCTGTTTCCATGTCGTCCCGTTCGGCGAGCTTTCCGACCTCGCGCTTGAGCGATCGACTTGCCAGAAGGTGAGGTAGCAGAGTCAGTTGCTTCAACGCTGTCTTGTTGATCTCTTCATCTCCCTCCTTCTTCCCAAACATGACAGCGGACAGATTCGGCTTCGGCTTGAACATATCTGCCACGAGATCGAGGAAACTAATAAGGGTCTGCAGCTGGATCTCCACACTGAAGTGGTTCATGAGATCGGCGGTGAAAGTCTGGATGTTATCAGATGTTCCATATTTGTCGACGAACATGGCCACCAGCGCAAAAAGAAAGTCCTGAGGCCCGAGATTTTCGACGAGCGAAATGAAGAGACCTTGTCTTCTGTGGGAGGGTATGTGCTCATAAGCAATGACAAAGCTTGCCAAAAGCTCTGATGCACTGGCAACGATATGTCTTCTTCCCTTGCGAAATGTATCAATCAATGGTGGTATCACCTCTCGAATGGTCTGGTTGATAACATGCGCAGAATAGTCGTCACTCTGCCGGAGCACAGAGCTTCCCATGAAGGTGAATATGGGCATGACGCTGTGCAGAACAACATCAGGTGCAGTCTTGGCCAGGCTTGCAACCAGAAGAAGCGCAGAGTTCTGCACAGCGGGGCTCGAAGACTTCTGAATGCATGACACCAGCACGTCTCCGTGGCCAACCGAGGTGTCGATCTTGAGATTCTTGTCATCGCGGTAGGTGGGCATCATGGCCAATAAGCTACTCAAGACCAAGTTCTGAAGATAGCCCAGTTCAGATCCTATAAGGGTTCTGAACGTTTGAAGCTCTGACAACACCATGAACAGGCTTTGAAGCAGCTCCGGATGCTCGGCCGGAGTTGATGACTCGACCAGGCTCAGAACGACAGTGACTTTACTCAACACAGCAGCAAGCTCTGGCGAGTGGTGCGTATCAGCCGATCGATGGTGTTCTGATGAACTAGTCCGTCTACGCTTGCTGGTAGGTGGTTCTACTGCAAGCTGCGTGACGTCCTGTAGAGTCCCGAGGAAGTCAAGTAGGATCTCCGTTGTCAAGGGTACGCTTCTCAGTAGCTCCAGTGCTTCTTCTGAGACCATGCCCTCCTTCTGTGAGAGATTCAGGACCTTGTGTGCGACATCCTTTTTGGTCCTGTCCTTCATCGATGGCCACATCTTCCGTATTCTGGAGAAGACGCAACGCACGAGATGTGGGCGCTCCTCTGCTCGACTGCCTTCTACAGTGCTGAAGAGACATTCGAGTCCAGCAGAGTCGTTAGGCACGACGACGTCCACGAAGCTAGCAGTGACCTTCGCTCCATCCAACCCTTCCTTACTGAGCAGGCCGAGAGCTTCTTCGTGTCCGAGTTTGGACCACCACTGCAATGAGGGCAGAAGTAGCTGTGTTCTGGAGGTGCTTCCCACTTTTTGCACTTGGTTCAACGCCTTGAGCAGTCTGAAGTTGAAGTTCAACAAGGGAGACTCCACAACGTGCGACGCTAGAAAGGCGAATATGGCAGCGCGGACACTTGAAGAGATATGTCCTTTTTTGGAAGTCTCTTTGTCCGTCGAGGACTTGCTTGAGCTTTCGAGAGCTTCTTTGAGGGTGGCGGTGATGTGATCTTCATGCATGATGGACTCCTCCAAGGCGGGAATGAGGACATCTTCGAGCAGGGTCCGACTGGCCTCAGGCGTCATCCACTTGGGGTCTTGCCCTGTCTTGTATAATGCTTGGGAGCCCCATGGCGTTTCGCTCTTCTTGCGTGACCCCGTGTCGTTGTTGTTTGTTTGCAGCACGGCAAGCAACTCAGCGGCAGCACGACGGACCTTCTTGGCTGGGTCACCCAAAGCAGCAATGCAGTACGGTTGGAGTGCTTGGAAGTCGGCTTTCGAGCAGTCTGGCTGCTGCAGTCGATTCTTGGCCATCTCAAGCGCCCGTGCTCGAGCCAGAATTGGGTACGGGCCCAGCCAGATGCGCATGTAGAAAGAAAAATAGAAGCAATCAGACGGCGCGGATTCGCTATCGAGTATCGGAGCTTCGTCTAGCTTCAACAGAGCCGATCTGTCAGAAGCGGCGGATATGAAAATCTGACAGAGCTCTTCGAAGATGGGATCTGAATCGCTTGACAAACAGGTGCGAGCTGGAGGCTTCTTATGCTTCGACAGTCGGCCGAGGCCAGCGTCCAGATCCAGTTCTTCGGCCAGGGCAGCTTCCGCGCCGTCGGTCGATGCTTTGGTTCCTTCTCCGTTGGATTTGACCGCTTTCTTCGGGCGAATAGACGCCTTGAGTTTCAGCTCTAGCTCGTCAATGTCGAACTCAGCCTCCTCGATGACTCTTCGAAATAGTTCTCCAGCTTCATCAGGAGCCTGCGAGAGCGCCACAATTATCTGCCCTAGCTGTTTCCGGGCTTCTCCGTCGTCGTCGATTTCGTCAGAAATCTTGTGTCCGGCCACGAGCAAGGATCGGATGATAACCGATGAATGCTTTTCGCTGAGCATTTGCGCCAACAAGATTGTCTTGATCAACGAGAGGCCACGAATTTCACCCTTCTTGGTGAGCCTCTCAATCAGAGCAATGGCAAGACCGTTGGCCAGTTTGTCAACCCGGTGCTCCTTCTGCAGTTCTTGCAGCAGCACGTCCAAGTCTTGGACTTTGACGAGGGATTTGGCTACTCTCCATGAGAGCTGCTTGGCAGACCTGCACTGGGCCAGAATAGACAGACAGACCAACCCAGGCCGGACTGTCTCACCTGACCAGCCCAGGACCAGTTGATGCATGAACTCCAGGAGTATCGCATCCTCCAAGCCACCCTTCGAAGCATAGACAGATATGACCATATAGCTTGCTATCTGAAGGCCAGGGACCTTCTTCATCATCAAGGTCTCGCTCAGGATAGGCAGAAGCTTCTGGAGAAGGTCTTGGTCATGATCTCTTTGAACCGCTCTCCTGCCTGATTTCATGTGATCCAACATGCCGTTGATAGCCTCGGTCATTAATCCGCCCCAGAATGAGACTAAGCCCGGATATTGCTGTTGCGCTCGGCATGACTCTAATGTCCAAGTTGACATGGCCGACAAGAGCTCAAAGTGATGGACTGCTTGTTGGACTAGAATAGCCCTGGGAGGCGCTGTCAAGGATCGCACGTATGGGTCGAGGAACCTATACTGGTTGGGCAGCTTTGCGGGGAGGATAGACATGAGCGTGACGAAGAGCGGCGCAGAGTGGTACGGCAGGAACGTCGTTATGAGGGAGGATGTGCTATATTCGTGTATCCTAAACACTGTTAGAGCGCATTCGGGCAACCGAGTAGTAGGAGGCATACCTGAATCTCCTTATAAGCCACTCTACAGCTTTAACAGCCGGCATGAGCCTCAGCTTTCCCCCGACCAGGCGCAAGAACGCCTCTATGGCCTTGTCCAGCTCGGCATTCTCGGCGGCAGTCATCTGCGTGCGGTCTTCGTCCTGGCTTTGCTCGCTGAACAGCGTCTGCTCGTACGGCAAGAACCGAGCATCGAGGCGGCACAGCTCTTCGAACCCTTCATGGCAGATATCGTAGACGGTCTGGAAACTCTGGCCGGCGGCAACTTTGGGCTCGAAAATCAGGGATTTTGCGTGCGCGGCCTTTTGCGCCTTCACGTTGAGCGTGCTCTTGGAGTTGACGGCAATCTGCGCCAACTGCGCAGCGAGCGATGAGGGCGCCATGTCTCTCTCTGGCGGTGCGCGTGCCCTATGACATGGGCGATGGTGAAGTTCAGGTTCAGGTACAATTTCTATCCAGGGGTCTCGACTCCCTGAACTTTTCCAGTGTCCGAGGCTCTCGATTGTGCGTTGATTGGGCGATAAGAGGTCTAGGTGGGGCGCGAGCAGCTTATCGGATCCCGCTTAATCTTTTTCATGTCGATAGGACCTGCATTTTTCCAACCAGGCGCATATACCAAGCACTCAGCGCAAGAAAATCACCACCCTAGCTGTCGATTCTCTCCGGCAGCAGGCCCGATTGCATTTGTTTATCCGGGACCTGTCGCTCATCAGCACTACAGTGCGATCACCCGCATGCAGTAATAGTCGCGAGCTTCGAACAAGACGACAGCGCAATGGGACCACCTTCCAAGAAGCGGCGCTTGAGCCCACCGCAGTCCGACGAGAACGTCTCAGGCGCGAAGGTACAGAATGCATTCTTCAAGAATGCTGCCAGCTGGAACCTAGAGCAGGACTACGAGTCACGCCCCAGGAAAGGAAAGAAGAAGGAGAAGGAGAGCAACAAGCTTCCCATCAAGACGCCGGATGGTCGCTTGGCACAGGTGCCTGTGAGCCAGGAAGCTGCTCCCATTGAGAGTGACGATGAGTGGTTGGATGGGAACGAGAGCGATGGCGCAGCCTCTGAGGCTGCCGACGAACCCCCTCCGGCCGAACCCACAATGTCAGAGCGTGAACAGATCATCAAGGCGAAGGAAGAGCTGGCCAAGATTGGTCTACACCTGAGCGAAAACCCAGAGGAATATCCCGGAGCTTTTAAACAGTTGGGGAAGATTGGGGACTCAAGGATTCCTGCGATCCGCAAGCTCTGCATAGTGACGCAGCTGGCAATATACAAAGACGTGATCCCAGGCTACCGGATACGACCGAGCACTGAGGATCCCCCCGGGGCGAAGTTGTCCAAGGAAGTCAAGAGTCTGCGGTCATACGAGCACGCCCTGGTGGCTGGTTACCAAGCGTACTTGAAAAAGTTGACCGAGTACGCAAAGCTGAAGGGTTCCGCGGACAACAACAGTCTGGCGAGGGTCGCCATCACTTGCGCCTGCACATTGGTCACATCAGTACCTCATTTCAACTTTCGAACAGAACTTTTGAAGATCTTGGTCGGGAAACTGAGCGCTCGAAAAGTTGATGAATCCTTCACGAAGTGCCTAAAAGCCCTCGAGACCTTGTTCCAGGACGACGAAGAGGGAAGGCCCTCGATGGAAGCGGTGTCTCTCCTGACAAAGATGATGAAGGCGCGAAAATATCTGGTTGACGAAAGTGTTCTCAATCTGTTCCTTTCTCTGAGACTGCTCTCCGAGTTCTCTGGGAAAGCCTCGAAAGACGAGGTGGACACTGCAAATGACGGCAAGAAAGCTAAGAGGAAATGGGAGCATCGTACAAAGCGCGAGCGGAAGGCCATCAAGGAAGAGAAGGCTCTGTCGAAAGTGATGGCGCAGGCAGATGCTCTGGTGAGCCACGAGGAGCGAGATCACATGCAGTCAGAGACTTTGAAGCTTGTCTTTGCTACCTATTTCCGGATTCTAAAGCAGAGGCAGCCAAACCTCATGGGAGCTGTGCTTGAGGGACTGGCGAAATACTCTCACCTGATCAACCAAGACTTCTTTGGCGATTTGCTTGAGGCCATGAAGGACCTCATCCGGCACAGCGAGGAGGATGCTGAGAATGATGAGGAGGATGGAGAGGAAGAGAAGGAAGATGTGCCCGTTCGGAATACAAGCCGTGAGGCGCTGCTATGTACAGTGACGGCTTTCACCCTCCTCGCCGGCCAGGATGCACACAATGCCCGCGCAGATTTGCACTTGGACCTATCCTACTTCTCGACGCACCTTTTCCAAGGCCTTTTCCCCTTGTCGATGGACGCGGACCTGGAACTGGGAGCGAGGGCCTTACATTTGCCGGATCCCGACAGCCACCGGGTTCCCAAACTCAACAAGGTCAACCTGCAGACAACAACAGTCCTCCTGATCAGGTGTCTGACGGCAATCCTCCTGCCTCCGTGGAACATCCGCTCGGTCCCTCCGCTACGCATCGCAGCATTCGCGAAGCAGCTGATGACAATTGCTCTGCAGATGCCGGAGAAGTCGTGCCAGGCCGTACTCGCCTTGTTGAACGACGTGACATACACACATGGGAAGAAGATTGGAGCAATATGGAACACAGAGGAGAGGAAAGGCGATGGAACCTACAACCCCCTCAGTGAATCTGTCGAGGGAAGCAACCCATTTGCAGCTACGGTATGGGAGGGGGAGTTGCTGAGGAGGCATTACTGCCCCAAGGTCCGCGAGGGACAAAAGCTGCTGGAGAAGAGTCTGAGGACTCTGTGAGATAGTGACGCGTATCATCAACCCACTGAAATGATGGATCACAAAGGCAATCGCCAGTATCAAATGACTCTGTCTATTCGCAACCTGGGCCGCAAAGTCCCAGAGGGCGACAGGGCGCCTTGGTGCATTGTCCCGGGAGGCGAAATATAGCCAACTGACTCGAGGTGACACACTCACCACGCTCCCATGAACCTCATCATGCGCGCCTGCCTCGCCTTCTCCCTCGAGGAATCCGCCGACTGACTCCCGCCCTCCGCGCGCTCGGCCTGTCCAACAGGGTCAAAGGAGAGAGATTGTCCGCCCCCGTCGCTGTCCCCGTCGCTGTCCCCGTCCCACTCTATGCTAAGCGCGTGCGTGCCCCCTCCCGACAGCACAGTCGCAAAACACACAGAGCTCCAATTCCCACTTCCCGGCGTCGCCCGCGATGGGCGGTCCCAGGCCTTTTTCCTGCTCAGTTTTTCCCTGGCAGCCCGAGTTGCCTGACTCTCTCCGCCTGCCGCCGCCAAGGCCGCTGCTTGATCACAGCGCTGTGCCCGTCATTCCTACGTATGTAACCACGACCGGCCCGTTGCTCGTGTTGCGGGTTGCGCTATGTCTACGAGGGAGATAAAAAAAAAAAAAAAAACGGACCCGGACGCGGGCTGCAACGCTCGCAGTGGTCCTCCCCCATCCGAGCCCCGGAGATTTAGCGGCGGAGGTAGTGAACGGGCGCGCCCGGGGGGCTGGATGGGGGAGCAAAACTTCCAAGGTTCTCTGGCACAGTGGGCCCTTTGCCTAATAGATAATAAATTTCCGAGCCTAGCGAACCCGACGACAGCTACTCTGCAGCATGTTTCGCTACCAGACAAAAAGAAAAGAAAAAAAAAAGCGCTGTGGAAATCAGTCATGTACGTACATACATCGTACGCCCCGTTCGTGCGTGCGTCCGGTAGCGTTGCTCGTCAATGCAGGTACGTGGTCGCATCGACCCAGTAGTCCAATGCCCGGTCTCGCTACCTAGGTAGTATAGCCAACGTCAAAGTGGTCCGCCCCGGCGGCGCTGAGAAAAACCGGGCAGGCTAGCGGCGTTCGAATGGATGTGTCCTGTGCACGCGCGAGAGTCGGTGTTGAGACAAGCGCAGGAGATTCTACGATGCTTTCTAGAACGAGATATGACAGATTGAGTTGCGCTTGATCCCGAACATCTGGTATTTGCATGCGCGCTTGGACGCACGATTTGATGCTCAACCCGGGGCCGGCGGCTGTTTGAGGAGAGAAGGGATAGCATTCCCCCACCCCCCCCGGTTAGCAAGCCGGCCTTGTATCGCCGGGAGACCTGTCCGCGCTTGTTCAACTTTGGTCTGCATATGTTTCGCACGTATCAGCACGCGAACACAGGGCCGTATTAGCACAGAAGAGGTTCGGCTGGTAACTACGGGCTTCGAACCGCCTGGGCATGTATTTCCAGTCAAAACACGTGGCCGCTCAAATTAAAGTGAAAATGAACAGACGTTGGCTAGCGGACGGGCCATGTCTCGCCAGAGCCTGTTGGCTCTGTACCAGGAAAGCACGGGCTTGCTGACAGTCAACCATGTGTGGCTGGCTGCAGTCGGCGGAGGGTCTGTGGTGAGGCACGGGGACAGCGAACAGGCACATCGCAAATGACAATAATCTCAGCAAGGACTAATAGATACCCGTAGACTCATGGTCATGGCGTCAACCTGATAAAGCTCTTATGAGCTACTCGTGGACAAGGCTGAAGTGCTCCTGAAGGACGCTCGTTGCAATCTCTTGCATCACGCCGTGCTCACAGACCTCGCCGACTTGGTGTCGCAAGCGACCCATTCCACTTGAACGGCTTCGCCTAATGCGTCACCGCAACCTGCGATGGTCTCGCTTTCCGCATGTTCGAACTCAGCTGGACAGTCTGGCTGACTCGATCATGGTGTCCAGGAACACGATGATCCGTGACAGCCCTGACTCTTCATCGGTGCCGATCTCGTGCGTCCCGTAAGGTGGACGATCAAGTGTCTGAGCGGACGACATCACCAGCCTTGCGCAGCGGCAATTGCGGTGAGGTCGTCAACGGGAAAGACGACTACTCTGTGCAGTGGAAAGTAGTATAGTGTGCCGCCAGGCCTGAGACTTGTCGCTAGCCGTGGTCGGTTGAACTATCACATCAGACTGGACCGAGCGGTGTCCGGAAACCCAGAAGCCCCCAGCTCAACAGCCCGGCCTGAGAGAGGCGGCTCACCCGCAGGGCTGGTTTTCCAACAACAGCGGCTCTGTGTCAAGCTAAGTACCAGTCATTCCGTCGCCAACTGAGAACTGGAGTGCCAATAAATATACCAATCGTGTTGACCAGATGAGAACAAGCTGTCTACAGGGTCTTCGTCCCACGCCAAGCACAAATACAAAAATGGTGCGCAAGTTGTCATTGAACCGACCCTGCCCAATGCCAGGGATCAAGTGGGCAGTAACAAGATAGACTGCGGCGAGCAGACTGAATACCCAGGCTTTAGTACGCCATTGCTAGACACTTGGTGTCGAATAGTGAGCAGAACAGCACTGGTAAATACAGGCTGGCACTCGCTGATTGACGGGATAAGGCATCTTGGTTTCCACCTTTAACACACTGCCGTAGCCTCGTTCTGATATCCACAATCAGCATAGCTCTTGACGTTGGCTTTTCATGCGGGCGCCGACGTCGAGGCTGCCGATGTTGAACCAGACTGGCCAATCAGTTCGGTACCGAGAACCAAGGCATATCCACCAGTCCAATGCTTCGGCTTATTAGGCGGTTTCAGAAGTCGATCTTCAGCACGACCGGTCTGGACGCACTGGGCAGGCACGACAAGGTCATCGGCCACGGGAGACTTCCGGCAGAAGGGTCCAGGGTCTATGATTGCCAAAGAGAGTCAATGGGATCCTGGTTGCTGTCGAAACAAAAAAGGCCCCTGACGACGAGTCCCTCGGGATTGCATTCGCAAGCGGCTCAGAGCCTAGCACTCCGCACATGTAATTGACCGGAAAGGGCGCCATGGTGCATATCATGGGAGCGAATAAGGAGAGATAGAGAAAACCAACAGCACGCTCAGATGCTGCAAGCATGAAGAGTCAAGAAAACAAGGGGACATAGAGACCAAAATCAAATTCTCCCAGTCCTCCAGTCACCGCTTCTTCTTGGGCCGCCCTCGGACTGGACAAGAACGAGCGAGAGGCTCAACTTACCTTCTGTCAGCGTCTCAGACCTCCCCTTGCGGTAAGGCCAGCAGCGTCTAATCAATGATCAAGCAGGACCTCAGATGGAAAACCGCCGGCTTGATCAGATGGGCGACAGACGGCTTGCCACCCGCCAAGGCACTTGCTCCGTCTTCTATCACAATGCAGGCGCGTGCTCATGGGAGCCACCCCGTGCCTGAAACACATAGGCCACGGTATATGGGATCGTCAAAGTTGAATTTCTGGGATACGCCCGAGTGCCTGAACCTTCTGCCGGGCTCTCGTCCATTACCAAGATGCCTTGCGTAAACGCCGATGGATGACCCTTCGAGAGTTCAGTCGTGGGGGATTTGGAGATCTTGGTCCGAAAGTTTAATCATGTGGCACACGACCTGACTTTTTGGCAACCATTCGGGCTTCCCGTACGATCGCAAAACGACAGCGCACAACTTGATCCCTCGGATCGCCCAAGCAGCTAGGGTATCTGATGCGTGTGTTGACTTGTTTCTATGCCAAGAGGCGGACGACGATCACCCACGCACTTGCGAGAGACTGCCCTGACAGCCGCCTCGCCTCTTGGGTCCAGAGGCTGGTACCGGAAGCGAGCAAGGTTCGCAACCTCGCAAAGCATCACATTGGCTGATCACCTCCGCTCACCGGCGTTTCTGCCGCCAGAGTGAGCGGGCTGACATGGCGACATGGCGACACCATGCCAGTCTGAGCCTCGACCGCAACGCCAATGTGATCGACGACAATATCCGCTAAAGTCGGGGCAAACCGACCAGAGGGGAAGTGTCTACGCTCCCTGGGAGCATCTCAAACAACAGAGAAGTGGGTGGCGAGCACAGGCCCGCCGTAGATCACCGTGAGCTCGTCGAAGACATGGGTGATGCCACTTGGGTCGGCTCATAGGCGCCAATGTTTGACTATTTCGAGCGAAGGCAAGGCGTCGGGGTGTCTGCACACGGGTGGTCTAGCTTGTCAGCAGGCCTTCTGGAAGAACTTGAGGACTAGCGTCGCGGTTGAACCGGTGGTGACAAGGCTGGTGGTGTTTCATGTACCTGACATGGTGAGGGGTAGTCACCGTCAGCCGTGACCACCCCCACCGGCGCTTGTTTGGAGTCCGCATAACCGTCTAGACGAATGCTTCAAAAGTGACCCAACTTTGGGCACATTGCACTTCCCCGGGTGTTCACTTCTAGTAACTAGTCAGTAAGTATCCACCGTGACGGCAGATGCAAGCAAATCTTGTGATAACTGACATGCAGGACTGGGCTGTTTTCGCGTTGGCAATGTCTCCCGGCATGGCTTAGATATTGCCTTTGGCCACCTGTGGCGTGTGTTCAGTACGGAGGGGTCTTTCTTCCCACCCAACCATGGCCCAGTTCATGCAAGGCCAACGGACGGCAGCATGAAAACATTGTTTTCCCCCGGCGCCAGGCGTATATCCAGCAGCAGGTGACCAGGGATCTTCGTGCACGCACGGAGGAGGTAGTGTGAGTTGTCAAGGGTCCATAGTTCATGGTGCTTGCCCAAATCTGGTGGTGGTGGTGATGGTGGATGTCAACGTTTCAAGAGATGCGATACAGATCGACGCTCTCGCCCTCGTGTTTCAGAACTCATAGTAAGTGCCGCCGAAAGGTGATAGATGCGGTGATCTCGTATCCCAGCAACGCCGACTGCGCTGGACTCGGCGAGAGGATGTTTCCTTGACGGTTGCATGCCATCTCAAACATGGGGAAGGAATACGCGCAGAAGTTTCTGGTCTCCCGCTTGTTTCGTGCTAGTGGGTGATGGGCGCAAGCTTCAGCTTCGTTATTGGCATGGTGTTTCGACCATATCTTGACGTGGTCAACGGTTCGAAACACTCACCGCTGTCGTTCACCAGCGAGATTGCCGAGCAGCGCCTGTCACGGTGCGTGAGGATCCAGCCAGAACGGATGCGAGCTGTGGGAATGATATCAAGTCGGAGCGTTTCATGGCAGCAGCGGGCGGGCGGGCTGACGGTCACGACCCGCAGACGGCACACATGCAGCGGCTCCGCGATGCGAGCAAGAGCCTGGTGGAACCAGGAGGAGCCGCTCTCCATGTGCAGTGGAGGTGCAGGCTAGGCGAAGGGGAAAATAAGATGGATGCCATCCGCATCCGCAGGAGCGACAGAGCGGCATCCGGTGATCACAAGGCTCGAGGGGTGCTATTCTTGTCGTCCATGTGGTGACCCGAGCGCGCAAAAAAGGTGCTCGGGCGCGATGAAGTCGGAAGTGGACAGGTGAAAATCTGCAAGTGCATGGACAGCACGCCCAATCACATTCCTGAAGAGCTCTCTGGCCAAGCAAAAGTGGGCGTGCATCAGAAGAGCCAGGGGTGCTCCGTAGCATGGCGTAGCGTACCAGTCTTTAAGCTTCTTCATCCCACTAGACTGCCTGCACCAAGGCTAGGGTCGTCCTGTCCCCTGGCCCCTGATGAAACCGCTCACGGGTGGGTCTATTCCTCCCTGGCGGGCAGGCGGTCCCGTTGACGAGAGCGACGCCGTTGTTGTTATTATTGTTGAGGCAGCAACAACGCCGGCGAGTGCCAGTTGGGCAACAGTCGGTAGCATTACCATGAGGGCGGGAACTGATACCCAAGAAGGGGTCAAGCGAGGTCACGCCCTGGCGAACGACTGGCCGGCGGGTGATGGGGCCGGAGGAGGAAAGGACCCAGACAAGCCTGCCATGATGAATTCGCCGCTGAGATTGGCGAGCGAGCCCCGGACAGCGAAGAGCGTGAGCGTGACGCCGGCAATGCTCAATGCACCAGCCTCTCTCTTTCCCGCTGGCACTCCCCATTGCCAAGTGCCCAACGCCCAGTCCACTCCCCCGGTCCCCTAGTCCTCCATTGCCTGTGCCCATTCCCACTCGCTGGCGGTGTCTTGTTTCGAACGGCGGCATCCAGACCAGGCAGCGCCCGTGTGCGTGCACGGAAGCTAGGCCGTGGGAACCGGTCAGCCTTGGTGATGCATTCCATGATCTTGGAGAGTTGCACAGATGGCCCAAGATGTGGGGGAGGCACTTGTTTGGCTCTGCCGTCTCGCCGGAGTGTTTAGTCTGATCAAGCAAGCGCCTCCCGAAATAGCATCGCTGCCGACACGTTTGGTCCCTGGGCATGGGAGAATCTCGTGAAACATTGTTCTGTGATATTCTGCGCACCCCGTTGGATTGCACCTGGCGGCACCCGTGGTGCCACGCTGGCCAAGGGAGGGAGGTGAAAACATCGTTTGCCAGTTGTACAGCCCGGCACAGTGCAAATGGCAACATCCAGGGGCGGTAAGAGACGGAGAGGAGAAGAGTGTACTGCTACGACCGGATTGGGCCATGGGCGGCTTGCATGCACCTTCATGCCCGTGGTCGTTCATGTACATACCTGCCCCAGGTTCCTAAAAGGTATGTTGATTGTTGCAGGAAGGAGCATCCAGCTGAGTGGCCGCCGGCATTAGCTGGTTGCCTTCCTAGATAGGGCACATGCTGTCCACGCAAGGCCGTGACGTTCAGACGACGCGGCGGCGGCGACGAGATGACTGCGTTGCTCCTTCCGCCCATGATGGACACAATCGGCCCATTCATCCGACTCGAGGAATTCCTCTTCATGGCCGAGCATGGGTTGGGCGTTGAGAGTCAAGAGTCAGCCACCACGCTGCAGAGAGGCCCTGGCGAACGTGCAGTAGCATGGTACTGCTCGCCCGTCGTTAAATTAGATGCGGTCTCCTTGCATCGCGTGTCAAGTTTCATGTCGTCAGTTGGTCTGGTCGTCAATCGGCATTATGCTCGGCAGGTGGATGATCAAACACTCGACCTTCTGCTTTCGGCTGGTCCTTTCTCCACCCCACTGCACCCGCACCTGCGCCCGCACCGTCACCTTGGGAGCTCTGATGCCCTGCATACGTGATGATATAGCTCCTGTCGTATCCTACCGTGTTCGTGCGGCAGAGCCGACACCCTTGAAGGCGGTGACGATGGTTACAATGCCGAGTTGGGACACCACGAGGCCCTCCTCCAGCGGCGAAGGATTCGGTCGATGCACGCCGCAGTAGTAGAAGCCAGGGGCTGGCTCTCTTGTTTTGACGCCCTGTCCCACATGGCAGCCCACAATCATCACACCCTCGTGACTAACTGGAATGGCACGCCCTGCATAGTCCACTGTGTAGTGCAAAATCTGGCAGTGTACTGTGTATATGCTTCCTGGGAATGCCAGCCGCCCAGCATCAAGCCTTATGCCATAAACAATCTCGACGGGAGCCAGCTGCCCAACCTACTGTAAAAGTTCGGCCCGGCCAACATTAGCTTCAGTCTGATATAGTCTCTCCTTGGCGGTATCACGAACTCAAACCCCGAACGACAAGGCTGGGGAAATTATTATAGAAAGTCTTGTCGTAGAAAACAAAGAGAGCACCTTGACCAAACAGCGGCTGAGAAGACCCTATCCCCAGTCGCTGCCATGGGTGGGCATGGTTTACCTACGCACCGGCAGCCACTTCCATGCGGGAGCCCTTTGCAGCCCAGCTTCTTCAGATGACCTCGAGGAGTGTAATTTGACATCACCAAGGGGAAGGTCTCCCATGTGGATGATGACGGCAGCCACGATGAAGTCATGCAAAACTTCAGGGTACTTTTCGTGGCTGTCATCAAGCAACCTTCATCACCACCACCGCCATCATCCTCATCATCATCATCATCATCATCATCATCATCATCATCGAGGCCATCCATCGCCTCCACCGAGGCCCCTCTTCCTCCTGCTTCCGAGGCTGGTTGATGTGTGGTAGTCAGCGCACAGGCACCGGGATGATGTGCCCCCATGGCCACCCTGCCTTTCTGCACGAACATGGTACGATAAGATGTATACGCATCAACCGCACCCAGATGCAGACACAGCGAGAGCGATCTCTCGTATCAACAAAACGTTCTGGACTCAATTGATGGAAGAAAAGAGTGGGCTTTGAGACAGGCGGGACGAGGGCACGACGTTGACTGGGCCAACCCTTGCAGTGATTTGGCCTAATGTCGTACTGCATGGTTCCACACTAGGTACCGTACCGTAGCACTCCGTAGTGCTACCGTTGGCGGTAGCGCCCTCCCACCTACCTGTTTGTGTGCAGCATTTTTCTGAAGCAAAGCGCCCTCTCCCTTGCCCGTCTTCCCCACCATGTTTCAGAGTTGCCAGGGCCCCCGAATAGGAAGCCATCTCCGCGCCCCTTCAGAATTTGAGGTGGGTGGGGTCCAGCCCGTCGACTCGCGGCAGCTCGCAGCACTCCCCGATTCGGCCTTTGTTCAAGCAAGCGAGGGCAACGGCCAGCGTCTCCTTTTGACTCTGTGCCGCTTGTTGCTGGCTCGCCCGTCCGCCGACGCGATGCGACGAGATGCGGGAGGCACTGGCATGGGCATGCCAAGCACACTACACCCATACAGCAGGAACCTGGCCAAAGGCATCCTCCACGTCGGGGATATCCAAATGTACACCTACCTGTTGCCCCACTGGACCAATACCAGACTCAGAACCAGTCCACGACCAGGACAGTGACCATAACCGGGGGATGTAGACAGACACACACGTAGAAGTCTCTGCCGGGATCGAAGTGAAGCCCTTCGGCCGTCGGAGGCATGACCACAGACACGCCAGTAAATGCCATTCCTGCTGCTCCTCCTCCTCCGCCGAATGCCCAGGCGGAAGGCAGCGAGGGAGGCGGTCACAGTTGCAAGGGTGGCCCGCCAACCAGCCGTCATCACGTCCGAGAGCATGGCACCTAACCGCATCTTGAGATGACTTTCCTCATCGGTGATGCTCAGTTTCAACTCGCGGAAGGTGGCAGTCTGACAATCGGCAAGGTTCAGAGCACAGGCCCGTCCTCGATGCGGCTCTGTTCATGATCTTCGCCAACCGCAAGGCAAAGATGTTGTCGATCAGTCGTGCGCAAGAATCAAGGCCTCAACCGTCCATCCGCACGGCTGGGCTGGCCGACCTCGACAGAGTTCAGACATCTCGCCACTTACGCCCCGGACTATGCCGATGCTAGCGAGCACAGTCCACTCTCGTTCGTCATTGCGTGGCGCTCTATTCCCACTGCGAGGCACCAGGGGACCGTAATCTTCTCTTCGGCCGGATCGAACCATTCTGGCCACCAACAATCCGGGGAAAGGCGACCTGCCTGCCAGTCTGCTCTTTCGGACCTCAGTCTAGCCTGACTGACGTCTAAGACACCCGACAAACTGCGGCCCACGGAGATTGGTCAGATTTCTCGGCTCGGGTAGAGATTCTTGTCATGAAGAAGGGCCGCTTTGTCCCACGAGAATGGTTGGACAACATTCGTCCCAAACACAGGCTCGGAACTGGGCGCACTAGATAATCCAGTTCATTCAAGTCGCCTCAAAACCTTAGCGACGACAGGGACAGAAGGCGACTTGCATGAACCACCACGACTTAACAGTTCAAAGAAGACGCATGCGAAACGACATCTTTTTTTACTTTCAACAGCTCAGACATGCTGCACAGAGATAAGATCTTTTTCCGCGTCTCTCTTGTTGCACATGCTGCTGGCTTTCTAGGACAGCTTGATGCGGACGTTCCTGACGACACAAGACTGACAGATGCCTTGGTCAACAAATCCAGCGGTTGCTCCTAGGGACTTGATCCGAAGATCCACACATCTCAAAGTGAATCGGTAGAGGAGGTACCAGTACGTTCCTCTGCAGCTATTCGTCCTTAGGTCTACCTAGCGATAGCGATATGCAGAGGCAGCATGCGGCGGGACTGCGATTGATTTGTGTCTGTTTGCGCGTGTAGGATGCACGCCTGGCGCCGACCACCCCAAGAAAGGGCAGACCCGCCCTGGGCGGTTCTTTTTTAAGCAACTTTGATGATTTTACGCTTATGAGACCGGCCAGAAGCGGCGGCCCGTAAGCTGCGAGATCTTGCTGGCCAATGCTCCTCAGATGTGCGACATTGCTCAAGATGGCCCCAGTCAAGCCAGCGAATAGCCTCAGAATCCCACCACTTCCAGAACTGCAGGCCAGAGACCAGTCCAATGGGAGCGTTGCAGCCGGAGGCAGGGGGAGGGCATTGGATGGGACTGCATCACCGCAAATATGCTTCTTTTTCCCGCCAGACTTTGTTTCTGCGCCTAGTCAACGTCTTTTCTGGACCGTGCTACCCAGAAGCTTACGAATGCTCTGTCCCAGAGGCGCCGGTGCTCGCCTCTCCTGTTTCCCTTACAGGCAGCCCAGCAGCCCGACCAGCATCCTCGTGCGGCACAAGACACGGATGCGATAGCCACGGAAGACAACCTAGTAACATGGACGTTCAGAAAAGTCCAGGCCATCGCTAGTGTGCGGGCACTTGGGACGTCCCTTGCAACTATGGACATGATCACCGATGACAGCTGCTCAACAAGCTGAGCAGGAGGATCTCCACTGCGCCCAGCCTAAGGAAATCGTCCTCTGCATCACTGTTCTGGACTGTGGCGCCAGGGCATCCATCTTCATGCGCGAGGACTTGATCCCATCACCCTTGTCATTGTGCATGGATGCGCAGGAGCAGCCTTAGCTTAGAGCGGCTTGGAGGCCAGGGAGGCTGGAGGTGATGTCCTGCTCCGTGATGAGACTCCCAGGCTCCCCTCCACCCCTTCACCCCACCGCGGCGCTACGAGACTCGCATTTTGCCTTGCTGTGTCTGCTGTCCCGTCCAGCGCGCCTGGTGGTAAGCTTCCTCGATAACCCCGGACGTACGTACCCTCTTGGTGCATACGGGTCCAGCCCAGGAGCACTGGCCATGGCGCCCCATCCCGCTGCCAGCAAAGCAATGCCGATGCTGCTGGAGATGGCAGACTATTAGACTTCCTCGCGACCGACTTACTCTTTGGCGTCTCCGAGATGGCTCCCCCGCCCAGGTGCGCCCGAGCTTGTATTGTTAGCCACCTGGTCGTGATCGCATGAGCAGCTACCTCATCGTCGGATTGCTATCGGCCCCGTCTCCATCGGCCCCGGCAATAGTCGGTGGTAGCGAGCACGGCCAGGAAGGCAACCTCTGCAGCGATCGGTTTTGCGAACCGTTCCCACCCCCCTGCTGATGTGCAGCCCCTTCGTCCACTTTTGCAGTCAGAGATATCTCCGTCTTGCAAGGCGCAGGGGACCAGACACGGGAGTTGAATGTGGGTATTGTACGGAATGGTCTAGGAGCTCTGCGCGGGCAAGCAGGCAAGCAAGCAGGCCTGCGAGCGGGAGTCAAGAGGCGCGGCCCCACCCCTGGATTGATGTCCGAATGACGGGCCCAGTGTTATGGTGGACAGGGTTTTGGGCACGCCAGAATCTCCACGACACTACTGCGCTCACGGACGGCAAAAACCAGTTCAGGACGAGCGACTACCACCCAGCGGCCCCGGGGGCACGCAGGGCACCCATGGCACGCCCATCATGCTGGACGTGTTATTAAATTTGTGTTCGGATTGCCTGGGTCATTCATTGTCTCTTCTGGGACACCAGCACGACCCTTGCATGGGAGACATGGGAGACATGGGAGATTTGCCCGTGCCGTCGCGCCCTCTTCCTCCTCTTTTGTCTCCCCACGGGCCCCATCGAATGTGTCCCCTTTGAGCATTTCCCTCCGTGGTAATAAGCTTGCGGCTGACAGCACGTCGGCAGAACCTAGGTAGCCGGCCTAATAGCCCCAGAGATTGGCAAAGTGATCAACTGCTAGTCATTCGGACCGGACACCGGATACTGGCCCCAGCTGCCGTGATGGGGCCCATGGACTGACATAACCACGGATTGACCAAATTGACTGACTGACTACCTAGGTCCGGTGCTGACTATACGTGCTCTACTTGGTAGCACCGGCAAGCTGTACCCGTATTTTGCATTCCATAACCTACCTTAGGTACACAGGTAGGGGTGCCTGCTCCAGGCCCCTGGGCCACAACTTAATCGGACGGGGGGCGATGAGTAGGCGAGCAGGCAAGTAGGCGAGTACGTGAGTTAAACTACTGAATACAGCGGACTCGAGTGGGCCACCACCACCTTCTTTGCCTCTGCCGGCGGTGTCAGCAAGGAAAGAGAGAAAAGCACCAGGAACCAAGACGCAGGCCCGCCAGACCAAGCAGACCAAGAAGTCCCATAAGACAGGGCAGGCAAGCCACAGTCTGCAGAGATGGTCACGTCGGCGTCGAGGTGCTATTAGTAACCACAGGCACCTTCACGTAAGAAACAAACCTGAACGCACAGCCAGGCCGGAATCTGCACCCACCAGGCCTGACCGCAGTCGACCGTGGGTGGCTCTCATCTTGTCCGTACTCCCTCCCCCCCCCCCCCCCCCGTCCCAGTGGTCCAGAGCGCACACCCCTCCCCCTACATGGCCAGGTACCCAGGTACCGTGCCAGGCCCATCCTCCCCCAAACCCCCCCTGGCTCCAAGGTTGAGGTCCCACCGTCCCGCGCGCACTTCTGACCAGTCATGGGCGTCTGGACCCTGGCCTGTCCGCCCCTCCGCATCCTTGCACCAGTCCACCCGTCCACCACTCTCCAGAGACCTGCACGACGAGGTACCTGCACGCGCATGGCCATGTACCCGGGCTGCTGTGCGGCCAGATTTGAAAATGGGAGCTGCAGCCCGCCCGAATCCCTTAAACCCCCAGGTCATCCCTCTTCTTCCCTCCCCCCCGATCCAGCCTGCGAATCTCTGCCAAATCTTCCTGTGCAAGACTTTCCTCTTCTTCCCTCTTTCTCTACCCTTCTCCTCGTGTCTCAGGAGGCTCGCTACTACCGGACCAACGGTATTTGATCTATTTCTTGGAGCGGCACCAACATAACCTTTTGGAAACCTCCCTCGCACTCGCCCGCTCCGTCTTTTTCTATTCTCCCAATTTTTTCTCCTTTTGCAGCTCAGCGCAGCTCAGCTCAGCTCGGCACACCCAAGCCAAAACACAGGTCGCCCGCATCCCATCCCATCGTTGTGTGTTGCCGCGCATCCCAGAGGCACATCACCTCCTCACATCAGACACTGGCCGTCGCAAAGTCTGTCCATCACCGGCCGCCCTTTAAGCTCATACCTTGCCTGGGTCCGATTTGACGAGCTTCGACAACCGGGAGCTTGCTTGACTGACCACTTGACTGTGATCTGATCCGTCTATCTTCACACACACACGCAATCGCCGGGCTATGCCATCGTGGTCGTCCCAATAAACAACTTAATTATCCTGCCAGCTTCCTTCGTTGCAGCAGTCAACAGCGTTGTTGGTCGACAGCCATTCAATTGTTTGTCATCCACAGCCCACATCCGACCGACGAGGGCGTGCATTGCACCGCATCACATCGCATCTGAGCTGCGGGTCGCTTCGGATATTGGCAGCACGGTTCTCCGGCGCGCTTCGAGGACATTCCCGACCCACAGTTCCCCCAATCCCAACCCCTATCTTTTTCCCTTTCGCGCTATTGCCTGTGCCTTGACGGTTCGGCCAGCGCACGCCCACCCACTAAATTCGCTAGACGCAATTGGTGGCCGACTCTCTGTACCTCCTGTGTGCAATTTATCTCCTCTTCACCCCCCCGGGCTGGACTCGATCATCACATCAATCAATCCTCACGTCAATCATCACCGTCCTGAACGGCAAAGCACACTCCCTGCTGTGCCCGACTCCGATCGACTCCCCCCAACGCCTGGCTGCGACACGAACCTGCACCCGACGATCATCGCGTCGCCTGTTCCCTTTGCTTGTTTCCTGTGTTTCAATTGGCGACGATCCGAACACGCTTTGGTGCCGTCTTGATCTTTGCGGATCTTCCCACCTGTCGCCGTCCAACCACGCCCTACTTTGTTGGATCCCCTCTGCATCAACAGTCCTCTCCGCATTCCAGAGGCCGGTCTAATTGAACAAGACGCTCCCGCCCGCGGCGCGTGCCCATCATGTACTCACAAGCAGGCGCAATGGCTGCACCGCAAAAACCAGAGACTTTTATGCTGAGCACAGAAGCTCAACAAGCACTGCCACACGATGCACAGGTTGCTCTGCAACAGGTTGATAATTGTATGCACCCTTCCTGGCCCTGCTCCCAATCGCGTGACTAACAGAGGCTGCTCAGTGAAATACTTTCTCATCTCTGCACCCGTCGACTGGCAACCAGATCAGTACATCCGACGATTTCTGCTGCCCACTGGCGAGTACGTCTCATGTGTGCTGTGGAACAACCTCTTCCACATCTCCGGAACCGACATCGTACGATGCCTGTCCTTCAGATTTCAGGCCTTCGGCCGCCCTGTCAAGAACTCAAAGAAGTTCGAGGAGGGCATCTTCTCCGATCTCCGGAACCTGAAGTCCGGCACCGACGCGTCCTTGGAGGAGCCCAAGAGCCCCTTCCTCGACTTCTTGTACAAGAACAACTGCATCCGAACGCAGAAGAAGCAGAAGGTTTTCTACTGGTACAGCGTCCCTCATGACCGCCTCTTCCTCGATGCTTTGGAGAGAGACCTCAAGAGGGAGAAGATGGGACAGGAGGCTACCACTGTCGCCGTCAGCGAGCCCGCCCTGTCCTTCCAGTACGACTCGTCCCAGTCGCTGTACGAGCAGCTCACCAAGGCCCAGCAAGCCAACTCCTCGTCCTTCAACGCCCAGCAGACTTTCCCCCCTTCGCAATCCACTTCGCCAGTCATGCGCGCCGTCGATGCCATGCCACCACCTCAGATGATGCCTCAGACTATGGCCCCTCTGTCTGACGGAATGGAGGCAATGGTCCCGTACGGAGCCATGTCGATGGCACCCCAAATGCCCCCGACCATGGTCAAGAGGGAGCCTGACTACAACCGAGTCCAGTACAACCAAAATGGTGTCCCAATCACTCAGGGCCACCAACGCCACGCATCGATGCCCGCGTACGGACTGGAGTACTCGCCCGCACCTTCGTTCGTCTCGTCGCAGTATGAGGACTACAGCAACCGTGGCATCTCATTCGAACCCATTACGCCACCTCAGCAGGCTTTGGGCATGTCTGCTGAGCCCGCATACATCGCAAACGAGGAGACCGGGCTCTACACTGCCATTCCTGACCACATGAACGGTGTCAATGGCCTGAACGGCATGATCCAGCTGCCCCCATCAAATCTGGCAGGGACCCAGTTCTCCCGTGGGTACGGCGCCAACAACGTCTACTCCGTGATTGAGGGATCGCCGACGTACAAACAGCGAAGGCGGCGCTCATCCATTCCCCCGGGAATGTCCGCCGTCGCTGCCGCCACTGCAACGGCTGCTGCCCAAGCCCAGCACCGTCCTTCGGATCTCCGACGATCTGTCTCTGCCTCGGTCGGGCCCGTCGCTGAGGGTGACGAGTCGCTTGGCAACTCCCCACCAGGGTTGACCTACAGCAACGTCTCCATGTCGAGCCAGCAGCACAAGGAGATGCTTGAGCTTTCTCGCCACGGCACTCCCCTCTCCACGGTTGAGGGCAGCCCCGCCATGAACCCAATGTCGCTTCAGCAAGAGTACCACCAGATGCCTCACGATGACATGGTCAACGGCCACATGGAGGAGCAGCGCCGAATGATGCAAGGCCAGAACGGTGTTATGCGTCGTGCCCGCTCTGCGACCGTCATGGAGCTTGGTCCATACCCCCAGAAGTCTCACTCCTGCCCCATTCCTACCTGCGGTCGTCTCTTCAAGCGTTTAGAGCACCTGAAGCGGTAAGACCGGAACAGCATTTTCTTTGTCAACACACGATCACCTTGCCGTGTATCTGACTAAACTTCCAGACACGTGAGAACACATACCCAAGAGAGACCCTACATCTGCCCTTATTGTAGCAAGGCATTCTCCAGATCAGACAACCTAGCACAGTATGCCCCGTCTTTCCTTGACTGCATTTCCTTTGTACTTTCTTTTGTTGCTACGAAGATGCGAGAAATCCTCATGTTGTGTGCGTGGCATGTTACCGAGACTAGCGAAACCCAAAACCAAAAAACCGCCGTCGTCACCACACAGCACAGGACACAGCACAACACATCTTCAGCAGCTCAAAAGGATACACGAAGCCGTACGAACAACAGAGACTAACGTAGCTTTCCGCGCAGACACAAGAGAACGCATGACCGCGGTGATGGTGCGGACGGTCTGAACCTCTCCGGAGAGGACGAGGAGGAGTACTCTGGTGAGGACCACATGGGCTCACTCGGAGATGCCTCGCCCAACTCGGAATCCGGCTACATCACGGCGTCGCTCAACTCTGTTGCCAACGGCACGCCGCCGACCTCGAACGGAAACTACGGGCCCTCGACCTCGATGCCCAGCACGCAATCTGGTTTCCACAGCCTCCAAACGCTGAGCCTGCCGATGACCATCAGCCAACCCCATACGGCTGTCATGATGTAATCTGAAAAAGGCATTTGAATGCCTTGCAACGCCTCCCTCCGGTTCGAAGGGTACTGTAAATTTATGGATATTTTGTTTATTTCACGACTTCATGCGAGGCTTGGGACGGAGGGTCACAGTGTCATTCCCGGATGAAGGGGCAGGCTTTCCTTCACGGGACACCTGGGCGTTTCCTTTGCGGGGGTTGCTGCTATGTTTTATTCATCATCAGGCGACCTTTTTTCTTTTGCTTTACCTCCCCCGCCGGGGAGTTCGTACTTTGCGTTCTACTTTTGGGCAGAAAAAGCACAATAGACGGGACTCGGGTGCAGCTCTCTGCGGAGCTCCCCGGAAAACATTTTCTGCATCATGGGTCGGCACCGAATGACTGGAAGTGGTGTATATAACTGTCTTCGGTTCATCGGGCGCTAGCAGATCGGGATGAAAGATACCAGTTGGTTGGAGACGAGACATATTTGTGCGTTTGAGGGACGAATGTTGAGAGAAGGAAAATACATGCACAACACCCACATGTGCTCATTTCAGGGTAGTCGCTTGTTCATACCAGTCAATACGACGAATTTCATACCAAATCATCAATCACATGGCATCAAATCGCATCACATCGCATCGCATTGCACCACAGTCCCCGAGTCCTTCGATGAACGGCCCTCTGTTGTATTGAGCGGCCTGTTCAGGCAGGGTCCGTCGTGTCCAGCCTGCCGTTGAGATGCCCGTCCAGTCGAGCTGCTGCACACTTTGGCCGTTCAAGCATCAGGGACACAAGAACGGCCCAGGCCTTGTTTCCCCGGAAGATGACGTACAGGACGAGCAGGCAAGTCCCGCAGATCTAGATCCGAAACAAGGTTGGGTCGACGTCCACGCAGCCCATCATCATCTTGTCACGCAGTCCGACCGAGGGCCAGTGGGAAAGTAGATACATATCTACCGCGGAAGGATTCTCGTTTCTTCTCGTTACTTCCACTTTCCGTCTTCGGGGGGCCTGCTGCCGCGGCCCAGCCTTGTTCCGCCGGAGAACCCTCGCGCTCACTCACTCAGTTTTGTCTCCCACCTCCTCTCACACGGTTGTAGACACTCAACTGCAGAGTTGACCAAGTTCAAGCCTTCGGCAAAGCTGGGAGGGTAAAATGGAATGAATGGAAATAAACTGCTGCATAAAAGAAATTTTTTCAATTTTTGCTGACTTGCCCGCCGTGCCGCATTATTGCGCCTCTGCCACTTTTGGTTTCTACAAATCAGCCGCGTTCGATCCCATCCTGCCCATGCGTAGTAAGCCTTAGATCCCTCTGAGGGTGCCGAACCTAAAAATACGGACCCCAAAAAGCCCAGCTCCCGTCCTCCTGTCGGCAACAGTCAGGCACGCGGGCTCCAAAAAAGGCAACAAGGTGTGGGTGTGTGTATGTATGCACGTCAGCTCTTGTGTGCAGTAGACGGTGTTGGTGGTGGTGATGTGAGTGGCTTGCTAGCCGCCTCCGCCCGCCTCCCCTCCCACCCCGTCTGGATACACATATACATTCACATGCACATGCACATGCAAGCTGAGTGTAACACTGCTCACTGTACAGAGGAAGAGGGGGGGGGCGGCAGGACCAGGGGAGAGGCATTCACGATACGCCAGGGCACACGGTGTGTGACCGGGCGGCCGGGCTGGCGGCCGGGCTGGCTGGCCGGCCGGCTGGATAAGCTTGGGTGAGGAAATTTTAACTCAAATCAGTGGGGATTTGCGCTGTGTTTCTCGCTTCTCCTCCACCGGGGACGCCGGCCGTGTAAGGCGCAGATCGCTGCTCCTGCTCCTTCCTCGGTTCTCCAGACGAGGTATCACGTAGAGGTGGTGGTCGGTACGCGGTCTTGTATATATGTAAGCTTGTGTCTGAGGTTGTTTGTTTCAAGGGCCGTGACCACCTTTACAGACAGGGAGAGGCATAGATAGAAGGGCCTTAGTGACCAAAAACCCAATGTGGGCAAAAAACGAACAATCCTCTTGGGAAGCAGACCAGCCTCGCTCGCTCACTTGCGGCCCCAGGGTTGACGATCCAGTGCTGCAACCCTGTGCTGCGCTCCCTTCACCTTCGCCTGCGGTGCTTCCCCTTCCCGCGAGAGTCGCCCATCCTCTTGCCCTCCATCTCCACCGCCCTGACGTCGCGCTTACTCAGCCGCAGCTCGCCCCCCTTCATCCTGCCCATGCCGGGCATGTCGACGGGCAGGTCCGATCCTCTGCCGCCCTTCTGCTGCTTCCTCTTCGCCTTCTTGCCGCCCTCGCTGGGTGTCTCTCTCTCGAGGATGATGCCGTTCTCCTTGGCCTCGCGGCGCCTCTTCTCCTCCCGCGAGGCCTTGGCGCCGCTGATGCCCTTGCGCATCGCCATGGGCATCTTCTGCTGCCTGAAGATGCTCCCCGCGGACCCGAGCTTCTGAAGCCGCAGGTCGGTGGTGAGGGCGCGCGTGCGGCCCTCGGCGAAGGCCTTGCTGGGGGCGTTGGCGCCCGAGCCGGCCGAGTTGAATGGGTTCGTGGCCGACAGGATGTGGGATTCCGAGATGAGCCTCTGCAGCTCGAGGTCGTTGGCGAGCAGCGATCTTGAATCCTCGTTCTGCGGGTCGTCGGTGCCGTCGCCGCCCTTCTGCTGCTTCTGTTTCGCGCGGGCCTTCCCGCCCACGGTTGAAACGGCGTCGGGCGGCCGTGAGGACAGGTAAGCACGCATCTCGCGCTTGGTCATGAGGGCGGTCTGGGGCGTGAGCGTAGAGAAGGACGGGGTGGGCCTGGAGTAGTCTACCACCTCGACCTGGTTGTTTGTTTCCTCTGTTTCGGACCCTGCCTCTGTTTCATCTCCCTCGCTGCTGTCGTCATCGCCCTCGCCGTCTGTGGCCGGCACGTGTCAGTACTACTGTAACAGAAGGATGAAAAAAAGAAGGAAAAGAAGGCTTGTTTCATCAGCCGGGGCCGCAGCCTTGGCTACCACCACCCACCTTCACTGTCGCCGTCGTCGTCATCCTCCGCAGAAAGGCCGTCCCACTCATCCTGGCCGTCCTCGTCTTCCCCAGAGTCAGAGGTTTCGGATCTCATGTCCTCCACCCCGGCCGCATCGTCCTCGTCGCCGGCTGCTTCCCTGCCCGCAGCAGACTTCCTCCGTGGCTTGGCGGCCGGCCTGCTCGCCTCGTCATCGGACCCCTCCAGAGGCGCGAACTGGGCCTCGAAGTGCTTCCTGAAGATGGCCTGGGCTTCCTCTAGAGCCGCAGCCGTGTCCGGCTTGGCGTCAACATCGGCGGCCTTGTCGGCCGGCACCCTTCGCTTTCTCTTGCCCAGTACCAACGTGCCGGGCGCCATTGTTCACTCTGCTCTGAACTTGATCGGCCTTGGCCTGACCGGACGCGGCCGTGTCGAGCCTTTTTTTTTTTTAAAAAAAAAAAAAAAAAAAAAAAAAAAAAATTCGCAGGGAATGAGTAAGTGAGTGAGTGATGTATCTGTACTGTAGCCAAGAAGTACCTCCCTGTTGAGGAGCCCTGGTGAGTTTTGTAGATGTTGGATGGTTGTGGTGGTGAGTTGAGAGTGCGGTTTAAGATTATTTGCGGATGAATTTTTTGATGGGTCACTCAGACTCTCAGTCAGGGTCTTTGATTGTAGCCGCTGCCGCCCCGGAAATTTCTGACCTTGGGGAATTTTAGCGGCCGTTATTAGGCGGTGCACAGGAACAAGAGCCGCAACTGGCGCCCCGCAGCAGCCTTTCAGTGGCTGCGACTGAGAGCCTAGCGCCTGCCACCCGCGCTTAGAGTGTAGAACTCATCTCATATCCATCTCGATATGGTTGAATGTGCTGCAACAAGACCTCAGTGAGAGCGCCACATTCACAATACACACACAACTAACTCACCACCGCCTCCCCCCACACACCAGAAAATGACCATCTTCCGCCCCTGCATAGACCTGCACTCGGGCCAGGTCAAGCAGATCGTGGGCGGCACCCTCGACGACAAGACCCCGGGCTCCCTCAAGACAAACTTCGTCTCGCCTCACCCGCCCGCCCACTTCGCCGCCCTCTACCGGGACAACAACCTCCGCGGCGCCCATGTGATCATGCTGGGGCCCGGAAATGCCGAGGCGGCTCGTGAGGCTCTGGCGGCGTGGCCCGGTGGCCTGCAAGTCGGCGGCGGCATCAACGACACCAACGCCGCCGAATGGATCGCCGCCGGCGCTGACAAGGTATGCTGCCGGTGAAAGATCAAGAATCGTGCCATCCATGAGTCGGGGGAAACAGCTATTTAACAAGTCTGCTCAGTAGGTCATCATCACGTCCTTCCTCTTCCCCGGCGGCAGGTTCAGCCAGCCCCGCCTCGGCGCCGTCCTCGGCGCCCTGGGCGGCGACAGGGAGAAGCTCGTCATAGACCTGAGCTGCCGCCGCCAGCAGGGCGAAGCTGACGCCGAGCCGAGGTGGTTCGTGGCCATGGACAAGTGGCAGACCATCACGGACATGGAGGTGAACCAAGGTGAGCAAGCTTCTCTTATACTTATACACATCCATGCGTGTATATGTAAATACACATACATACTGCTCACTTATACACAAAGCTCACATTTAGCCTCTACACAGAATCCATAAAGCAGCTGGAGCCCTACTGCTCAGAGTTCCTCATCCACGCCGCCGACAACGAGGGCCTGCAGCGCGGGGTCGACGAGCATCTCATCACCAAGCTGTCCCAGTGGTGCACCATCCCCGTCACCTACGCTGGCGGTGGCCGGAACCTCCAGGACCTCGACAACGTCGCCAGACTGAGCGACGGCACCGTCGATCTGACAATCGGCAGTGCTCTGGACTGCTTCGGTGGCAGCGGTGTGAGGCTGGATGAGTGTGTTGAGTGGAACCGGCGACAGGCAACTTCCTAAGAATAGTTGGGACGGGACATGCACTACCAACATATTCAAGTGCCTCAAAATGTAAATACACACATGCAGTGAGTGAGTGCCTTGATGGATTATCGCTCTCTCGTTCTCTGCTGGAGCGATGCTGTCTCGCTCACTTGAGTTTTGCTCAAATATCGTACATTGAAAGCCACCGCTACCACACGGGTTGGGCCGAGGAAAGTACGGGGCAGGAACAGAAGATATACTCCCACCCAAGGTGAGGAAATATTGCCGGAATACAATTCCAGCCATCAAGCACAAAACACGAAACCAACTCCAGACCCAGGTGCCTCTTCACCCGGTGAATACCCCTTCGCCTTCCTACCCTTCGCCGGTTCCTCCTGCTCGTAGCCAAATTGCTCTCTCTCTCTCATCGTGCACCTCCCCGCCGGGCTAGTGAACGCTGAAATTCCCGAACGCTGCCCCCTCTTATGATTATACCCCGGGGATCAACGACAACAGTGGCACGGGGCATGTGTGCCAGAATGAGTACAAAGCGCATATTAAAATCTCCAGACCAATGAAGCGTGACAAAGCGAAAATGATCTTTAGCAGTGAGGGCACAAGACTCTTCAAGACGTCTGTGCGCTGTCGGGGGTGTTCGTTTCATGAGACGCATCAAGTCGCTTCCATAACTCGTCAAGTCTTTTCTTCAACCTGTGGACGGCAGCAAGACCAGCTCATCCTCAAACCAGGCTGCTCTTGGTTCGGCCATGACTGGGGCGTCGACCCTCAGCTCGGCGGCGTAGTGTATCTTCCCGCTTAAGGACGAGATCACACCACTTGCCCTTGGCCCGGGAAGAACCAACGAGGCCGTCTTCGTCATTACCGAAGTTGTCACGGCCAATGACATCCGACAGGACCTTCAACCAGCCTTCCTTGTCCTCGGGGCTGTCGGCGTAGAAGTCGATGATCTCGCCGTTGTTGAATCGGACCCGGAATCCCTCCTCCACGAACATGTAAGCCTCTTCCTCCTCGGCAAAGGCTGACCGGCGACGCTTCCCGTTCTTGCCGGTGATCTCCTTCTCAGTCAGGGCTCTGCGGTCGTCGATGAGTCGCTTGGCATTTGCGAGGTTGATGGTGGCACGTGGCTGCCGTGTGGCCTCATGGTACGCAGTCAACTTGGTGCCAACAAGCTTGAAGTAGCGGCGACGCCAGTACTAGATTCATGGTCAGCGCAGTCGACATGCACGTGGCAACGGGCGAACTCACTGGGCAATCTCCACCTTGTTGGCTCAGATGTCCCTCCCAGTTGCGGGATCGGCGTTCCTCGGCAGCCTTCATCTCACGGATGCAGGAGTTCATGCTCTTAGGCATGTCGTCGTCGGTGGCACCCTTCGGTCTCGGAACGAAGAGGAGCTGGAGCTCGAGCTTTCCGATCTTGTACGGGGCCTTGCGAACAACAGAGGTACTACCTCGCTTGCTCTTCACGCTTGAAGCGAACCCGGCCTCCTCTGTAGCCCACTCGTTGAAGCAGGCAACGTCAACCACGTAGGGACGACCAAAGCACCGCGTTTCGTGCTCCTTGAGACAGACATAAGCACGAGCAAAGCTGCCATCCTCGGCGGCCAGAGGTGAGAGAAGGTCCCAGGCCGTGGGATTGGCGGCGGTCTTCCTGGCGTTAGCTTCTCGCTGTTGTCGAGCGAGCCGCTCATCTTCCTCCTTCTGCCGCAGCTCCATCTCCTTGCGCTTCTTTGGTGACGCAAAAACACGGCTGAAGGTCGACGTCTTGGTCTTGCGCGGTGAGGCAGGAGATTGAGCCATCCGCTGAGGTGGGGGCCTCTCCAATTTGACGTTCAGGGTGAGCTGGAACTCGAGGTCATTAGGGACGACCAGTTCGAACTCCTGGCCAATGGGGGCATTTCTCGCCAGCTCGAGCCATGCGGTAGTAACGCAATGTACACCGTTGTCGAGGGTAAGGCTGAACCAAGTGCGCTCGTCTGAGATCGTTAGCATCGATGTCATTGATGGCCGGGGTATGATGGCTCGCTTACTCTTGGGCATGGGCAAGTCAAGATCCTTGACACCCATCACCTTCACAAACACTCTGCCTCGCTCACCGCTCTCTTCGGCTGAGATGTCTGTACTCGCGTCTTCCTCTACCAGCGTGCTCATTGGGGCAGCGTTGCTTTCCTGCCCGGGCAACGGAGGGACCGGGCCATTACTTGTGTGTCTCTTCCGGAGGCTCTTCTTCCTAATCTGGCCATTCCAAGGTTCGACAGTCCATGACTGGGGCCGTGTCTGCTTCACTGGAGAGTTGCCAGCAGAGCGGGTGGAAGGGCGCAGATCTTCGTTGTCTTTGTCGCTCGCTGCGACAACCTTGGTGTTCTGTCGCATGAGGTAGCCTCGCTGTTTGCGTGAAGTAATGTTAGCATTGATTGAACATTGCTTGGTGAGTCTGGCGCTAGACGCTTGTCTAGAGATGTTCCGACTGGGGGTAGTCGAAGCCTGATGAGGGGGAAAATGTTGAAAAGCAACCTTTTGTGCTTCGATCACTCGCTCAAAGTCCTGGTCGAGACTGAGACCAAGGTCAAGGTCTAGAGTGAGACTGCGACTCTTGAAGCTGGGGTGTCGCTGCATGTACTCGTCGCCCGTCACGTCCGGGGCAAGATGCTGCTCGGAGTCCATGTCTCGTGACATGCGATTACGATGGCGGTCGGGAATCTGGGGGATGTTGGGCACCTCGCAGCTAACTTGGCGTCTCTGCTCCCTCATTGCCGCAATGTCGGAGGGCGTGGCGGAAGGGCGAGTCTTCAGTCTCGACCCTGCAGCAGACTTGATGGTGGCCACAGTCTCGGGGATTGCTGGAGAGTTTCGCTCTTCCTCTAGCTCCTCCTCCTCGTCATAGGATGGCAAAGGGCGATGGATGACAGAGTCTGGCGTCTTAGGCTCCTCGTCGTCCTCATCGGGCTCACCCCAACCGGAACCATCGTACTCTGGCTTGGACAGAGTAAGCTTCGGTCTGAATGGGCTCTGCAAGGCGGGCACCTCAGTCTCCTGGGGGGCATCAGCCTCATCGGGTTTCGGAAGCATAAATGATTGCAGATCGTCAGTAAACGGGTTATGCTTCTGGTTGGTGGGGAGTTCTGGGAGGTCTTTCTCCGTGATGGTATCGATCGATGACTCTTGTTGCGTAGGAGATGCAGCCCGAGGCGTCGTCAATTGCTCTTCTTCTGACTTCTCCTCCTGAGGAGTGGGTGGCAGGTCGGGACCAGAATAATTGCTGCTGGAGTCGTCGACCTTCTCAGCATCATCCTTGCCATCCTCGTCGATGTCTTCGACCCCAGACTCAGAGCGTTGATAGTAGTCTGTGATCGACATGTCATCATCTTGCTCGTCTTCGTGATGCAAATAAGCATTGTGATCGATCTCGTCCTCCGCCGAGTCTTCTGTGCTGGGAATAGGGACGTCAGGGTCCAGAGGAAGCGGACGCTCGGGGGAGCTTGGTGGAGGTGAAGAGAAGTTGTAGTCAGATTCCCGCTCTGACGCCTGATTACCATCCACGCGGCGCATGATAGATTCGCGGGAAATCTTTGCCGGTAGCTCGTAGTCGCCCAACCCTGACAGTTCTGGGAGAGTGTCATCCTCCTCGGCTGAGATCAATGGATCGTGAAGCTCGACTTCTGGAGTCTGACTATCCGCACGGTCACGAGTGCCGGCCCGTCTCATCCTTCGCTCTCGCTGTTGTTCAGCGGCTGATTTGCCATCGTCAGAGAGCATCATGAGCTTGAGTCGTTCTTCCAGTGTCATCTTGCCATTACCAATGTTTTGAATGTCAGATTTTGAGAATGAAGATGCAGGAGGGGGAGACGGCAAGGTCCGCGAGGACCCAATCATTCTCTCAGCGGTTGCGGAAAGTGACGAGTTTGAGTTCCGTCTCTCACTAAACATGCCTGGAGGAGGGGGCAGAGGTGGCAAGGGCCTGTGATCACCATTGGAGTTGCGTGAATCTGTACGATCTTGCTGTGGGATTTCGCCAGCAGGGAAGTTGTGAAAGCCATCAAGCATGGGGCCACCCTCGAGAACCTCGTCCATAGGGTTGGCCATGTCCTGGCGCCAGTCGTCGGGGAGAACGACGGGCGTCTTCACAGTGTCCTCGAGAGTTGCGTCAAAGCTGTCATCATGGTCGTCGGCTCCCATGAAATAATGCTCTTCTTCGTCGTCGTCATCGTCATCCTCCGAGTCGATGCTGCCTTCCCGAGAACTCGAGGCGATGGATGAGATGTCCGGAGTGGCCATCTCATACTCGTTAATCTGAGGGGGTGCATTGTCGAACGTGACGCTCTTGGCATGACGATGGAGGGCCATTCCGGATGGCAACTCACGATCTTCATATGACGACCCCGAAGAGTTGAGCTCGTTGTCGACGTCGAAGCTGTTTTTGAACCGGCTGGGTGCGAGGGAGGACTTGGTCGGGGACGCCTGGTCCCTGCTTGCTGGTCTTGGGCCGTTTGGCGGAGAATTGCGTGTCAAGGAAGGAGAAGTGGACAGTGGAGGAGGCGACTTGGTTGGGCTGTATTGAGGGATCCTGGTCTGGCTTTCTGATCTTGTGTGGGCAAAAGCCTTGTTGTCACGATATCCGCTGATGCCAGTCCCGCCAAAGGCATTGCCTTGGACTTTTGAAAGCGGCCGCTCGACCTGGGGGACCCTAGTCGGGTCATACTCTTGTTTCTGCTCGAGGGCGAGGATGTTGCTGTTCTTGACGCGTGAAGCCTTCTGCAGGCGCTCGATGGAGGATCGGCGGGTTGGCGACGGCGAGCCTGAGCCGTATGTGCTGTTCTCGTTGTTCCTACTCTGCCAGAACAGCCGAGGAAAGGCCTTTCCGTCCAGCGGGGAGCTGTTGAACGGTGACGAGTCGGTGTTCAAGGACATCTTCTGAGGCGGTGTGTTAGTGCTTGCGTTCCCACAGAGAACACACAGGACGCGGATGAGAGAGTCTAGAGGCTCACCTTAGTCGCCTCCTTCCAGCTAGGGGAGTTCCTTCGCTTCTCGGAAGGAGAAATCTCAGAAAGAGGGCGTGGAATAGCACTCGACATCTTGGGAGGAGAGCTGCTCTTGGATAGGCGCAGGGGTTGTACCTGTGGTTGTTAGTTAGTTTTGTTGATGGATCAACAAAGTGATGCGCGACGCTAGTGGGGCGACCCGTCAGTGAGGACTCACAGGATCCGACGAGGCCATTTGTTCGTGCTCTGAGTCCATCCCCTCAAATCATACACGGAAAGGAAAGAAAAAAAAAGACGATGTCGAATTGCTGTCGTGTCCAAGTGTGTTGGCGGTTGTGGGCTAGAGGAACCGATTCGGGGAGGAGATATGTACGGACCTGTAGGCGGGCGGAGTGTGCGAAAAGCGGTGGCTGGTTTCCTGCAAGCCTGCGGCAGCTTGGTGGAGAGGTGAATGACAGGGCAGGGCAGGGCAGGGCAGGGCAGCAATTGAATGGTTCCGAACGCAATTACGGCCCTCGAACAAGACGGTCTTTGTCGGGGAATAAGATTTAGGATGATCCCGTCTGCAAGACGTGAACGGTTGCTGAGGACGAAGTGGTATATCGTGAGATGCTCATGCCATGTTCCTGGTTGCCAGCGAAAGGAGGACGACCCCCGAGAATGCAACCAGAGGGTACCGGGCAGCTGAGGATGGAAGGAAATGCAGTCGACGCGATGCGATACAGAGGGAGAAAGGGATGAGGTGGAAGAGGACTATCTCTCTCAGCTCTGCTGCCTTTGCCAGGAAATCGTAGACATGTGGTTTTGAGGCCCGAGTCGCACTTGCTGGGTTGCAGGTAGGCGCGATGGCTGTGAGCGGTTACCTGATTGGCTCGCCGCATGGTGTAAGCTTGGGCGTCGATCAACAGCGAGGTGGTTGCGGAGCAACTGCCCCAGATAGTCGGGAAAAAGGTGGGAAGCTGGGAGGGCTAGGGTCACGGAGCAGTCACTGCACGCCGGTTGGCAGTTGCTAAATCTGGCACTTCCAAGGTCCAGCGGGGATTTGCCAGTGGCCCCCTGCCCTTCAGCAGTTCATGACGGCACAACAGCACAGCACAGGTCTGGGAACCCACGTCGGGAAGGCGGATGTGATGACTTCCCCCAGCCTTCCAATGTAACCGACCAATGTCTTCCTCCAATTGACTTGAAGCCAGAGGGAGGACAAGGTCATCAACACCGTCCTGAAACTTTGAGACTTGCAAACTCTACCCTACCGCTCAGGTTTTGTTGAACCTGATGAAGGGGCTGGGCTGGGATGGGCTGGGCTGCTAGGTGATCAAGTCAAGTGACGAGACTGATGTTCTGTTGTTGCTGCCCACTTTGCTCTCCACTGGGGCGGGCAATCCTGATCCTGATCCTTCCTGGAGGAAGACGGAAAAGTACGTCGACAATGTATCCTGCATCCAGACGGCCAGAGGCACAGCAGGACCCACCGTGCCCGCGCCCAAGTCCCGCTTCCTGCAGGTGAGTGGGCGAGTGGGCACTCTGCAGCCTGCAATCCGTCATGATCTCGACATCCAAAGAAAAGACAATACTCTTGTTTACTCGGCACTGTCCCTCGTCTCACCATGGCAACACCCACTTGCTTGCTGCAGGTGCACCGGTACTACATTGGCAGATGCCGTACATTAATCTATCATGTGCCACACAGCTTTGAACTCATGGCGCACAGCGTGGTGTCCTATCAACCTGGGCAGTTGTTATGACCCGCGCAGTCACAAGTGTTTTCCATTTTGGCCTTGCCGTCACCATCTCCACCAAGGAGGAGACTTGATGCGGATGGGGAGATGTTATATATGACCAAATCTCCATCCTCCGTCGGCGGGAGCTAGCAGGCCTCGTTTCCTGGGTCGATCCTACAGTACAGCCGTCTACTCAGAAGGACGGCGCCCCCCGGGTTGCGGCTAGCCCCATCAGCCACTTCGGCACTCAGCCGTACGCTGCAGGTCTCCACGCTGTCAAGGCTGTTCAGATCAGCTGGAGGGATCAGCATCGAGGCAGCAACCATGCAAGCCAGTCCACCAGTCCACTATTGTAGACGTCGAGTGTGCTGCCTACACGCACAAGAAGACGCAGAGTCTCAGTCCTGTGATCTCTCGACCGAGGCAATCAACACCAACCAGACAACGACGAAGTTTTCGGCGAGCAACGCGGCACGAGCTTTCTGTTTTGCGAAAATACCGGAGGCTGGGACTGGTTCCGCGGCAAATCAGGCCAGCTCAAACCCGGCAGCCGGGACCTGTAATTTTGAGACATCAGGTCTCTGCCAACCCCGGCGTCGAGGGGGGGCCCCACGGGCCTGGGCCCAGAAGCAATCGGAAAATACCCAGAGGTGACACAAAACTCCAAAGCCTATTCGATTAATGCCATTGAGGGAAGCCTCCTGGCCGCGCAACACGTTTCTGTCCATGTGTCTAGATTAGGTATCCCACTCACATCCAGCCCAGAGACATGTCACAGCCATGCATGGGTCTATTGTCTTACTAGGTGACCTGTTTTCGGCCATTTCCCTTCTCCAGGACCTAGGCCACAGGTAGGCATATGCACGGCTTAATGCCGCAGCTTCCTGTGGTGCGACATGCCCGTGCCGTCGGACCCGTGCCTTGGACCGCCACCGCGGCGGCATTGTTCAATATAGAGGTAGGCAGGAAACACGGCGGGAGAAAAGAAAATTGTTCTGCTCGCGTCAATGCACTGTTGCAGCACAGCACCTAGCTCATCACGCCTTTGGCGCGAAGGCCGACGCTCCGAGCCGCTCTCTCAACTTTCCGCCTACATGAAAATGCCCACCGGCACGCATGCACGCCCCAGGCCCGAGGTACAGGCAGGCACAGACCTGGGCGGGATGTCGTGCATGGCCTGCGAGCGTCTTCATGCCTTCGGCGCCCGTGGTGCAGTGCATACTGCCCAGTGCAGAGTCTGTAAAGTATGTTGGCCACGGACAATCTTCGCGCCCAAACAAGGTTGCTCTGTGTGCCCATCACCGGGTGTGGTAGGAGCAATTAATGCTTACCACATCTGTCAATCCAATTCCTGCTTGTTGAGGACGCACAACCTACGTGCGAATGCGCAATCGGGCAGGGGCAAGTGTGTCAGAAGGAACAGAAAGAAGGGAAGTAGAATGCCGACCAGGCCCGCTTGGATTTGCGCTTGCTGGCTTGCTGTCTCATTCCCGACTAAGCGCAGGGATTCAAACCAGAACCTTGGAATACGGTAGACACAAGCTCCCCTCTGGCACTGAGAAAAGAGCACCTCGAACAGAGGCTATACTTGACAGGAGGGCAAGAATTGTAGACACAATGCATATGTTGATGATCAGAGTTATCGTTAGACATGAGAAATTTTTCATTTCGCCTTCTATGAAACGGTGCAAGTCTTGGCATCAAACACCATATAGAGACTGACAGTATAAGGGAATAATTAGGGTGCCTCCTTTACCCCAGGACACCTCGTGTGTATAATCACCCTTGGGATAGTGACAGTCTCTCCTCTGGTATCTCCCTTTTCCCGGACCCGGTAAGAATAAAAAACGACCCCTAGACGCCAGCCGATTGATCATACAATGCAAGTCTCTACTCGTCTTCTTCTTTTATCTGTTTCTGGGCGAGATACCAGCGGTTGGAACCGTCGTCGTCCCTCTCATGCTCAATGGCCACCTTGGACAGGTGCGTGAGAACGTTCTCCATAAGCGTGTCGGATGCGCTCCTCTTCTTGCGGCCGAGATTGTCGAGGGTCTCCATGCCGGTCATGACGTAGTACACGATCGCGATAACGATTGTCACGGCGATGGAGAAGCACCACACCACCACGATAGTGACGATGTCCGTCCTACCGTTGGGGTCCGAGGCGATCTCCGGCACGGCGGGGATGGTCGAGCTCTCGCCGCCGGTGAACCAGCCGAGCGCCGCGAACAGGGTGGCCAGGATGTCGACGCCGAAGATGGCCGCCACCAGCTGGAAGGACGGGTACGTCTCGAAGCCGCGCGTGACGAAGATGAGCCAGTTCTCCGTGAGCGAGATCTCGAGGAAGAGGATGCCCTGCACGGAGCCGTAGTTCTGGATGACACCGCCGCTGGGGAGCCAGAGCGTGCCGCGCAGGATCCACGTGCCGATGGCGAGGAGGGCGCCGAGGACGATGGAGATGATCCAGATCTTGGGCAGCTGCCACTCGACAGGGCGGCGCTCAAAGTGCGCGTTGTCGTAGGCGACGGCGATGGTGGCCAGATCGGCGAAGAGGGCGAGGAACACGATCAGGTCGACGCGGACGGTCTCGTTGATGGCGATCATGGAGGTGACCAGGTACAGCTCCAAGTGCAGGCAGAGGGCGATACGGTATTGGATGTAGGCCTTCATGCGCTGGAAGATCTGGCGGGAGATCTTGATGGCCGAGACGATGGTGGACAGACCAGGGGCGAGGAAGACAATATCGGCAGCAGCCTGGGCAGCCTCTGTGGCACCCTCGACAGCGATACCGCAGTCGGACTTCTTCAGGGACGGGGCATCGTTGACACCATCGCCAGTCATAGCAGTCAGATGGCCACGCTGTTGCAGCATCTCGACGACCTTGTACTTGTGCTCGGGGAAGACCTCAGCGAAGCCGTCAGCACGCTCGCAAAGATCGTAGATGGAGTTCCCGGCGAGGTCGGAGTGGAGCAGCTTGTCCGAGTTGTACACCTTGGTGCCCAGGGCAAGCATACGGCAAGTCTCCTTTGCGATGGCGATGGCGTCACCCGTAAGCATCTTAACCGAGAGACCAAGGGTCTGGGCGTCGGCGATGGTCTGCGCGGTATCCGAGCGAGGAGGGTCGAAGAGGGACAGCATACCGAGCATCTGCCACGGGCCGTCGGCCTCGCGAACGGCAACGGCAAGGGAGCGGAAACCGCGGCGGGCGAACTCGGTGGCCTTCTCCTTGAACAGGGTCTTCTGCTCGGGCGAGCAGTTGCTGATGGCGAGCACGGCGTTGGGGGCTCCCTTGCAGCACTCATAGCGGACGCCCTGGTAGGTGCAGATGGCGGTGATACGCTTGGACACGGGGTCGAAGGGCATGAACTTCTCCGTCGTCCAGCCCTCGGAGATCATATCCTTGGCCTTGGGGTATCTCTTCAGCGTGAGGATAGTGATCTTGTCAATGGGGTCGAGGGCCTTGATGTTGTGGCTGGAAGCAAGAGCAGCAACGGCCATCATCCAGTTGACGTCGACTCCGTCCATCAGGAACGGCTCACGGACCGAGAGCTGGTTGGCAGTCAGGGTTCCGGTCTTGTCAGAACACAGGATGTCGACACCGGCGAGAGACTCAATGGCCGTAAGCTTCTGCACGATGGCTTTCTCCTGGGCGAGGTAGGCAGCGCCGACAGCCAGGGTTGTGGTTGTGACGACGGGCAAACCGACTGGGACACCAATGATGAGGAGGATGAGGACATAGTGAAGCAGGTTCGTGGAGTCCTCGGCTTCGCCAACAATGCTCAGGTTGCGGTAGAAACCGCCAATCCAGGCGGCGAGCATGAAGAGCACGACGAGGACCAGGAGCGCGGTTCCGATGGAGTTCATGATGGCCTTGAAGTGACCTTGGTCCTGAGCACCTTGGACGAGAGAAGCGGTCTTGCCGACGAAGGAAGACTGAGCTCCACAGGTGACAACACCGTAGGCCTTGCCTCGCTTGCAGCCGGTGGTGTAGAAGACGACATCAGTCATGTACTTGTCGACTGCAAGAGACTCGCCGGTGATGGCAGATTGGTCGATGGCGACGATAGGGTGTCCGATGTGGGGGGTTCCCTCGTCGTCGTCGCCCTCCTCGAACTTCTCCTGGCGCGGGGAGCCGACGTCCTGTGCCTGTAGCTCGGTCTGCTGGTTGTCAGTGACCTCGCTATTCAATTCTGTTTCGAGAGGTGTCATACCTTGTACTTCTGGAAGCCCTCGGCACCCTGCTCGTAGTCGCAGATGAGTCTGGTGTCGGCCGGTACAACAGTGCCTTCTTCGATAACGACCTTTTCTTCTGTTAGTCACGACCAGAGTGACTGGGAAGTCTGCGCAACTTACAATATCGCCTGGTACAAGTTCTCGGGCCCGGATTTCTTGTTCCTGGCCATCGCGAACAACACGAGCCTTCATGGCGATGTCTCCCTTCAAGCTGGCGACAACGTCGGCAGCCTGCTTCTCCTGATACCAACCGACGATAGCGTTGAGCAGCAAGATACCGATAATGACACCGGCGTCGATCCAGTCCTGAAGACCAAGAGCCAGGATAGCTGCCGCTTCCATGACCTAGTGGTGGAATTAGCAAAGAGTTTGAGTGCTGTACGGGGTAAGTTGGGTTCTCACGTAGAGAATGGGACCACGGAAGAAGCCAATGAACTTGATAATCATGTTCTCCTTCTCCGTGGTCAGTTCATTCCAGCCGGCGCTCTTGCGCCTCCTCTCGACCTCCATGTTGTTGAGGCCGTCCCTGAGCTCGGTGTTGAGCCAGTCCGTGGGGGTGACGAAGTCGCTGAACTTCTTACCCCCAGCAGCACCGCCTCCCTTCCACCATGGCTTCTTTTTCTCGACTGTCTCCTCCTCGATCTCGACCTCGGCGTTGGGGTCCCGGTAGGTGTCGATATACCGGATCAGACTGTTCGCTTGGTCAGGACGTCGTTGGACTTCATGGTGAACTTTGTGACTTACGCTCTGTATTCATCCATGTACTGAGCGCCACCGCCCTTGGGGGCACCGACATCCAGGTTGGAGTACATGTTCTGGGTTTCCGAGAGGAAGTTCCCCGCCTCCAGGTCATCATGGTCCTCCTGCCTCAGAGGCTGGGGAGCATGAGGGGTACGGTTCTTGCCGAAAGCCATAACCTTCTTGAAGTTCGGAGCCATATGCCCGAAGATTACAGGCCAGCTGTAGAGAAGAAAAAGAACAACAGAAAAAGGCGGGAGGAAAGGGAGAGGAGAGGAAGGAGAAGGAGGCGAAGGGATGAGAGTGAGATCAAGAACAGACCTGGAGATGGGACGGCGGGTGGAAGAATTTCTTATATGCTGCGGACGTGAAGTTCTCTTGCTATCTACCTAGGGAGAATTTCTATAGCCTCAAACCTAGCTCGGTTCCGGACCTGACGCTGATGTTCGGAGCGACTACAACACACAGGAGATCCAAGCAAGGATTCGCTCGATTCACGTCCCGCCGACACCCTCGACACTGGTCGGGTGTGGGTAGGAGATTCGCCGTCAATATGGCAGATGAGGCACTTCTGGGAACGTGCGTCGGGGGAAAATCTCTGGGCAACATGTAGGTCGACAAAAATAACTCGCCAAAATATTGGAATTCCCGAGGAGTAACTTGGTACGCGAGCTTGACTGTGGCTGCTACTTTGGACGGCTGGTAGACCGGTACATTTCCCTCTCGATAAGAACCTGGCAAGCCGGGGACCAAGAAGCTCAGAGCTCTTCGGACGGCCGCACCTATCTCGGGGCAGCTCGCACAACTCCCACAGCCAGGGTCTTCTGACAGGAGTAGCTGATCGGGTTTCAATAAGAGCTGGCATCCTTGGATTGCGAGGGCCAGGGAGGGAAGGGCCGTGTGTTGTCGTGAGCAGGGCTTCGGCGTGCCGAGAGAATAAAATGCCTCAAGTACAAGTGAAGCAACGCGGTATGACTAGGAGGCGGGCGTACAGGAGTTGTGAAGTTTCGACTTCTGAGATGGGTGATCCAGGCAGGTGGAGCCGTGTGGTCGTTCTCCATGGGTGACCGAGGAGCTGAGTTTCAGCTCAGGGTCCCTTTGAAACTGCCACGTGATATCCCATCACAGAGGCTTTCCGCTGGCGATAGCGAACTCAGCATACGCCCGCGTCGTCGCCACTGCGACCCAGCCACCAAGACTTTCACGTCCCGCCAAGTCGACTTGGCGTTCAACCGGAAACATCCCATCGAGGAGAGGCCAGCGCGTGCCAGGCGTGCTGAGAATGCTTGTTGGCCCACACAGCCGCCAAGGCAGGATCTGCGATAAGAGAGGTGCGGACTGCCGGCTGTACCACGTCCTATTCCTACACAACATGTGGGCTCGGCGGTCGGAATGTCGCCCTTCGAGACGGCCAAGCTGGCAGAGTAGGGTGCGTTGGTGCTTGTTATTTGCTTGAATCACTTTTGACCGCCTTGTAGGGCCTTGGCTTACACTTGTCCCGATTCATCTAAGCTACGAGGGCTCGGCCGTTCCTGAATCGAAGGACCCGCTCTGCAGTGAGGCTCGGCTAAGAGCTTGTTCTTGCTCCTGAGGAAGCACATAAAGAGACAGGTCCATTTGGAAAGAGACCACACAGCCGGTGCATTTTCGTGAGAGATAATGCGTGCGAGAAGCGCAGGAGCCCGATAATCGCTGGCCAGCCGGCGGCAACGGGGCGCACGTGTTTTTTTTCTTCTGAGACCTGCTAATTCAAGGAGTAGTCTAAGAAGATGTTCTAGAAGACGTGTTGACAGGTAGTTGATAATGAGACGCGACGAAGGGGCGACATACGTGTGAGACCCGGCTGACTCGTTGAGACCAGGTCGGTCTCATGGGCAGCCTCCCTTTGCGTGAAACAGTGCCAGACCAGCAGGGTATGCCTTCACCCAATTCGTCGGGCGCATTGCGGTGGGACAAACCTGGCAAGCACTGACAGTGAAAGGAAACAGATGGGTCATGAAACGAGCGCCCCGGACGCAGGTAGTCGGGACGGGATACCAGGGTCTAGGGCTGGGGGACGTGGAGTAGATCATCGGCCAAGGTCAGGACGGTAGGTACGCCTTCGGCTCATCGACTTGGGGACTTGGGGGACGTGGGGGGACCGTTGTCAGTGTCGGGGCCGGGGTGGGCCTCTCGCGGAGGTACATCGTCCAGTCGAGCCTGGACTCTGGCACTCTCGCTAGCATGAGGACGGAACTTTTTTTTTCAGAGTTCCTGTTTGGGATGATAAGCCCGACCAGATGTTTCCTCCGACGCACAGCGTTGTAACCATCGCAGGCACTCTTGAAATTAGGGCAGGATCAGGTAGAGTCGAAGGCGGACCAAGTCTCCTTGACCCACGACGAAATTGAGCAAGCGCAACCTATAGGAGAAGTATGCAATAGGATATACCGCAGACCTTCCAAGGGGCGAAGGGGTCCATTTGGGGGAGTCTCGCACACGGGTGGGGATAGCGGCGTTTGCTCCGCGCAGCATGAACTATATATCTCCATGGCATTTCCGGAGGCGACATATGTAACCACGAATGGCAAAGCTCTGGTACGGCATTAATGGATCGCCGGTATTGGACCGATTTGGCGAGCCATAGTTTGTTGTCAAATTGGGAGCGGCGTGCTGTGATTTGGTGGGTTGCGGTGTCGCTCTCCTCGCCATTGGGCTTGGTCGAGTTTCAAGATGGCAGACGCTGCCCTTTGACACAGCTTCCCCGTACAAGCGTCCGACATGCCAAGGCTTGACAAGTCTTCTGGGCATCTGCAGGGAAGGGCCAAAGCCGCGTAGCAATGCGTGTGTGAGGCGTCCTATTTTGTAATGTGCTACATTGGACAGGCACGTACGGAGCATGCCGACCGTCGCATTGTCCAGACTCGCTTGGCACCTAGTCAGCGAGGTGTGTACAACGCCCTGCATTGCTTTCTGGTTGCTTGCCCTGGCATAGTCGCCAAGCTGATCAACCAACAAGCGAGTAATTCCGGCACTTGAGATGGTGGAAACAGACCGAGGTGAGCAATGTGGAGCCCGGAGAATGGAGAATGGAGTATGGAGAATAGATTATACTTTGGTGTGTGTTCGGTTGAGCGAGACGCCAGGCGCCAGGGCAGGTTGCTTGCTCAGGTACTGGCGGAGCACCCAAGTTGAGCTGTGAGACGCAAGGCAGTCTGGCTGTGGGTGGCACCCACATCTGCTGCGCGCTCTGACCAGGTTCGTGTGGATTGGGTCGGTCTGGCAGATGCAACGTCGAGGTCAGTGCCCAGCAGCAACAAAAGAGGTGCTGTTGGTGTACGTACCTTTGTGCCTAGGTATCATGCCCCTGGCCCGGTACCTCGACTGCCTTATCTTATCGGCGGGAGGCTCTTGTCCCCGGCAGGCATCAGAAACTTTTCTCGGTCCCTCTCATGAATCCGCCCAATGTCGACCAGCGCTCAACACCTCATCCGCAAACTTCTATTTGCGACCCTGATACCCGAGACGTTCTACATCGCCTGCCAAGATGAAGCGAAAACTGGACGAAAACAACGAACCCACGCTCATGCCCCAGACTGCCCCGGAGTCTGAGCCTGACAAGCCTGGCAAGCCTGGCACGTCTGGGGAAACCACCGCAAGCCCTGGCCCTGCCTTCTCTGACCTCGCTCTCGATGCGCGCCTGCTGCAGGCCATTGCCAGTCAGAAGTACCAGACCCCTACTCTTGTCCAGTCCAAGGTCATTCCATTGGCCTTGAACGGCCAGGATGTGCTCGCCAAGGCCAAGACTGGCTCCGGGAAGACGGCCGCCTACCTCCTACCCGTCCTACATGGTGTTCTGAAGCGGAAGCAGGTGCGTCGTGTTTCGTTTCTCTCCCGCCTGTCGCTTATCGCGCAGCTCGATCTGCTCCGCGCTCCGCTTCATTGGCTAACTAGAACCAGTCTGACCCGGCGACTTTCACTGCCGCCCTGATACTCGTCCCCACCCGCGAGCTTGCCGACCAAGTTCTGCGGAACGTCGAACAATTCTCAGCCTTCTGTTCCAAGGACATCCAAGCCGTCAAGCTGACAGACCAAGTCTCCGAAGCCGTCCAGCGATCCATACTTTCGAGCGCTCCTGATATTGTTATTTCTACTCCGGCAAGAGCATGGCAGAACATAAGCAACGGTTCCCTCTCCGTGGACAAACTCACACATCTGGTTTTGGATGAGGCCGATCTGGTGCTGTCATATGGCTACGACGAGGATCTCCAAAATGTGGCCCGGTCAGTACCCAAGGGACTGCAGACCATCCTCATGTCCGCTACTCTCACCACCGATGTGGAAACTGTCAAGGGCTTGTTCTGCCGTGACCCGACGGTCCTCGACCTTGAGGAGCCAGAAGCTGAAGGAGAGGGCGTTTCGCAGTTCTACGTCAAGTGCGGTGAAGCTGAGAAGTTTCTTTTGGCCTATGTGATTTTCAAACTGCAGCTCATGAAGGGAAAATGTAAGTCATGCACTTTGCGCAGTCTGGAAGCTCATTCCTGAGACTTCACTACTTGGCGCGATGCTCATCATGATTCCTTTCTAGGCATTATCTTTGTTGCGGATGTTGATCGTTGTTGGCGACTCCGGCTCTACTTCGAGCAATTTGGCATCCGGAGCGCCATTTTGAACCCAGAATTGCCCGTCAATTCGAGACTCCACGTTGTCGAACAATTTAACAAGAACGTGAGTACTCGTTCGATTCATTGAAAACCGTATGTCTTGAGCTCATCACTGACAATCCCAAAGATTTACGACATTATACTATGCTCGGACGAAAATGAGGTACTCGGAGATGAAGATCAACCATCGGAACGGATCGGTCAAGACACAAACAAAAACGGAAGAGGAGAGGCGCCGCCCAAGAAGAAGCGGAAGTCGTCCAAACGAGACAAGGAGTACGGTGTGTCTCGTGGGATTGACTTCCAGCACGTCTCTGCTGTCATCAATTTCGACTTCCCAACATCATCCAAGTCATACACACACAGAATCGGTCGCACGGCGCGTGCGGGCCAACGAGGCATGGCGTTGTCGTTTGTCGTTCCCAAAGACGAGTTCCGAAAACACAAACCAACCTCGATTGAGTCTGCGGAGAATGACGAGAAGGTCCTAGCCAAAGTCCTTCGCCAACAGCAGAAGCAAGGCAAGGAAGTCAAGCCTTATGTGTTTGACATGAAGCAAGTGGAGAACTTCCGATACAGAATGAACGACGCGCTGCGCGCTGTCACCAAGAACAGTATTAGGGAAGCAAGAACCAGGGAACTGAGGCAAGAGCTTCTCAAGAGCGAACGGCTCAAGCGACATTTCGAGGAAAACCCGGCCGACTTGAACCATCTGCGGCACGACGGCGAGCTTCGAGCGGCGCGGACGCAGTCCCACCTGCGAGCGAAGCACGTCCCCGAGTATCTCCTTCCCAAGGAGGGCAAGAAGGCACTCACGGCGGACCAGATTGGCTTCGTCCCGTTCAAGAAGGCTGACCAGAAGAATCGTCGGTCCAAATTCTTCAAGGGCAAGGCGAAGAAGGTCAGCGGGCGCAAGTCAGATCCCCTGCGGACGTTCAAGGCCCGGAAGAAGACGACATAGAATCGAGGTACATGACTGTAGTAGCTAGGCACACAAGCATTGAAATGATACCCTTTGTCCCTGGTCTCAAGTGTCACAAAACAGGAGCACGCACATGAGCACTCCGCCGAACGGACTCAAGGCTCAGTCGCCTTGTAGCACGACCACAGACAAGCACACAGGCTGACAGGTAGGCCCGACGGTTTGATTGTCAAGGCAGACATGAGTGACCGGACGTATCCCGCAAACATATGCGAGCGAAGTTAGGCAAACAATGTGAGCGTGCACGACTGGCAACCTTTTTTGGGCATCTGAAACGCCGTGCCTGCCTCCCGTCCCCTCCATCGGAGTTGGCCAGAGGCTGGGCCTTCTCAGGGTGCAAGACTGCTTCAAGTCCTTCCGGGTTTGGTCTCCGCCGGGGCCGAGGACGAAGAATTCCCAGATTCACCTCGCCTGCATCGTGTTCAGGGGCCAAACTATGCAACTGCAAATGCGCAGGTGTTTTTCGGAGTGTGGCGGTCAGGTCGGCGCAGCATTTGAGAATGCCTCGGCTCACTCTGTGTGCGCGCTCCCACTTCCCGGCTTCAGTTGTAGAACCGCGGGACCTGCATGGCCATTCAAGTCAGCGACAACAACCAGCAATCTGCCGTCACTTGACCTAGGTCGTACCTCCACCAGAAACCAAATAATTCTTACTCGAATCGAAATGGTGGTGAGCGCTGAGCAGTTAGAGGAGCCAAGGAAGTTTTGTTGTCATCTTCTCGCCATCCGCTTTCTTGAACAACGCAACTGGTTGGGTGGTGGTCGGCAGTCGCGCTGCGGGTTACGACGTTGATGTCACCTAGCGTCTTGATCTCCGGTGCCAAAAATAAAATACGTGGCGGGTGAGCTGGGGTGACTAGCCCATGTGGGACAGTGTCTCCCTGAGAGTCACTGTGCTGCTACCGCACGAGTCGGTGCAGGCTCACAGTGTGGATATCCATGTGGGCAAACAGAGCCGCGTGGCGGGTCCAAGCCACCGCCCCGGCAGTCGTCAACCCTGTCGACCGCTCGTGATCGGCAGGACCCTTCCAAGTCGCGCAACAACAACCTGCCTAAGCTGCCTCAACCAGCCTCATCAATAGCCCCCGATGACCACATCGGACTCCGTATGAGAATTGCCCAGCCAACCAGCCAGTTGTTTGAGCAAGATGACTGCAGTAATACCCATTTAGCGCGCAGATCTCAAGGCTCAACGGGTGCCCCCAAGACCCTCCAAGCCGGCCTGTCCTTACAGCTGCCTAAGGGGCCGCTTCTTGTCGTCCAGGAAGTGCGGGCTTCCGCATGATAAACAACTCGTTTCCGTCCAATAGGGCCGGGAATCAGGGGTCTTTTTAGCCCCGTTGAATTTTTCATGAGGTTGGAAGGGCAGTGAAATGTCATCGTCCGGTGGTTTCACACTACGGAGCGACAACGTAATGTTGGTTGCTGCTGCGCCATGCTCATTGTTTAACCCAGCCGACCTAACCTCCCCACTATGTGGGATGTGAGATGTGGGATGTGGGTGACCTCCAGATCAGTTTGCCTCGTGGCCCCTGAAAATGATACCAGCCCGACAATGACAATACGGTCTATAAAGATGTTGGTTCTCTCGCTTGCTCGCCCCGTCAATGTGACGTTTCTTAGATGTACCATTCTTTCATCACCTGAGATACCCAACTGCAACTCAATACCCGGACATTGTTCGCAAGGACTACCGGACACAAGCTCACTTTACGACCAACCATGAAGTCGTCTATTCTTTCCACGGTGGCCTTCGCCCTGTCTCTCACGGCGACGGTCTACTCTTTGCCGAGCCCACAAAACAACGGACAGTGGGACCCCAGCCAGTTGGAGACGGTAGCAGTGGAAGCGGCGGCAGCGGAGCAGGAGCTTCAGGAGGAGCATGGGGTGCCTCATCGACAACCAACTGGGAGAATACCGTGGCCACAGCAACCTCGGCCGGTAGCTATGCCGCATCAACTGCAGTATCGGCTGCTACCTCGACTTCAAACGTTGCCTGCAACAACTCGCCCGACCTCTGCTCAAGGCAGTACAGCAACGTGACACACATGGGAGCCCACGATGCGGCCTTCCTCCGGGACTCATCGACCGACAACTCCGTCGCCGGGAACCAGTACTACAATGCCACAAAAGCCTTGAACGCCGGCATCCGACTGCTCTCGCTCCAGGTACACAACTCCAACGGCACACTTCAGCTATGCCATACAACGTGCGCCCTGCTCGACGCCGGCACCCTCGAGGACTTCCTGGCCAAGATCAAGTTGTGGATGGACGAAAACACGAACGAGGTCGTCACCCTGCTGATCGTGAACTCGGACGATGAGGACGTCGCCTCCTTCGGCAAGGTCTTCGAGAGCTCCAACATCTCCTCGTACGGCTACACACCCGCTACCGTGAGCGCCAGCAACACCTGGCCTACCCTTCGGACCATGATCGACGACGGGACGAGGCTGGTCACGTTTATCGCCACCGTCACTTACTCAACCACCTACCCTTACCTCCTCAACGAGTGGGACTTCGTCTTCGAGACCGCCTATGAGGTTACTTCGCTCGCGGGCCTGAACTGCACCATCGACAGGCCCTCAGGCCTGTCCGATGCCAGCTCCGCCATTTCATCGGGCTATCTGCCCCTGATGAACCACTTCGTTTATCAGTCCATTACCTCCTCCATCGAAGTTCCCAACGTCGAGATCATCGACACCACCAACAGCCCCGACACGAGCTCCGTCGGCACGCTGGGCCAGTCCGCCTACAAGTGCAACTCAGAGTGGGGCACCGCCCCCGTGTTCGCCCTGGTCGACTTCTACAGCGAGGGCCCGGCCATCGAGACGGCCGACAACCTCAACGGCATCACCGCCGAGGGGCGGTCGGACAGCAGCAGCGCCACGAGCGACGCGGCCTCGGGCATTGGTTCTGCTGGTGCCAAGACCGGCGCCCTGGTTGCGTTCCTTGCTGCGGCTGTTTTGATCTTCTAAGGTCTTGGAATGTGTTGCTGTCAAGGACTTGGTTTGATGGGTCATGGAACACGAGAGATGACGAGCCTGTTTTCAATTGCATAGCGATGGAGTTCTTGGGTATTACGGAACAGCATGAGGCCACGATATGAGCCATTCTTACAGGTTATTCAGATAGATGTCACATAGCGATTGCTATTTTGTGACCTGAGGACAAATAGTCTCTTCTAGAATCAAAGATTTCTAATTACTTTCAAATAACGTCTCACTGGTGCCTCTCCTGCTACTGCCTTCCGCCCATGCATAAACCACCTGCTGTGGTTCTTCGCGTACTCATCTCCCCCATCTTCCATATTCATAGCCTCACGCAGCTCGGATTTCTCAGGCGCCTAGAGTCAAAGCGGTGCCGGCTGCCCTTACTTTGATTTCTGTGGCCCGTATTCTCGATGAGGATTCAAATTTACATTGGCAGTGTTTCTGGAGAAGAATTACGAAGGGATGAGAATCATGGACATTATATTTCATGGCCCACAAGAAATTCTTACATACAATCATTTTGCCGAAGTTCTCTATGTCTGGAAATTCCAAGTTGTGGGGGGAGGGTGGTTCACCAACCTTAGGGTACAACCCTGAGAAAACAATCCTCCCCACCGCAAAATCTTGATCAACCATCGCTCACGACAATTCACAACTCACACCAAACTGTCAGTCACCTGCAAAAGAAGCAAAGTCCGAACGAACACAACGTGCGGGACTGGAAGCCGTAAATAGGCTCTGAATAATCACATAGCATGGTGAATGCAACAGTTGATCAACGGTAGGTACCTGGCTCAAGCCTCCAGCGGGCTTGCCCCAGAGACAAATTCTCCTTGCTCCAACCTTTCATCCCACGTCTTTTGCCGGACTCGGTCGACAGTATCCCTCCTGTCCGATCTTGAGTAGGATTCGCCCCTCGGAGCCGTCAAGGTCCCCCGGCGCGTATTAGACAAGAGCAAGAGACTTTTTCTGGTTTCCGCAACGTCGTTTGAGTACGAAACCTCCTCTCCTGGAGTACCGGGGGCTGTGGGGGATTTCGTAATTATTCAGTTGCGACATCTCAAACTGGTCAACTTCTCACTTCCCGGCCTAGGCGCTGTTGTTTTGAGAAAATGCGTTTCTTGTTTCTGACCAGAGAGACGAGTGAATGACATCGTCGTGCCTGCCATCACTGCGGAATCTTTAGCCTGGCTGGAAGCAGTCTTCTCGTCGTTCCTCAGCTCGCCAGGCATTCAATGTCCCATGTGGAGGGCCAAGTACCTGTGCCTTTCTAAGTACAACCGCAACTGCCATCTCGTGTGACATAGTGACCACTTGGTACCCCATAGTAAGAAGAGCCTCGGGCACGCCTTTCATCGAGGGCTATGCAGTTATTCTTGCAGACTTTTTTGTCCCCTTCACCGAGCTCCCCAAACACACACCCTGGCCATCTCGAGCCCACCATTCCAGACCGTGCTGTAAGCCGTCTGTGCTAAACCCTCAGTCCTAGTGTGCGGCCTCCTTTACGACGTGCCTTAGATAATTTTCAAGACCGCTCCGCTCCTGCTCCAGGCGGCGATATGCCAGGCCTTTGTCCACGTTCTCAACCCTGACATGGTTCACCCTACCCATCGCCGTCAGATCCACCAGCTCGTCGAAGCCCAGGGCTTCTGTGATCCTCGTCTGGGACCTCTGGGGCAAGTACTTCTTCAGCAGCGCCTCTTTCCGGGACATGGTGTTGGTAGTGGACTTGGAAACGACGACGACGAGTTTCTTGAGCGTGGAGACCTTCTTCAAGAGCTCGAAGGCCGAGTCGGACTCCTCGCCAGTCCAGTGAACCTCGACGCTCTTGAGGTTGTAGCTCATGCTCTTGTTGATCCGCAGACAGTGCCCTAAGAAGCTAGTCAGTCAAGTGCCCACCTCGAGAGGATCATGCCCGCTCACTAAGCTCGCAGCCACAAGCGAAACTGAAAACATGGCGCTTGAACCACTCTTCAAGAGCCTCGTCCTTGATGTACGAACAAGTGGAGATGAGTGACATGCTCAGAGGGCGAGCCAATTCCATCGTTTGGCTCCTGTGGCTGGCGCAATTACAGTTGAAAGGGCTTTTCAGGATGATGATGTTGGCCTTTCCCCACGGAGAGGCCAGCAAAAGGTCGCTGAAGTAGTGCCGGTAGACAATTCGGCGGACCTCAGCCGGGAACTTCATGAAGGGCAGTGTTGCTCCCTGCTTGGACTCGTCTACGAATTCATAGTCAACATTCTGTTCCCTCGGAGTGTTTAGCTCCAAAGTCTTCCACCTTCAGAACAATCCAGAGACCCCTAAGACAAAGGGAAGGGGCGAACAAGTGGTCAAGAGTCAGGACCAAACTCACTGGCAAGATTGAGCATCTCAGAGCAGCAGTCGATGATCTCACTGCATTCGGTGATGCACTCGGGCGTGGGGTTCTTCTGCATTGCCGCCGCAAGAGAAGTGATGGTATCGGTGCAGGCCCTCGTGAGGGTCGAGGTTCGAAGCCGTCGGCCCAGCGCCTCGGGGGCCACGGCGCCGCGGTGATGCTCGCCATAAGCCCTGAACAGCTCCAGAACGTTCTCTGAAAGGCCGTATCTCTGGTGGAGATTTCGCATCTTGAGGATGTAGTCGTCCAGCGGAGGACTCATCTTGAGGACAGTGACGCGGGCGAGGCCAATGATGACAAGGGGTGCCTGAGATCGAGGTATTGAGTGGTGATGACAGGGGCAAGTCGAGTGACTAGGCCACAGCTAGAGATTGGTGGTCGCCTTCAGTGGTGGTACTTGTCTTGCTCCTGGGAATTTGATGGCTCTGAGTTGTTGACAGGGCTAGAAGCGAGGTGTTGCTTGGTCATGAGGTGGGGTTTCTTATACGGTGGAAAGCGAAAGAACCAGGACAGATATTGTGAGCCAAACAATTGGAAGGATTTGTGGGAGATAATAGTTCCCAGTCCAAATCCATCGATCCAGAGATTTGAGATACAGCCAACGAGGGCCAGGTAGAAATAGGAGGTTCAGATGAGGGAAAACTCCTGACCAAGCCACAGCCAGGAACCGAGGGGTTCAGAGAGTGAGAGCTTGTGACCGTTGAGTGAGAGACACAATGTGAGAAAGATGCCTACTTCTCATGGACTTGTACAGCCCACAAGCCAATGCCCAAAGGCATCTAAGTAGATCCCAAAGACATTGGGAACTTTGTACGTTCTGTCAGATGTTACGATTATGCCGTTACTTCTACAATCCATTGAGGCTACACAATGACAAACAAGCCCTTTGAGTTCGGAAACGAGGCAGTCCCGAGAATTTTATGGATTAAATATAAATGTAGAGGTCAACCCGAGGTTCAGTTCAAGGCTTGGGTTTTAGAAGTACCACAAGTAATGACCTTTATAGCTGCCAGATGCCAATCTTCCATGGGCTCGAGTGAAGTAAGCCAGTAGCTAGGCGGACCTCGAGATTGCAGACAATCGTGCCAGAATGCTGGGCAATCTCTCCATTCCAGGTCTTCCAATTCCAAGTAAGGGGTAGGAAAAGAAGAGACACAATACCAGGGACCCGGTTCCTCTTTTCCCGTCCCCACTGAGACGTGGGATGGTGCCTCAGGCGGCTTGAGTAGGTCTACCTACTCCTCCTCGTCTCCCTCAGCATCTTGCTCGCTCTCAATCCTGGGCTCCTCGCTGTAGTGCCGCCCATTTGTTGCCGTGGGTTCCTCACTGTCATCACGTCGGCCACCGTCTCCGTCATGTGACACACCCTCCTCCGCCTCAGCGTCAGCATCATGCTCATCCTCTTGTGGCGGGTCCGGCCCGACCAGAGGGTTCGCCTTGCATAGCTCCATGCGAAGGCGCCACTCGTCAGAAGGGTCCTCGGGGACAATATCAATCTCATCGACCTCGGTCTTCTCGCGCTTGAACTGGTTGTGGATTCTTCTTGGAGGCTCCAGCTTCATACGCTGCATGGATGGGTAGTACCATGCCACCTTGGTGACGGGATCAATACCGAAAACTAGCTCCTCGCTGTACTTTGTGTCATGATCCAGCTCGCTCTCGACGACAGCGTTGTATGTGCGTGCGTAGTTGTATTCGAATGCAGGTTTACCGCTGTCGGCCTTGGTCTCCGGGTTCAGACTGTCGTCATCACGGTTGGGATTGCGCAGGTCAAATCTCTGGCGGAACAGATCAACGTGCTTGACCTTGTCGGCAAGGTAGAAGTTGTACGGCTGCTGGTTGGGCGGTTTGGGATAATTCTCCGGGTCACGATTGTGCGCCTCTACCGCTGCATTGTAGGTCTCCTCCTCCTCTGCTGAGCGATTGTATTTCAATATACTGTTCAGAAGGCGCCTGTCGTAAGTCCCATCCTTGGGTATGGGGGGATGCGCGAACTTGTAAGTGACATAGGCGCCAGAGTCCGGGAACGCGTCGAGGTCCGGCAGAACTGGGTAAGCCTCCACCACCCTGAGATTCCTGAACTTGTTCACGGGAGGCTTGGTCGGGTGGCGTATCCGGCTCTTGTCCTTCAGGTTCCCTTGCGCTGCCTCGAAGCCCTTCTCGATCTTGCGCTTGACGTAGGCTGGTGTTCCGATGTCAGGCTCCGGTGACTTGCGCTTGGGCGGCCGCTGGGCGGTGTTCTTTGGAGCTTGGCGGAATGGGCTCGATTTCGTTGTGGTGTTTGCATTGGAGATGTACTCGGTACGGCGGAGGAAGGAGACAGCAGCACCTGCGACCTTGGGCTTGCCGAGGGTGGCCAGTGGTCGCAGCAACGCTCGGTCATGCGGGTGGACTTGTGGGGCCTGGGAAGGTGCTTGGATTGCTGCTGAATGTCAGTCTACAGGCCTTCAACCTCAAGCTTTGTTACGATTCATCAGACGCACAGCTCTCGTCGCCGTCAAAGACACCTGACATGCCCACCAAGTCCAACGGCATTCCAAGCTCTGCATCTGCTTCGATGTTCAGCGGCTGCTCCCGCGCCAGGCGAGAAGCGAAGCCCGGGGTCGTGTATTGCCCGCTCGCAAGGCCAGTGTTTGGTATGTCGAGGAGCTTGGGAGGATTCGGCGGCGGTGGAAGGGCATTGGAATATCTGATCCTCGCGATGAAGTCTTGGCGAGCGTGTGAAGACTGTGAGGACGACATTTTGACAATTGGTGTCGGCACAAACGACCGGTGCCTTGAGCGTGGGAGCCTCGTCGAAGTTGAGCTGTGGTGTTTGAGGTGTTGGCTTCTGGAATTGCTTTGCTGGAAGCTGGAAGCTGGAAGGAGTTGCGGACGCCAAGTTTGGTAGCTTCGGCGGTTTGGGTGAAATGCGCCTCTTTAGTTGCACGGTTGCTAAAATACACCCGGACCGTAAGTGCACCCACCTTTTTTTTCGAGCTGCCCCCAGCCAGCCCCTTTCGCCCCAGCACTCACCTTTGGGCTTATTCGGCGTATTCAGACAATGCGAAGGACAATAGCATGACTGCGCGCAATCTGCGCCTGGATTAGCGCATCGCATTTCCCCCTGATAGCCCAGCACGAGGACACGCGAATGACCCGGCTGTACAGTGCTCACGCCTGCAAGCTGGGAGGATTCAACCTGCTTCATTCTATAGAGGATCGTAGTCTACATAACGCGTTCTTCCCCAAAGCCGTGATTCCATTTCCACAGATTTCTGGCCCATTTGACCAGCTCAAGTAACCAAGCAAACAGGAACGCCTCAGGTCAAGTCCCTCACGCGTGCGCCGACTACACGACAAGGCTTCGAGGCGGGCCCTGCCTCCGTCCGTGATGCAGATGCGGATTAAAACGGTTCATAAAGTTGATAACGATAAGCTCGGCACAGAATTAGAATGCCTCGCGCTTGGGCCATTTTCTGATCATGCTAGAGTTTCTGTCACAAAGCTCTGGCTTCCCGTTTCAGTGATGCCTTACTCGGCGTTCCTGTTGTATCGTGTTTTGCCCATGGAGAAGGGCACGTAGCGGTACTTGATCATGTGTTGGATTTGCTTGCGCACTGGTCTTTGTTAGCACAGTGGTCAGGCCAGCAGGAAAAGCTCGACTTACTGGTCAGGAAGAACAGGATGAACCAGTACATAACCAGCACGGGCCAGAACACCGGAACATTGAAGATCTCGAACCAGCTGCAGATGAAGCCGATGAGGATGACACGGGTGGCAGAGTGCCAGAACTTGAACTCCGGAAGCCGTCGAATAAAGGGCCTGAACTCCTCGTCCTGCTTCGTCGGCAAGGACCCAGCCGCGCCGTCCTCCATCTCGTTATCGATGGCCTCATTGGAAGGGTCGAACTTGGGCTGTAGGAAGGCGAGGAAGAGGTTGAGCAGGTAGATACCGAGGGCGTAGGCAACTAATATCGAGTTAGTGGGAGAGGCGCCGGACACTTGAAAGAGCAGTGGGGAGTGAGTGGACGGACCGATGTACCAGCCTTGCGCGTACAGGATGCGCGCGAAGAATAGTAGCAACAGGACGGCCGTGCCAATCCATCTGTACGTGACATATGGGGTTGACTGGTCCAACAGCGCCTGGTATTGCCTTTGCAGTTTCGATGTCTGCGCCGACACCGAGGCGAAAGGGGTCTGATCTGGTTCGGGAGCATCCATTGTGACTAGACGGGGATGGCCAGGAGATTGTTGGGAAGACGGAGGCAGATCTGAGAATGCAACAGGCGGAATTCGAGCGCGACACTTGGACTCGGAGGTTGAGGTATCGTCGCAGGGCAAGTGGTCGTGGATGGGCAGGGCAGGGCAGGTCGCACGGCTCGTAGGCTCCGCAAAATGGAGATGGAGATGCGACGACGACTTTGAAATCTGTCTAGAGCTGGAGCTCACTAAAAGGCTCCCCAAGGCTCCAAAAGGTCACCCAACCGGTAAACTGGTATTTTTGATTGGGCCCCACTTCTTTATCGCGCTGATTGACAGGTCCCTGCGCCGCCCCCTGAGCCGTGCCGTGATCCCTGCTGTCTCTGTCCCACGGGGGACTGAACGGCCGGAACGGATAGGTGGTACCGAAGTACCTACCTCGAATACGCGTTCACTGTGCACCCATTCGCCCACCCACGGATGGGGCTAGCCAGTCACTGGTGGGGACGGGGAACACTGAGAAAGCTAGCTGTGACGACACTGCTCCAGGTGCTGGTAACTCATCCTCGGCCGGCGGCAACCATCGGTCTTCGCTGTCCATAGGCATCTGTGTGTGCTTTGTTGGGAGCCAATTTACAGTTTGAATCCAATTGTCCTCGTGTCCCTATCATTACCGCACTGGAATTTTGGCGTGAGGATATTTCTCCACACAGTCACCTTCGTACACTTCCAGCAGGCTTGCCGAGGTGGACGTGCCGTCGCAGCTACAGCTCCCCGCCAGCGACCATTTGAGCAGCCCTTACGCCCGACGCATAGCGTCGTCCCCCGCTGCTTATTCCCATAGCCTCGGAACTTTGGTTTTGTCCCTCAAGATGCAGAATTTCCGGAGTTTGAGGCCAATTGCCTCTAGGTTGCAGACCTCGACACTGCCTCGCGTCTCCCGCGCCTCCTTCTCCGCCTCATCGAGAATGAGCTACGAACATATTCAAGTTTCTGAGCCAAAGCCTGGCGTTGGGCAAGGTATGGACGGGCGACGCTGTTGGGTATCACTTGCGCGCATTGTCGATGACTGACTGTTAATCTACTCCCAGTCACACTGAACCGACCCAAGGCTCTCAATGCCCTGTGCACTCCGCTGATCGAGGAACTTAACGAGGCTATGTTGAAGTTCAATGCCTCGGACAATGTCTCGTCCATCATCCTCACAGGCTCCGAGAAGGCCTTCGCGGCTGGGGCGGACATCAAGGAGATGGCGCCCCTGACTTTCTCACAGGCTTATCTCAACTCGTTCATCGAGTCCTGGTCCAACCTAACCACTCAGATCAAAAAGCCTATCATCGCGGCAGTCTCTGGGCACGCACTAGGCGGAGGATGTGAACTGGCCATGATGTGTGACATTATATACTGCACCGACAAGGCCAACTTTGGCCAGCCAGAGATCAAGCTTGGCACAGTCCCAGGAGCCGGAGGAAGCCAGCGGTTGACGAGAGCCATTGGCAAGTCCAGGGCTATGGAGCTCATCCTCACCGGAAAGTTCTTCTCCGGACGGGAGGCTTATGAGTGGGGAGTCGCCGCCAGGACGTTTCCCACCTACGAGGAACTCATGGAGGCTACATTGAACACGGCCGAGACCATAGCCGGCTACTCAAAGGTTGCCGTGCAGGCTGGCAAGGAGGTTGTCAATAAGAGCCAGGACCTTTCGCTACGGGACGGCGTTGAGTATGAGAGGCGCGTCTTCCACAGCTTGTTTGGCAGCCAGGACCAGAAGATTGGCATGAAGGCATTTGCGGACAAGGCGAAGGCAGAGTGGAAGCACGAGTAGAAAAATGGGCGTAAATTTTATTGACGAGGACTATCAACCGTAAAAAGAGAAGTTCAATATCCCGCCGACTATGGTCAACAGGCGTCATGTACTGGCAAGATGGTTGGCCCCTTGCGGGTTATCCTATAATAGGCAATCCTATAGTAGGTAATCCTACAGTGGCTAACCCTATCAGGGCATCCTATGGGAGGTGATCTCATCAGGAATCATCCCACTATAGATCTATGGGATATTACTGTGATACCCAGATTCACTCTTGAGTCATTCTCCGCTATACTTAATCATGGGAAAGACGACTGACGATGTGCCGTGCAAGTGGAGAGTGGAAATAAGCTTACCGCATTTGCCTGGCCAAGCAGCTTTCTCTCATAAGCGCCAAATGTCGAGAAACCGGAGCCACTCGCACATCAAAGCCTCCGCAGCCACCAGTTCGCCGTCTTCACTCCTGGTTGCTACTGCCAGGTTTCTGCAAAATTTCGAGGATAGCCTTCGATGTCCGGAGCATCGTCTCCTCAATTGCCCTCGGATGGATCTACAACGCTGGACCCTGTCAGCTCATACCGTCCTTCTTAGACATTTAGGTATCTGCCTGGTTGTCGCCACGGCCGCCATAACCCTGGCGCAACCCTGATCCTTGCCTCTGCATCGGTGGTCACACTCAAGTCTCTTCTTGCGATTCGCGATTTCCCTATCGCAGAGCGGAGGGCGGAAGCTCCTGTGGAAAGGGAAAGCATGGACTCGTCCAAGCCAGGACTGGATCTGGAGAAAGAGTTGACGTGCTCGGTGAGTCTCCTGCTCTGTCTCAGTCGCCTTGCCGTCGTGCCCCCGCTCCCGCAGCCCTTCTAACCACTGTCCCGAGTCAGATCTGCACCGAGCTACTTTACCACCCTCTTACGCTCCTGGACTGTCTACATACCTTCTGTGGCGCCTGCTTGAGGGACTGGTTCACCTGGCAAGCCCACGCAGCCGAGAATGGCCCCGACCCGCCAGCGCCTGGGACTTCGGTCTTCACCTGCCCGTCATGCCGGGCTCCTGTGCGAGACACGAGACACAATGCCACTGTTGCCTCGCTCTTGGACATGGTGCTTGCCGCACACCCAGAGAAGGCAAAACCAGACTCCGAAAAGGAAGAGATGGATGCCAAGTACAGGCCAGGAGACAGCGTGCTCCCGAAGCTGAACATTCCGGAACGAACCGCCGAACAGTTACGCCTGGAGGAGCGGGAGAGGAATTTGATCGAATCGGTGCGGGAGATGAGCCTCCTCGAGGCTGTGAACGGCGAGGTGTCCGCTTCGAGGTCACGCCAGCATCGATCCTCGAGTAGGTCCAGGACTGGCAGCTCACATCGGACGAGAGATACGAGTGCGACTAGGACTGGCGATTCGCGGGCTCGAGAGCGCCAGCATCGGCGCGGAGCCACTGCAGAGAGGGACCCTACCCTCAGAGCAGAGCGGAATGCGAGGTTGTCGCCCGACAACGTAGGGTCGAGGTCTGAACACAGCCGCAACAGCAGCAACGAGTCCAGGCGAAGGACCGAGGACTTGAGGGAAAGGCAGAGGCGTCACATAGAGCATCAGTCGTCCCTTAGATCCCTGATCAGCTCTTCAGACGCAGCCGACATTGATATGGAGCGGGAGGTGGAGGAATTTGCTCGGCAAATCCAGGAAGAAGGCCTACTGGACGGACTGGACCTGGAGAATATCGACCTGATCAACAACGACGAGCTGAGCCGTAAGATAACCGAAGCATATCGAAGGCGCCAGCGAGAGAGAGAAAGGCTACGCCATGAGGCAGTGGAAAGGAGCCGGGCCACCTCTCGCAGTTCCCATGTCGGGCCGTCTGAACCAAGGCCTCAGCTTGGGGTATCCTCGAGGTCGTCGAACCGGCAGACAGACCATCATTCAAGATCGGCGAGTGCCACGAGCCAGTCCGATGAGCGCAGCAGGCCACCAATATCCTCACGATCTACCCACTTGGAGGTCCAGGAGTCAAGGAGGCGTCGGCGGGCCGCCAGCGGAAGCAGGGACCGGAGCTCGACCTTACCAGTCGGGCCTACGCAGCCAGAGGTCAGAGCAGGCGCGCGATCCCAGACGGACCTGAATGCGAGGTCAAACAGTTTGAATACGTCTTCCAAAAGGCCAGTCATTGCGGATGGGCGAAGTGCGAGCACATCGGACGTACCAAGCAGCAACCCAGTCCTCGTGCAGTCACCACCTTCGACGGCACTGCCCTTCAGCGCGCGAGCCAACGGCCTGAACATATTACAGTCCCAAGAAAGGACCACCACCTCCGATTCCAGCTCCAGCTCAATTCGGCAGCAGCGACCCGCTGATATCGTCTTTGCGCCACCTCCGAACTCTACTTCCACCCAAACCAACCCAAGCCTACTGGCATCACCTACATCCAGCTCTGGCCATCAAAAGCACCGCACGTCGCTCTTCGTGGAGCCTGCAATAAGGTGCGACCGGTGCGACCGAGACCACATTGAGTACGAGCTGCATTACAACTGTGCGGAATGTAAACATGGTGACTGGAATATCTGTCTCGCCTGCTACCGTGCAGGCAAGGGTTGTCTGCATTGGTTTGGGTTCGGATACGGTGCATTTAATAGATGGAAAAGACTGCGCAGATCCGACCCTTCCTTACCAGAGCCACACAAGCTCATGGCCAGCCGCTTCCTCCAACCGACAGCCATGGTGGCATCCGCGGCCGAAGACCGGAAGGCTTGGTCGACTGAAGACCCATATGAGCGTCTGCAGAGTGGCACCTTCTGCGCGCTGTGCTTCGCATGGTCGAACGAGTGCTACTGGCGCTGTGATGTGTGCAACGAAGGCGATTGGTAAGCAGCTTCCAGACTTGGTTTACCTTTTTAGGAAGGAATATCTACTATGGCCATGGCCCTGTGTCACTACTTGCCTTGAAGCCCTTTGTCAGGCTGTGGATTTTGACAGAGACTGTGGGCATACGGTGGCATACTCCTCGCTGTATCTTGATCACTTCTTCGATGGCTGACTCTGTACCGCGTAGGGGCTTCTGTAACGACTGTGTAAATCAAGGCCGGAGCTGCACGCACACCCTTCTCCCGCTGGCTCACCAGTTCTCACTGCGTTCAGCTGGATCGCTGCCCCCAAGCCCCCGCTCGCCATCGCGTCCGTCATCAGCGACCATGATGGTGGGCCTAAATGCAACAAGCATTGGCCCCTTCAAAGTCATGACTTTCATCACCACGTGTGATGTCTGCAGGATGCCCATCGCGCCCACGCAGAGTCGCTTCCACTGCTTCACGTGTGTCAGCTCCATAGTGCCGGACTCGAGGCCCGGAGACTATGATATATGCGAGCAGTGCTACTACTCTCTGGCCTCAAATGGTGGCGTCAGCCCAGAGAACGGTCCATCTGGCTGGAGGCGGTGTCTCCAAGGCCACCGGATGGTAGTTGTGGGTTTCCAGGACGGCAATGGTGGGCAGCAGCGCTACACCCTGCGTGACCTCGTTGGCGGCCGGCGGCTGCAGGTCGAGGCGGTCGCGGACGAGCCGAGCCTGCAGCGATGGGTTTGGTATGAAGGTGACGACAAGCGAGAGAGACTCGTCGCCAGGGACGTAGCCCAGACGACAGACGCGGGCGACGCATCTTTCCCGCCGGATGGCGGGTTTGGCCTGAAAGCGTCGGCGCGGTGGGCCTGGTACCCTGCCCCGGGGAACAGTGATGAGCTTCTGTTCCCTAAGGGGGCGGAGATCACGGAGATCGAGGACGCGAACGGGGAGTGGTATCATGGGGTTTACATGGGTTCCAAGGGCCTGTTTCCGGCCCCATATGTGCGGGTACTGGAGTAACGGACAAGAGGATCACAACGGCATGTGACGGGACTCGACCAGAAGATATTAATATGAGAATGATTGTGTGATGGGCAGGGACACAAGCATATTGTTAGGGGGCATGGAATGGTTTCAAATAGGTCTACAGCACGCATCTTGCGGCACATCATCAGTTATGTTTACCATTTTCTAAGAGTGAACCTGCATGTAGTAACCTCAATTGGGATATCCTCCACGGGGATAACCTCCACTGAGGCCACTACTGAGATTCACTACCTACTGAGATAGTATTCACTGGGCTAACAGCCATAGGATAATCCAATTTTGGGGTAACCAACTATAGGAGTGCCCAGGTATAGACCTTATCAGTACAGCTGACATATTTCACTGTAGTACCTGGCTTTCGTTTGCAAATCCCATGAACTGCTACAGGCTGTGTACCTAAATTTGTACAAAAAACGCCTATGGTGCACTAACAAGCTTGAACACCTTTCGTGCCGGAACTCAAAGCTTCTCATCCTCGATTTGGCATCGGACTTATGAACGGGTCTTGCAGGTATGAGGATTTGTTACCTCATTGGCAATCTCATGTTCCTGAATTCATGAAGTATACATGATCCTTACTGATTTCCACACAGCCTTCAGAGAGTCACCTGCCTAATTCTGCCATTCAGTCTAGGCGCCAGGTACCTTCCACGCTAAGAGGCTGTTGACGTTATCGATAAGAACTTTTTGGAGGGGCACCACTGCTTCCAAAAAGTCAGGGTCCTTGGCTTCAATTGACAAACTCACCAGCTCAAGATCAATCAACCCACTTTCCACCAGAACAACAGCTTCAGGGCTGACTTTGCAGTGGCACTTATTCGTTCAGGAACATCTTTCACGGATAAACCATCTCTTGATACCGGTTTGCTGTCCTACGACCAGGACTGCTGCACATTGCAGCCTGGGAGGTTTCCCACTCCCTCAAAGCACCCACACACACGTCTCTCATCTCTTGCCGTAACACCATTGCCCCTACTCATTACCCTACTGGAGCTCTGCCTCAGAAATACGTCAAGATGGCAAGCCCACCGCAGCAGGCTTCTCAGTCCACTCAGGACACAGACACCCACCAGCAGCCCTTTCGCAACCAGAATCGTTATCACGATCGACCTTATCACGCAGCGCAGCAGCAAACCCACAATCCAAATCAGCCAATGAATTACATGCCTTCTGTTCGCGCAGCTTCAGAAAAGAAGCTGGGACTCATTCACTTCAGCTCTCCTCAAAACCATGGCTGGCACGGTGACGTTCGTAAGAGGTATGTGACTGCTGGTACTGCCTGCCCACGACTGATGGCGCGTCTGGTTGGCCCTTGGAGCTTTCTCATACTCACTCGTCTTGAACTTGGCTGCAAACATCAAGCTGACTGTAAATAGATTCACTGACTTCCTTGTCAACGAGATCCAGAAGAATGGCGAGGTCCTCCATCTCTCAGATTACAGCCTGGGCTCCAGACCCACGGACACTGTCAGTTGCTTTATTCTTGGCCAACCTTTTCCTGCTCGAAACAAAGGGCTGACTGCGATACAGGATGTCCATATTCCTGGACAATTTCATCAAAAGCCCCAATATAGCGTCGTTCCAACCCCAGCAAGCGATGCTCCCGCTCCCGCAAGTGATGCTTCGTCCCTTCAGGTCAGCGACGAGGACCTGAATATTCTTTGTGGCCTCTTGGATGAGTCCACCACACAAGCACTGAAGGAGCTTTTTGAGCGAATCGGTGCCTCTGGCACTAGCAGACTTGACCCCAGGGCCAACTCTGTCAAGTTCCCTCCCATGGAGCGATCGCAGAGAGGAAAAATCCACCAAGTAAGAATCAGATACTCAAACACACACCATTCGACTAACGATAGCTTAGGAAATCCGTCGCATCTTCCAGTCACGCATAGAAACGGAAACTGGCAGCGATGGGATAATCACTGCGGTGCCTTCCAACCGCTTCACCAAGAACCCTCGTGCAGGTGGCCAGCGCCACCGCTCTACCCAGCCCTCGTTCAAGAAGATGGGTGGCGAGTATCTTCACTTCACTCTTTACAAGGAAAACAAAGACACCATGGACGCCGTCAACCAGATTGCCCGTATGCTCAAAATCAAGGCGAACAATTTCGGTTTCGCCGGTACCAAGGACCGGCGTGCAGCCACGGTCCAGCGCATCAGCGCCTTCCACGCCAAGCATCAAACTCTGGATTTCCTCAACGGTCAGATTCCCGCCATCAAGATGGGTGACTACAAATACAGCAAATACCCCATACAGCTTGGCGACCATGGTGGCAATGAGTTCAAGATTACTGTCAAGAATGTTTCTGTCAGCCGTGGTCAAGGGTGCTCGCTTAAGCGTCGGGTTCAAATGACCACTCAGGCTGTCGAGTCGGCCGTCGCGGAGATGGCCAAGTATGGTTTCATCAATTACTTTGGCCTCCAGCGATTCGGCACCCACTTTGTCGGAACGCATGAGCTCGGCAAAATGTTGTTGATGGAAGACTACGAAGCCGTCATCGACGGGATTCTACACGTCGATCCAGATTACATGAGCAAGGTCATGTCTGGCTCTGTCGAAGAGACTCCGGCCAATCGAGATGAGATCAACCGCGTTCGTGCCATTATTCAATGGAAGACGGCCAGAAACGCAAAGGCTGCGCTTCAGTACATGCCGAGACGTTTCGGCTCGGAGATGAACGTCATCAGCCACCTAGCTAAGAACCCGCGTGATCCCCAGGGTGCGATCCTCACCATCACACGCGGCATGCGGAACTTGTATCTTCATGCCTACCAATCATACGTCTGGAACCATGCTGTCTCCCATCGTTGGGCCAAGTACGGATCCAAGGTCATTCCTGGAGATTTGGTTTTGGTAACTTCAGAGAAGGCTGCTGTCGACAATGTCGAAGTCGCGGGTGATACAACTGCATCTGGTGAGCCAATTTTCCAGAGAGCCCGGCACCTCACCTCGGCCGAGGTCCAGAGCGGCAAGTACACCGTCTTCGATCTTGTGCTGCCCTGCCCTGGCTACGACGTCCTCTACCCGGACAATGATATCGGCGAGTTCTATGTCGAGTTCATGTCAAGACCAGAGAATGGTGGACTGAATCCCCACCAAATGCGCCGAGCAAAGAAGGATTTCAGCCTTAGCGGGGCTTACCGCCATATTGTCGGCAAATTCATTGGAGAGCCAAAGTGGGAAGTCCGCACTTACACAGACGACAACGAGCAGATGCGGCCGACCGATGCCAATCTCATCGAGCAGCGAAAGGCTGAATCAAAGGCCCAAGAGATCGCCAAGGATCCAGAGAAGCTGGCCACCGCGACCAGCTGGAATACCTTCGCAGCAAATCCTACCGCTCACGATGACAAAATTGACGCAGAGCGTCGTCGCCAGATGAAGGAGAGCCCTGAGGTTGAGCCTCGCATCAACGAGACTTGGGTGCAGCGATCCGAGGATGGTGGCCTCAAGAGAATTAAGACCAAGCATGAGGACACTCCTCTGGAGTCGCAGTCCAAGGAGACCACGGAACCTATGGCTTCCAGCGGAGGCGCTCCCCTCTACGTGGATGATGTTGAGGGTGAGGACCTGCAGTCCATAAGGCCTGTGGTGCCTACGAGGCAGCCGAGTGTCCCAGAATCTGGCAATGCTGGCTTCACAGCCAAAGCAAAATCGCCTGGTCACGAGCTCCCCGCACCCTCATTCAATACCGAAGCGCCCACACCTGAGGCTTTAGCCATTCAAAATGCAGTCGCGATGGAGGCACTCAACAAACACCTGCAGAATCCTATCTTGACGATGCCCTCGACAAAGGCAACGGCGGAAGGCACCGAGACTACGCAAGCTGCGAGCCGCTCCAGCAGCAGTGGCACCGAGAAAGGTGCCGGCATCCAGGAAGCTCCCCTGGAGAAGGAAACAACGCCGACCACAGCTTTGCCCAGAGCAGAGTGGTTCAGGAAGAGGAACGATGATCGTCTCAGCAAGGAGGCTGTCGAGTCCTTCACCCAGAAAGACCTGTCAGCAGCGGAAGAGGACACGGTCAAGATTGCGGTCGTCCTGGAGTTCAGCCTGAACTCCAGCGCCTACGCCACAGTTGTCCTCCGGGAGCTCATGGCCGAGGTGGAACCGGAGAAGGAGAAGGAGGTCAAGCCCCTCAGCCCGTCCTGAAAAGTGAGCGCTCTTGCAATGTGCCTGCGCAAATCTGCTTGACTGCTTTGTTGAAGCCTGGCTGTGTTACTCCTGTCTCTTCACACAACGAAGTGTGATGGCTCGAAACCCAAGACCCACAGCTTGCCACGACGTCGTCTTTACAACAAGCATTACATGATCGCATACCTGATGAAAACTGCTTGATGGATGAGAACATTATGTAATATGGAACGCGCCATGACGCTGGAGCTACGATCGAAATTGGCCACCTCGCAAAAGATCTGACGGAAATCGGTGGCCTAAAGAGTCTCCACTGTCTGTCTGCACGTCACCCGGTTGCTCAAGTTTGGTTTGATCTGGTAGTCCTGCTTCTGACCCGGGGCTCGAAGTGAACTCTGTGCGGCATTTCTCAGATGGTGTTCTAATTGGCCGCTGTTCAGTGGTTTGTTTTGAATCCGCTCCGTCTCAATTTCCAAACTTTTGGACCGAACAGGTTCAGGCCACATTGTGGGAAGATGCGACACTTAACTGCTTGGAAGAGTTTTGTTCGGGCCCGGAAAACTTGTGACGGAGGGACGGATCATTGAGATACCCAAAGTACATACGGAAATTTGGTCTGGCTTGGTGGATGACCTGTGGTCTATGTCATTGTTTGAGTAAATACCCACCACATGTGGTTTGTTTGAGTAAATACCCACAAAGGAACAATTGCTACAGGATAAGGGGTGTGATTATGAGGAAAGACAGACAGACAGACATCAACGCGTGGCTAGAGTCACTAGAGCCACTGACTTCACTCAGCTTTGTATAAATACCTGGCAGGTGTGTACGTTGATGTTCTGAAGGGAAATCTCTCACTGTTGCATCAAAATAGGGAACTTTGCCTAAGGTAAAACCTATGTGAACACAACAATAAGTATATGTGGAATCTGGAACATCGGCATATTGCAGCCTCATGTGCATGAGGTCAGCAAGAGCAAGCTCCAGTTGCCTCAGTCATCACTTCCCAGGAGAGACACAAGGGAGAACATCAGAGTTCAGCATTCACTTTGGATATCGTAGCACGGGAGCAGTGGCACTTCAAGTGTCCCTTTCCATTCCCACTAATGACTCCGTGATCATGTGAGCCCTCCCTATCCTTATGTGAATTTTCAAGATTTGTTCAAGTAACCAGGCCGCCCAAGGTCCTGCTTCATTCCCGATGTCCGTCGCTATTTGTGCTAGGCCGTACCAATCTTCTGCCTCATGGCAATTCTGTCCAGCCCAATGGTCCCGCAATTAATGTGGTCATGTTGATGATTCCTGGCTTGCCCAAGATGCAAATTGTGTCTGTCAACGGTGGTGTGCAGCACAGGCTGGTGGGGTAGACGCTCGCGCTATGTGATTTCGAAATGCTCCAATGCTAGCCGTTCTGGTATGATCGATTCGGAGTGACCCTTACAGTGCGCGTTCGGCCGCTGTGATAGTATATGGCGTGGTGTGGTTGAAATTTTGTTGGTCAAATGTCGTTCATCTCTGCGGCAGAGAATGTGATGCTATGGTTCTGTATGCAAAATGGTGTCTCCATGCGTCACGCGATGGGTTCTCATCACTTTGACCCCTTGGCATCGTCCCAGCCCCATACTTGGGACAGATATTTGCCCATGTTGACACGCTTCGTCTTCAGCTCCGTCATCCATGGGTGCTCTAGCATCTTCCATGGCATACCACGGCGCTTGGGGTTCTTCTCAAGGCTGTTGGACGTGGGTCAGTTACGTGCTCGCTCCGTTTCAAAGAAGACGACTTACCAGCTCTCAATGAAATGCTTGAAGTTGTCACTCCAGAAGATGCCCGCCTCAGGCTCATCCTTCAGCTTGGGGATAGGTTGTTGTACGATGTACGTCAACAGGTCGATCAGACCGGCCCTGGGCTGCATCTCTGTGCCATCGGCCGGGAATGGAAAGCGGTGCTGCGCCACCTCGAGCAGTGTCACGCCCGTGGACCACACGTCAGAAGTAATAGTATATGTCTGGCCCGTAATTCGCTCTGGTGCCATGTAGTAGCTTGTGCCGATGAACGTGTTCGCCTCGCCCTTGGTACCAAAATCTCCAGACACGCCGAAGTCGCACAGCTTGACCTCGCCGTTGCGGCACAGTAGAATGTTGGACGGCTTGATGTCGCGGTGGAGGATGCGCTTGGCTTCGAGGTAGGTCAGGCCCTGCAACACGCCCTCGGCAATCTTGCCCAGGACTTTCTCGCCCGTCCGGCCTCCGAGCCGTTTCACTTCCTTGTAGATACTGTCGAGCGAACCACCCTCGCAGAATTCCATGGCAATGGAGATGGTGGCAGTAGAAGGCTCTAGGAAACCGCCGTAATACCTGCAGATATGTTCCGACGCACAGCCCTTGTTGAAGTTGATTTCTCGCAGAATCTGCTTCTTCACATCCGGATCCGGGTTCGTTGTGATCACCTGGGCTTCTGGTTAGGACGTGCGTGTCGGGGTGGACATTGCAGTTGTGTGCGTTACCTTGAGAGCAAAAACAGTCTTGCCTCCCTTGAGCTTACACCTCGTGACGGCGCCTCCAGCGCCCTCACCGAGGCCACCGAGCTCGACAATTCGATTCTCCATGCTCACAATCCGCCAGCCCTCGTCGTCCAGGTCCTCTGCGTCAAGTGTCCTGGCTTTCTCCAAGCTCATCTTGTCAAAGGACGCTTCCAAGCCGTGCATGCTGCCCTCACGCTCCATGCCGGCACCGCCCTCGCTGGCGTTCGAATAAAGCGAGCCCACGGCACTCACAGGATCGGGAGTGCCATGTGGTTTTGCGCCGCCGAGGCCGTACTGCGAGGCGAAGGAGAGCGCGGAATACTGCGAGCCAGCCGAGGTTGGGTTGCTGCCCCTGCCGTCCAGCGGCCCGAAGCTGCCCGTTCGGCTGTGTGCAGCGCTGCTCTCGCTGCCGCCACTGGCGCTATGGCCTGGTTGTGAGCCACGCGAGGGTTGGTGTTCTTGAGGAGCCACAGACGTGCCCATAGGTGTGGCAAGGTTGAGCTTGGGTAGGGGCGGCCGGGAAGGCTGGCCGACACCGCCAGCCCCCGCGCCTACGGGTTTGACATTCGGAGAGGGCGGTATAGCGAGTCCCAGGCGAGGAGTGCGGGCGCCACCGCCTCTTGCACCTGGTATGGCGGGCCGAAGGAGAGGCGCTGGGGCGTTCATCATGGGTACGAGATTTGGTGACTGGGAGAGCATTGGTGCTTGTGGATCTTGTGGGTTCGACATGTGCTGCACCAGACCGGGTTAGTTGTTTGGTTTTCTGCCGTGGGGGAGCACGAGGATGGCTGCAGTCCGGCATATATATGACGGGCTCAAAGGGGTGACAAGGCAGGCCGACGGGGCAGGACGGGACAAAGAAAGCTCACAGGTGCGGCCGGCTCGCCGTTAGAGTTCCCTTGCTCATGCATCATGGGGCAGGGGACGCAAGCAGAGCCTCTGTGGAGGCGGAGACTTGTTGGACGGTGAGGGCGGGAAGTTCGGCCGAGGTGGAATCACCAGGCGGCTGTGCCAAGTGTATATGTGGATGGTGGATAGGCTTTCCCGGGCAAGCAATGAGCCCGTTGCGAGGGGTCGAGCTTGCTGGGACGGAAAATAGGGGGGAAACAAGCTCAGACGATCAATGCTAGCCGTGCCCGTGGGGAAGCCAGCAAATAGGTCGTTTGAGAGAGAGAGGGCAGGAGGCAACCGATGACTTCAGACGCGAGCTGGACGGGCAGGAGACCACGCGTCGATGTGGTTCGGAGACTCGCAATTCGGACGCTGCTGGGTGCTGCTGCTGCGGCGGCGTGTCGAGTCGAGTCGAGTCGAGTTGGTGCCGGGTCCAGGTCGACTTGATGCAACGTCGGCTCGCTCAGTGACGGGGAGATGGTGGCTTAGGCCGCGGAGCATGAATTGAGCGCCAAAAAGTTGCTGCCACGGAAGTCCAAGCTCTGCATGGCCCAGCTAATTGCGATGCAAAAGAGGCTTCTTCGACAAGCTATGGGCGGATATGTGTTGAGAGAGGAGAGGAGATAGATTGATGAGACTGGATCCAACGCAGAAGCAGTGTTTGCCCCGTCTGTCCGTCCGTATGTGTCTGGGTGGAGGGGGTATTTCCAGGTTGAGCTGACCAGGACCAAGAGTCCTAGATACGGCCAGCAGGCACCACTCCCGGTCATGCTGTTCCAGCTGGTGCAGAATTCAGGCTCAGAACTCAGAGCCCAAGAACTGGGGCAGACAGGGGGCGGAGGGTTGCAGCTCACCTCAGACAGTGGGCACTGGGCAGGCGGGACGGGCAGTGAGGGAGGAGGGGTCAGTTGCTTCCCACTTCTTCGCAACGGTCTGAGCTGTGTGGCCCAATCCGACGTGCCTGACGGTGGATTGGGGTGGGCTTGCAGGGATGGCATGGGGAGCCCGCCACCTCCCGCCAGCCTGTCGCAAGACGTGCCTGTTCCCCAGCTGCCTGGGCCGGCGGCTGTTGACACACGGTCGTGAATCCTGTCATATGCACCACCAGGCCGACCATCATCACCATCTCCTACCGATGTCACCGTTACTGTCACCCATCACCATCGCATCATCCAGGCCCCGATCCAGCTCAGCCCAACGTGCACATCCCTGCTGCCTATGGAGGCATATCTACGCAGCATTGCGGGTTCGGCGGAGCAGGATGGCAGCTGGGAGATGAAGGGAAGGAGGCCGGGGTGCTGGTGTGCTGATGATTCTCGCCATCTGCAGCATCTAGTCTGCTGTATCTATCTGATCTGCCTCTATCCACACCAGAGAATTTTTCATCCCAGATGTCTGGTCGTCTTACACACAGCACAGTGAGCTACTGTACGGCTTCACCTCCCCCGGCTGACCACCAGCAGCAAAAGAAAATGTCAGAACCTCTGCCCACACACAGTCCCCACCAACAGATCTGACTGCCTCTGCCCCTGGGGTCCCATTCGTTGCTCTGCGAGTCGAGGCTGCTCATCATCTGGCAAAAGGGCCACCGTATGGAGAGGCCCAAGATGTCGGGTTCCCACCCGGCCAATGCAGCCCTGGCTCCCTTGATCCGCACTCGCATCTCAATCGAGCTAGGGGTCATCTGCAGATCCCGCACCATTGGCCACCTGCTCGTGTATTGGCAGATGTGACGGGATGTGATGCAACACCGGCCCATGCATACAAATTACAGACAACGACGGATGTGTTGCTCGGTCGAACCATCATCTACTGTTTACGGCCTCGGTCTCCGCTGCCGGCCTGCGTCTTCCCGGGAGGTATTTGTCGTGACAACGACTCTGCCATCTCGGTCTCGCTCAGAAATTAAAGTTGCAGCCCAGTTTCTAGGCACGGACCTGGCAAAACATCGTGCCCTAGGCCTTGGTCTTTTCTCGACCTCAGGGCTCGATAGCCGCGTCTACGAGCGTAGCAATACTACTTTACATTCTGCGATTGAACGAACACAGACAGGGCAGAGTAGACCGAACTTTAAAATCACACCCTGTTGGTTCGAGACGCCGCTTTGCAGACTGGCTGGCAGGAAATTCCCAAGGCGTTGGCACCGGTCCATGCATCAACGAGCTAAGAAGGACCTACCGGGGCATTGGCGCTTATCTCGTAGTAGTGTCAATGCTGCACCGCATTCGAAATAGGAGATCTTGCCTTGAAAGGATGTTCTAAGCGAAGTTATAGGAAGAAAAGCCCTATGGCGTGGGTGGATGTCCCAAGGGAGGTATACCAAAGCATGCTATCCTACCGGGCCTGCCACCACATGGGCTAGACCGGTCCAGTGGGGATCACCGAGTTCCTGAAGCGCGCGTCAACGGGTCCGCCTTAGCGCAACTAAGGTGGCACGGGAGCGGGCGTCATTGGCTGGGTGAACCCTGCTCGAACCCACTCTTAGTTTCTTCAGTGACTTTTTTCGCATCCTCAACCTCATGCACGCTGGTGCGCAGACAACACAACAGCGCGCCAAAGACCTAGGAATATGCCTTCGAAGAACAAGGCGATTGCTCGGGCCCAGGCCAAGACCCAAGAACCTGTGGCAGACCCACCATCTGCATCAGAATCCGAAGTCGACGAGGTCGATAGCCAGGACGGCGCCAGCGGGACCGGGAGTGAGAGTGACAGTGAGGGCGAGGCTGGTCTCAGCAGTGGGGGTGATTCCGAGCCACATTCAGACTCAGACTCTTTGGACAGTGATGCGCCTCGGAAGAGACGCAAACACTCTCCAAAACAGGATGAGGAGGAAGATGGGAGCGACAAAGATGATCTGCCGAAAGCACCCGTCTCATTCAGCGCACCCTCGCGTATCAGGCGGAAGGCTGCGGGTGAGCCTGCTCCTAAACCCGCCGTTGTGCAGGACGTCACGAGAGAGGTCGTCGTCGGAACAGGCACTACGGCGCCAATAGACCCTCACACAACCTTTGATTCTCTGGGCGTTCGGCCGTGGCTGGTACAGTCTTTGGCCAACATGGCCATCAAGAGGCCTACCGGTATTCAGAAGGGCTGTATCCCCGAGATATTAAAGGGCAGGGACTGTATTGGTGGCAGTAGGACGGGTTCGGGAAAGACGGTCGCGTTTGCAGTTCCCATCCTCCAAAGATGGGCAGAGGACCCATCTGCTATCTATGGGCTCGTCCTGACACCTACGCGGTAAGTCCAATCTCCTCGATACCTCTCCAGCAAAGTCAAAAGCGCTGACCCTCAAGGACAGTGAACTGGCGCTGCAGCTATTTGAGCAGTTCAAGGCCATCTCTTCGCCCCAGACGCTAAAGGCCCTGCTGATCACTGGCGGCGCCGATATGCGAGCGCAAGCAATAGCACTGGCAGAACGTCCACACATCGTCATCGCAACTCCCGGCCGTCTGGCAGATCACATCCGCACGTCTGGCGAGGACACCATCTGCGGCCTCCGGCGCGTCAGGTCCCTAGTGCTCGACGAAGCAGACCGCCTGCTCTCGGCGGACGGGCCGGGGAGCATGCTGCCGGACGTTGAGGAGTGCCTCGACGTGCTGCCCCCGTCCTCCCAGCGCCAGACACTCCTGTTCACCGCTACTGTGACCCCGGAGGTCCGCGCACTCAAGGAGATGCCGACGAAGCCCGGCAAGCAGCCGGTGTTCGTGTGCGAGGTCGACACGGAGACGCTGGCGATCCCGCCGTCGCTCAGGCAGCTGTACATGCAGGTGCCGGTGACGCACCGCGAGCACTACCTGCACGAGTTCCTCAAGACGGACGGCAACAAGGACAAGCTCACCATCATCTTCTGCAACCGGACCGACACGGCCAGGTACCTGCACCACCTACTGTACCTGCTCGAGCACCCCGTCACCTCGCTGCACTCTAAGCTGCTGCAGCGGCAACGCGTTGACAACCTCAGCCGCTTCCGCGCCGGTGTGTCGCGCATCCTCGTGGCGACCGACGTCGCGGCCCGTGGTCTTGACATCCCCGAGGTGGCCACCGTGATCAACTACGACATCCCCCGGGACCCGGACGTGTACATCCACCGGGTGGGACGTACGGCCCGTGCGGGGCGCAAGGGCGACGCTGTCACGTTCGTCGGGCAGAGGGATGTCGACCTCGTCCTGGCGGTGGAGGCACGGGTGGGTCGGCAGATGGTCAAGTGGGAGGAGGAGGGAGTGAACCTGGAGACTAGGGTGGTCCGCGACTCGCTCAACGTCGTGGGCGAGAAGAAGCGGGAAGCACTGCTGGACATCGAGGAGGACAGGGAGGTCGGCAGCAAGAGGAAGAGGGGCAAGGTAAAGCTCAATCGGGCAAAAGCGTGAGTTGTCTGTCTGTCACTGTAACTTTCAGACGCATAGTTAGAATTCATCGTCTACGGACGATATCTCTGCCAAGTCAAGTCTACCTATGTGAAGATACCTCCATGAGATACCAACGGTGTGTACCTGGCACGACCGACCCGGATGCGACGCCAGGCTGGCGGCTAAGAAAGCCCACATCCAAGACGAGGACGCACAGTCCAAGGTACAAGGAGAATGTATCCCACCCACCTTGTCCCTTGCATTGACCAGCCCAGATTTGAGGAATATCGATGGAGTTGCAAATACTCCGTACCTGAGCCTCAATTCCCCTAACTTGGCCCCCAAGAAGGACCACACTTGAGACTCATCTCGAGCGCCCGCACCGTGGGGCTGAAAAAGATGGAACGGGAAATGTGTGCATGAAATCCTACCCCTGAGCTGAGGTGAAAAAGATGGGAGGAGCGGGAGACAGGGATCAGGGCGTAGGGCTGGGGGGGGGGGGAGAGAACTGGTGTCAGTCAGATTCAGGGGCTAAATCCGTTCAGCCCTTTTTTGGACCTGTGCTTTAAGAGGTCATAATAGTAAGCATTGATAATGCTTGGCCGGGTTGATTTTCAGCATCTGCTTGTACGTGTCCGCTGTTAGAGGTGCTCGACCCCGTTTCAATATGTCGATACATGCATTCATTCATACACACATGCATCCAAGCATGTACACTCACCGAGCTCCTCACCTTGGAGCCAAGCAGTGTCAAAGCAGCCGGGCGGACGGGCGTGTGTGAGGCGGGCGGGCTTGGGGCTCGGGATGTACGTAGTCTCGGTGGAGCCACGACACCAGCAGTTCGGTTTCGAGATGCTGGGGAATCGTGCCAGCGGATATGGCTGGTTGGCCGGCGGCCTTTCCCCACCGCGTGTCAACTTGACAGGTCTGGGGTGACGAATGCCGTGGCTTGTCCTCTCATCTTGCTCGATACCTTTGTCCCCCTTACAATGCCCGTTTGAATTGGTCTTGGAGGAAATTACATTATGATAGGATCGGTGACCGATGGGAGTTAGCAGCAGGCATGGTGCGAGGTTTGCTATTGTCAGGGGGGGGCAGATGTGCCTGTGTCATCCAGATCAGCTCGGTAGGCTAAACTACGGGTGTTGACAAACATAGGATGCAACACTGTTGACAACCAGAGGCCAAGTCAAACAGCCCTGAATCCCGTCCAATGGAGCTCTGTCGCGTGCTGTGGCCGGCGTCGGGGCCTGTGTCAAGCCCGGCGACAGACAGACAGTCATCAGAGACGACTTGTGTGCGTCATGTAGAGAACACTGTCCCGAATGCGAGCCCGCCGTCTTTAGGGCGGAAGTAAGCTTCTGCTACAAGGCACGGGAAAGCCCACGGCCCCGACGACGACGCGGGCAGATTGGAGACCAGCCCCGAGATCTGTCAGAGGATATGTTGCGTCACGAGTGAGGTCGTGCCCACCGTTGCCGGTTGCACCGGACTGGTGGGTCTGTCCGATCGAAAACCCTTTAAGTCCGTGCCCAAGTCCCAAACAACCCAGCTGCCAGGTACCAAGGGTACAAAGAGCAGCACGGGCCACCAAAAATGAGCAGGGATCGGCAGTCTGGGCTACCCGCCCCGTATCGCCGAGAACGCCGCGAGCTATCACCTAGACTCGCCGACGTGACCAAAAACATCCGACACCTGCCAAGCGGAGTTAACTGAAAACTCGACTTGATGCGAAATGAGTCAACCAGAGAGGTTCGCAGATCAACGTGCAGCTCGGGAAAAGGAAACACAATGGGGATTGATTGTTTCCCCAGGCTCGTCACACACCAATTCCGGGGCTGGGCGAAGCAGAAGTGAGTGGCTTACACAGCCCAAGGCAACCTCTTGTCCCGTCGAGACGGTGACCGGATTTGGTAAGAAACGACGAGCAGACGGGTCAGGACTGCAATGTAGTACCTCGTAGCAGGGCCCTTTCGTCTTACATGCATACATACAACATTCCTTTCCCCCAGCCCAGGGGTGTCATCAAACCTCGTGGCCCTGCAGGGTTCTTTTTGTCGCCGGAAGGAGTGTGGCTTTTTTTCCCTGCAGGGTAAGGAAAGTCAACGGGACGGATTGGAGGGTGGGAGCCTGTGAAATTGGATGAGTAAGACCGCACAGATTAACAAACAACGATGCGCTACAACCCTGCCGGGCGACGACGGTGAGGCATATGTTACCCTTTTCTCTCTCCCTCTGAGAACATGTGGAGGAGGGATCGCCCGCGGCAGGTCTCGGGATCTTCGAGGTCGCATCACGGGCGTCGTCGGCGACACGTCCCGCGGGGCTTCGAGGCTGCCAATCGCATCTGAGGCATATCTGTGCACGCGGTATCGGCAGACCGCACAGTCGGCCTCTCGCGCCCTCGCGACGGCTTTGGCGGGTCAGGAGCCCATCGTCCAAATGTGTGATTCGCAGCACTGCCGAGCCTCCCGTGCACATTGAACAACAATGGAGCAGCGCGGCCATGTCCCATTTGTGAGTGCCATGCTTGCATCAATGAGCGAAGCCGCGACAGGCTTCTCCCCACGATGAACCAGCCCGCCGGAAGGGGCAGGCGTGGGTGTAAGACGGCCGAACCGCAAAGTTGGAAAGCATTACGGACTCGCCCGGGCCTTTCGTGATGTTCGGCAGCCCCCCGCGGGGAGCAATGCAGTGGTCGGGGGTACGAAATGATCTATCTATCTGTGCAGGACACGCGCCGGGCTCCTGCATCACCGCAGGACTCGCGAACAACACACCACAACACACACACACACACATGCAGATACATGCATATAGTCTAGATATACACTGCACAGCCTTGATCATCCTGTCCCAGAGTGTCGGTGTGGGCTAGCAGCAGCAAGCTGCAGGACCGCCCTGCGGGCACGGGAAGCGGTGTCATCATTCCAGGACAGACACAGACTGACTGATTGACAGACAGATAGACATGTACGACAGTAAGCAGCCAGAGCCCTACAGGACAAAGGGTTCAAACGTAGGAGTAAGCCCTTGCGCGCAATGATCTCGTGCCCTGCTCCGTGGGCGGTCGAGGAGGAGGGTATGTCGTTCCACCTGGGCGGTTCGCTCAGCCCTACAGGTGGGTCTGTGTGAGAAAATCAGCATGGAACTTTTCTTTCTTCCTTTTTTCTCTTTTTCTGTGGGCTGCTCTGGTACCTAGGACGCCCGGCCTCGCTACAATGTACGGGCCGGATTTATTACATTGATTACGAGCAGATGATGTATTTCGATCTGCCCACAGACCTGTAGACGGGCACAGCCATCATCATCACCCTAGAGATTCTTTGCTCACGTCGAGGGCGAGCCGGCCGCAGCCCGGCGCGGCGCGGAACCGAGCTGACCCGGCAGGACGGCTCTCGTCGTCACCGGGGGTGGCAGAGACGAGGCCGACGCGCACAGCGCACAGGGTAGCCGAGAGTTAGCCGTAGCCGAAGTCTCCGCGGCCGTTTTCGGTTGGGGGGAGCGCAGCCAGAAGGGCGGGAGCAATTTAGTATATTTCTGTAGACTATCCGTATAAGACGGATCGATGGGGACCACGCGAGAGCGGATAGTGCCCACATGCCTGGGCCTCGGGATGAAAGCTGCTCGGCCAGCCGTTGTGGCCGAGGCCGAGCCCCTCAGGCTTGCGATTCGATCCTGGGGGAAAGAGATGAGACTGTCTCATCAAAAAGTTTGGGTCAGCCAAGACCCCCTGTGAAGCTCACCGGACCATCCGTGGCAATATGTCTCCGCTGGGCGCGTCGTCGTCAGCGCCAACAACAAAGACAAGCCACGTGTGATGGCTGAAGAGTCACCGGGCGAGGGAACGGAGCCGGGGCAGTAAACCTTGCTCCGAGGCTCCTTAGGGACGAAGTATCTCTCTCATCGTGTCCCCGGTAGCAACGGCTGCCTGGTTGGTCGGGCTCGGGAGCGCGTCTCCCAGCCGACCGCATGGCTGGTGTCAGTCGGGCGGGATTCAGGAACATGGTACTTTTGGCTCCGACGGGGTTCCAATTGTGGCTCAGCTCGAATACGCCTGTGCGTGTATACGCGGAGACTTTTTAGATTCCTACTAGTAGAGCCAGCGTACCGCTCGTATCGCGCGGCTCATCACGAAGGCTTGGAGTGCGCACGCATGCGTGTTTGAAGACACACGAAAGGGACGCTCCCACCGCGGCCGCAGCAATCTTCCTACAGGAGTGACACAACCTTCGTACCATAGCCGTGCCCAGTCCTTTCTTTCTGGTGTACAAGCAGGCCCTGCACGTCTTACACCTGTATCGGGAGACGCCGAGGAAACTGGGGCCCACTTAGAGGAGGCCTAGATTGGGTTTAATGGGACAGCACGAAAAGCACTGGCCCGCCTGTGGCTACTGTTACGGGACCTAGTCTGCAGAGACTTGTACGTTGTCACTGTGGAGCCCGGGCAGCAAGAAAAAAAAAACCAGGCACGGCTTCTCTGTGGTCGATGGACATTGGGCTGATCAGGGAAGAGAAAATTCCAGATGGCGAAGTGGAGATGCATGGACCAAACTTTCTGGAAGGGCGTCTTCTTCGCCCTACTGAGCCCCTGTTTTGCCTGTCTGCCTGTGAAGATTTTCAATGCGGCCTGTCGCCAGGGTAGCATTGGGCGCGGGCCCAGAGGGCAGAGCACAAAAAGGTACAAAACAGAATCGGGTGGAATCCGACAGTCTGGGTACTTTTTTCTCGTAAGCCATCATCTGCAGGTGTGGTTGATTTGGCTTGGCTTGGCTTGTCTGTCATCAGGCTGCTAGCATTGGCATTTGGCATTTGCATGGGGGGTGGGCATGGGCATGTCGGAGTCGGTGAAAGGGCGGAGATTGGGGAGATGAGAGAAAGCCGTCCGTGGGCCAGGACGAGAGGAGTCATCGTCGTGTCAGGCTAGGGCTGGGCTAGGCTGGAGCTGCTGTGGGTAGGGTGTCTATTGTCTCTCTGGAGCGTATGGGATTGGTGATGACAATAGCAGATGCATAGAGGGTGATTATGAATCACCCATGGGTGCAGATCTGGTCTGGGGGACGTTGCACGGGAGACGATAGCACGGGGTGAATCATTTCTAATCACCCAGCAATTCGGATACCACCGTACGAAAGCCTTGAAGCCACCTGAACCATGACAGGGCAGCCATAACGATCCTATCATGGCTGGCAGAGCGGAGCGCAGCATCGCATCACATCACATCGAATGAGTGTGCCTAGCGATTCTGGCTGCATGCTAGTGTGTGCCGCAGCAGCAGCCCAGGCTGACAATGCGCAACGCTCGTCGTCGTTTGGGACCGTAACGAGCAGCTCGACCCTGTGCGGGATGTACCGCCGGTGCCAGAGTCACACAATGCTAACTCCGGCTGTCCAGCAGACGCAGGGTAGCAATGTGCGAGACACCGCTGCCGACGCCGACGTGGACGCCGAAAGCGATAGGGGTGGGTGGGTGCCAGCTAGCCGGCAGTAATGCAGTCCAGGCCGGGGCGGAGACACTCGGCCACAGGATGATTCATCGGCCTGAAGATGCGCCCTCGGCTGCAGATTAGATTTTCTTGATTACAGCACGCGAGAGCTAGTAAAGTATGAGTACGGAATGACGGAGAGTGGATGGATGGATGGATGGACAGAGATGGATGCGTATAGATCTGCCATGGATTTTCGCTTGTGTCTTGTATCCATGTACACAGGCAGGGCCTTCGGGATTGGGAAGCTGCCCGGAGCGGGATTCAGGCACACGCTGCTTGTAGCAATGACTGCTTAGATCATTCGATCCGTTTGAGACAAGACAGGGGGGCAGGACGACAACAATGCGTTGCTGGCGTCGTGATAGCAGGCACCAACGCTACATATGCTGATATGTCAGGCAGTGTAGAATTACTAGTCTCAACGCTGTATGTGGGCGCAAGATTGAATGGATGAGATGGGAGACGGGTACGAGTGTGAGCACGGTCGTGTCATGTCTGGGTCAGGTACATGGACGATGTACCTGTCTAATGGACTGCTTGCGACATTTGCTCACAAAGCCTCGCTTGGTAACGGCTTGGCCGCATGGGCATGGTAATCAATCAATCAAATCAAATGTCCTGCCGGCTGCCGTGGCTGCGTGTCCCTTTGTCTCCGACGGAGTCAAGACGGGGGAATGAGGATGGGATGGATGATGAATAAACGAATCCATGGGCGAGTGAAGGATCTGGCTGACACAGGCTGGGCTGGCGGGCTGCATGGAGATAGGGCGGCGCAGCATTTGTCAAGCGTACCGCTCCCACTCAGGACGGGCGGGCGAGGTACATGCCGCACCGAGGGCGTGCTGGCAGTTATGGCCGGCCGGGGCCAGTCCAAAACCCGACGTCGGGCCCATCGTTTGTAAGCCCGTCTCGTCTTCGCTGGTGCGCTGAGCAGAACCTCAAACCACCCCTGTCCCACCCCCTGTCCCTCGCTGGCCCTCGCGCATGTCCTGTGCCCGCTGACTGCGGATTTCCAAACCAACGAAGGCCGAGTGGGCCCCGTGGGCCCCTCCACGGCTCCGACAAGGACTCCAGACGGGTACGTACCCACAGGTACATCCACCCGGATCCTCAAGGTACCTACATGCTTCCCGGTCCTGCCAGCGTTCGTGCAAAATCCCAGCCTGACCGTCTTTTCGCCAAAGGAATTAAAAGAATCGTCTCCCTCCCCTTTTGGGACCCCCCAGAGATCCGATGGTTCTTTTCCTTCACCAGCCCCAGCCAGCAAAACAAACAATTCCGGTAAACAAGCTTCAGAGTCAAGAGTCAGTCAGTTACCAACAGCCCAAGGCAGCCTTCCACTCCTGCCAGACAGCATCATCGCCATCATCATCACCTCACATAGGCTTTTGCCTTTTTTCTCCAACCACGGCTGCTCCATCAATCTTCAAGCGTAACGGCCACCCATCACTCCAGGGAGGCGAGCGGTGACTAGACACATCCCTGTCCCGCAATTCGGACCCGCACCGGTATTGGCTTGCCTTGAGTCACCGACTAGCACAGACAACAACAATTCCGCCCACAATTGCACCATCTCACACAACAATAAGAGAAGAGCCTGCCCCTCTTCGTCTTCCTTTCACAATGCCGTCAGCCACAGCAACAACAGTCGCACCCTCGCCAATCCTGGCCTCGCCCATCAAGAAGAAGACCATGAGCCTCACCCAGACATACTACCTCGCCCACAAGGCACGGGCAAAGCTGTCCCACGAGGCTGCCATGCCCGACCACAACCTCCGCCTGCTCGTCGGCCACGCCAACCTGCTCGACAGCCTGATGCTTGAGCTCGCCGACGCCGAGAGGGAACAGGAGTCCTGGTTCAACCAGTCCGTCAGGAACGCATCGCACCAACCAGAAAAGAAGGCCGAGAGCAACAAGCACATCCAATGGGCCGACACCATCGTCGAGGACGACGACTACTCGGACTCGGACTCGGACGACAGCGACATGGAGGACGACGAGGACGTCGAGATGGCCGATGTCGTCTCCCTGAGGCGCGTGCCCTCAAACACCAACTTCCAGAAGACGGCCGCACCGGCCAGCCCGAAGATGGAGGTCGTCGAGGTGGACATGGAGGAGGATGACGACGAGGAGGACTACGCCGAGCTCACACTGACGAGGTCACCATCACACTCCCTGACATCGTCGCCACCACCAGAGCTGGAGCAGGACTTCGACGAGTCCTCAGAGGACGAGTCGATGCCTCCCTCACCACCATCGACGATGCTGCCGACCTTCGAGCAGAAGCAGAAGGGATCACCAATCGTTGCATCCGACTTCTACGACGACGGGTACTACCTGCCTGCAAGGAACCCCGCGAGGCTTGTGTCTGCGATATCAGTCTACTAGAGAGCCTGATTATCCACACGCACCCCCTCCACCTTGCATTCTTCTCTCGTCCTGTCCTACTAGTCCAGCGATTTTACTTGATACCACTTCTGCATAGCACCGGCGTTGAGATTTGTCCATGATACCACATTTCGGCATCACATGGTTTACGGTCACGGTTACCAAAAAAGGGTTACCTCCAGATTGGGAGGTTCATATTACAGTTGTCACCACTCAAAGAGGCATCGAAGGGGGGGATTTCTTGGGGTTGCGGATTCGGCTGCATTGGTCAACTCGCTCCCTGGCTCATCCAGCTCTAGGTTGAGTGAGGTACACAGCACACAAAGGGCAGTGGTGGCACAACAAGGCGGAAATCCCCCTACTTCTACTACATAAGCACAACAATCAACCCAGAACAAAAACATCTTTGAAACCTGCCTGACTTTCTCCCTCCAAAGTGATTCGCGCCCGTAAGCAAAACACTGTTGCAACATGACGATGGCGACAGGCGATTGCAATGCAGGAGCAAAAGTCTAACCTTGCCTGCCCACTGCTGATCACAGGGCTCGATTGCGAACCATGACACAATCGCGAGAACCCCTCGTGCCGAGATCGGATTGATAGATTGATTTGATTAGGGCGACTGACTGACTGACTGACTGACTTTGACATGACTGGGCGTGTACTTGGGGTAAGGTACCTGCTGTACCTGGATTCAAGTTTCCACGTACGGCCTAGGCTCGCCTCGGGCTCCTCGCGCGCTGCGAGACCCCCCCAAGTCCCGCCCTGCCATCCCAGCTCCCGGCCGCCTGCTCGCATTCGCGAATAACGTAGCACCCGTTTCCTCGGGTCGGTATGATTCATCTCTGCCTACCTCTTCGTTTGCTGCTCCAGCGCGACGGGCTGCCCAGTAGAGCGGCTGCTTGTCTCGACAGGGGTTGGCAGGGGCGCGCGGGCTTTTTTTGCCTTTCCTGGGGGCTGGAGAGGGACAGAAGCCCGTTCCTCCGCAAACCCCAGGACCCAAACGAGAGCGGATTCTCGAGGCGGGCGTCAGCCAACCTCGGGGTCAAGCCTTGGCTCACACCAAGGGTAATTACTCTAGTGCAGCCTGGGCGGAAGGGCGTTGCCCTGCTGTTGCGGGACTACGCAGGCAGGGTCGTCGCTTTGCTTTCCAATCATGCGGATGATTCATCATCAGCCACGCACCATTAGTCTATCACGCTGCCGAGCAATTCACCAAGACGGCATCAATGCTCGAGAGGCACACTCCATTAGGCCGGGGACTAATTAATACTACGTCGCGAGATCGCCGAGGGTATGACTTGCGATCACAATCCCGTCGGAGTCTGCCCGATCGCAATCAACGGGGCACGTGTGAGCACATGTGTGTATGCCTGTATTACCGCTGCCTATCCGAACCGAACAGGACAAGTACGACACGACACGACAAGCGCGGGTAGAAAACCCTCCGGGGCGGGGAGAGGATGGAGTGCGCCAGGGCCGCCGATCTGGCAGGTCTGGCTGACACCTGCGGCTGCGGTTCAATGAGTTGAATCTCTTTTGCGTCCGGATCCTTTCGAGATTGAAATTGCGCCTCGGGGCCGCGTGACCGCATTGCGCACGACCAACCCGCCCCCATCCATAATGTCCCCGCAATGCGTTGCACCGGGGCCGACCAAGTCAGGTCATCTCAGGTCAGGTCGCGGTCAGTCAGTCGCAAGCCCAGCCAGTCTTTCACTGTTTTCAGCCGGCGACAGAGCAGGCAAAGCCACGATGGTTCAATCTCCAGGTGGGGTTGGCAGGAAAAGATGGGGCCCATTCTGCCCCGGCCGGCCAGACGAGGGGGCCGATATCTGGGGCAAGACGGGCTCAAGGCACTTTGACGAGACGAGACGGACGGGGGCTTCCTTGCTGTCGGCCCACTCTGAGTGAGAGCCTCTCGTTTCGTATCGCCCATCGTTGAATGGGGCGGGCCTGATAAGTGGCCACATGCACTGCGACATGTTGTAAGTCACCAACAACCGATCGAGATCAAAAACAAAATCAAAACCAAAACAAAACAAACCAACAGCATACGGCATACGGCACAGCACAGGCACAGGCGCAAGGCACAGGAGGCACAGGATACGCCCCGGTCGGCTGCGAGGCGTCGGCTGACATATACTCGACGCCTCGCCGCGTGTCAGCAGGAATACAGTTCCTCCGTGCCACCCCCTTGCGCTGCCTATACCACTGGCGTTGTCCCCCCCCCCCCATCCCGTCGGATGGTCAGCACCTTACGCAGTAGCAGCAGAGTGTGTGTGTGTGTTTCAGGACCGAACCGGGGTCACGGGTCGCGGGCCACGCGCGAGTTTAAGGACCCGACCCTTTTTGGGGGCCGCTCGTTCCAGGTCAGGTCGGCTTGGCCGGTTTGCTTTGCTAACATAGTAGAGTCGTGCTAATAATGTTAATGCACATTACGTCGGCACCACCCATTCTACCCAACGTGCACATGCCCGTTGGTGCGGTGCGCATGTTTCGGCTGCGTGACCGACAGGCAGATAGGCAAAGGCTAGTGTTACGGTTAGCTTATTAGGAGTCGGGGTGCGTTGGTTTTTAACAGAGCACACCGGCTGACTGGGCTGGACTGAATGACTTGTGATCTCGCCTGGGGAGCCGAATTAGGCGACCGATTTATTTGCATGGCCGCACGGTAGTTCACTTTACCCCTTATCGTAGCAGCGCACTCGACTGTCTGGCCGTCTGTATGCCCAAATTGTCTTCGTGCTCGAGTGACAGACATTGGACCATCCTGTGCGATGTACCTTTAATGTCCACGGTGCCCATGTAATCACGTTGGCTGGGGCACCTCTGCTCCGGCATTTGATGATTCCGGGGCCGGAATATTGTGGGTCTCCTGGTCCCGCAGGCGTCCAAGCCCCGGCCCCGGCGTGGTCACCACCAGCCCGGGAGAGGAGCCTAGGGGACGCGGCCTCGGCCCCCGAGCTGAGCTGCTCCTCGGGCAAAGCTGGCAAGGTACACACACGCGCAGTCTAGGCTGATGGTGGAGTCGTTCCCTCATGGAGGCCTCATGGAGGTCCCACAGCCTGGAGTTGCCAGGTGGTCCCGCAGGACCCGTCCGACCCTCGTGGCAGAGATGCTGGAGTAGGCGGTAAGGTAAGTCTCAGCGCAAAGTTTCCCAGTGCCCGCCAGTCCGCGCAGCGGTGGTGCCAGCCTGGCCTCGGAGTCGTCCGAGCTCGAGCGACACGCCGCCACGGTCGACGTGGATATCTAGATACCAACAGTAGCTAGCTGGCTGGCATCTACGCCGCTGGGCTGGCCAGCCCGGCGGATCTTCGGAAATCGATTGTGCTTCTAGAGGGTGGCCACGTCCAGCAAGCAGCATTTATGCCGAGCAACCGATGCGACGAGGTTTTGTGACACTCCCTCTACTTGATCACCACACAAAAAAAACTTATTCGACCCGGGTGGTGCGGTGTTGTGGCACGCCGTACCGTCCCCGGAGTCATGAGAGCTGCCGTTGCCCATCCAGGCCTGATCGAGGGCTGGGATGAAGCTTCTAGACCGGATGCGTGTCGCAGGCCTCATATGTCTGGGCCTCTGATTCGGCTGTGCGTATCGCTGGCATTGAAGCTTGTGCGTGTCTCTGGGGAAAACACTGCTCCCCCTGCAGCGTTAGCATCAACTCGCTCAATCACCGTCGGATATGGTCTGTTGTGAGGGGCCCACGTCGGCCAGCCACGGTCCATAGCACAATGGAAATCACATGCTCCCGCCGACGGCGCTCCGCCCTGAGACATGACTCTCCCGAGCCGGACGGTTCTAGAACGCAGGTTGTCGGTCGGTGTCGGGCAGTGACTGGCTGCCTGGCGAGGCGGTTTCTGAAGTGGGTTCACGAATAATCTGCAGTGGCACTGCAGAAAGGCGGGCATGATCGTGAGGAACAGCCTGTCGGCCTGCCCACCCATACGGGTACCATACGGGTACCATACGGGTACGGGGAGGGGCCACGGGTCTTGCTTGCAGAGGGGCATCTGGCATTGTCGTTGGCAGTCTGTTCCACCAGGTGAAACCAGCGAGAGTCCACTCGCCTGCAGGTCCAGAGACCCGGCGGGCCAACGATCGGCTCAGCTCCTCCCCCCTTCGGGTGGCAAGTTTACCATGGCCCGCAGCCGAGAACAATCTTTCAGTAGCAGCAGCAGGCACTGTAGCAAGCAGCGCCAGCAAAACAGGCACCCGGCCTTGGAAGGCCAGACACGGGCAGGTTGGCGGTGAGTCGTGCATGCAGATCAATGCAAGGCAAACTAATGGCCCCCCCCCGTTGCCCCGCAAGGCGGCGGGCGCAATCCCCCCTGGCCACGCAACATCAGATCAAAGGTACTCTGTGACTGCACCTGCGCACGAGCAAGCCTCTTGTCTGCCTCAGCCTACCCTCCAACGGCGAAACTTCGTCCAAATGCTGGAGATATAATCCCAAAAGGGGCCTCCTCAAACGTGAGATATGCTTTGCGGGCACAGACGGCATGCAATGTGAACCCGAGTCAAGGAGAGGAATCTAGGCTCAGCACGTGTGGGCAATCCAGGGGGGCCGTCCCCCGGATTTGCCCAGGATTTGGAAAGGTGGCCAGCCAGAGGAGGGAAAAGGGAGGAGACGGAAAAGCTGATCTGCATCTTATCTAGATAGGCAGGTCCGGCACGAGCGCGGACCGCATCCGTCCCCGTGCTCCGTCGCCGGCGGGGGTGGGCCCTCGGAGGGCCAAGAGACCCACTCGAGGAACCAATCTCTCAAGGCATCGCCATCTTGAGCTGCGGGTACGCAAAGAGGCACTGAAACTTTGCTACTTGTAGAGATCCCAACAATGCCGTTGTTAGGCAGAGACGGTCCAGTATATTATTGGCAAATAGCTCGGCCCGGATGCTTCCACGTGTCGATGTCGATATCCCGGAGCGTTCCGCCGAGGTGGGCTCCGGTGTCAATTACTAGTCCCGAGAATGAACACGAGGATATCATTCGCGAAGATGAATGACATCTTGCTGGCTTCCTGCGACGACCTCGTCTGGAATTCAATCCGCTATGCTGTAATTGACCAGACAACAATATACAATTTCTATTCTCACCCAGGCGTCTAGCCTCCATCCATGCACAATATTGCTACACTGCGTTGCCCATCCAGCTGCCAGCTATCCGCCATTTATCAACGAGATTCCTCCCGCACGAATATAAGTGGCCTCACATAAACAAAGCGTGTGACTCTTTTAGTTTCGAAATCTCTTTTCCTCCTCAGAGTCTCCCCCTCGCCCGCCCTCGGCCTCCGTGCTCTGGCTGTCACTCGCCCCACCAGCCGCCTCACCATCCACGACCACCTCCCCCTTCTCAGCCTCATCAGTCTGATCCTCCTGGTGGTGGTGCTTATTCTTGACGTCCGTGGGTGCGAACCGGGACCTTTCCCTGATCTTCCTGCCGTACTTGTAGAACGCGAATGGGATGATAGCCAGCAGGGTCCCCACGCCGCCGACCAGCGAGCCGCCGCCGCCAACCCCGAGCGCGGTGAACATCTGCCTCGTGAACAACGGCGCGGCCGCGCCTGCTGCGGACCGCAGGACTGTGTTTGCGGCGATTGCCGAGGCCGCAAACATGATATAAGCATCGACCAGGTCTGTCAGGACAAACAGGTCAGTCTCCTTGGTGTGAGATGGGGGATGTTCGTCTGTTGATGGTCACTTACAGTTCAGGAAGGACACGAAAATAAGCAGCATCGAAGCGGAGAGGAACACTCCCGCCAGCGTCGGGACGATCCAGTGTACATAGTTGAAGTTTGCGCTCTGTTAATCCACTTTGTTAGAAACGGTCAAGCACCTTGGAGGAAAGACTGTCGTTGGAAGAGAAGACAGATCCTTGAGTGACGTACCCATGCCAGCCAGAACATGCTCGCGGCGAATCCGGGACCGCCGTACATGGCCAGGCGCAGCCTATCCTCAGGCCCCGGCTTGAAGCCACCCTGGACCTTCTTGCTCTGGCTACGGGAGTCGATCATGACAATGAGAGCTCCGATCGCCGCGCCGACTACGGTGCCGATGAGTGGGAGCTCACCAACGCCTGAGTTCCAACCGCGCATTTGTTGGAAGACGATAGCTGGTGAGTACAGTCAGCAAAGAAGATTTCCAGGCTCAAAGGAGATAGACGGTAGAGGGGACCCCGGGGCTCACGGTAGATCGAGAAGAGCATGTACAGGAGCAGGTACACGACCGACATATATATCGCACACAGGAAGCTGATGGTATCGAAGAAAATGATCCAGGGCCGCGTCAGCGCAATCTTGTATATCTGCACCAGGGACTGGTTCGTAGTCTCGATGGGCGCCTTGACATCCTCGTAGCCCGGTATCTTGGCCGCCCTGATCCGCCTCGCCTTCTTCTGCAGCAGCACAGGCGCGTACGTCTCGGGGACGGTGAAGAGGATTATGTCCGTGAACCCAGCCAGCATCAGCAGGACGTAGAAGCTCCACTTCCACCCGTCGACGCCCTTGGTCAGCTGCAGGAACCCGCCGATGACGGGGCCGAGCGCAGGACCCGCCCACACCATGAGGCTGAACCCGGCCATGGCGTTGGCGCGCTCGATGGGGTTCCACACGTCGGCCAGCACGCCGGGCGCGTTGGACAGCTGCGCGCTCACGAAGGTGCCGGTCAGGAAGCGGCCGACGAGCAGGCTCCCGAAGTTGGGGGCGAAGGCGCACAGGAAGTTGAAGGCGGTGTACGCCAGGAATGTTATATAGAAGATGATCCTCCGACCGTAGAACTCGGACAGCGGCGCAAACACCAGGGGTCCCGCGCAGTAGCCCAGCAGGAACAGCGTCACCGTCAAAGAGGCCGCCTCGGTCGAGACCCCGAACCACTCGGAGATACTCTCGAGGCAGCCCGACGGGCTGGACGAGGCGAAGGTCGCGTTGACGACCAGCAGCACCACGCAGAGGGTGATGTAGGTCCGCCGCGCAAAGGACCAGTTCTGCGGGTTCTCGATATCGCCCTCATCGAAGGCGACGTTGCCATCTTTGTCGAGATTCGGCGGTTGTTCCCCGGAGTGTATGATGTGGTGGTTCCTGTACGGCTTTGCCGTCGGCCGGGAGAGGATTCTCGATATGCTAGTCATGCTCGTCACGCTGGGCGAAACCGAATGCAGGCTGCAGTCGTCGGTTTCGTCGTCGCTGTCAAGTATAACAAAGTACACTGGTGATGGAAAAGCAACGACGGTGTTGTCAACATCTGAAAACCGACAGCAGCATGCACGTCTCCTGCAGCCGGGTCGGGAAAAGCTTGACGGGCAGCCATGGTGAGAATCAAGCCTTGGTGCGGCGGTTTGTACGACCCGGGCCTCACACCCAAACGTCAGATTAGAAATTGTTTATGATGCACACATGGCTCTCTGATTGATTGACGTCAGGATGCTAGCACGTATCCGGACTTAAAGGGCCGCAATCAGCGCGAGCCCACTGGTTTGGAGGGTCAGATCGGCAGTCGGAACCGAGCGGAAACATAGGGGTCTTGGAAGATGCGATCACCATTGTCTAGGCAAGATCGAGTTTTGGGGGCCTGCCGTTTGACCGGTCTATGCAGACTAGTCTTGCGTGTGCGACGGTGTCTATATGCGCATCGCCGTCTACGGATCGCTATCACACTTGCAGACTGCCCTGAAGACTACTTCGACGGTGGGGTGGATTGTAGATTATACAGAGAAAGACACAATAGTTGGCAACCAAAAAGGGCCTCTCAGTTGCGCGATCGAGGTGCTCTTGCGCCAGCGGTGGCTACTTTAAGTATCTGCACTTGGCACAAACAAAAGGTGTGATCGGGGATCAAGCACTGAGTTCTCGTCATTAGTACCCGATTGGATTCCAGATCTTGGACGTCTAGCAAACGAGAGGCCAGATTAAGTTTAACTTTGCGCCTAATTAGTCAATGCATGGTTACCTCGTCACGGCTGTACTCCACGTTTATAGTGGTATTTTCTGGGTAGCCTTCTCTATTGTGTGATTGTACTCTCGTTATCTGGTGATAACATGCAGTAATGGGTCTGGATGATTTCAATTCTGAAATCTACGGGCGTGACAGAAGATAGTTACAGGGAAGTGTGGCCGGAGCTTTACGCTTAACTGCTATGAACTATGGTGAAGAGATCATCCCCCCTCCTTTCCCCGCCCCCCAAGTAGAGAAGCATAGTCCACAGCGCAACTCGCCGGGCGCTTTTCCCTATGACTGTTATGGACTCTGTGACCTAGCGTTCGGGTTTTGCAACTCCCTGCGCTTATCTGTCCAATGCAAAGCACCGCTCAGTGTTGGTTGTGTTGTTCCCCCACCAATTCACCATCGCCGTACCTGTGGTGCCAAGGAAGAGGAAGATAAACAACAAGTTCAGGTTGAATCCAGTGTCCAGCGCAGCGCCACTAATGTACGCCCACTTGTTCCACCATACATGACGATACCTGTAAAGATAGTAATTGAAGACCGTTCCGACAATAATGGTGGTGAAGGGGCCGGTGCTCAGGTTTCCGCGGAAGGTAGCCGCGCTCGCGAAGAAAATCGTCGTGTTCCAGAGGTCGAAGCGGGCGCGAGGGAACCTCTGGTGCAGGAACCATATCAGAGCCGGCGCGACGCCGCCGACCAGGAAACCCCAGAGCACCGGGCTGAAGTACGAAGATGCGAACAGTTTCTTGGGCCCAACGAGCGCGTACATGATACCTTCCGTGTTGTAGCTTGTGAAATCCTGGGCCGTCCACTGGCCGGATGGATCAATAAATTGGAAGACTCACCTTCTGGTCCTCCAACACTGCTCGGGAGTCGTACCACGTGTTTCCCGAGATCTAATAATTGGACCAATTAGCAGGTGCAAGGCAGCGCAGGCGAGTCGGAACACACAATACGGTACGCAAGCTGTCCAAGAGGATGCCTGTTCGAACCTTTTGCCTCTATCATGTCTGCGGAAAGGAGCATTGAAGTCAGTTCACGAATTTGAAGTTTGAGTCACGAGACCACTTACAGCCGTAGACAAGCTCATTGAATATGCCAACTTTCATGGAGTACCCCGAAATTGCATAGACAAGACTCATGGGCAGCATTGCTGATGCACCAAAAGCAATAGCCACGACATATGTCCACGTAGACATCCACACAAAGCCAGTAGCCACAATTATCAGAAGTAATCCCAGAGGAATCACAGCAAGTATCAACCATTCCCTAGAGAATTATCAGTGTCGTAAGTTGCCTACGATAACACCAGACTGCAATCTTACCATTTGGTTACATCAGGATATCTCTGCTGGATACGGCTGCATAAGGTTAGGCCGGTTAGTCCTATCCCATAAAGACACATATGACCTAGGCTGTCTTTTTTTCGACATGGATGCTGACTCACTTCAGGCGATCAGTGCGGAAGGCTGTCAGATCTTTCCTGTTCTTCCACAGTTGCCGAAGCTTTGGGGCAAGAAACAGCACGGCCCATACACATGATGAAATATATGAGGCATACCACTGAAGCGCCGTAATATTAGCAAGTGGACTTCAAATTTCGGAGATAGGTCGAATTACGTACCATGAAAATTCCCCATGTAAATTGCGCTCCCGCATAAGATAAGCCGACCTCTTCATATCTTGTTTCGTTCACCTGTTGGCTGCCGCTCGAGTCTGTGTAGACTTTGAGATTGTTAGCAAATGGAATCATTGGAAGCGATTCTAACACTGAGACGGCGAGAAAGATTGGCTCGCAACGGTTTCAAGAGAGACCCACGCAGAGTTTTGAACGGGTAAGAAGTTCCGTTCTTCGTGAACAGTTTGTTGGACATGATATCATAAGTAGGCGAGCCCCAGATGTTGCCAAAATATGCGATGGGTATCAAAATCCAAGTCTGCAGGACGCACTCGTTAGCTGGTGTATCCTGAAAAAATGGGATACATTGTTGACTCACGGTTATAGCAAAGGCGACAAATATAACGAGTTGGACACTGTTCAGCAGCATGTGTCAGTGAACTTCGTTCCTAGAGACTCTGAAGTAGTCTTGAGAGGTCGTCTGTGTCTCATCCCCTCCAGCCCGGAAATGGGAAGATTTTCAAAATTCGGCAAGGACTTTCTGCAGGTGATGATTATAACTTATATCAAGGGATGGGCGACTGACCTGTACGGATAAGTGATAACAGTAGAAGTTATGTTGGACCAGTTGAGTGTGATATTCAGCAGACCGATGCCTCATTTACCAGATCCGAGGAAATTGATTTTGTGGCTGTTGGGAGCAAACCAGCAGAGCGGTGCCAGAGCTGCCACCATTGGGAATGCAAACTCAGGAAGAAATTGCCAGGCGAAAGTCACCGTCGATACTATGTAGAACATCTGGACCACAAATTGTTAACCTTCACAACTGATCCTAAGCACGCGGAAAACAAGTTCGATGCATTCGGACTGACCTTCATCTTATTCTTGGCTAGAGCAGAGTGCAGCTCCGAAGTACCTTGCATGCTGCGATACAATGTGACCTGCTGCAGGGACGGTGGGAAGATGAACTCTGGGTCATCAATCAGGATTATGCGGACTGTTCTGCTCATCAGCAGGCAATTCAAAGTCCAGATACAGGGCTCTCAAGTACAAACCCATGGCAGCAAACGCGAACCCCAGTAAAGAAGCGCCCTGGTCTTCGAGTCAGCATCATATCGCTCCAGAGCGCGCAATTCTTTCCCGGGAACTCACCCAACCGAAGAACAGAGAGACAGCTGGGTTCATCGTCAGACCATCTAGCGGGTTGAATCATCAGTCTCATAGCCGAAGAAACGCCGGTGGAGTCCATGGTTTGACCCGTGAATGGCAAAGCGGGAAAAACGTGAAGCGTACAGAAAAGGCTCGCATTTGTTGGCAGGTACGCTGGAAGATGTCAGGTCCACTCTTCATGCTCGTCATGGGCCATCGGAGTAGACACTCACTAGCCCATTGTCCTTGGCTGCCCGAATTTGCAGCAATTCCTATGATAGCATGCTCCTTGATGGAGAACGGTCCCGGGTTCAACGTGAACGAGAATCGGCCTAACGGGACCCTATAGTCTGGAAGTACGCGGGCAAGGAGTCGACCGAGAGGCTGCGAGACCAATATCACGAAGAATACGGGGAAGACAGCACTCTTGTCAAAGTCAGCGATCATCCACGCGTTGAAGTGTCGCAGTTCAGTTGCGACCTACTGTTGTTCGGAAACTAAAGAATGTCGGAGTTAGCCAGTGACCAGTGCAGACTCAATAGATAAAAAAAAAAAGAAAACGCATAATTCTTCGTCTTGGGACATTACAAGGCCATTCCTCTTGGTTAGTTCTATAAATGAAAACTTACTATGATAGTTGGGAGACAACACTCCCGATGATACAAAAGACAGAGGCAAGAAGCACCGATCTGAACGTTATAGTAGGCAATGTTGGATCATCCTCGAAGCTGACAACGTTTCGAACGAGATCTGATATGCTGGAGAACTCCTCCGAGTCGAAATCATACTGTGGCTCATCGAGTGAAGCCGTTTGCTCCTTTGGTGCCTTATCGTCTTTTTCATCGGCATCGCTCAATGTTACATTGGATATGGCAGGCGTTTTTTCGTTCGCGGTAGTAGCCATTTTGCTAACAAATGTGAAAGATCTGATCACAACAACACGCCGCAAATGCCGCCGCTTTTTGAGAGCCAAGTCAAGTGGCCTCGGGGAAGCAGCCCACTACAAGTTATACCACAGTCGAAGTCATCCATCAACTGGTGGCAGCAATCCTCCCCGGAAAACCTCCTTGCCTATCTTTCGACCAACGACCCTGGTACGCATACTCTGACATCCCATTTCTTATCCGGCAACATGCAATAGTGGACCAAAATGAGATCTATGCAGGCCATGCGATATTCGGTATGCTGGTATCATGGTTCGCGCATTTGATAGCGGGGTGATTGGTGCACCAGCTTTGCCAAGGCCTGCTTCCAGACCTGGGGGGAGTGAAGCTAAGAGCACGCAACAACTTGAAGATATCACACACATGAATGTACAGGGACTATTAGTCGGGCCGTGGGGGTCCAGAATGTAACATCACACGGCAATAAGGACCGCTGGGCTTGATCCGACGCGTAACACACTCGTTCAGAGATATGGACAAATCTCGTGCTCCAGTTGGCAGAGCAAGTGAAGTCGTCTTGACTTTAGCGGCATGACTATGCCCGCTTCGAACCCAGAGTTCTTTCGCCATAGAATTCGATCAGGTTGCTCCGGACACGGAGAGGAATTACATGGAAGGAGTGGTAAATTCTATGCAGTTAGGTAGCAGAAGTACACTGGCATTGCACCCCCGACATCGAAATGCATTAAATTACATGAGAATTGAACATGGGAATTGCAATTCCGGTATTCACGGACCGCGCCGCAATTCGTGGACCCACAGGCATCGGGATGGCTGACAACTCCCCAAATTCTCAGGAGAGGGTACCGATGTTCATTCACGAGATAATATCTTTTCATGGACATGTCGCGTTCGTGCAGATCTACTGTCTACGTCGATCAAATGAATACATTTGGCGCCGCGCATTTTGGTTGACAGGCAAGTCGGCATACTCAACATCGTAGCCGTACCTGTGAGCGTGTAATGCAGAGTTATTGTAAAACTGCATATTGTCTCATAGGAACCCTGGCTGAGATGCGATGTCGCGCTCGATATTCTCTCCGTCAATAAACATCAAAGCGTCTGAGATTTAGTGTCACCAGCGTCTTCGCCATGGAAAATGACCGTGCTGGTAAGATGGACGCTGTCTATGGCTCCAGAGTTTCATTAAACTTTTGGCGCCGCATCAGACAGCAGATGCGGCACATGGATTGTGGGGACTTGAAGTCAATTATGATGATACTCTAGAGCTGACCTCGTGGTGTAGTATCTGGTAGTTGTATGATTTTGTATTACTCAACAACCCCGAGAACTTTAAACTAGGCCCTCCCGTACCGCGGATGGAGGAGGGTCAGTAATAACATAATTCTTAGTTACCACTGCTACCTTGACTTTGCTCCTCAGTGGTGCAGCGCGTTGAACTGCGGTTCTGGCCTGTACTGACCGCGCAGGTCTGATCAAATACCAAATATAGGCTTGAGCGCGGCAGTGAATTTCTCTTCCACAACTACAATATTGATTTCCCAGCTCTCAAATTGTACCCAACAAAGACACTTTGCTCACCCATATCCTGAAGCCAACATGGCCACTCAGTCCCCATTGAGATTCGCTGTCCACGTTGCAGCCCCCATTCCTTGTGTTGACTTCGTCAATGGGATCGAGGAAGGAAACACCTGGTCTCCGATTTCATGCACTTTAGTGTACTCGGATGCCGAAGCCGTTCTTGTCGACACCCCCACCACCATCGACCAGACAAAGCAGTTGATTGATTGGATTGAGAAGATAGCACCAGGCAGGAAGCTTTCGTACATCTACATCACTCATGGCCACGCCGATCACTTCTTAGGCCTGTCGCAGCTCACTCAGCGCTTTCCCGAGGCGGTTGCGGTGGCTACCAAGGCCACAATCCAACACGTCGAGCAACAGCTGAGTGAGGACTACTTCCCCAACACCTGGGAGACTTTCTTCCCCGGCGGCCAGATCTACACCCATAACCAAGCCGGTAGCCCTGTCAGACAGCAATGAGTTCAAGCTGGAAGGGCGCTGGCTCTTCAAGGCTATTGAGGTCGGGCACTCGGACACATACGACTCGACCGTTCTCTGGGTTCCAGACCTCAGGCTTGCGGTCTGCGGTGATGTCGTCTACGGCGAGGTGCACCAGATGCTCCTTGAGGCGAACACCAAGGTCAAGCGGGAAGAGTGGATCCGTGCAGTGGAGCGCGTCCAGGCCCTGGATCCGGTGTATGTTGTCGCGGGTCACAAGAAGGCAGAGGAGCCAGACGCGGCGTGGCACCTTGTCAACACCAAGAAATATCTCCTCGACTGGGGAGATCTTCTTAGGAAGTCTCCCAAGGACCCGCAAGAGCTGTACGGGGAAATGGTCAAGCTTTATCCGCACAGGTTTTAACCGGATGCCCTTGCTTTGGAGTGCCGGAGGAGCATTTCAGGTACCAGAGCAGTCCAGGATTTAGGAAGCAGCTCTCTATACGTTATCATGAAAGCTATGCTATGTGACGTGAAGCGTTCTTTGGATCTTGTCCAGCTCTGAATTCTCGTAGCGTGATTAGTGACTGCTTTCACCCTCTAGTGTATTCAGTCCAACAGGTTCTGGACGAGAAGGCAAAGGATGGTGAGCTGATCGCCACAGCACCTTAAACCACGTAAGAGTTTACACACCCAACACCCACACCCAACACCTACACCTAACATCCATACCCAACACCCACCTACACACCCAATACCTACACACCCAATACGTACACACCTAACTTACACGCCTAGTTCGACTTGGGCGCGTGGGTATTGGATGTGGGTGGGCGAATTAGGCCTGCGTGATGTTCTGGTGTACCCTCCGTTTTTGCAGGTGCGAATCTACGATCTCCATAAAAAAGGCTGGGATGTGACCGACGAAGGATGCAGAGCATCTTGGGTACTCGGGCTGAAGGTGAGAACTACTCAGGTGTGTCATGGCATGGCTCATCCATGGCGTATGCTTCAACATCATTCAGCAGGCTGCCTCAGTAGTCGGAAGGCCTCTCGTGTCCATATTCCTTCAGAGCCCAGATTCGCTCTTCCTCGAATGGCCCTTCAAGCCTGTTAGAATAGATCGGAAGTCTTAAAAGGAACTAAGATGGAGAGAAACTTGCCTCGCATGCTGGATAATCAGATGCTGGGTAGATGGAGATGTATGAAGCAGGTAAATGAGCTTTTCTAGCTCCGGTGACTGAGGGACGGTGCTGCAACCACAATTATGATTGACATGGATCCTGAGGGTGTCCAAGTTCGTGACATGAACACTTGCATAAGTGACATGGGCATTTGCATGAATGCACTGGTTCAACTGCTTTTTCTTCTGTGTATTTGGTGTCGAGTGTTGTCGTTCGCGCTGGCTCATATGGAGGTGCCAACATTGGGATAATTCCCTTGCACATTGCCACACACATTCCGATACAATTCATGATGAGGATCACCGAAATGCATATGACAAAGAAGTTGGCATAGAGCATCAAAACCTCTCCAGGTCCTGAAATTTCTTGAGGCGTCATGATAAGGTGAGGAGCAGGGTTAAAAGTATTCAAAGTGTGATGGGTGCAGGTGGGTTGTTGGACAGAGCCAAGTGTTGGGTAGGGTTTGGCTTGAAAGTCCAAGGGCTTTTAAATGCCAAATTGCTCAATTGTTTATGACTGGAAGCACTTGTAAAGAGGATATCAAACTATAGCATGATACTAATGAGAATTTAGTACAAATTTTGGGAATGCTAGCGGCGAGCTACCATCTGGTGTCCACAACTTGCTGTGTGCATCCCTCACCGCCCAACTAGGGACCGAGCTCATAGAAAACCACGGGGCCAGCCATGATACTGTGTCCCAATGCCAGCGGGGCTTACAACTTGGACTCGGGTGATGGAACTGGCTTGTTGTGCTTGAACCACATTCTTTCCATCTCTGAGCCAGTGGGAGGAGGCACAATGCCGTCGATCTTCCAAAACTTCCGAGAGCCTTCCATCACACAATACTCCCAGCCCATGCCCTTCTTAGTCATCCTTGGAGTCAGGATCTTATCTACCGCTCGGAGAAACGCCTGTTGGCGTTCCTCTGGGAATTCGCCCACGTTCTGGGCTACGTGATAGATGGAGATCATGGTAAACTTGGGATGAGGGTGGCCTCCGTACCACAGATCGTCAGCCGCGAGGGGGATAAACTGCACGTTGACGTAGAAAGCAGGCAGCCCGCTGTCAGCGTAGAGCTTGGTGATTGCCTCGGCCAAGTCCTTCTTCTCTTCAGCAGTGAAGGCGCCGGCGGAGTGACCGAAAGTCCAGAGAGGCATAGTGGCGGTGGTGGTCGAGATGTGTGTTCTGATCTTTTGACTGACGGTGAATTAAGCACGAGTATATTGAGGCCAATTTTTTGTCAAGACAGAAGACGCTCGAGTTCACCGGCTACATATTTGGAGAAATGATGTCCATCTATAAATCATGGCAGCCAGGCGGGTTGACGTGTATGCGTAGCAGATTCAAGGGCAAGAACACACCAAGAAGCAAGCAAGACGTATCATCTCCGCCGGCAATTGCATTTTGCTTCGTCTTAATTCCCCGAATTGTCGGATCATGCCGCTTTGCAGCTTGAAACTTAGTCCATTGGAAGCGGGGATTTCTGTGTATGATTAGTTGTGAATGTGACCGAGGCTCCGGTTGTATTAGTGATCAAACAAGACTCGGCATCGCTGGAGGTACAGCCCAACCGTTGATAGACTCTGTCAATCAAGACCAGAGGAGAAAGTTTTTCCAGGGTAGGAGAAAGAAAAGGCTTCTTTCGCAAGAGAGATGAGGATGCCAAAATTTAACGGAATGAGTTCGCCCATTGGATCGACTACGGATTGGATATCATAGTATACGTAACTGTGTCGGGCATCATGAATATCCCATGGGGATCAATCAAAACCTCCTTGGTATCAAACACGAGACGTTGAATCATCAAATACTACACTTTGGTGTTTGGTTTGTGGCCTTGGAGTCGGCATTCATGAGTGGTGTTCCCTCCGTTCCGGGCCAGCAGACAGAGGCGTTGACCAGCGGGTTTAGTTTGTCCTCGAGAGCCCGTGACCAACGCCGCTGCACGCATGATGGAACTTATCCTTGTTTTTACTGGGCCGAGGGCGAGCCACCTTCTCTGTTGACATGTGAGATGGCTGTGATAGGCACGGTGCTGTATGAGGATGGAGTTTCGTCGTGACGAGACAGATCACGCAAATAACATCCCGCAGACTTGACACGAACAAGTGAAGCGGACGGCGCTCGGGTGTTGCTCTCAAGCTGACCACTGAAGCTGTGTGAAGTTGATAGGTCCGATGCGTAGGTGTCAGCATTGTGTGCATTGCAGAACCCATTCCGGGTGACAGGTGCAACCGTTGCTATTCCCGTGAGCAAGTACATGGATGGTCGTCTGCCACAGAAGCTGGGGCGGCAGGGCGGCCTGCATGGACAAGGGACCCCAGCCTGAGCCGCCGTCACTCCAACCCCCACCAACGTCACCTCTCAAAGAGCTTTGGCAATCTGCAACCAACTTCTAAATAATTAGCAGGCAACCAGCGGCGACATCGCATCCAACCTCTGAACATCGGAATATGCCACAGCCCTCTACCCCAGCCGTGGACGAGTTATCAAAAGGCTTCTCGAATTTGTCTGCAAACACACAAAGCCCGACAGCATCTGCGCCATTCTCGTCAACCTTCCAGTCGACCTTCCAATCTCCGGGCTTCACCTCGACCTTCTCCAATAACTTCTCGATCAACCTTGGGCCGCCCAAGTTCTCATCCATCAACCTGCCGGCCACAGGCGTCAACGTACCGCATGTCAGCTCAAAACTACGGCCCGCTGCGGTGAACATGGACGCCGCCAGTGGCACCCCACCGACAGAACCCGCGCAGGGCCAAGACGCCGCCGACGAACACTTGCGCGAAAGGCGCACCAAGTTCCGGTTCAAGTCGAAGCGGGCCCCAAGATCAGCCTCGCCAGACCGCGAGACCCGGCCCCACCGCCGCCACCGCTCTTCCCGGCGCGACCACGACGGCGAGGATGACGAGCAACCCCGCAGCCGGGCAGGGAGCCGCCACCGCTCCGAGCGGAGCCACAGGCGGCCGCGGCACAGGAGGCCGCGCCGCGGCGACGAGGATGCAGCGCCGGCGCAGGGCTTCGCGGACGAGGGCGGCCCCGCGCTCGACCCAGACGCCGCGTTCCGCGAGTCCCTGTTCGACGCCATGGCCGACGACGAGGGCGCGGCGTACTGGGAGGGCATCTACGGCCAGCCGATCCACATCTACCCGCAGGAGGTGCCGAACCGGGAGACGGGCGAGCTGGAGCGCATGACGGACGAGGAGTACGCGGCGTACGTGCGGCAGAAGATGTGGGAGAAGACCCACGCGGGGCTCATGGAGGAGAAGGCTAAGCGGGCGAAGAGGCGCGAAGAAAGGGCCAGGCGGGACAGGGAGGCCGAGGAGAGAATGGAGGAGGAGAGGAGGATCCAGCGGGAGGTGGAGAGGAGCCTGAAGCGCGGGGACGAGAGGAGGAGGAAGAGGGAGTGGGCGGAGCGATTCCGCGACTACGGCACCGGGTGGGAGAGCTGGGATGGTGGCGCGGACAAGATCTCTTGGCCGACGAAGAGCGGGAGGCGCAAAGATGTTGATGAGGAGGAGGTCCGGGCCTTCTTCGTGAGGGGCTTGGACCTGGAGACCCTAGGCGAAAAGGAATTTGCGGCGAAGTTGAAGGAGCAGCGAGTGCGGTGGCATCCCGACAAGGTTCAGCAGAAACTTGGAGGTAGGGAAAAGGCAGACGAGCGCGTCATGAAGGACGTCACCATGGTCTTCCAAGTCATCGACACCTTGTATGATGACATACGGCCCAAGTCCAAGTAGAAGTCTTGGCCATTGCATAATACGATACCCCCTTGAGTATGAACACCTCGAGCACGACGTAGATACATTTGTGGAGGAGTTATGTTGGCACTCGAATAACATGCGCTTCCTATTTGCAGAACTCGAAAGCTTGCTTGGCTATGGTCTGTCTACAAGGCATTCACTCTATGATTCAACTAGAACTACATCTGGTCGTGTATAACCAGCTTGGACCCGCCACAATCAAAACGCCCATGCCTATGCCGAACGTCCCCGTCCGCAAGGAATTATTACAACCTTATAGGTATGTCAAAGGCTCGAAGAGTTCTACAGTAGAGGGATATGCATCGTGGCAGCCGCTACCCCGTTGCGGGCGGCGCACCAAAAGAGAACCCAATATTCTCGCGGTCGTCGTCGATGACTCGGCCGTACCTGAAAAACTGTTAGCATGATATCCACGAGAACAGGAAAAAGGGTCGACATACTCCAGCAGTAACCTGAAGAACCAGACTTCCATGTCTTCTTTCCTCAGCACCTTGTTCGCCCAGTCCCGTCCCTGCAGCGCAATCCTCTCTGCCTCCTTCTTGCCCAGGTCCCCGTCGCCGAAGAAACGCACGGACTCGAGCCATTCATCGCCCTGCAAGCTCAGCGGGATGTAGTGTGCCCACCCCTTGAGCCACTCGTAGTGCCACTCCCTGAATATCGAGAACTTGTAGATGAGACTCCTGCTCCTCAGGAAGGCGTAGAACCGCCCCGAGAAGGCGTTTCCGTCAATGTCCAGGAGGTACTTGTACTGCCAGGCGTCCTGCTGCTCGACTCGGCTTGTCACCTGGAAGAACTCCTTCTGCGCGTCACAGTCACCCGGGTCGCACTGCCCTACGTGCGAGAACTGCACGCTAATGATGTCCTTGTAGTCTCCCCTCGGCACTTCCTTGACATCCCATTTGGGGTGGGACTCGTCGCCGCGGTTGGCGAGGATTTTGGCTTGATCCGCGGCATTGATTTTCTGCACGAACCGTTGCCGGTGCTGTCGCCTCCACCCACCGTTCCGAGAGAACCCGCCAGTGGTCGACCCGCGCCAGTACAGCTGATCATTCTTCGTGTCCCAGGGCTGATCCTTCTTCTCATCGTAGCTCACCTTCTCGTACCAGTACCATGGAGAAGGGTATATAATATCATTGTACGATGAGATCTTGGACTGCGAAAAGATAGGGAACAGATCGTGCACGATGTTGTATGCATTCGGCCGGTCGAAGAACCCATATGTCTCACTTAGCGAGGGAGAGTAACATATGTCTGCCATGGCCGTCTCGTTGTACACGAATCCCAGCTCGCCCAGTCCGTACTTCTCGACGTCGTCGATCCGCTCCGACTCCTCGATCGCGCGGGCAGGGCTGTCGGGCGGGCACGACATGCGCGAGTGGGTCCAGGTCGGCTGGTGGGCGAACACGTTGAAGCGTGTGAGCTTCGTCTCGGTGAAGTGCGACCCTTCGTTGAGGCCCTTGGGCTTCTTGGTGAACTCGTTCCGCGGGTGTGCGACGGCGTTGGCAGCCTTCATGTTCTTGTTCTTGGCCACGTCCACGAGCCGCACCATGTCGTCATGCGGCACGACCACCCGTGGCTCGTCGTGGATGTTGAAGCACAAGTCCATGTTGGGAAGATGTTCTATGAATGGCCGCATCATGCCTTCGGTAGCGTCGCGCTGCCAATCTCCCCCGCCCTCTAGGTTGGTGATCTTGCCATGGCGGATCTGCACGCCCAGCAACGCATTTGCGAACCCGAGTGCTTCTGAGGCGCGGCTGCGTATTGTAGACGGCTTGAGTCCCCAAAAGGGGGTTATCAGCTCGTGGATCGTGTCGAATTCGTCGATGAGTTGTACACCTTTGCTTGTAGCGAACTCGTACCACTTGTCGAAGTTGGGCGGGGGCGGGATGCCATACCGCCTGCGGTATTCGGTCACGGCCTCCTGCAAGGACTTCGACTGTCGCACCTTTGTTTCCTCGAGCTTCGTCTCAGCATCCTTGATGAGATGCCACATGGGGTGTGAGCCGCCGGGGGCTGGCTTGTGTTTGATGCGGGTCGGCGCATCACCGTCTGCGGCTGTGTCGCTGGAGCTGTCGCCATCGTGTGCGTGTGCCGGCCGGGTATCTGCAGAGTTTGGTTTCGAGGCCGGGGGATCTGGTGTGAGCTTGGGCTGTTGAGATGCACCGAGTCGCAGCACTGTGTAGGTCAGGAAAAACGCGAGCACAATCGCCCCGAGGGTGAGGATCTGTCGCGGTCGCATCTTCCAGACTGTCTCAGTTCAATCTGCAGAGCGCAGCAGGCCGACCCCCAGTTCCTCTGTCGGTCCGGAGCGAAAGGGCAGCCTCCGTGTGACATGCGCGGGCAGATGGTGGCATTGGGAGCTCTATGCCTTTGGATTCCGCGCCCGGGGCCAATTGTGGAGGTGAGGAGATAGATAAGCCAGGGACAAGTTGCGCCTTCATGTATGAAAGCTGGATTTCCCTGGATCTTGAGGGCAGGGCTTGGTGCCAAGCTCTCATGCCTACTCAATCAGGGGCCAAGGCGTTAACGAGTACCTCCGCATCCATGCGGTCACCACAGGGTTTCGGTGCGTTGAGGAAAGCTCGCAAGTACTCATTAAACGTGCCGGGACCTTGAGCCTCGACCGTTTTCAGCCTGGCCTAAGAGCGACGTTGGAACTCTTGCAGATCCGAGCAATAAAACCCGCGCATTTCGATTCGTGGCAGCACGAAAATCCTACCAACTTGGGCGAGACGCGTGATTAGAGCGGGAGAAGCTCTACTAACCATCTCCGTTCTTGTTCCAACCCACCTACGCGTGCTGGTACCAATTGGCCCTCCTCTCTACATCGGCATCCTGAGGGAATCGAGGGCTAAGTTGAGTTTGTGCTTAGCACGCACGCACTGCTGGTATCAATTTGGCCAGGCCTTTATATACTCACCAACACGATTTATGATGAGATCGGTAACCCGAGGGAGGCACGTTTACGATAGACAAAGTGGTCCGGCACGAAATCATGGAACCGGAGGCCGAGCACGAGTTGTGCGATATACAATGTGCGAAATTGGCGTAGACTGGCTTGGATTGATGTCTGGGTCCCGAGGGTATGTATCGGAAATCAAAGTCCTATTTAAACCACTTCAAAAATGGTACTAGGTGCTCGTGGCACATGATCCCTTCACCCAAGTGATATTTTCCCGGACACCGTCCTTGAACGCCATTGCTCGCCACGTCTGCCCGACCTTTTTTATTCCTCGTCTAGTAGAAGAAACCGATGATCTTGCCAGAGACGTGCTTCCTACGGGCCTCCTCGTGGTCCATGATACCAGCGGAGGTGGTCAGGATGACGTAGCCGAACTGACGAGAGGGCAGTAGCCTAACGGTCCACTTCTCGAGGTCGGCCAGCTTGACGTTGTAGCGGGGAGAGATGACACCGGTCTTGTTGAGACTATCGAAAGGATTAGTGGGCATGCTCGGTTCCAGTCAAGATGCTTTTTGTACGTACCGGCCGTTGAGCTGGACAACGATCTTGCCAGAGCGGTGGTCGTCGACCTCCTCGAACTCGCCAATGTATCCTGGAGACAATACTGTCAGTGAATGTTGCGAAAGATTAAACGAAGACCACATGGGGATTTCAGAGAACGTGTAAGATCCTCGCAAGTTTATCTATCGGCAACTTAAAAGACTGGAGTCGTTGGAATGTTGAGACCGTCGTCTAGTTATCATGCCGAATGGGAAGGGGAGACGACTTGCGAAGTTCATGTACTCTGGTCCGGTGTGTTCGAGAAAGAGATGGCAGCCACATACCGTGCTTCTGCATGACCTGCAGGAACTTGACAATGACCTTGGAGGAAGGTCGGATCAGGACCTGGCGCTTGCCGGCCTTCTCGGCATTGTTGATGCTCTTGAGAGCGTCGTTGAGAACGGAGGTGCGGACCATCTTGGCGGTGTTGGGTGTTTGTGAAGGAGATTCTCAATTCGGACAAGAAATGAGGTATCTGCCAGCGAAGAATGTCATGTTAGCCCTCGGAGGCTCTAAGAGCGTGGAGAGTGCCCTTCTCGTTGAGAACAAATCTCAAGAGAAGGGTTCTGCCCGCCCAGCGTCGTGAAGGGAGAAGCGTATCGAGGGGATCGTCCGTCATCACCGCCCCTGATCGTTTGTCTCGGTTGCGACTCGGTAATCCATCCTCGATTGCTCTCCCCGGCCTTCGCGAAGGGCGCAGTTTCCTAAGGACACTCAAGTCATGGTGAGATGATCGTAATCAGTTCACGTACCTCGTGATGGTCTGTCGCGTGGTGGTTGGGGAGGCAGACAAAAGTTGACGAGGTTGGGTTGACGAGGTGAAGGTCGAACTTTTTTCGCTCCTGGCGACTTCTTTCAAGGTGGAGCTCCGGCAGGCTTGGCTGGCTCGAAGGTTGGTTTTGTGGGCTGCCAGCGCTGCCCTATCATGGCACGGGCCATATAACGGTCTGTGCACGCTGCTTCCTCACTCTGGGTTTTCGCACGCTTTTGCCGGCCTGCATCTTCAATTTACAACACTCCAAAAATCCCCCACGTTCGCCAATTTTACCTCTCCCTAAACCACAACATCTCTTCGAGGATCGCTCTGACAGCAACTTGAATAACAAACAAGCAAGATGGTAAGAACGGTCCCAACTGCCTAGATTGCTCGTTTCGGCCCGATCCCATGTGTTGGGCTCCCCAAAGGTGGTGGCCCAGGCGCAACCTCATGGGCAAATGACGGGTGCACTTGACCACTGCAATCCAGTCGTCACACACGGCCGAACGCTGTCAATTGAGCAAATCGAGCTGACATGATCTGTTTCCAACCACAGTCGGACGTAGAAGAGAACAACGCTCCCGAAGTCGCCGAGGAGGTCGAAGTCTCCGCCGATGCCGCCTCCAAGGGTCAGATGTCCGTCCTGGACGCCCTCAAGGGTGTGCTGAAGCTCGCCCTCATGCACGACGGACTTGCCCGTGGTCTGCGTGAGGCGAGCAAGGCTCTCGACCGCCGCCAGGCCCACATGTGCGTCCTGAACGAGGCTTGCGAGGAGGATGCCTACAAGAAGCTTGTCATCGCTCTCTGCTCCGAGCACAAGATCCCCCTGATCAAGGTTCCCGACGGAAAGCAGCTCGGCGAGTGGGCCGGTCTCTGTGAGTAGCCCCTAAGACATGGCTCAGCATCTGCTAGGATTTGGCCGGGTTGGACACTGGGGCGCCGAAGTTAATACATTGGAAATAGGTGTTCTCGACCGTGAGGGTAACGCCCGCAAGGTCGTCAACTGCTCTTGCGTCGTCGTCAAGGACTGGGGTGAGGAGTCCCAGGAGCGCTCCATCCTCCTCAACTACTTCCAGACCGAGCAATAAACGACATGTCATATCGATTGGGGCGGGGCGTTCACTATTCCGGGGGGTTATAGATGAGGCATCGGGGCTATTTCATGGTCGCGTCCACAACAACTTTATCGGATGTACGACGAGCTTCGACGGTTGGCATGGTTCGGAAATGGGAAATTTGAGGCATGGACACCTCACGTACGGATTCAAAAAGGAAATCGAGCACAGGGCCTCCACGGTTCTTCGTCAACAGTGTCCACAATGCTGTGCTGCGCTTCTCGTGTATGCGTGATGCTAACTTGACCACCTCAGTCTGACACCCCTTCGCCACGCTGCGGGCGGCCGATGCTGGCACCGCAGCACCTTAACCCATTGCATTTGTACTTGATGAATCACGATGTCTTCAGTTGGCAGACCGTATTCCCTCCAGTCATACGTCTCAGCACCAGCACTTTCTTCGCCCAGAGCTAGCGGAATCTCATTCTTGACATGGACGTACTTGCTCTGAACGTAGGCGGCACCGATGAGCTTGTAGTGAAACTCATCCACTCCAGCAACAGCAACCTTCCTAAGGATGAATGGGCGGCGTGCTCCAAATATGACCACGCAAATGTCGCCTTCACGAGTGGATTCCGGTGCAATTGCGCAATAGCCTCGACCAAGTAGGATCAGCCGTCGATTGCCTGAAGTCGTCGTTGCAAAGCGCGACACTCGTTCGGCTCTTTTTGTCTGTCGTTGGAAATGTATCCAAATCCGTATTCTCGGATTGCAAGAGTTGTGCAAATGCTTGCATAGACTCTTGGAACTTGTCCCAGTCGCCGTTATGAGTTCCCTGACAGAGTGCTGCGAGAAATGCCAAGCTAAGGCGTTCCTGGTGAGGGCCAGGGAATTCTTCTGACTGAGACCTCATTTGAGTCCAGAGGAAAACCACTTGCCCGACAATCTGGGACGTTGGGGAGCCAAGCTGCCACTTGATCATCTCAGACACGTACTTCACAGTATCGAAAACGACTGCCCTAACTCGGAGAGCTGAGCCACCATTCGTAATTGTAACACATTGTACAGCTGGGTAGTCCTGCGGTGTGTCTCCAGTGATTATCCTGTCCATCGGATTGAGCATAGGCTCGGGATACCCTCCGACATCCCAGCGTGGAACCCAGGACGGGATAGTCTCCTGGTCAAAGGTGTGTTGATTATGTTCCACACAGTTTAGCAGGTCCAGGTCAGCCTTATCTTCGGTATACTTGATGGCGAAGCCCCGGTAGACGTCAAGATGCGATGTGGTCGCCGCGTAGTCCGGTTGCAAAGTCGTCCCACCCGATGTTAGCAAGTGCATCAAGGCGTAAATCCTGTCCTTTGGTTCTTTAACCTGCAAGGACCGTCCTCGTCCCAAGATATCGATAGTCGCCATTTCTTTGAGACGGTCCAGCATCAATTCGCCGGTAAACAGTTTAGACTCGTTCCTGCTTCGGGAAGCATATAGTTGCAAGTGGATGCTTGATATTTGCTTTGGAGTTGGAAGTGTTGTGGTGACGTGTTGAGCCCGAAGATTGAGCCAGTGATTGAATCTGAGTATGTGTCTCCATTCGATCTCAACACCTGCCCAAAGGATACAAGCCCTTGTTGCACGGGTTACCACCTGGACTACCCAGCCACGATAATACCAAGGATGTAAGATCATGGCGTTCCAAGAGGTCATCCACTTGATATCGGTGACGAGAGGATCAGTTGGCTCCACCTGTGGAAAACTGTTCCAAACCTCCGAAAGTCCAGGATCACCCAAGACGCGCTCATATATATCATTGACCTTACCAACCACCACGGAGACGTTACGAGCATATTCTGCTTCTGCTAGGCGCTGACCTACGCCCAGGCACACCATCGTGCAGCTAGATGTCTCATAGATCTGGCCCATCAAGGCTACCTGATATCCCTTCTCGTCGTTATCCTTCTGATTAATGCATATGGAATCAGCCCAAAGAGCCCGGGCCTGGTCGGGCCTGCGGACCTGGCGGAGGGCAGCGTCCAAATTCTTCGTGATGGGGAGCTTAGATCGGATAGAAGGACCGTCTTCATGCTGCCAACGAGAGGGTCGTCGACGCGCCCCTGCTGCAGGACGAAGAGGTGAATATGCGTTTCGCTCGGCAGGCCTTCATACTCGTAAAGCGGGAGACGCGAAGTTCCCGAAAGTTTTGCCTCTAATTCCCGGTGTACGTCATCAGAGGACAATTTGGCGGTGACGCTCATAGCATGAGGAGTAACCGAGCCCCACGGGTTGTTACCTACTAAGAGTTCGGCGGAGAACTGATTTGGCTTGGTCTAGGCTCTCAGGCATTGCAGCAAAGACGGAGAATCCACGTTGGCAGGATTTGCAGGGATTTGCGAGGACTAGGAAAAGACAGGGATACTTTGACTAGAATACTATAGGACCATAGGACTAAGCCACGAGAACTCAGAACGCCGGGTGAAGCTGAGAGTCAATTGTAAAAGAATTGACGAGGAGAAGAAACTAGAAATCATCGTATAATGAACCTATATGCCACGTTAGTGTGAACCGACATGCGACGCAAAATCTTAGTCCGATAAAATGTAGACCTGACCTACTGTGCCTCAGAGCCGCATCGGGAGCCGGTCGGTCGGCCAATGTATCTATTTTGTGCGTTACTACACTCCACTCCCTCCTTCTGGAGACGTTACAATGCAGCGCCGACAGCGCTTGCTCAGCCAATCAGTGTTCATATTTTGTCTCCCCTAAGCGACTAACTCTACCCACGTGAAACGTGAATATTTTTTTATGCGCAACCATGCATGGTTTACATTTCTGCTTGGGTATCAACAAGCAATCTATGAGTCTCACATTCAAACTTCCTCATAATGAATACAGATTGCCATCTAGGCTATTTCCATGACAGCAAGGAAGAATGCCACATTTCCTGCTCAACTTGTCAAGACCTACCCTTCCGCAACAGAACCTGGTCACCATTTTACATACCTAATTTTGAGGATGAAGGTCGGATTTGGTACACAAAAGTATCATATGAGTCGCTGCGTCAATCTTCACAAAAAGAATGTGCATATTGCGACTTTCTTTTCCAGTTTGCGAAGACAATGGTGGAGAGTATCCGCCCCGTCATGCCTGAGCTCGTCACGTTCAGGTTCGGTTGGTGGTGGGACGGGAGCTCAAATTTGTCCGTGAGGATAAATTATGAGAGTCTGACGGCGGATGAGCTTTTCCATCTCTATATAACCAAAGGTCAGTCGGGGTCTAGGTATCAGGAGCTGGTTGCTTCCAAAGGCTTATCCAAGAACCCAACAATCCTCAGGGACTGATTCATCCTGGCCGAATATTCAGATCGAGAGGCATCTTTCTCTTGACCGTGTTTCAACAGAGTGCGTATCGGTGATGAAGTCTTGGTTGTCGACCTGCCTTGAGTCACATCCTCAGTGTCGATCCGCAGCGTCTTTGACTTTGCCGGACCGGGTTCTTGAAATTAGTCGTTCTCTAGATGTTCGACTCGTTGAGAATTTTGGTGGAGAAATTACTGGCAGATTTATAGCTCTCAGTCACTGTTGGGGGTAAGTAGCTGCTCAAGCATTCCTTGACCTTGTTCCATTTCATCTTGATCCCAATTGCCAACTCCGGTAGTTTTGGACTGTTCAATAGGAGGGGCTCAATTCTACCTTGGATCATTGCTGCAAAGGGAATGATTTTAACCACAATAGTTCATAAAACCCATGCTCTTTCTGAGAGGACGTTTGATAGCTAATTCTGGAAACTCGCAGTGGAACGGTATCAATACAGCTCAATTCCGAGAGCATCAACAATTTTAAGCAGAGCATCTCTTTCAGTCATTTACCAAAAACGTTTCAAGATGCTGTTACAGTCTGCTATGCTCTTGATATCCCATATTTGTGGATTGACTCACTCTGTATTAAGCAAGATTCTCCAGAGGACTGGGCCGTGCAGGGCTCGAAAATGGCGCAGATATATTCCGACTGCCTCATCACTATCGCTGCGGATGCTGCAGCCAACAGCAAAGCTGGATTTCTGCAGCGGGTGCCAGATCCGGTGGAATCATTCGTGGTTTGCCACAAATACGACAAGACTCACACTCATGGATATTCTCAAGAGTACAAAGTGCACATGAGAAAGAATGTGGATGTGAGTTATCTAGGAAGTTTTCCCCACCATTATGCCGCCGCCCCAGATACATCGAAGAACCAAGAGCTCGGGAGCCACTTATCGAAGCGTGGATGGTGTTTCCAAGAAAGCCTCCTCCCTAGCCGGGTCTTGCACTTTGCCATCGACCACTTGAGCTGGAGTTGCACGACCGATGCTTTTTGCGAGTGCATGTATGGACCAATGGACCCAGACGCCAAACGATACCGCAGCCTTCTCTCCGATGGTTTCGAGGAAGGCCGTATAACAGACCGGGAAACGATGAAGGAAGACTGGCAGAACATAGTCGAGGAATATACTAGACGCCGTCTAACCTTCTCCTCAGACCGACTCGCCGCATTAGCTGGTCTTGCAGCCCATGTCCGCGCTGCACATCCCAACATTGAATACCTGGCCGGCCTGTGGTCCGATACTCTACCCCAATCGCTACTTTGGCATCCACACCCAAGAAGCGAGCGAGTGCAGCCTTACATAGCGCCGAGCTGGTCGTGGGCGAGCATCACCAGATCAGTGCGATGGGGAATCTCAGAGTCATTCGAAGTTGTCGACCAAACCCAGCTGAGGCTGCTTACTGCCGATTGTTCCCCTGCGGGACCGAACAAATACGGAGCTTTAAAAAGCGCAGAGTTGCTTGTGCAGGGCCAATTATGGCGTGTCAGGTTACTCGAGGTGGACACCTCTGGTTTCGCTTCCACCCGAATTCTGGAAGAGAACGGCACCAACTCATCATACATTCTGCCAATTGGGGGAACCTGGGACGTGGCTGGCGAGGTCATGGCCCTACACGAGCAAGGTGACTCCAGTGGGGATACCAGCCTTGCTGAGTCCAGCAGCTGCCCTGACGAGAGCGAATCTGAAGAGGACGGCAGTGCTGACGAGGAAGAAAGTTCCTCTAAAGAAGGGAGCTCTTACGATGATAGCTCATTTGATAACCACAGCCAGCCAGAGGCAGATGGAGAATTTGCACTGTTGAATGTTCTGGGATTTGTTTGGTTTCTTGTTTTGCGCCGCTGCGAGATGGAAGACAGACCAGACACCTTCCAGCGAGTAGGCATCACCTCAGCCTCTGAATATCATGCAACAAAACGAGGATATACTTCATCGATGAGCCTCGAAGCTCAAGCACTGGGAGTGACAAGGGAAATAACATTGATATAAGTTGGCCATTTGAAGCAATCTGAAGATGGGCTGAAAATGAGAGAAGCATGCCTTTCGCACCTCATGTGTAGAAGAGGAAAGTTTACTTTACCGTACAAATACATCATACGACACGGTCAGCGGCAACCGGCTTAAATATGCTGCCGGTCAGCAGTCAGTAGCTCCAATATGCTCTGCCGTGTTGTGAGGGCAGGGATCCCTAGACAAGATGACAATTGGTCAACAGCTTGTCAGCCCTGCTGCAACTGGAGGCCGGACTTGCTGACAGTGGGGTAGACGCTGGCCCTTGAAGATCTCTGACACCTTAGAACGTGTTTGACCTGTGCCTTGCAAGTAACATACGCGAGTCTAGCATAGAGGATATCTTTGGTTTTGACTCCTTGAAGATGGCTAAGAACAAGGTCTCAGGTCAAGGCAAACCGGCCAAAGGCAAGGGCAAGGGCAAGGGCAAGGGCCAGGATAAGAGTGATGTTGGTGGCAAGGAAGAGACGCAAGAGAGCAGCAGGGACCACAAGTGGAATAACAAAACCGACGAAATAAAAGTCAGGCACATTCTCTGGTGAGTATCACAATCTCTTTCATGGTTTTCGTACTGACACTTCACTGCAGTGAGAAACACTCCAGGAAGGAGGAGGCCCTGGCAAGGCTGAAGGCAGGCGAGAACTTCCACGACGTGGCTCTCATCTATGCAGAACACAAGCGGGACGAAGGCAAGTCATGCAGCGTAGTGCTAATTGGACCTGAACACTGACATCCGTGAAAGGAGGCTTATTGCCTAATTGGTACAAAGAAAATGAACTAAAGTTCAACGATGTGGCTTTCACATTGGAAGTCAGCTCTGTGAAAGATCCGAAGATTGGAGAGAAGAAGACGGATCAGGGGTATCATATCATAATGGTGGAGGGTAGGAGGAAGGCCAAAGGGCAGAAAAAATAAAAATGCATTACTGAGCAAATGGTCTAGTCAAGTACCTAGTATTTACTACTACCTGGTATCTCAATGCAGTGATGAGGCACAGCGAGCCATACTACAAGATACATTTGCCCCACTTATCACCACCACGAACAATTGGGAGCAAAGGGTGGTTGTATTGTATTCTATCTTGCACTATATCTGACTACATGTGAGTCAGAAATGATTTTGATGATTATCAACTTCCTTCTAGCACAGGAAAGGCCAAGCCTGGTCTGCCCAGTATTATCCGTCCGCTTGGAACTTCACCTGGAAGGCTTGTGTTATTCACACTCTGTACACACATGCGGTGGCTTCGTAGTTTGAGAATCATAGCGTCACATAGGGGTTTCGTCAAGACGGTATACTACACAGTCCCTCCTGCAGAATGACTGTCCACTGCTTGATTTAACTTAGGTCGCCTGACAGGCTTATATTTAGAGAGAGAGAGTTCTCCCTGTAGTTTCAAAATCATCAAATCTAGTAAGAGAAAATTAACCAGAAGACAGTCATTCATTTTTAAGACTGTGTCTAACACATTCCTGAGGCCCTTTTCCCGTATTGAGGTCAGTTACGTGATGTAAATAAAGCCTTAGACGATTCTTGCCTTCAAGAAGGATTATGCAGGGTACCATTTTAAACAGAATTATACTACACACTATGAAAGTTAGCTGGTAGCGAGAAAAGGTCCAGGTTCTGACCTTCTGGTTGATTCATTGTGAACACACCCCTTTCAGGCCCAAGTAAACCTAGAGCGCGACTAGTCACGGCGTAATTCTCGTCTTCGTGGTTACGGCGCGAGACTACTCATGAGGGTAAAATAAACATGATGAATGGTGCCGACAGGTCCGAGGGGAAGAGCGAACCCGCCGCATAGAAATAGCAAGCCCTGCACCGACAAGTAAAAACGATACTCCAGCCCAGCGCCATCAGTCTTTCTCCTCTTCTTCACCCTCAGGGTCTTCTGAATACGGGACAAGGTCCGTATCAATATCAGATATCCTCCTCCTGTAGAACTCTCGTACTCCCCCGGCTCCGGTCTCTGGGGCTCTGAGGCTGTTCAGTTTCATCTCTGACTTGAACGCACGACTCCGGCGCCAATGACCGCGTTCGATTCTCTCTTCGTCCCGTCTGATTATCCACTCCGTCAGTCCTGCATCACCTTCTGTTTGCTTGATTCGCTCTATTTCCAACTTCTCGTACAGGCCCCAGTCGTCGAGCTGGGAAGGTCTCGGGATGTGGAGGATCTCGTCCATCGGTGTCTGGCCTGGCACGCGTTCGAGAATGAGTCGCATGGAATACATGTCCGATGCTTGGTCGAGCTTGAGGCTCCAGCTTTTGAGGACATAACTGCGGAAATTTCAGTTCCCAATGATTATGAGCAGCATCTAGGGCCACGTTCACTTACAGACCGTCGTATCTGAGCCCAGCCGCAGGGGCATACATGCTTTTCAAGCGGAAACCTCTCAGGACCTTCATCTTCTGTCCCACCTGTGAAACCAGACTGTAATGCATATCGTGTTGTGTTCCGAGGCGGCAATACTCTATTTTACCGTCCGGTAATGTCTCCTCACTTCCTGTCAAAAGGGGAAGTGCTGCAATGCCATACCGACCCTTGGTCGGTCTTTCGAAGGCAGCGCCGACAATCCCGTCTCGGTGCGCGCAGCCAATGTTCAGCCACCACCTGCTCAGGTCGTCAGTCTTTCCTTGTCTCTCCGCTATCACGAATATGACGCAGAAGGAGAGATACTAACGTTCCCGGGGTGTAGTGCAAGGTCACCTCCGCTTCTGAGAGCTGGTGTGCGATCGGCTCCTTCGGCGACCATATGCCCAGTCCGTCGGAAGCTATGGCAGAGAACGAAACTTCCCGAAGCGCATTCGAAAAGAGCTCTTCAAGGCGATATTGGTCCAGGGCGAAGTATTCCGACTTGAAGCGGGCGCGCCAGTATTTCTGCAAGCTCTGTACCTTTACAATCTCGGATCCTAGTCCCACCTCCGCGATGGGTGGTCTGGCTGAAGAGCTTTCGATCTCGTACACGTAAATGATGTCGGCAAGCAATTTATCAAGTCGGGTAGTCTGGATGGTGGAGAGTGTGATCTTTTGACTCGCTTGGATCGTTGCTGGAGCTTTTGATGGCGTCTTGTCATTGATTTCGTCCACGAGCATCATGTCCAGAACAAAGGCCAACTCTTCCAGATCGAGCAGTGTGAGCGTCCTTCCCTGGAATAAGGCGGCACGGACGGTATCAGATAATCCGAGAAGCTTTGAGGCATTCCTATTCGGGTTGTTAGTGATTTCTTTGTTTTCTTTCCCCCATTCCACCTTTTTGGCCCGCACGAATGAGCATCGTTTAGGAGACGTTTGATCAGTTCTGCAATTGTCTGTTCTCAACTGACACTGCCTTGGCCCAATGCGTGATACACAGGCACCGCATATTGGTAGTGAATAGGCTCATATAAGGAGCACAGAGTGCTCCCATTGTATGCCTTACATAGGCATGTTCAGGGTGGGGGAAAGAACGGGAACAAGAATACTGACCAACCAATGTCACTGATCCAAACGCTTAAATCACTGCTTTTTGACCCGAGTGATCCATTTGTTGATACTCTGGGCAGCGTGGCTGATTTGGCCACCAGTCAGTGGAAGGCATGTAAGAAACTAAAAGGTCCCGTCAGGAGTGGCAGACTCACGACTTTGTTCGGCGCTGCCGTCGTAGGAATCCGACCTCGGGAGACTTACCTTCCGAAATTGCACATCCTGTCCGGGAATCTTGTCAACACGGAGACGCATCGATGTGTGGCAGTGAGGGTCGTGGGCTTACCTCTAATGGATCTACCACGCGGACGCGTCTCGACTGCGGCGCACTCTCTTCGGATGAGGAATATCCACGGTGCAGGTGCATTGCCTGGTAAAGGCTAGTCTCCAGGTTGCGGAGGCAGAAGCCAGCATGGTTTGGGTCATGATGAGGGCCATCCTGACCGGCTTGTTGCCAAAAATGCTTCTTGTGAAACATGGGCTCGTGGCGTACCCGAGCCTTGTCCCGGGTTTTGTGTGACGGCATCATCAAAAGATTTATTTGGAGACCGGTCTTCAATCACGTAGAATCTGTCTGTGGTTCATAACGGATGGTGCAGATTCATGGTCAGCGAGCGAGATGAAGTTGTCTGTAGTGTTGGTGATGTTGTGCGAAGGCGGCCTTCCCCGGTGGATCGTCGATTCACCCGAGAACATACACGCGTAAGAATGAACATTGTACCTTCCATACTCACATCAACAGGTCCGCTCCTTCCGCTTCGAAGAATTTGTGAGACCTTGAGGGACAAAGGACGCCAGGTCTAGACGAGAGACACAAAGTGAAGGCGACAAGTCAGAAATATGCAGCCATCGAGTCTCCGGCACGACTCAACAAATGTATTTCCCACCATCAAACCCGGAATTTCGTAGAGAAGACCATTTATCTCTGAGAATCATGGAACTGAAAGCATGACCTCACTCAGAGCGCTCTTGAGAGCCAAAATCGGAAGTAAAGCAAAGAGAGAGGGTGAAGAGAGCTGCCTCCTCCAGAGTCCCAACCCTCAGGAGCATAATCCAACCTCGATATGAGTGGCATTTAATCTTTCGGCCGTTGGACAGTTTCGACGGACGGGTGTTGTGATGGGCATGAGAGTGAGAAATTATATTGGGAAAAAGAGTCCTCCTTCGTTCCGTCACTAAACGTCACGATACCGTGCTCAAGAGGCATGTGCCACCTCCACCTGGGCTGTTCCCAAACATGATGGAGTCATGTCTTGTACAACGTCTCGGGCCAGAAGATCCTTTTCGACTTCCACCGCAAAATCTTGAGAATTCCCGGAGGTCTCTTCCGGATTGGAGGACAAAAACTCAGAGCGTGATATCATGATGAGGTACAGGAGCTGTAGGAAGGACCGAGCTGCTGAGCCAAGGCAGACTGGAAGAGCAAACCATCCAGAATTCATTCGATACAAATTGGGATATCTCGACACTTGTTATTCAATAGTGAACATGCTGTCAATGAACTCCCAACGTGGCTGTCGGAATCGTCTCTGAAGAGCGTGGGTCGTGAAGACGATTTATGTTGGAGGAGGAAGAAATAAATGGCAGCGTTTGTGCTTGGAGTGTCAAGTTCCGGTCCCACCCAGGGGGTTCGGTTGACTCGCTCGGCAGAAGGGCCCCGTAACTTTGGTGCGGCCGGTGCCGTGATCGGCCCCGCCACGGCTGCGATGGTCAGTCTGCATTTGTCAGGGAATCTTTTCAACTCATGACGATTACTGCTTCCTCGCCGACAGCAGGCAATTGAAGCAAGGCAGCGCAGTCCCCCGACACCACAACCGCCAAGATGATAAGGCAAAGCGTACGGTCCTTTGCGACCAGCGCCATGCGCATGGCCGAGGCCTCGTCGCCAAAACTAGGCATTGCGCACGCCCAAGGAGTCGCAAGAGGGCTGACTGGAGGTACGACCCTCTCGACACATGCACACCTACCCTGTGTACTAACCTCCCTCGGCAGCGATCGGAAACACCCCGCTGATCCGCCTGAACAAGCTCTCCGAGCGGACCGGCTGCGAGGTGCTCGGCAAGGCCGAGTTCATGAACCCGGGCGGGTCGGTCAAGGACCGCGCGGCGCTGTACGTGGTGCAGGACGCCGAGCGCAAGGGGCTGCTCAAGCCGGGCGGCACCGTCGTCGAGGGCACGGCGGGCAACACGGGCATCGGGCTGGCGCACGTGTGCCGCTCGCTGGGCTACCGCCTCGTCATCTACATGCCCAACACCCAGTCCCAGGGCAAGATCGACCTGCTGCGCCTGCTGGGCGCAGAGGTCTACCCCGTGCCCGCCGTCGCCTTCGACAACCCGGAGAACTACAACCACCAGGCCCGCCGCCACGCCGAGAGCCTCGGCCACGGCAACGCCGTCTGGACCAACCAGTTCGACAACACCGCCAACCGCCAGGCCCACATCGAGACCACGGGCCCCGAGATCTGGGCCCAGACCCAGGGCAAGGTCGACGCCTTCACCTGCGCCACGGGCACGGCCGGCACCTTCGCCGGCGTCACCCGCTACCTCAAGGACGTCAGCGGCGGCAGGGTCAAGTGCTTCCTGGCCGACCCGCCAGGGAGCGTGCTGCACTCGTACGTCCAGTCCGGGGGCAAGCTGGTGGAGAGGACGGGGTCCAGCATCACGGAGGGCATCGGCCAGGGGCGGATCACGGACAACCTGAAGCCCGACATCGGCCTGGTGGACGATTCGCTGCACATCCCTGACGAGGAAACGATTGAAATGGTCTACCGCTGCCTGGATGAGGAGGGTCTGTACCTGGGCGCCAGCTCCACACTCAACGTCGTGGCTGCTCAGAAGGCGGCGGAGAAGCTGGGCAAGGGTCACACCGTTGTCACCATGCTGTGCGATGGGGCTTACAGATACCAGGACCGGTTGTTCTCGAGGAAGTGGTTGACGGAGAAGAAGCTGATAGGGTCAATCCCCAAGCATCTGGAGAGGTACATAGTCTTGCCATAATAGACGGCAGGGTCTTGGTTGATAGACATCAATATTCACAAGTTGTACATATCATCACGCCGCCTGTGCGGCCTCAGCCTCCTTCTGTGCCTCACTAGGTTCGAGGAAGCACTTCTCGTACAAGTACTTGCCCCGCCCCTTCTTCATGTCATCCGCCTCAAGAGCGCCCCTCACTTCCGCGGCTAGTGGTTCCCTCCGCAGCTTGATCTGGCTCGCAAGGTCGCTGCTCAATCCCTCCATGGCCAAGTCGAAGCCCTTCAAGATCGGTGACGCCGCCAGCACAAACTTGTTCTTCTCCATCAGGTACGCCGTGCCTTCCACGTCGACGTAAGCCTCATGCGGATGAAGCTCCAGAAGCCCCTTGCCCTCCGGCCACTGGCTCACGATGACCTGCGCATACCTGCGCATCTTGTCGGCGTGCTCGGTCTTGCCGTGCTTGACCGCAAGCATGGCCGTGAGGAACAGCGGCGTGGCCAGGATCTGCGGGTCTCTCTTCAGGGGGAAACGGTCCTTGATCAGCTTCGCGCGCTCTTTGTCCCTCGTGTGGAGCTCGTGGCCCTCCCCATCCAGGACCTCCAGTATCCTCTCGGCGGACTTGAGCGCCGTGTTCAGCGACGAGATACTCCACCCCGCCTCGGCCGCCTCCCACACGATGAGGCTCATGATCTCCTGGACCTTCTCCGACATGTCCAGCTTGAATCCCGTCCTCTCGGGCCTCTTGACGGCCTCGATGATGGGGCCCAGGTTGCCGCTCATGCCGGCCTTCCTCACGATCTTGGGCCAGTCCGACACCTCGAACTTGCGGCGCGCGTTGTGCTGCAGGGCCTCGAGCAGCTTGGGAAGCTCCTGCCAGTCTTCCTTGGTCTTCATGTTGTCGAGCGCCTGGAAGAAGATCTTGCGCGTGTTGGGGACCTCGCCTTTCCTGTAGTCGAGGTATCGGAACTTGAGGCGCTTGCCGTCGATCTCGATCTCGATGGGCTCGAGCTCCAGCTTCTCCCTGTACCGCTCGCGGAAGATCTTTTTCCTCTGGGTGAGGGGCAGCACGCTGGGGAGGATGATCTTCTGCTGCATCTCGTGGAGGAGGCCGTCGAGCTTGGCGTTGGACGTCTTGGAGAAGGTGATGACATTGCCTGCTTGCCGTGGCGTCGAGGCCGAGAAGCATCTGGATTGCTGGGACGGTGGTGCAGCCCGTACTGAGGCCCCTAGGGCAGCCCGACCTGCCCTGAAGGCAGGCCGTATGAAGTTGTTGGACATGGCGGCTGTGGTTGTCGAGGCGCGGTGCAGCTGGTGCAAGCGTGTCCGGGCCTGCTGATCGCAAATGTTCAAAAAAGTTACCCAAGTTCATCCAGGACTACAGGGGTACTTGGGTACATGAGCGCGTCTGAACCCACTTTAAAGCTGCGGGTAGCCAATCAGCCCTGGCAATTGCCAGCTACCCGCAGCACCCCTGCGTGAACTTCGTAGTCCCCAAGAATTTGAGAAGACGATTGTCCACCACCGTCACATGTGGCACCCTCCGCCCTCGTCGCCGTCATAACCCACACCGGCCCATCATGAATTCAGCACCTATACGGCGGCCCCTGGGCTGCCTCAAGATGGTGCTACGGCATTCAAGACAACAGAACCGGTCATTCCGCCTCAGCAAGGCCCAGCTGCCTCGGGAGGTCCCCCCGGCGCCTAAGACGCCCGCCCCCGGATTCTGTAGGTCGTCGTCCACCTTTCTGCTCGGACCGTGGACAACGGCGAGGCTGACACACACGCCCCCTCACACGCAGTCCCCATCCAGGACAAACACACCCCAGACAAGCTGCGCACCGGCTTCGCGGTCTACACCTCCCCGACGAGCGTGATCCCCTCGCTCAAGCTCACGCACCCGCACCTCAAGCCCCCGCCGCCGAACCCCGTGGCCGCGCACCACGCCTACCAGATCCGCAAGATGGACCCCTCGGGCGCGCGGACGCGGCTCTTCAGCAAGGAGAACCCGGACAGCGCGCGCGTCGGCGACATCCTGCTGGTGACGACCAAGCGCGCCGCCGAGCCCTTCGCCGGCGTGCTCGTGAGCGTCCGCCGCCGGGGGATCGAGTCGTCGCTGCTGCTGCGCGGCCAGCTGGCCAAGACGGGCGTCGAGATGTCCTTCAAGATCTACAGCCGCAACGTCACGGGCATCGAGATCATCAAGAGGCGCGCCAGGCGGGCACGCCGGGCCCGCCTCACGTACCTGCGCCACCCCAAGCACGACGTCGGCAGCGTCGAGCAGCACGTGCGCGAGTGGCGGCGCAGCAGGAACGTCTTCGCCAGTGCTGTTGGCAAGGGCAAGAGGAGGCAGAAGAAGAAGGTCGAGTTCTAGAGCGGGGGCTCGCCGGGACGTGTTTTGGTGCCGACGACAGAGAAGCGATGGAACAGGATGGCCTCCATGTGCAGACCCCGAGAGCGTTTTGTTGCGTTGGCAGGAAGTTAGCGGACTTCTGGAGCATACTCCTCCATGCGAGGAAGTATTGTGCTTCACTAGGGGCCTCGAGGGGAAAAGACGAGCGAACCACAAGATATTACACGCCCGTGTCATTACCGGTTCGAGTCTATGTACGCACGTTGCCATCTCTCTGTCCCTGAGGAATGCGTGCTTTCCCAATAAGCAGAGGCGCAATGATGACGGTAGAAATTGTATTGTACAATGAAAAAGGCAAATGTATGCTGCTGCTATCCACTTTTCCGGCACCACTACAAGAACACCCCCAGCCTCGAAGAAAACGCCCCGAATTGTAATACATGAGTATCCCAGCGTGTAAAATGACGACTACCGACCCGTGAACCAAGGTATGAACCTCTCTTCCTCTTCTTTTCTATCGCTGTATGCGCCTCCCATGCATGAAAGCAACCGCCCAAATTCTCTTTTTTTTTTCCCCTGGTGGACCTCTTCCCATAGGGTGGAAGAGCGGAAGGGACAAAGTCCACCAGATGGATCACAGTGGAAGAACGACAAATAGATGCTCGGGTCTTAGACCTCCTCCCTGTCCCTGTCTCTTTCTCTTGCTAACGTCGCGTTGTTGACCGAACGCCTCGATGTAGAGTACGTCTCTGACCGGCGTGGCATGCTCATATACGGATCGAAAGCCGGCCCGAGGGTGGGTCCCTGTTCGTCCACGGTCGGGTCAGACGTCACCCTCCTAAGACTCGTGTCATGGTGTGGTATCGGGGGGCCAATCTGCAGCAACTGGGAGAGTACGTTGGAGTTGACGCGGTCGACCCGGTTGTCCATGCTCTTGGTACGCCCACGGTTGAGGCTCCTGCCATCCGTCGCCACCGACACGGCCGAGCCCCTCCTGGGCATCGTCCGCGTCCTCACGCCCGTCAGAGCCGGCTCCTCGGCCTCGTTACGGAACCGGGACTCGCTGGGGAGGAGGACGGCGCGGTCGAGGCCGTACGGCAGGCCACGGTGGCGGCCTCGGATCTGCATCGCGATGATGACCAGCTTCCCCACGACGGTGAACTGAGAAGACAGCGAGGTATTAACACCGGTGTACCCTAGGCTCAGGCCGACTGTGCCGTACGCGCTCACAATCTCGAAGAGGACGGCGAACATGGAGAAGTCATTTTTCGACAGGCGATTGCCCTCCGATATCGACAGGATGAAGAAGCCGATAAAGATGAACCACAAGTCGAAGGAAAGCTGACGCCGCAGATGGGCGCCGACGTAGCTGAAGGAGCTCGATAGCGCACCCTCGTCATCCTCGCCGGACAAGTCCTGGTAGATACCAAGGGACTTCTCCTCGTAGACGTTGGTGCGACGGACCGAGATGGCAATGGGAAAGACGGAGATATACATCATAATGAGGTAGGACGTCTGGACAGCGGGGTGTAAATCAGCGAGATTAACGCATGCGAACCCTGCCGTCCGCGTCGATGCTGCTTGGAAGAGCCCGTCTAGGAGCTTGATTCCGGGAGACAACTTGACGATCGGTCCAGTGCCGAGCTGCAGGGATCGGTCTCGCTCAACAGAGGGAGAGGGCCGGACCTGTACTTACATCTAGTATAATAAAAAAGATCAAGTCGATCCCGTTCAGGATGACGAGTAGCCAGAAGAGCCACCACGTCGCCGCCGCGGGAAACAGCAAAGTGAAGCATCGACGCGGATGGTCCAACAGGAACCGAAGCTCTTCCCATAAGCCGGAGTGTCGAGGTACCCAGAGATTCGTGACCCAGATGATGAAACGAAGCATCACGGGGAACCCCGTATTCCCAATGACGATGAAGAAGCTCATGACCAAGAGCGGGAAGACAGCCGTGTTGAAGGAGATCATGCTGTCGGGAGTCAAGGTGAAGCCCAGGTCCATGAAGGCAGAGCTGCCCATGAAGATGCCCCACCATGGCCTTGACTGACCGGCATCATCCACGATGGAGCCATAAGATGAGTTGATAATCCATGGGGTGAGGCACACTACCGCCAGGATCCAAAATCCCCAGAAGTACACAGTAAGTATTAACGACAGGGTCTTGAGGGACCTGTACTCGATGCCGCCCAGCTCCTCCCTCTGGTCTTCGGTCAGGTCATGGAACTGCGAGTTCCGTCCCAGCGTGGGCTGCCAGCTCAGGTACGGCGCTTCGTCTTGGTCCTTGTCTCTGGTGAGGGCGTTCCTGATCGTGTCGAGAGTCTGGCGCCTCTTTATCCGCGAGAACGGTGCGTCCTGCTCGTGGTGGAGCTTGTCGTCACCGTTGTTAAAGAAACGGGGCTTGCGGAGTCTAAATGGGGTGAGCACGTTTATGAAAGCCCTCGCATCGTCGTTTATGTCGTCCATCGTGCTGTTGTGCCTCGGTTCCTTTGCAGCTGGTTCCTGGATCGTGATCCCCTTAGGGCGCTCCGACCTGTCCGCATCACCCGCACTGCTGGCCCGCGCCCCTGGGGAGACGGGCTCTGGTGGTTCGTCGGAGTCCTCCTCGATCCTGCTCGGGCGTAGTCCCCTCTCAACATCCATCGGTCCCGGTATACGAAGGATCTCGTCATTGTTGTTGTTGCGCTGGCGTTCCAGGATAGCAATGTGCTCCTCGTCGGTTCGTTTGCGCGGGAACTTGAGCTGGTCGTCCTCGACACCATCACTTCTCTTCACGGTTCCTGCAAACCGAATGCCTGGGCCCGGACTCTCAGTCACCGCTGGACCGGGATCCTGCTCGGGGGGCGTCCCGTGAGGACTGACGCCCGAACTGCTACCATTCGAGGGCTTGTCACCCGCATTATCTAACACGATCCCGTCGTTGGTCATCCTCGTTGGGTTGCCATTGTGCATAACCGTTATGTGGCGGCCATTAACGCCGTTCTGCGGCCGAGTCTGCTCTGGCTGTGCCGTAGACTTGGACTTTGAGATGGTAGTCCTGCGGTTGCGCGCCTCGCGCACAATGTTCTGGAATTTCTTTTCGAACCAGAAGAGGCGTAGGAATACGACAAAGGAGTTGATGGTGATGGGGCTCGAGGCCATGGAACACAGGGTGATGATGACTTGCTGGCACGTATTCAGCTTGTTCACATCAACCGGGTTCAATCCCGCCTGTGTGTTTGCACCGACGGCAAAGAACAAGGCATCTATATATGCGAGTTCCCCTGCGGCAGTGCCATAGATGACCACAGACGCCAGAATGGACAGTCCTATGACCCAGAAGTCTGCGAAGCCCAGGTCAGAAATACGTACGGGCGAGATTCGCACGACGGTGAGACTTACAATGAACAGTAATGAAGTTGAAATGGGGCTTCTTGGAGACAAAGGATGGCTTAAGGGATTTGAGCTGATCCCAGAATATGCTGAAGACTGGCGAAACCATGATGGGCAGGCTCCAGATGGCCACCAGATGACCGGTTTTTACTGCGAGGCGTGGCGACTTGCAGAGACGAAAATCAGAGATCGGACACTGCGGAAAAGCTGCCCTGAGGTCTCAAAGTGCAAAAAACCATTGTCGCGAGGCTTGGCAGAGGTTGTTGATGCGCGCAGCTGCAGTCTCAATGCCGGAGTTGGCGAGATGGAGAAGATGATATAAGACGAGATCAGACGAGCAAATCCGTCTCCCCCGATTCGAATCAAGGGGAGGCCGTGATTAGTCTGGCGACTCGAGTGACACGGCACGCCAAGAAGGTGAGTTCTGGCCCGGGAGCGAAGAATGCGATGGCAGCACAAGCTAAGCTGGTCGACGAGTGATGATTGTCATGGGCCGGAAGAAGGCGCAATGAGATAGTGGCCCGCGGTCGCACGGCGTCTGGCGCAGTCGTGGAATTTTTGGGGGCGCTGGCTGGCTGCAGTCCGGGCCCGCGGAGGTGGAGGAAGGAGTAGGCACTACTCTAATGCCGGCGCCTAGCTGGATCCGACTTACTTAATTTAGCTTGAGCTGGTCAGCCAGAAAGGATGGGAGACGCTGCTCCTCGCAGCAATAATAACAAGCGTCGCAGAGGTCGGCCGACGTGTTGGAGGTTGTTGTTCCTTTGGCCTCGGGGAGGGACGGCGGGATGACGACGTTGGGCATAAGGATGGTGGCTTGTGTGCCTTGAGTGTTTCGATGGGTTCCAGCAGAGAGCTCAAGCCCCCGTGGCGGGAGTCTAGCAGCTGAAAGAAGTGATGGCGGGCATTGTTGTCTGTTTTGTTCTCCGCTCGCTCTTCGCCTTGTGAGGAGGATCCCGGGATGGTGGTAGACGGACCGGATGACGACAGTGACAGAGTGTGTCGTATCTCGTTGTTAATGGACCGAGGTACCGCGCGGTGTTATGGCACCACCACAGCCGCCGCCGCCGCTTTCTGCCTGCAGCAACAGGACTTCCGCAGCTCGGTCCAGTCCGCGAAACCGTCGCGACGGATCGTCAGGCTAGTTTCAGTGGCAAGGCTGGGAAACAGATGGTGCTCTGAGGAAATCTGGCCCGGGCAAGAAAGAGGTGGGCTGAGCCGGGCTGAAGAGCTGAGCGGTAAGGTATAGGCAGAGCAAGACAATTATGAGAGCCACAACAATCTTGCAGAGCGCTTGCGTGCCGGGCTTGCGAGCGTCCCGCGGCACAGCATGAAAAATGTTGCAGATCGCCAGTGTGAAAATAGACTGGCCGTGTTTGGAATCCGGACACAGGCCCCTTTTCAATCTCGTTCCCGGGGACGGACGACTAAGGTAGGACCTTTTAGACTGCAGCATGGGACGTCTGACTTGTGGTCCTGGATCAGATTTCCACTGGACAATCTTAAAAAAATTCAAAAAAAATCCCATCACGAACCACACCGCCCGGCGAACCGACCGAGGCCACGTCGAGAGGGGGAACCATTGCAGCAGGCACTGCGCTGACTAGGATCCGTACATGCAAACAACACACGCCCACATGAAGGACCTCGATGCACCTACCGAAACGGCCTGCCAGCGCGCCTGTCAAGTCCCGTCCCAAGCCAGCGGTTCTCTTGGTCACGGCCCCTGTTCGACCTACAGTAGCAGCGTGGCCGCTCCAAGGGAGACCCATGGACTGAGGCCGAGACGCAGCGAAGCCCACATTGACACTCAATGTCGTGACCCACTTCCGGGAGTTGCACTATGCGGCCTGGCAGCACTGCTGCATTTCCCCGGTCCCGCTCAATCAAGGAACTGTGCACCTTCGCCACGCGAGCAAGGCAATGCCTGCGCTGCTGCCGCCGTGACAAAGATGCGGGCGCTGCAAGCACAGGACAGCGCCTGGGGCGTCCTCCCACCAGGAAAAAGGCGAGTGAGTGAGCTCGGGCGAGACTCAAATCTCTCACGGGGGTCTTTTCGGGAAGCACCAATTGCAAAGGGGCAAAAGGGAAAAGAGGCGAGGACGGCGCCATGCAGAACACCTATCACAAAGGCTACCTTCCATGGCGCCAATCCGCAAGTGACCTCTCATGTTCTCAACAACATCCGCACGCGCACACAACGCCCCCCTCCTTTCACCCGCGGGTAATGGCGTCGAGATAACAACCCGAAAAACAACATGCTCTCCTGTCGCGAGAGTCTATCAGCAGCCTATGGGCGACGAGTATTCGTCAACATGGTCCGTCGAGACGACCACCTCCGCCCAGGGAAGATCTCCCCGGCCAGCCGCCTCATATGGGGCAAACAAACGGGAGCTGCCGCACGGGGCGGGCACCCGAGGTATGATGCGCACGATATCATAATCCTACCTACCCTTGACAAGTGATTTGCTCGGCTTCAGCCAAGGGCGTATGCTCAAGTTCGGGGTGAAATGCCTTGAGCACGCCTCCGAAGCAGGACGGTGATCAACATTTACCTGCAAGCGCGCTTCCCAGAAGTCAACTTTCGCATTTGAGGAGGCATCAATTTAGGCGCCCCATGCAAAGCCGGTAAGTCTTGCTGGTCGTGACTTAATCCCAGCCGACCAACTGTCACGTATAGTGAGCAAAATAATAATCCGGGCTGGGCCGATGCCATACCCGGTACCTATCCATCCAGAACGCCGTATGCTGCTCTTCATGAGCTTGCCCCGAACCATAACACCTTGATCTGCAGCCTCAACCACAGAGACCAGGCTGCCTCCCCGCCGCCCGCCTCCCGGGTGGGCAGGGGAACTTGCCTCTCACTCTTGTGCTGCCTTCCTCCGTCTCTCGTTGTCCCTGCTAATCTTCTTGAAGAAGTCGCTCTTCGGTACCTTCTTCTTCATGGACCTGTTGGCGCTCTTGTTCTGCTCCACGTACGCCATGTCCTGCCCACCGCTCAGGTCGCTCAACGCGCCCGCTGTCCTCCTCACGTAGTTCTTCTTCTTGCCTGCCTGCCGCAGCGGCTTGCCGTCGGGGCCGTAGAACATGTTGCCCTCCGCCGCCAGCCCGTTCGCCTCCCTGTCGTAGACTGCCGCCGACTTTTCGAGATCCATTAGGAGTTTGGTCAGGAGCTCCTTTCGATCCTGCGCCGTCGCGAAAGCGAGGTCCGGCGTCTGCTCGATGTTGTGCAGGTGGGTGATGACCTTGAAGGCATAACCCTGGTCAACGAGGAAAGCCTGACGCTTCGACGAGAAGTACATCTCCTGTGTGTCCTTGGATACAAGGGAGTAAAAGAAGGCGTTGAAGCCCTCGTCGTTTCGTCGCTTAGCTCGCAGGATACGGCCTAGGCGCTGCGCTTCCTGACGTCGGGACCCGTACTGTGCCGAAATCTGAATTAGACACGTTGCTTCAGGAAGATCGAGTGATGTGTCACCAATCTTGGAGAGGAAGATGGTGTTAGTCGAAGGTGAATCTCGGAACAGCTGGAGGATAGTCTGTCTCTCAGAGTTGCTGGTGCCGCCGTGGAGGTACGGCTTCATCAACCTCTTCGCATAAAACTCCAGAGCGTAAATGTCGTCTGAGAAGACAATGATCTTGTCACCCCGCTCTTCGTGATATTTAATGAGATACTGACACGCCTGGATCTTGCTAGGATTCATGACGTAGAAGAGCGACCTCTTTCGCGAAGGCGCTGCAAGGTAATGGTCGTAAAACTCCGTTGTCATGGTGCACCAGACCTCGGCACACTGAACTCTTGCAATGTGCCCTTGCTGTGAAAGCTCCATCCAGTTGGCCTCGTATAACTTCGGTCCGATGAGGAAGTTCAAATCCTCAATCTTGTTGTCTTCTCGGAGCAGTGTCGCTGTAAGACCCAATTTGGAGTGAGCCTTGATAGCACCCGTGACCCTGCGGAACATGTTTGCAGGGACGACATGCACTTCATCTAGGAGCATTAGGCCCCACTCCCGGCTTTGGAGGAACTTCATCATTTTGGCCGACTCGTGAGCTCGTTCCCTCGAGTTGCTCACCATCGAGTAGGTCGTGACGATAACGCCGGTGTTTCCGGTGAAGACTTCCTTGTTATCCGAAGAGAATATGGCGATATCGTCAGGATTGATATTCGACCACTTGATGAATTCGTTCCTCCACTGGATGACAGACATGTTGCTGGTGGCCAGGACAATGATTCCCTTCTTGATCGTGCAAGCAGCCGTGATGCCAACCAATGTCTTTCCTGCCCCACAGGGCAACACAATGATACCGCTCTTCGCGCGGCCGTTACCGAACATCTTGCTAAGGCTCTTCTCCTGATACGGACGGATCTGTGTCGCTGGCTGCAAGTCGATTTCCAGGTTGGCATTGACGTTGTCGTTTCGGAAATCGTATTCCTCAAGAGCAGGATAGCGTAGTTCCAGGCACTGCTTGGCGACCTCGCCGACTTTCTCGTCCTGGATCTGGAAGGCATGGACGACGTCTGCATCTTCTTCGTCATCGTCATCGTTCAGTGCGGTATACACGTCCTGGGCTGTGGGGCCCTGTCCAGCCTGTCCGGCGTTGACTTTGTTGCCCAAGCCCTCGGCCTCGCGCACTCCAGCGGCTTCCTTTGTTCCAGCGATGGCCAATCCCGACATCTTGGGAGCACTCGTTGTAACTTCTTCGGCGCCCTGTACTCGGCATTTTTGGCCAATGATGGGGTCCTTGAGTAGCAGTTGTAAGACTTCGGCGTCGGTCGTCTCCACGTAGTACTTGTTGTTCCTCAACACAAGCTTCACCTTGCCATAAGCGCTACCACAGTTCTTGATGAACTTTTTGATGTTGTCGGGAACCGGCGTCTTTGAGAATCGGTCGAGGGTGTTTTCTATATCGTTCGGGTTAAGGCCAACAGAGACGGCAGCATAAAGACTGTGGGTAGTGAGTTTGTACTCGTGCAGGAACGTAGGCCTCGACAGGGGCTCAGCGATCGTTATGAGGAAATCCTGCGCCTGTGGCGCGAGTGGGTGGAAGCTCTCCAGCACGACCTTGAAGTCGCCTTGTATCCACACCGGCCTATTCTGGTGATCGGGCTTCATCTTCATTCTGGTGAAGTCTCGCTCGTGTTGGGCACCAAAGAACTTGGAGGCCATGTCGAGAATGGCAGGCGGCTCGCGGTACTTGTACTCTTCATTGTTGAGGTCGAAGTAGTCTACGTTGCGCTGGATCCCCTCGTCCAGCTCATCGTCCTCCTCTTCTACTTCAGGCTCCGGCTCCGAGCTCCCCGTGCTACGAGGTGTGGCAGGTCCCGGAGTTGAGACCTTGGAGGACCGTCCAGCCTTGACGGTGCCCTTGCCAGTGGGCACTGCCTTCCGCTTTGGAGGCATCGTGGGCGTGAGGGGAGCGCTTTCAGATCTTGAATCCTCAAACAAGACGGGACATCGCAAGGCGTGTAGTGCAGGAGTTCAATAAGCACTCGGCGCAAGTGTTGCGTTGCGCGGGAGCCAGGCGTGTCCACTGTCCACGAGGTGTAGAGGACGAGTTTCGAATTGTCAGAAGATGGTGACGACGGTGAGGTTGAGTCTGATCGCAGGGCGCAGGCTTATCGATAAGCTAGGCAGCTTCCGCCCCCTGGCCGCTAGCTCAACGGTGGGTCCGGCCGTTAATTATTACAGACGATCGGACGTGACGCGCCGCCTTAGAAATCGACAATCGTCCGGCGAGGCGGGCAGCGCATACAGTCACTCTATACTTCGAATCGAGGCACTAGTGACTCAACTCGAGTCTCGGTCTGTTAATTACACGGCATCTGACCAATATGTGGTAAGCACAGGCTCTGTCAGGTGGAAGGATTCATCGCGACGCTCGAGCATGACTGACTGACAGCCACAAAGCAAACACATCCTCAACGCTCAGGTCTCCGTCCGGTCGCCATGCTGTACGCTTGTCACCCACGCCCTCCAAGCCTCGACCAGGGGTACACAGAGAATACCAGCTGATCACAAAATTATCACGGAATAGGCCAAAAATGGTTCGACTGCGTTGAGTGCCATGCGGAGCAAGAAAACCACCCCCTGAAGGAGCGGCTCGAGATGGTCTTCGCCTGCAAGAAGTGCAAGAAGTGCTTCCGCAAGGATGTCAAGGAGTTCGAGGAAGCAGACGAGTACTGCCCGCACTGTGATAACCACTTCGTCCTCGACGCCGTAACACCCAAGCCAGAACTCAAGGTCGAGGGCGAGGACGCCAGAGTCGACAGCCGTATGATAAGAGACGAGAGACTCGAACAAAAGCGGAAGAAGATGCTGGAGGAGCTGATTTTCGACCCGGATGAAGACGCCGACAAGCTGGGCTAAGCATGTCACCCCGCACACAGAGCACGGGATTCGAGTGTTGGAAATCCATTAAGCATCGGCGTCTAGGGAATGATATTACAAGGCGCCTGAACGCGCCAGGTCATGAGCTCGTAGTGTACAATGCCAAAAGAGGGGTTCGTTATCGTCTATCATTGTGTCCGCAGAGTCTAGAGGCCCCGAGCCAACGCCTTGGCTTCCGTGGAGTTGTCCATCCGCTCTCTATGATGTCGGAACCCCCCTCGCCTCTGAATTCTCGGGGCTCACGAGAATCTACTCCTCCCCTGCAGTGCGGGTGGGGATTGAAGAGCTTCCTGCACCGGTCGTCCGGGCTCCCTTCTTCTTAGCCGCCTCCTCTTGCTTCTCCTGCTCGATGTTCTTGACGTAGTTCTCGATGTCCTCCGTCGGCAGCATCTCGATCAACTTGCCCGGCGCCATGATGGCGATCTCGATGTTCTTGGCGCCCGTCTGCACAACCTCCAACAGCGACTTGATGGCCAGCCGTATTGTGGCCTCACGGTCCATGTCCTCCTTGTAGTTTCGCTCCAGGAACTCTCGCACTGTCTTGCTCGACCTACCGATGGCATTTGCTTTCCTGTGGTGTGTGTCAGCCTTCTGCCTCTAATCACATCACAGCTGGGGCAACGCACCATGCGGAGTAGATCCCGGATGGCTCTGTCTGGTATAGCCTGGGGACTTTGCTGCCGTGATCAAATCCGACAATCAGTGTGCTGATGCCGAACGGTCGGACACCACCTCTCTGGGTGTACTTCTGTTGGACGCCGGCGACGTGCTTGGTGATGTAATCGATAGTAACTGGGTCCTCCAAGTTCAGGCGGTGAGATTGTGCTTCTAGACGGGCCTTGTCGACAAGGATTCTCGCATCGGCGTTCAGTCCGGCGAAGGCGAGGCAAACGTGGGTGTCGATGAGACCGATCTTGGAAGGTGTGATCCTGGTATCCTGCAGCTTCATCGCGGACCGTTTCTCGCATCCCAACACGACGATGTCCGCTCCCTTGACACCAACCGCGCAGGTTCCTGTCCGCGACTGTTAGCCTCGTGGCGCTGCTGGCTCTGGGCTAAGGAGCCGTGGTGCGCACCTCTCTTGACGGCTTCTCCAGCATACTCGACCTGGAAGACGTGTCCATCAGGACTGTGGTACGTAAGTATGGTTTTGCACAGGGGTGTTTGCACCGAGGGGCGTGGGCGGACCTGAAGACTAGAAGCACGGTTGGATCAGCATATAGAACGAGCAGATGCACGCAGCTCATGGGTTGCTTACCTGAAAGAGCTCTGTCGTATCCCGAAGCCATCTTGCCGAAGAACTCAAGTTATTGGCTACGCACGAGTTGGGCGGGTGAGAGATGTGGATTGAGGGCGAGGAATGCGGTTCGAATCGTCGGGGTGGGGCGCGTTGATGTCGATGAGGGAGCTCTGTTTGGGAGGTGGTGATGGCGACGGCTGAGGTCGAGATAGGTACAGTAAACTAGGTAGGCAGGCTGCAGCTCTGACGACGAAGCTTCCCGCTCCCAAAGCTGCCACCCGCCAGGGGTGCGATCAGCTCCAATTGGCCGTGGACGGGCCAAGCACCACTTACTACCTACCTCCTAAGGTACCTACCTACCCGAACCTTGGTTGTCCCACCCCCCACTCTCTCCAGCCCACGCCCTGCAGGCTCCGTCCCGCGCAAATTTGGAATTCGTCTGCCGGTCGGCCCCAGTGGCGGATCGGAAGCGAAAGAGAGAGGACGCCGGAGATATAAATGTATACATAGCTACCAGGCCGCCTCCCAACCCCTCCCAGACGTGCAGTTCTGAAGCCTGTCTTTAGCAAGCTCGACCGTTCCAAGATGGCGTCTCGGTCCCGCATCACACGCGCCTTGACCAGAGCGGAGAAGGCCGGCATATCGGCCGTCCTGTCACGGCCGGGCCCTTCGACTTTCTCTGTCGCTGCTGCGCGCACCATCACCACCACGGCTGCGAGGCACTTCGGGTCGTCCGCTATCCGACACGGGAAATTCACCACCGACTCGTATCCTGAAATCAAGCGGGACTCGAGGTTCTCACAACTCACCCCCGACCATGTCACTCACTTCAAGGAGCTGCTGGGTGGTGAGGCCGCCGTCATCGACGGCGTCACCGATGAGGCAGCGGCTGAGGACCTGGAATCCTTCAACTTGGATTGGATGCGCAAGTACCGAGGCCACTGTAGGCTAGTCCTGAAGCCTGCATCGACCGAGGAGGTCAGCAAGGTCCTCAAGTATTGTAACGACAACATGCTGGCTGTCGTCCCTCAAGGTGGCAACACTGGCTTAGTTGGAGGTTCTGTTCCTGTCTTTGACGAGATTGTCATCAACATGAGCCGGATGAACCAAGTGCGCTCATTCGACGAGGTCAGCGGTGTCCTGACGGCTGACGCCGGTGCCGTGCTCGAGGTTGTCGATAACTACCTGGCGGAGAAGGGCTACATTTTCCCTCTTGACCTGGCCGCAAAGGGGTCCTGCCATATTGGAGGCAATGTTGCCACCAACGCCGGAGGTCTGCGGCTCCTTCGCTACGGCAGCTTGCACGGGAATGTTCTAGGAGTCGAGGCCGTGCTCCCCAACGGCACTATCGTGGATGACCTTTTCAAGCTGAGGAAGAACAACACCGGATACGACATCAAGCAGCTATTCATCGGTGCGGAGGGTACAATCGGCATCATCACCGGAATCTCAATTCACTGCCCACAACGGTCAAAGGCAGTCAACGTGGCCTTCTTTGGGCTAGACTCTTACGAAAAGGTTCAGCAAGCATTCCGGGAAGCCAAAGGGCAGCTCTCCGAGATTCTGTCAGCCTTTGAGCTCATGGATTCTCAGAGCCAGCAGCTTGTTAAAAAGGTCACCAAGAACAACTTCCCTCTGGAGAGTGAATACCCATTCTATTGCCTCGTCGAGACCAGCGGCTCAAACGCGGAGCACGACAATGAGAAGCTGGAAGCTTTCCTTGAGGACGTCATGGGCAAGGAGATCGTTTCAGACGGCGTGGTGGCGCAGGACGAGACCCAGCTCAAGTCACTCTGGGGCTGGCGAGAGCACATATCCGAGAGCTCAGGCGCCTTCGGTGGCGTTTACAAGTACGACGTCTCAATACCCTTGAAGTCGTTATACCAGCTGGTAGAGGATACCAAGGAGAAAATCCACGCCGCCGGCCTGATCGGTGATACCGATGAGTACCCTGTCGTTGACGTCGTTGGTTACGGGCACATGGGTGATTCAAACCTACACCTCAACGTGTGTGTTCGGCGATACGACAAGGAGGTCGAGAAGATTTTGGAACCTTACGTTTTCGAATGGATCAAGAAACACGAGGGCAGCATCAGTGCCGAGCATGGTCTTGGTTTGGCGAAGAAGAAGTTCATTGGCTACAGCCGCAGCGACAACATGATAGGCCTGATGAAACAGATCAAGGATCTATACGACCCGGTATGTTTCGATATTCAGCCATTTCCATACTCGTATACACTTGCTAACCTCTGTGGCGACTAGAACGGCATCATGAACCCGTACAAGTACATATAGAGTGCATGCCGAATCAACGGAAACAACACCACATATTTTGCTTCTTTATGCCTGGGGTGATGTATGTACGGATGGTGTAATGCAGCTTTTTGCCACATGACTGTAGGCCCAGAGAAGGCTTCCTTCGCGATTGTGGCACTATCACTTTATTTTTGAGTGAGTGACTCCTCCGTTTGAGCACACTCGGCCTAAGTTTACCCGGAACCTACAGAAGAGATAATCGCAGCTTACATAGCGGCTATGGTCGCTTACGTTACCTGCTCCATTGGCCGCGATACGAATCCTCTGTGGAACCCCACAATCAAGTGATATCGGCTCATGCTCACATTCTGCGCCGGCTAGAGACCTGGGACGAACTCATTGCAGTCCATGCAGTCATATCAGTCGGGTGCTTATCCGACCCACCAGTCATAACGCAGCAGGTTTCCTTGTGTAACTGCCACCTTCCCTTCGAAGCGCATGGAGCTAGCGAAATATACGCGCTGTCAGCCCTACAGCCCAGTGCACAGAACATGAGCTTACGGAGTACAATCCTTCGCATCCGCCTGGCCAATCACACCCTGCTACCCGGTGAGTCCAGTGAACAGGGATGCCACACGAGGACACGGAACGCCTGCAGGTTGACGGCCGGGACTCGAACTATCGTCACGCAAGCCATACTCAAGCAAGAAAGGCCTCCCTCGCTTTAGTAACCCCGGTCCACCCTCGACCAATATATGTGAATGGCTGAGCAAGAGCAAGTCCCAAAATCGAGAAACGTCCCGCGGCTCTCGTTCCACATTGTGGCTCATCGCGCCGTCTGCTGAGCCTTGGGGATCTTCGGTCCATAGGCCCTTCTCACTTCACTTCACCTCACTTCACACTACTTGATCACGCTGGTGGCGAGTGCTCCTCTGCTACGACCATTCCAATCTGATTTCTTTCTCAGTCATAATGTAAAAGAGGCAAAAAACTGTGTTCAGATGTCTTGGAGGGACAGATCTTCAGTCGAGATGCATCACGGGGGGGCGGGCTACGTGCTATGCAAGCACGAGATGACAGGCATACCTCAGCCCCCACAGCACCTTTCCCCGTACTTTTATACCGGCTCCCAAATACCCTTCTCTCCCGTCGCCCCAAAAGAGCTACACTACTTGTGTCGTTGAAGCCTTCCCGACAAGTCCCAACCTCTAAATGTCATCACCGTTTCACCCGGCGTCTTGCCTCATGATATGAACAGTCAGGATGGTAGGAGTCCCAGGAAAATATAAAGGCTGTAATACATGCAGAAGCCGAAGAATCAAGGTATGTATGTGGGCACTGTAACGTCTGGATCCTGTCATTAACACCCTTGCCCTATAGTGTGATAATGAGCGTCCACACTGCCGGAAATGTATAGATTCCGGGCGGGAGTGCTTAGGATATCGTACGTAGCTTCACTGCTCATCACCCTCGCCCCAGTTTCTCATTTGTCTCGATCAAACATGACTGACACTGTATCCAAGAGCGCGAGACAGTATTTATTGTTGGAACAGTCGAAGACAAGGGGCGATGCAGCAGCCACCCGCCCCGAAATGCTAAAAGTCCCAAGAAATCCCCATCTCCGCCGAGGAAGAGTGAAGACAGAGCAGCAACCTTGGTGCCGACGAAGCCTCTGTGTCCCGCTTGGCATGATCAACTCCATGCGGCAGGGTCCGGATCAACCCGTCGCCTCGAGATCGTTGCGATACACACACCTTTGAGCACTGTGGCCCGAAGCAATTTTGGGGACAGCGGTGAATCAACGTCGATATTTGTGGCACCGTCAAGTGCGCTCGACATTAGGCCCACGTTCGAGAACATAGACTTTATACTTCACTGTCAATGTCTTGTGAGCATCTCGCCAGCAAAAGAGGAGACGGGCTCAACCACAGCGGACAGCGTACTGCTCTTCCTATTCGAACACAACTCGCCCCTCGCGCCTGCCAGCCTTCAAGATGCTACAGCCCAGTTGGATGGGATCAGACAGCTTGGTCCGGCGTACTTTCAAAGGTTCCCTTCACACCACTTCTTCGCCCGAGTCTGTCGGCCCAGTGCCATCACAACAGCCCTTCTGAACAGGACAAGCACATTCTGTGCCGAACAAGACTGGCTCACACTTCCCTTCGAACTACACCCCAAGACCTCGTTCGACAGCCTCCTCGACACCTTGGCGCGAACGACATGTCTCCTGCAGCAGCTCGACCATATAACAACTCTGGAGCCAACCCTGGCGCGCAGGTCGATGGCCCAGGATCTCCTCGGGAACTGCCTCGGCGCACGAAGCCAGCTCGAGCAGTGGTACATGTCAGCCTTTGACCCTCGCCGTCGACGATACTGGATCTTGCATGACCAGGGCGAACAGATCCCCTTCCCTGAGCCCTTCGCCTTCCAGGACTCGCTGGCCTCGCTCTCGTTCACGTACTACTGGGCCGCGCAGGTTCTCCTCGCCCCCTGCCTGGAGACGGCCGTCCACAGCGTCTTCTCGCCCGCTGTCGACGCCTACCCCCACCAGGCCTTCCCCGACCTTCCGCCGCAGCTCGCCATCGATCCGGACACCTACGGCCACTTCAAGGTCACGGAGATGGCGGTGAACGTCTGCCGGGGCCTGGACCACGCCCTGGCGGTCACTACGCAACCGGACGCCTTGGTATTTCCTGTCAAGGTGGTCGAGACGTTCTACGCGGGTCTCGCCAACCAGACGGGGGACGGGACATTGGAGCTTATGTGGCTTGGGGCGTTCAGGGAACGGATGGCGTCGAGGGCGCGGGACATTGCTGGTGCCATGATGGAGAAGGACTGGGTGGACCTGGCTGAGTGGTGACCCGGAATGGCACACGAGACCACAGCCACACGAATCTTACGACACCTGCTATGGTCCTTTCACTGAGCTTTTAGGGGAAATGGGGCATTAGGAACATTGCCTAGGTATGTATGTACACAAAGAGCGTCTCTACGCGTGGTATGTCCGAGTTTGTAGATCTCCTGAACAGAATATATTCACGCACTTCTGTCGAGTTGAATCCTGCCGTAAAACAAGACGTTTTTATCGCCCCTTGCCTTCCGGTTGCTTTTCGGGAGCAACCATGCTGCCCCCTTGAGAGTGCTTCCAAATTACTGCACCGCAGGATGCCTCTACAGGAACTTGTTTCAAGCACATGGGTGTTGTGGTACAGAGTCAAGCAGCAGCAGGAACATACACAGTACGCACGGAATAGTTCAACGCAGACCCATTGGCTGCACGCCACTCCTGCCACGATCCCAGCACGACAACCTCATTTCGAAGGGTTGGCATTGGTCCTTATCCTGCTGCCTAGATTTCACCGGCAGACAGACGGGATCACCACGATGCCCGAAAACAATGATCATTCCCTCCTCTGAAAGTCCGCCGACCGACGTGTCGTCTGGCTTGCCGCCCGACGCGCATCCGCGGCCGGCTCTGACTTGCTATCGCCATACAACGTTCGGCGGCCCGTCGATCGCACAAAGCTGCCCCACACGATTAGCCTTATATCGTCAAGCCGCAGCCCAACTCGTCCACTGCGCCTCACCACGACGCCGTCGAGATGGGAATGCTAGATGAGAAACGGACTAGCGGGCATTTGGACCCTGGATTCTCATTACTGTGGTAATTCTGCTGCCTATTCCATACCGTTCAGGACAGCGAAGCCGAGGCGCTGGGAGGGGGCAACGGAGCAAGGCTGAGCAGAGCTCGAATGCTGTCGTGCATAGTATAGTGCGCTTCCTGCCGGGGCCACAGTGTTTCCATGCAGCGCTCGGTGCATTAGCCCCGCCAGCGTGCATGCGCGAACTTTGCTTGTATGGCGTTGGTGTCAGGCTCACCATTTGGTCGAAGATATGAAAGTACGACGGTGAATACAGGTTTTGCGCCTCTTGGCACAGGAATAAGCACGCTGGTGATGCAAGGCCCGCGGAATCCCTCGATGGCAGGGCATTCTGGCAGGCAAAATCTTCGTTTCCTATGGGCTGGGCCATGATCCCACGATCCCGTCGGCAAGCGCCTCGGTTCAGACCCGCAGATGAAAGAGACGTGGTGAGTCAGCAGCCACAATCGTGTCAGCATAAACGAGAGTCTTCCCTCCGATGGCGGGCGACACATGGCTTGATGGGGTCCAAGAATGGTTCGCCGATTGGGAACACGAGGCAATCGAGCCTTGTGAGGCGTTACACGGCCACTCCCGTGCAGCATGCCATCTCGTGATCTGGGGTGCTCGTGGCTGCCACCCGGATCTGAGTTTGACCGAGATCCCCCAGAACTCGCCGACCGCATCTGCAAGTCAGCAGCAGCATACCGCCATCATTTCTGATGCGGTCGAGAAAACGCCAGGGAGGTGATTGACCTCATCGGCTTGGATGGCTTGAATGCAGCCCAGCGGGGGTTCGTAGGATGAAGCCACTCGCGCTCGTCCAAAAGTGCATCAGCCAAGTACACCGTGCTCGAAACTGTGGGAGTCCCTGCTGTATACCCGTCCACACCATATGTAGCGATGACATCGTGCCATGGATAGACGCGGTATACAGAAGCGCCCATTTGGCCTATCCCGTCCCCGATCCTGCGCGACCGTGACACGTTTCGCTTGCCCTGAGGTGCCACAGTCCCTCATATCTCACATTGGCTTCCTCGCCATGTGAAGCATCTGACAGACGAGTCTGTTGGGCACGGTACCTGCTCGTCAAACGCATACAGGCACCTGCGCTCCGTCCTCACAGGTTTCGCAGGCCAGGCAGCCTCGTAGGTCTGCCGCTGAACCTCAGCACTGAACTGCCAACTAGACTGCCAGCAAGGTCCCTCAACTGGTGGGCTACCAGGCCGCACTGCCATCAACGGGCCAGAGGCAATGATGATAGCCTTCCAATTCGCAAGGCCGAGAGAGTGTGCATACTCCGCGTCAAGGCGGAAACAGCAAGTCAGAAAACCCATCATATGGACCTGCCGGGACTGACTAGTCCCATCTGGACAGTGTTGACATGATTTTGCTGACAACTGACGGGACTTGGAGCTCGAAACCACGGGACTTTTGGTGGCGCTCAGTCTCCCCAATATGCCAACCCAAGGATCTTCTGATTTGCGCTGGGAACAAATTGGCCCATGTGCTGGACACTGAGATTGGATGGAAATGTGAGGATGTGTGCATGGGATCTCCTCTCCGAAGACTTCCGGAGTGATATGCTCTCGAACGTATTGCATTATTTGCAAATGCCCAACGCGATCGACCGAACCGACGGTGTCTGCTATCGACACCAGCCCGTTCTTGCAGAGACACATCAGCAAGCCAGAAAAAGAAAATATGAAGAGCAGCAAGGGCCATGAGGGTCTCTTCGCGCCCATCTGATGGACGAACGCACGCCGGAGTATTTTCATGATGCAAGGTTCGGCAGACAGCTGCCGTCGAAATCTTATATGTCTGAGCAGTCGATGAATGTATGTGGGTTGGCGAAAAGCTTCCGTCGGCGGGCAGCCCTTCGGACGAAGCGAGAAGACTTGGCCGTCCAAATATCAGACCCCAAGACTAGAGCTTGAGTTGACAGTAGTAGCTGGCGATCAAACAGGCGCGCCTAGGCAGCACAACCACTTGCACCAATTTCGAGGCCATTGTGTATTTTTACCTGTCAACATATCAAGCCTGCAGAATAATCCATCAGCACTCTTGATTTTTGTCAGTTTCAAGGCCTTTGAGCAGCTTTCGGCGAGCAATTGCGTGAGGCACAGGCAGCATTTAGTTAGCAGGCAAGCTGAAACCACACCCGTCATCGATAGTGAAGAGGTATTGCAGCGGCCACTCCCGTGACCTAGCATCGAAACGCTTACGCCGCACCACCCGTAACATCGGTGCCGATGAACAAGGGAATTTGTGGTGTAGGTCACGGAGGTAGCAACTGGTGTGTCGGCAGTTGACTCGCACGACCAAGGCAAGCATGCTGCCACAGCGATGACGGCACTTCACGATGTGGGAGTGCTTGTCTTCGTGGGTGAATCTGCTGGGTAAAAGTTCCCCATTTAGTCATCCTGTCTGTGCCTCTCCTTTTAGAGTAGTCATGCAAGGAATGTCTTATCCCATCTCTCGGACAATCTCTCCACGGTGGGTGATCTCTGAATGGATGCCCAGCTTGGTTCCTCCGCACCTGTCCCATCAGGTAAATGGTCCTTTTCCGGACGGCCCATGTCCCGGTAGTCAAGACGCCCTCGAGAACCCACGACATGGTCAGTCTGGACTCAACCCAGACAGACTCATGGCCCTCCAGATGCGGTGATCGGGGGGCTCATGATTACAGTACCGGGAGGCTGAGCAACAACTGTCTTGCGTATATTGTCGCAGTCCGCCTGAGCCTGCCTGCAAATGTCGTCGAATTGAGTGTGTTTCCGGGGGGGGGGGACGATCCAGGGGGGAGGGGTGGTGGTGTTGGAAGGATAATGGCAGCACTTTGCAACATCATGCGGACCCGGAGCGTGTGAGGCTACCGGATGAGGCAGCCGCAGCGGGAGAAGCCAGCAGCAGCGTTCGGTGGCGGCACACCCGCAAATAGAAGGAGGCCGTTGGGATGCCGGCCGCAAGCTCACGTCTCGGATGTGGTGATTGCCTTGTGTGCCTGGATGCACCATGCTTGGGCGTGTGGTTTGCATAAACAGGCGTGGGGCCTTGGGAAAGGGGCGTCGCCGAGGGCTGCAGGTGTGGTGGCCGGGCGGGCGCTGTGATTTGCTCCCGAGAAGGTGGGATGAGGACGTCGTCGAGGAGGCAGAGTTTCAGATGACTTGGAGCAGCACAAGACACCAAGAGGGAATAGGAATAGGCATAGCCTGGACCCCTATTCGTCTGGACTAGGAGGCCACAACCTTGGACAGATCGGAGAGGCATTCCATGGTCTTGGGGCGTGGCCATGAGCATGTAAAAGGTCGATGCAGCCCGCCTCCTTGGTTGTGGTGTTTTGGCGCGGGATGGTCAACGGCCGATTTGGGCATATCCAGTTCCAGTCGTCCAGCTCAGTCCAGCCGAGTCTGTCTCTCGTGTCACACCATATTATTATACCAGGTCATACATATCATATCACAATTCCGGATTTTGTGAATAGCATCGCAATCCAAATCTCGAATCGCCGGTGCTCATTTCGTGGGTTGCTGCGTACAGGCGTAACGGCCGGGTCGTTTGATTGGGGATTGGCTGTCAAATAAAAAAGAGTCCTGAACGGGCCTAGGACGGCGGCCAGCTAGCGCCAGTACCGACAAAATGCAGGCCCAAGATGGGGGAGCAGTGGGTCCCTCCGGCAACACGCTGCATTATTTACCAGGCGGGGAACACGAGCTGTCGACAACAACCAATGCGACGCCGCCATCTTTCGACCCGGGCTATGACAGGCCGCCGTCATTAATCTCCACGGCCTCCGACTGCCTGTCGGACACTTTTAGCAGCTACGACTCGAGGAGATCCACAGTCAGTAGCGTCTCGTCCGCCGCGACAGCTCAGAGCCAGAGTCAACATCAACAACAACAACCACCGTGCCACTCGCTCACCTCGTCGCCTTCTTCTTCCCGCTCCTGCGACCCACAATCACAAGCGAATTCCCCGCAACGCCCGCTGACTCGGAGCCGCGAGAACGCCAAACAGCTGCATGCTGCCCGCCTCCAGAAACGCGCCGCCTCCCAGAGCTTGGCAACCGACCCTGCCGCCGACGACAAAGAAAGGGACGGCTACAAAAACGACCGCGACCCCGACGACGTCACCTCACGCCTGCGACGACGAGCTGGGAGCGCACGACGCTTACGCAAAGGCACAAACCCCAGTTCCCGCCAGACTGCCCTCGCCGCCACCGAACCAGGAGCTCCGCCCCATGAGAAGCTCCTAACCAAGATGGCCTTTGCTGAGCAGCAGCACTGGATCACCGTCCAGCAGAAGACATTCACGAAATGGCTCAACACAAAGATAGACGCCAGGGGCCTCGAGGTTAAGGACCTGGTCAAGGACCTGAGCGACGGCGTACGTCTTCTTTTGTTTTGTTTCTTGTGCCCGCTGCTCGATCCACTCCCTCGCGTGCACTCGATGGCTAACACGCTCCTCGCCAATAGGTCATCCTCATCCACTTGTTAGAATGCTTGTCTCAGGAGTCTCTCGGGCGGTATGCCGCGAAGCCAAAACTCAGGGTGCAACGCTTCGAAAATGTGAACCTGGGCCTGGACTTTGTCAAGTCGAGAGGGATCCAAATGGTAAACATGGGTGCAGAAGACGTCGTCGACGGGAACAGGAAGATCATACTCGGCCTCATATGGACGCTTATTTTACGATTTACGATCAGTGACATTAACGAGGAGGGTATGACCGCAAAGGAGGGTCTGTTGCTATGGTGCCAGCGCAAGACAGCCTGCTATGAGGAATGCGACGTCCGGGATTTCAGTGCGAGCTGGAACGACGGCCTGGCCTTCTGTGCCCTCTTGGATATCCACAGACCCGACTTGATTGACTACGACCAGCTCGACAAGTCCGACCACAAGGGCAACATGCAGCTTGCCTTCGACATTGCCCACAAGGAGATCGGCATCCCCAAGCTGCTCGATGTCGAAGATGTGTGTGACGTGCCGAAGCCTGATGAGCGAAGTTTGATGACCTATATCGCCTACTGGTTCCACGCCTTCTCGCAGATGGAGAAGGTCGAGAACGCCGGTCGACGAGTGGAGAAGTTTGTGAACAACATGCAGGGCGCCTGGGAGATGCAGAGCGCCTACGAGAGGCGGATGAGAGCACTGCTCAAGACCATCCGAGAACAGGTGATAAGCTGGCAGACGGCCAAGTTCGAGGGAACCTACGCGGACGCAAAAGCACAAGCAACCCAGTTCTCGGCTTACAAAAGAGGGGAGAAGAGGGAATGGGTCGCAGAGAAGAGCGAGTTGGCGACGTTACTCGGCAACATCAAGACAAAGCTCGGCACCTATCGCCTGAGACCATACGATCCACCGGTCGAATTGAGCTTGGAGACCCTGGACAAGGAGTGGACAAGCCTTTCAAGCGCAGAGATGGCCAGGGGTCAACTGATAAACGAAACCATCCGAGAGTAAGTCATTTACCCCGACTGGCCAAATCTCAGACGCATCCATAACTGACAATTGGGTTAGCATCAAAAACGCCTTGCGCAAATCCTTCGCCGATAAAGCAAATGACTTTGCCATGGCTCTCAACACAATGCAACTAGCCATATCAGGGCTGGAAGGTGACGTCGAGGACCAACTGCACCACGTCCGCAAGCTCAGTGACAACCTCCCGCCCTTGGACGCCTACCTCGAGAAGATCGCCGAGGTTGACGCCAAGTGTGAAGAGGCAAACATTGAAGAGAACGACTTCACAACTTACACCTACGACGAGCTCTGCTACGAGTTGTCCCTGGTCAAGTCGTCCGTGTCCAAGAAGCTGTCCTTCCTGGACAACCAGATGGTCGCGCGCAGCATGACCAACCTCACGCCGATCCAGCTCGAGGAGTTCGAGTCCGTGTTCAAGCACTTTGACCGCGACGACTCCAACAATTTGGCCGAGATCGAGTTCAGCGCGGCGCTCGCGTCCTTGGGGCTTGTGTTCTCCGAGGACGAGATGCACGACTACTTCGACGAGGCGTCTGACGGGCGAGACCGCGTCAGCTTTGAGCAGTTCATCCGCTTCATGGTGGATGTGACCGAGGACCAGAACACGGCCGAGCAGGTGTTCCAGTCGTTCCGCGAGGTGGCCGACGGCAAGCCCTACGTCACCGAGATGGACCTGCGGCACTCGCTGGTGCCAGACGAGGTCATCGAGAAGCTTATCGAGATGATCCCGCCGCACAACGGGCCCGACATGCAGACGGACCGCGGGCAGCCGCAGTACGACTACATCGCCTTCATGGAGAAGATGATCTCAGACGAGCGCGCCGCCGCGTTCGGGGCCGGCCCCGGGTCCACGGCCTCGGGCAGGTCCAGCCCGACCAAGAGCGGCGGGCCCCTGTCGGACAGGACCAACGGCTCCAACACGAGCGGCAGCCCGAAGAGCCCCGCGAAGCGCAACGGCGCCTCCTGATCACATTATCTCGAGGTCCGGAACTGCTCTCTGCCTCGCTTCTTCTGAGGTCGTAGCCATGCATGCAATCACCGTAACATAACATAAAACACCGAGTCAAATCAAGTCAACGACTGGGGGTCCGAGATGGGAAAGGGGGCGAAATTGGAGTGGGTGTAACGGGCGTTCCGGGCTTCCGACGAAGACTAAATTTGCATGCCCAAGCGGACGAAATCCATTGTTCTCTCTGTCATTTGAAATTTTCTTCGCGCTCATCCATCATCGCAGTCACCATCGACACTACATAATCTTAGTATATAGGGCGGGCGGTCTTGTTTGTTTCAAGAGACATCGCCGCCCCGGTTCACGACCCAGGACGTATACGCCCGCCGGCCTCAAGGATGCGGAGGACACGAAGATGGCAGGGTGGGGCGACTATTGCTGTTTGTTTGTTGTTTCTTGCTTGTGGGGTTCCCCGGCGCATGGTGTTCGAACGGCGCCAACACATCAGGTCGGTCCACTTGTGCATTGCTCATACACACACAAACACAACGTTTACGTGGTCTGGTACCAGGGTGCGAGTGTTGATATCTGCAGGAATACGTGCGTAGCTTCCGTAGAGAAAAGAACAAATATTTCAAAACTCGCGTGGACGCTGCACAGTTCTGGTCGTGTTGACAGAGATTTCCTTTCTTTCCCTACCAATGTTCGCCTGGCTTAAACCTGAGCAAATGGCTCAGTGACTGACAGAATGAGTGTGTGTATCCATATGCTACAAGATCAACCCTTTCCAAACGTCCGGCCCAATGCTGTAGTAGTAAAATCACGTACGCCTGTAAGCCCGCCCCTGGGTGCCCCAAACCGTCTTGCCAGTTCCAGTCTATTTTGTCCCAAAAGTGCAACCTGTGAAGAAAGAAATCAAACGAAGAAAGCAAAATCAAGGGAGCCATGTTCAAACACCTTGTATGACTCTATAAGCCGGCAAGGAGAGAAATTCACTCCTTGAAAGCCTCCATGTCATTCAACGCGCCCGCCAGCCTCCTGTAGTCTCGGAGCAGTTCGAGTACTTCACCGATCCGCAGGTCCGCGGGGTTCTGCATCTCCATGAACCGCTTATTCGGCGGGCTGATCTTTGGGGTCTCCTTGGGAGGCAGGGTAGCTGCCAAGTCGGGGAAAGCCTGTTCATGTACTCTCGTCAGCGCCATTATTCCCCCTTGGCCAGTCTCTGTAGAACAGCCGGGACAATGAGAGCTCCTTACCGTAGCCAAGTCACCCCCTTCAGCACCGCCCGCCTTAGGTGGCACCTGCGGTGTGACGGGCTGCGACGGGGTCCTCGCAAAAGCCCGGAAGGACCCGATGCCGCCTGCCAGCTTGGCCATGGGGTTCAGTGAGTTGCCGAAGTTGCGCATCGAGTCCATGATGGCCGGGTTGGCGCTTGCCGCTGTGGGGGTTGCGCTGGTTGGCGTCTGCTTCTCCTTGTCGTCTCCAAAGACTGCGGATAACCTCTTCGTCGAGCTGCCTGCACTCCTGGAGCTGTCGGCGCTGTGGTCCCGCACGGATGATGGTTTGCGCCCGCTGATAAGGTTCAACATCCTGTCATCTCTCGCATGCGGCCGCTTGTTCTCCGTGTCGTCGGGATTCATCAAGGAGCTGGTGGTTGACGTGTCGTCCTCGGGCGGGGGAGTGCCGATCAACTTCCTCGCGTCTTCAAGCGTCTTGGGAGCGGCGACTTCTTCACCTGCGCCGGCGGGTTCTCTCAGTCTGCCGATGAAGAACTTGTAGCTGTCTCCTAAGCTGTTGCCGATGGTCTTCAGCCCGGCATCCGCAGTGTTGCGCATCGCGTCCCCGGCGGCACCAAGAGCCTGAGCTGGCGTATTGACCAGGTCACTAAACCGGCGGTTACGCTGCTGGTCTCTGAGTTTCGATGCTTGCGATGGCGTGGGTTTGGCAGCGCTCTCGTCGGCTTGCTCTGCTGCGGTGCTAGCAGCGGACAGTCCCGGCGAGTAAGCGGGTGGGAAGGTATCAGCACGGGGCGTACCTGGCCGGCTGGACGGTCTCACAGGCCCTGAAGGAGCCTCATCTGATCGCAAGGTGGACAGATCGACAGTTTCGAGGAAGCCGATTGCTGCCTCCAGGTTTGTCAAGCAGTATGCTGCCTCCCCAACAAGCTTAGGTTCCCACCGGAATCGTTCGATAAACCTCAGGTCGCTTGTGACGTTCATGTTCTCCGGGGGGAGGGTAATCAAAGTGTAAATGAGCATGGGCATTATCTCATCAGCCGAAGATGACGGGTGGAAATTCGACAAGGTATCCACAATGCTCTTGTGCGCGAGCTTCAGGTGGTTGAGTTTGCCCAGGGGGTAGCGGCTGTCGTTCATGGCTATGAGTTCTTTCCTAGCTCCGTCGAGCCACTTCCGCACCTCCTCTGCCTTTTTGGCCTGAGCCTCTGGAGGCTCGCTGGGCTCCGTCAGCTGGACGCCCAGGTCGGTAAGACCGATTCCAACAACAGCCAATGCTGCCGTCTTGGAACGGAGTACGTCGTCTGCAGCCTCATCCTGTGTGGTACGGTGCCGATATATCTTGGCGTAGATTCCCTCGCACAGCCGCCTCTCAACAGCTTCTTCTAAGGTCCCTCGCTGCTGCTCGAGGGCTTTCCTTGCCTTCTTCCGCTGTGCGAGCTCCTCTGCCGTGATCAACTGTTGCTCGGGCTGCTCTGGCTTCGAGTTCCCAGCCTTTCTGTCCTTGCTCCCGATGGCTGCTGCTTTGGCCCGTAACAAACTCGTGGTGGAAGCCCTAGAGGAGGTAGAGGGGGCAGGAGAAGAGCCGCGGGTGTGTCTCGTGAGAAGCGCAGAGATATGTGTGTCTATATGCCGGGCGGCTTGTTGGTAGAAATCTTGGAACAGCTGGGAGATATCGTCGATGGTTGGGGGTGTGGGCCGTGATTTGGCAGACAGGGACTCTATGAAGTTGTCGGTAAGGCTGATCAACTCGATGGGCAGGTCGTCGAGGTCGACCGAGGTCCGCGGTTGCTCAGGAGGCTCGTCGTCATTTCGGGAGTTCTCGAAGGCATCAGTGGTAGCGCTCTCGGGTTCCTCGACGATCTGGGAGGATATGCCGGTGGTTGTTATCTTCGGAAGAACGCCGTTCTGAATGGTGCTGGCCCTCTTAGGGCGAGCAACTGAGAGAGGATCATCGTTCTCGGCGCGGGTGAAGGACTTTGCTGTCCTCAAGGGATTGGGCCTGGGACTCGGAGAGGGCATCACTTTTCCAGCAAGTGTGACTGTGAAGCTGGAGAACATGGCTGGCTGTTAGCTGGGGCTCGCTGGAGGCGTGGGAGCAGGAGGCGTAGAGCTGGAAGCAAGGTGGGCAAACGGAGGGCAGGGCAGGGCAGGGCAGAAGAGGAGGGAGGTTGTTGCTAATTAGACCCTGAATACATGAACGACATGACATACGAGAGGGCGGTATGACGAATGCACGGCAATGCGGGACCAGGGCGGGATATAGGGGACGCGGTATGCTATGCAGTATGCATTGCAGTCGGGGCGATGGGGTCGGGCGAGTGGTGGGCAAGGCGCATAAAACACCAAGGCGGTGGTTGAAACCAGAGGACGGATAGGGGCGGGCGGGCAGGAAACCAGGCCCAGGCCGTCACCAGCCAGCTATGCCGTCCACGAGGCCGAAACGGTCATGAGCGGGCGGGGACGGAGTCGGCTCGTTCGTCCACAGCGAGTCGTCGAGTCGAGTAAGCCGGGCCACCTGTTTGGACCAAAATAAACAAAACAACCAGGGGTGGTCGGTGTCGGTATCAGCGTCAGTGTCGTGTCAGTGTCATCAGTGTCAAGTGAGGGTTGGCACAAAGAGGTGTGATTATCCGTGGAGCGTAACGGCAGCAGAGTTGAGTGAGCTCTCATATCATCAAGCTCCCGGCCGGTCCACCCGCAGCCAGACAACTCACTGCCTGTACCTGGACGTGCATTACAGGGTGGGGCGCACCCCTGCTGCTCCGCTAACAGCAGCGACGACGGAGCTGCAGCTGTCAAGCCACCCATGATTGCGATCTTCTGGTGCTCGGCGATGCGAGATGGGCCCGTCACTCCCGTCTCGCCCCGGGCAGTAGTGCTCAGCCCTTCCTTTCCTCCTCACTATCATCGTCAGCAGCAGCAGGCAATCAGTGCACTAGGTACTCACTGTACCACGCGGAGAATGCCAGGTATGCTCTGCTGTGCTGTGATGGGCTGAGCCTCTCTCCTCGCCCTCGCACGTGGTACCTGCCTCGATGGTGGGTATCACGCTTCCCTTGCCTGCAGGCCCAGTCAGCCGTTGCAACGCTTGCTTGGTTGGCCTGACTGCGCTTGGGGAGGGGGATCAACAGTTCAGGGTCACATGCCAGCGATGATGTTCCCCCTAGCTGCTGATAGCGCCACCGGCCATATGACCAAGATAAGCCCGCCTCTGCACGGTACTTGCCTTCCAGTCGGCTCCCTGGGTAGGTGCTGTAGGCGACCCTTCCCATCCCTGCCCGCTTGACGTCGTCATCCATACACATAGTAGACTACTACATGTGCCTCCCGTGGTCCATGCAGGCAGACGGCCCGCGCCTTGTCCTCTACTCTCGCAACTCGCCTCATCCAACTACCACCTTGCCTCCGTGACAAGTATTTGTCTACAACCCTTACATTCCATACACTCACTGCTTCTCCCATTCGCACCTTTCTGCTACGGAACTCGTCGCCTCCCTGCCGATCAGCACATCACCATCATGATCCTTCGGCGCAGGGCCGCTGGTGGTGATACGTGCACCTCTGCTGGCAGAGTAACCGCCCATCTCCTCTTATCGTTCCTCGCCTTCTCACCAACATCCGTCCACGCCGCCAGCCAGCCTAGAGCAGACGACCAAGCAGTCCTACGACTACATCCTGACTACTTCAACCCTGCCCCTGAGCCCCCAGCTCCTGCAGTTCACACCTTTGTAAGTCCATTTGCTACTTGCCATCCCCAAAACACTGCTTCCATCATCATCTTCAACAACGACGGCATCGGAACTGACTCGCGCGTCTCTGTTCAGACTCTCAGGCATGTCTACCATCACGGCACACACAGGCACCCAACTCTACACAGGAAACAAGATGTAATACACACAGACCAGGACACATGGCTGGCTGCCGAGGATGACCATCCCGAGTTACGGCTGCCGCCATTACGAGCACGCAGCGACGCCACGAGAATACAAAGGCTCGTCGATAGGCGTCCGAGTGTCGTTGATCCCATGGTTGCCCTATCAAGGCAACACGGCTACGTCTCAGTCTTATCGCCGGATGCCTGGACTCTCGATGACATTCCCGGCCCCAACATCACCGATAGGGACACCATCGTCAGCCTCGCCTATATGGCCGCAAACGCATATGTTGAAACCCCAGATAATGCAGAATGGTCGGAGGTTGGCGACCCGTTCAACAGGTCGGCCGACTTTGGGTGGGAGACTGACGGGCTTCGGGGACACATCTTCGCCGACGACACAAACTCGACCGTCGTCATCGGGCTGAAAGGCACATCGATGGCTATATTTGACGGGGAGGGCACCACCACCAACGACAAGGTCAACGACAATTTGTTCTTCAGTTGTTGCTGCGCTCAGCAAGGGCCCTGGCTGTGGCATCAGGTTTGCGACTGCGCGACGGGTACATACTCGTGCAACAACACCTGTGTGGTGCAGGCACTGAGGAACGAGAGCAGGTACTACATGGCCGCGAGGGAATTGTATTCAAATGTCACCGAGCTCTACCCCAACTCCAACATCTGGATGACCGGTCATTCCTTGGGAGGTGCTGTTAGTGCCATGCTCGGCCTCACATATGGCCTGCCTGTGGTCACGTTCGAAGCCGTCCCTGACGCCCTGCCGGTCTCCCGGCTCGGCCTCCCGGTCCCACCCGGTGTCGACCCAAATAGCCCTCAAACACGAGAGTACACCGGCGCTTACCACTTCGGCCACACCGCAGACCCGGTCTACATCGGGACATGCAACGGCGCGACGGCGTCATGCTCCTACGGTGGATACGCCTTGGAATCGGCATGTCACACCGGCCGCGAGTGCGTCTACGACGTCGTGGCCGATAAGGGTTGGCGCGTTGGAATCGGCACCCATAAGATACGGTCCGTCATCAACGATGTCATACTCAAGTACGATGAGGTTCCCGAATGCAAGTTCACACCTGAGTGTCGTGACTGCGCCAACTGGAAGATGTATGAGAGCAACGGCACTGAGACTACGACAACCTCGAGCTCTTCGTCCACCACCAAGACCAGGACGAGGACGGAGACCTGCAAAACACCTGGTTGGTGGGGTTGCTTGGACGAGACCACGACCGGGACGACCACAACCACGACCACCACGAGCACATCTACTTCGACCTGTAAGACCCCCGGCTGGTTTGGTTGCAACGATAAGACCACCCCAACCACCACTACCACGTCATCTTCGAGCACTACGAGCACCACAACTAGCACCACGTGCGAGTCGCCCGGTCACTTCTGGGGATGCTGGGACACGACCACCTCAGCAGGATCAACAACGGCGGCTACCTCTGAGCCAACAATCACTGGGCCGTCCATAACGACTACACGGCCTATCACGCCGAGGCCAACGGTGCCGCCCACCCCATCACCCACGTCCACATCAGTGCTGCCAACTCAGTCCCACTGCACACAGAGGGGCTGGTTCGGGTTCTGCAAGGGCTGGGGAAAGCAGGCCGAAGACGAGATATAGCAGCATACCTGTCTAAAGGACGGGCAAAGGTCGAGGTGACATTATTCTGCAGGTGGTTGCTAAGCATGGACTGGGAACTTTTAGGGAGGGAAAGGAGAGAAGGACTAGGGATCGGGCAGGGAAGTTGGGCAGGCACTGGAAACGGCGTTTTTGGGGTACAGGTTAATCGTTTAGCACACAGCCCTCGAGCTGGATCCTGCATCGGCATGTGATTTTTTTTATTACTATTTTGTAGATATCAATCGCTCAGCCTTGTTTGACATGTTCTTCATCTCTCCGGGTTACCGAACCCATGGATGTCTGAGATCGCAATGTAGCAAGTATTGGTGGACAGCCTACAAAAAGGCGACTAGCTCTCAGATATACACAAACAGGCACACAAGACTCGGGGCTGCTAATCTCTTGTGGCCATTTGCGTGTTCCAGAAAACCAGAAGCGCGAGTTGTCAGTCCTTCACAAATCACACAAATGCCTGCCGATCTGGAGAGGATGCTTTGATGCCAATTTCATATCCATCCCATGTTTTCCGTTGACTCCTATCCTTACATACGTACAAGCCCATTTCCTGCCTATACAGAGCGAACATAATGCAAGTACCGTACGTAAAGTGCGTTCTGCGTGCGTGCCTTTCGTCTCATCCGTATCGGCCGCAATGTACCAAGATACGTATGCGTATTGGCCGCCCATCAGGTCATCCATGCTTCTGGCTGCCGCCTTTCGTTCATTATCTCCAATGCTCTTTCATCTTGCTCGCTCAACATCTCAAATCACCATGCTCTCTCTCCCATCATCTCATACCTCTACCCCTTCAGCTCCTCCCAGGACAAACTGTTCAACTCTCACTTTGGCAACTGGCAGGAGCCACGGACCCTATTATGCCCACCAATTCTTGTCCTCGTGCACGTAAGCAAAAAGAAAAGTGCGACGATGCGGAAGAAGCCACCGCCAGCAAAATCGTACACAGGAATGTGGTGATTATAAAAGATAGCAGTGTGGAAACCCTTTCAATAACGCAGAAGCCTTACTGGAAGTCCATAACGAGCCGAACATTAAAAATGAATATTGGATCCTTTCAAGCCGTTTTCTTAGTTCGCCACCTCTTCCTCAACCCAGCCATTGAGGCCGCCTTGAATAGCGAGGCCATAGCCACCAAAGCTGGACTGGTACTGGTGGCCACGTCGGGCGCCATCGTCACCGCCGGCACCCGGCACCGGCACCACTGTGATAACCGTGAGGGCTGTTGTTGCCGTTCTCAAAGCCTGGAGCCAGGACAGGCAGGCTCACCGCTCGGCTGTGCTGACCGCGTGTGTTGGGAGCGAGCAGACCTCCAATGGTCGTCGGTCCAGAGCCAGAGTTCTGGTTCGCGTAGCCGTTCGAGATGCTCGCGGACTGACCATGGCCGGAGACCGGACCTTCAGGAATCTGGAGAGAGAGCTCGTTCGGCGAGGAGGAAGCGGTGCCGAAGAGAACAGCTTGCTGCGCAGCAAGAGCCTGGTTTTGCTGCTGGTGCTGGTGCTGGGCCTGCTGAGAGACCTGGTTCAGGTAAATGGTGAGCGGGTTGCTCTGTGTGAACAAGCCCGGCTGACCATTGGTTGGGGATCCACCCTGTGCACCCTGGCCCTGTGGCGAAGGGACTTCGTTGCGAGGGGACTGGGCCTGCTGCTGCTGCTGCTGTTGCTGGAGCTGGCGTGGCGGGTTGCCGCATCGATCCTTGCCGAAGTTGACCTTGAACTTCCTGTACTCGTCCTTGCTTCGGACAGCCTCAATGGCCTTGATAGCATTGGCGATGTTGGTGAAGTTGACAAATGCACAGCTCTTCTCCCGCAAAGCATTGACCAGCTCGATCTCGCCGTACTCAGAGAAGTCTTGTCTCAATCTCTCCTCGGTCCAGCTTTCGTCCAGGTTGCCGATGTACACATTTCGTGACGCGCCGCCGCTAACAGCCAAGGCAATCGCCGGGGGCAGAGCGCCGGAGTGCTTGCCCCAGCCGATCTTCAACCGGCGGTTGTGGATCATGAGACCCTGAATGTTGCTCAGGGCGTAGAAAGAAGCGGCCGCGGTGGGGTCGATGAACGTGACAAAGCAGATGTGCTTGTCCGGGATGTACCGGATGTGGTGCAACAGACCACCTCGCACGACATTGCAGATCTCCTCGATGGTGGTCTCGGGGTGAATGTTACCGAGATAGATGGTCCTGTTTCCAAGGTTGTTAATGCCACCAGCAGTAGTGGCAACAGCAGCAGCAGCCACGGATTGCTGGGCCAGGGCGCTGGAAATCAAGTCACGGTCAGCACCGGTCAGCATGTGGGCGTACCCGGGAGCAATGCCAAGGTACTGCGCGGCGTTCTGCTGTTGCGTCTTGGAGACATAAGCACAACGATCTTTTCCGTAGTACACTCGTCGCGGTGCCTGCCACTTCGCCTCCTGAGGAAGTTGAGAGACAGCCTTGATGGCATTGGCGATCGACAAGAAGTGGATAAAGGCAATGTTCTTCTCACGGACGATCTTGACAGTATCGATGGCACCGAACTTTCCAAGGTCCTCCCGCAGCTCCTCCTCAGTGATCTCCTCAGGCAGGTTGCCGAGGTACACATTCCGAGAGGCACCAGACTGCTGGACTGCAAGTGCAACAGACGTAGGCACCTGAGACGGCTTGCCCCAGCCAACTTTGATGTCCTGACCCTTGATGCAGAGCTTTTTCAAGATGGCATCAGAGTGGAAGTGAGTTGCGGAGCTGGCGTCCAGGAAGGAGATGAAGGCGCAGTTCTTGTCGGGAAGCAAACGGACCGACTCGATCTGGCCACTGCGCACGTGGCTCAGGATTTCGTCGGCCGGAGTGTCCTGGGGGATGTTCCCAAGGTAGACCGTACGGCTGGTCCCGCTGACCACGGGACTCATGGTGGGAGAGCCAGGGTTCATCGGCATCTGCATCTGACCGCCCATGGAGCTGTACCCTGCGGTAGGGGACTGGGGAGAAAAGAACTGAGGAGCCCCGTAGGTCGAAGGAGAGACATAGCCCCCGGGGGACATTGGCTGCTGCACGGGGCTCGACATGCCGTTCTGTTGGACCTGCTGGGCCTGCTGGTAGGCATTCAGATTCTGGAACTGGCTGTTGGCAAAAGCGGCCGGGGTGCCAGGCTGGAAGGGGCTTCCGAGGAGCAGCTGGGACGGCAGCAGAGGAGTGAACTGCATATCAAAGCCTGTGCCAGGGGTCGTCAGGTCAGCCACGTTGGGCTGGGGCTGCTGGTGGACATTCTGGTTGTTGATGCTCTGCGTGTTGATGGTGGGGATGTTGCCACGTCGGGGGTGTCTGTCGGCGAATCCAGATATGTTAGAGGTGAAGGCGCCGTGAGAGAACCCGGTGTCACTGTTGGAGGGCTTCGAGATATGGCCAGGGAAACGGCCCTGACCACCGCTGGGACCGGCCTGGCCGATGGGACCGGGGTTATGGTCCTGCATCCCGAGGAGATGAGGGGGGACAAGGTTGTCCCGACCGACGTGAGATAGAACAGCCGTTTTGAAGGATAAAAGTGCCCCTGCGAGAAGGCACTAGTCGAGATGCTGTAATAGGTGCGTTGGATTTGGACCGACGCTCCGTGGAAGTACAAAGGGGTATCTCAAAATTCCACAACCGGCGGTACGCAGCTGTGAAAAAGCTTGAAGCTGTTCAGAAACTGCAGGACAACACGGGCTCGAAGACACGTAGCCGCACCCACGAAGTCGAAGAATACAATTGTATGCCGTATATGCAATTGAGGTTGTTGGAGTTGTTCAAGCCGACGTATGACAGTCGGGAACGAGGACTCGAGGCTGGAGGATCCCAAGAAAGAGTTCGAGGCGCGAAGGCGGTCAAAGAACGAGCGGCCCAAAATCCAGCGAGTCAAGAACCGAGTGGTAGAGTATATGTCGGGACGTGACGACAAATGGACGACAGCGAGTCCCCCTACTCGTGAATTCGAACAAAGACAGGCAGCCGGGACTGGGAAGGACGGGCGCGACTGGAGTCGTGGCGAGTCTCGAGGAGCGGAAGCCAGAAGAGGATATGCGACGAACGGGGAGGGGAGCCTGGGCTCGCTCGACGGGGGCTTTCGCGTGGGATGAGGGTTGTCTAGGTTCGGAGAGCACACGACAAAAAGACTACAACCAATATATGCTGAATAACGAGCGTGATCTCGAACAAAGTCAGGCAAGCCGGCGTAAAGCTGCTCGACGGGGTAAAGTGCCAGCGAATTAAAGAGGCGGCAGAAGGATTGCGAAGAGGGACGAAGAGAAGAAGCTGAGGCTCAGGCTCGTGGGCGGGTCATGGGCGGGTTGAGGGGGCGATCCAAGGACACGAACGTGAACATGAGCGAACGAAGGGGAGGATGAGCCTGAAAGAAGAGGTTCAAGATCAGAGCCAGGCAAGAAAAGGAGAGGAAGAGGTGGTGAGTGAATTGGTCCGGGGGGAGGTGAGAAGAGAGGGGACCAGGGACTAGGGACGACTAGGTACATGTAAAATTGGACAGGTAGGGAGGGAAGGAGGAGGACTGGGGCAGGCGACGGGGGTCGTACTCGCGGTGAACATCTGAAGGTGCCCGCCGAAAGGGGCAAGGGCGAAATCTAGTGCGCAGACCCCCGTCGCTGCAATTTAACTCTTCCGCGCCTTTCGTTGAAGGAGAAAGCGCAGGAAGGTTCGGCAGACCATGTGCCAGCATGCAGCATAGTACCTTACCACCAGGTAGGTACAGTCGACATGCAGCCCATCATGTAGCAGTACGCCGTGGGCAGGAGTTCACTTGGTCGAGGCACTGACTGGCGAAGGTTCGCAGCAGCACGTTGCCTCTCACAACCACCGGCTGGTATGGAGAACAGACAAGCCAAAGCCCCATCTTGTGAAGTGGGTTGCGGCCGGCCGCCGCCAGCACGGATCATCGCTTGCTGTCCTTCTTCTCTTCCTCCCCTCGAGGCCCCGTCCCAGAGGTGCCATTTCGATCGGTACTATACTGTCCAGCACATACTCAGCCAGCCGAATTGCGCGGTTCATTTCACGTTGGTTCATGCCGAGCTGGTCTGCTGGCCTGCTGGCCCTGTCAGTGCGGCACAGAAACATGCAGGCATGGTACGGGAAGCTGGGTGCCCCCTTAGTCTGGTACCTGAGTAGCGCTCTCAGCTCTCAGCTGGTTGGCGCTTGAAATCTGGGGACGGATCGACTGCTGCTCCCTTTTGGATACCCAGCCTGCCGGAGTAATTTGGGAGACCAGGTATATTGCACAGCAAATGGGCCCGGTACCAACCAGTCAGTCGTGTCAGTCATCAGTCATGTCGGTGCGAGCAACATACCCGTACCCATCTGTCCGTCCAGCCTTATCACCCAGCAGTGTGTCTCCTAGCAGCCGCTCGATGCTGGTCTGTCGGTGTGTGTCTGTTTGTCTGTCTGTCTGAGGACTCAGAACCAAGACCAGCAGCGCTCCGTCATCTTGCCGGCTAGAGAGAAATCTTGCTCATGTATCGCCCGAAACCACGAGTCAAGCCTGTGGCCACCGAGGCGGTCCAGCTGCAGACTGCAGACGGCAGACCATAGCACGCCAGACCGCAGAGAGCAGACCGCAGTAGCGCAACTGCCAACGTTGGAGTGCGCCGGGTAATTTCAGCAAATCCACGTTGCCGCAAGAGGTGGCTGATTACTGACGCGCCGTCGTACAACCTTACGATAAACCATCCCATTTAATCTTCGTGTAACCTCGACCAACTCACATCTCCCAGGCGGGCCAGTTCGTCCTCGCATCCTGGCTGTCGTGGCCCAAGCCGTGAGGGGTTCGTCACGAAGACCTCGTTCTCGTTCACGATCTACCGCATACAGCATGCCTGGCACCTGTGCAGGCTACATACACTACGTAGCAGCGATGCAGCCATCACAACCGAACGTTTCGAAGCTGGAAACGAAACAAAGGCACCGGCCAATCCAGGGGCGCTCGCGTGCTAGGCCCAGGCCAGCCCGGCCAGGCCAGTCCTCGCATGCACAGGCAAGTGGGCGACCAAGCCGCATCGGATAGCTGGGGGACAGGCAGGCTCGATTTGAGTTTTGTCACCCTGTCCGTGGGACAGTCAGTCCATCTGCACTTGAGCACCAGGGACCCAGTGGCAATTGCCGATGACGCCGGCGAGAGGAAGCGCCCACATCCAGTGTATTCTTCAATTGGACGAAGAGTTTCAGATCTCTCATGTTACTAGCAAGCGACCCATTCAGCCAGTCAGTCAATCAGTTACTACGAAGTACTTGGCCAAGTTCAGTCATGGATATCGTCCCCAGCTGGGAAAGGGGGCCGTTGGTTTTACTACTAATTAGGTTGAGCCGTTTATTCAGACACGAGGACCCTCCCCCAAAGAGGGCCAGGCCCCGTGTAACCTGGGCGGATCTGCAAGCACCGACCAACCCACACCAGGCGTGCTAGCTAAGGGTAGGGTAGCAAATGGAACCAACCTTACCGTAGCAGACGAGCAAAAGAGACTACCCTTTTCGCAGCGGGCTACATGCGTGCGTGCGTGATCACAATCGGAAACCTTCAGCGGGTAAAAAGCATCGCCCATCACGCTCTCACAGACGGGATCGCAGACCCTACGGCAGTTTCCCATCTCCAATTAGCCAGGTACCGAGACGCAACGGCGGACACTTCTGCAGGAACACCAAATCAAAGAGTGGAGCCGCAGCAAGCAAGGGTTGGTGGGGGGCAGGCTGCAGAGAGAAAGGAGAGGACAAGGAGAAAAGAAGAAGAAAAAAGAGAAGCATCACCTTCCATTATTCGATAGCACCCATGCTCGCAGCGATTATCACACCACAATGAACTGCTTCTCGACCCGTTTGGGACAGCTGGATTGCCCGCCCGCTAAAAATTGAGCACAAAGCTCAAATCAGTCACAAATGTCTCAACCACTATTGACTTACCCAAGAAACACAAAATGGGGAAAAGAAAAATAATAAAACCTGAGGCAGAGCAGTGATCCATCTCATCTAGCTCTGCACTCAGAAATGAATTGCGAGTCAAGCAGGCAGAAACAAGAACCAAAAAAAAAAAAAAAAAAAAAAAAGACGATCACAGAAGGGTGAGCTGGGGACAAAAAGAACAGCATGCCCTGGAAGACGTACACGCGTAACGAGATCCAGCTCCCCACAAATGGGCTGCAGTATCGGAAATGGTTCCTGGATCGAGGCAAGGCCAAGGGGGACCACGGTAAGCTCCCCCCTCCCGTCGGCTCACAGGAGCTGCCAAGTGCCAGCCGGATAGCTTCAGCCAGCCTGCTGTGCGGTACGTAGGCCGTTCCGGGCGCGGAACCTGTCACTGTCAATCTCTCGCGGCTAACGAGAGGGTAGGGCACAAAACAGCCGCGTTGGTGGTGTCAGCCAGCCAGCCTTGATTGTAATACGTTGACACGAGGCGTAGAGATGCAAGTTTGTGAGCGGCCACAACAATTGTCAGCCGCACGGTAGGTGGTTCTGGACCTGAATGCCCCTTGAGCTGTCATTACTGGCCCCTTCTCAACCACCTGTTCTCCCCGAGACTCTAGCGAGTATATCGAATCGGCAGAGGGGTCTACGAAATGTCTATCCGCATATCAATCCACATCCCAGCCAAAACAGCCCTTCTTTTGTGTCCCTGTGTTTCAGCGCGCCAAAGACACGCCTGCTGCAGCATTTCTCCCGCTCAAGGCTTGCATCGTCCCATGAAGCGAGGGTACATGCAGCACGTCCGCACGGTGTGCTGGTTAGCCAGCCAGGCCAGGAACCGCTCCAGGCCCAGGCCGTATCCACCGTGGGGAGAGGTGCCGTACTTCCTCTGGTCGAGGTACCAGTAGTACGGGTCAGGGCTGATGCCGTGCTTGTTAAACGCCTGCACCAGCTCATCATAGCCCTCCATTCTCATCGAGCCGCCGACGATCTCACCAACGTTGGGCATCAGGACGTCGACTGACTCCGTTACGCGCAGGTCGTTGGGGTCCTTCTTCATGTAGAAAGCCTTGATCTCCACGGGGAAGTGCGTCAGGAGGATAGGCTTGTTGATCGTGTCCGTCATCTTGCGCTCAGCCGCCTCGGCGATGTCGTCGCCGAAAACGTGAGGCTTGCCCTCCTCGTTGAGGATTGGTGGATCTTGAGCGTTGAGCCTGCATTGATGTTAGTAAGGCGATCCAAACCGCAGCCAAACCTCACCAAAGGCAGCTTACCAGTCAATCGCATCGGTATACTTCATGCGCATAAAGGGGCGGGACGGCTTCTGGAAGCCAGGGTTGAGCTGCTTGATGTAGCCGGCCAGTTCCTCATCGGCCAGAACCATGTCCACAACGCCGCAGATCATCTCCTCCAGGTGGCTCAGCAGGTCCTCAAAGGTGATGAAGTCAAGCTCGGCCTCGATATGCGTGTACTCGGAAAGGTGACGCCGGGTCAGACTCTTCTCCGCACGGAATGACTTCTCGATACAGTACACGTTACCCATGGAGGGAAGCACGGTCTCGAGGTACAGCTGCGAGGACTGCGTGAGGTACGAGTTCTCGCCGTAGTAGTTGAATCCAAACAGCGTGGAGCCTCCCTCGACCTGCGTCTGCACCAGGGCAGGCGGCGACACCTGCCTGATCTTCATTTGCTTGTACAGGTGCCTGAAGGCATAGTCAACCTCGGATCGAAGCTTCATAACAGACGACGCCTTGTCTCCTCTCAGAACCAGGTGTCGGTTGTCAAGCATGTCCGACTCCCATTGATCCTGAGTGGCTGACACCTTGTTGGTGAGGGCGTCGAGATCGGTAGGAGCCGCTCCCAGCACCTCGTAGTAGTCGACGTGCAGCTCTCGGTTGTCGGGCACCTTGGCTGTCTCGGGGGCCTTCTTCATCTCGCCGTAGAGCGTCAGGGAGGTGCTTTGGGTGAAGGTCAACGCATCGTAGGTCGAAGTGAGGGGTCCTGCTGCCAGGATGCATTGCAGGTGGCCGTATCCGTCAACGAGCTCAATAAATGTCTAGCCACAAAAGGTCAGCATCAAACCTGTCTGGAGGCCGATACGTCCGTAGAATTGCTTACCGCCTGCTTCTGTGGGCGCAATCGGTGGATGCGACCTGACACCTTGATCCTGCCCTTCTTGTCACCCTCGCCCAGCTCCACGTTCTTGTCGTCGATCCTCAGCTTCCTCGCCTCGGGCAAGCTGGGGTCCTGCTTTATGACGATCTTCTTTGGCCCCCTCAAGGTTCTTCAGCCGCTGCTTCCTCGCCTCCTCCTCAACCGCGGCCGTAGAGGCCTGCTTGGCCAGCTTCTTCTTGTGCTGCTCGACCGCAGAGGTGGCCTTCTTGACGGCGCTCTTGGCGGGTTCTTTCCATTGCAGCGCAGCGCCTGGGTCGTCGCCTGTCTTTGAGGCGCGGGAGAGGTACTTTGTGGCGGGACGCTCGATGTTGGCGATCATGGCGTAGGCAAGGGACTTGTACGGCTTTGACTCAGAGCCGTCAGCTGAGGCATCGTCGATGCCCGCATCGGTGTCGACGTAGGAGGTGTCGCCCTCGGGCTTGACCCGTTGTGCGAGTTCTTGAATGGCTGCCATGTTTGGTGATAGCTTTGCTTCGAGTCAATTGGCAATGTCGAAGCAGAAGTCGAGGTGTGGTTGTCGTGGTTGTTGTGGTTTTGCTCCCAAAGAGTCCCTAGGCCGCTATGGTGGGGTCGGATATTTATTGCCAAAGATAAGGGAGCTCGAGTGGGCAAGGTTGAGTCACCGCCAGGACCTCTGCTCGGGTAGCTTATCCCGTTGACTCAACTGTGTCACCAATTGCTATCTGGACATCCTGAAGCACATTTCGGTTTGATATTCCAATCAAAGGGGATATTTCAGCTTGGAATCCATGCTCATGCTTTTAGACTGCTGCACTATATTCCGGCGACATTTGGCTGCCGTTTGGTCGGACCGCTACTATAGGCAATACGCAGTACTCGGTACATTTGCAGTACTACCAAGACGGTAGATACCAACCCAGGTACCTAGTAGTTGGTAGTTGTAGATTGGGTAGAGATATACCCAGGCCTCACAGCTCATCCTTCACCTCCTCCTCCTCCGCCTTGTCTCCCTCGACCTCTGCGGCTGCATCCTCCTTCCCCATCTCTGTCATGCCCCTCTTAACAATCGAGCTTATCATCTCGTACACAACCTGCGCAGCCGCCAACGCAGTCTCCTCGCCCTGCCCCTGATAAGCGGGCGAGACCTCGACAACATCAGCACCCACCACATTCAGGCTCTCAATGCCCCGGATGATCCTGATCAGCTCGCGCGTCGTCCACCCACCGGGCTCGGGGGTGCCCGTGCCGGGCGCAAACGCCGGGTCGAGGACGTCAATGTCCACGGACAGGTAGACGGGGTCGTCCGGGGGGATGGCGTCCAGGATCGCCTTGACCACGCCGGCGGTCCCCAGGTCGTCGATGTCGTCGGCGACCACGCGCAGCCAGTTCTGCGCCGTGTCGTCGTCAAAGTCGTCCCACCCGTTGCCCGACAGCCGGGTGCGCAGGCCCGCGTGCACGGACGGCCGCGCCGTGTCGTTGACCAGGAGGCCCTCGGTGCCCGCCAGCCAGAACATGGAGCCGTGGTTGAAGTGCGCCTGGTCCGTCAGCCAGCTCGAGGGGTACTTGGCCGGGTGCCAGGTGTCGAGGTGCGCGTCGAAGTGCAGCACCCGCAGCGGCCTGCCGTAGATCTTGTTGAGCGCCCTCAGCGCCGGCAGGGCGAGGCTGTGGTCTCCCCCGAGGGTGATGAGCCTGGGCTTCTCGAGCAGGGGGGACAGCGGCCTCCGGCTCCCCAGCTCTGTGAAGGCCTCTGTCATCTGCCGTATCGCCACAGCATTGTCGACCGGCACGATGGGAATGTCCCCGCAGTCCATGATCTTTGCCCAGTTCTGATAGGGGTTGATGTTGGCCCTCGGGTTGAAGCCCCGGAAGCTCGTCTGCCGTGACGAAGCGTGACGGATGGCCCGTGGTCCAAATCTTGCGCCTGAGCAGTTCTGGTTAGCCGAGAACAGCTCTCATCCACGCCGCAAGCCGAGAGATGTGCTTCCAACGTCCTGCGCACAAGACAGGAGCGCTGTCCTTGTGGCATGGGAGACTCGGAAACGTACCTGGCCGGTAGCTCACAGCGGTATCAAACGGCGCACCCACGATCGCGATATCAAACAGTTCCGTGGGGTCTGTAAGACACTTGACGTGCTTCAAATGGGCGAAGCTGCCTATTCCAGCAAAAGGCCACTGTAGTCGGGCAAAAGTCAGCCCATCACCGTATTTCCCAACCCAGTCACAGCCTTGATGAGAAATGCCGTGGCCGCCCGTAGGTGATATCTCATCTGCAGGCCCGACGGCAGCCCACAGCCATCACATCGGCGGTGAGAACGAAGATCGATCCCCGGGAGTGACGGGAGATGATATTCTTCGGGCGGCCGCAGGAGAGACACGAGGCATGGCCTGCCAAGTCGAGCCCACATGCCTGGCTCTGCTGTGTGGCTTCTGTCAAAAGGGGTGAAAGAAGGAATTTCTCTCTCGCTCACCTCCATGCCCCATTTGTATTCAAGCTCGGCAACCTCCTCTGCCGTCCAGACGCGATCATCATGCTTGTGGTGACCGCCGCAGGCCTCCGCCAGCGAGGCCAGCGCGGCAAGGACGAGTGGTGCCAATGCGCTCCTCATCTCGGCGGTTGATGTTGTGGTTCCAAGCGTTCAAGTTCCTGAGCCTGCTGTAGCAATGTCGGGCAGGGCGAGATGAGATGTGTCGACGGCCCGTCGGTGTAGACTCGTGGACTCGCTCTGTGCAGAAAAAGAACAATAGGGAATAGCTCTTTTTTGAAAGGGCCGATTAAGTGCTTCTTCTTTGAGACGAGAAACCACTAACGAGTGGTGTGCCGGTCCGGCCCGGTTCAGGAATCCATATCGACTCATCTATCATATGTGTGGAAATGCATCGGATCGATCACCAGCGATTGACAGCGGCTTGGCGGTCATGAACGCTCACATTCGCACTGCGCAAAGCCTATCGTATTACTTGCCAAGATCTTGTCTCATTGCTTGTCTAGCAGTGCCAGATGATTAGGTATACAATACAGAGACCTCATACTGCAAAGTCAGTCAAGTCGACCAGACACCCAGGCGAGAGTCAGCGGTGTTAGCAATGCCGAGATACTCGCACTGGCCATTATTGGTCAATCCAACTAGTCAAAGCTCCGGTGCGGCAAACGGCCGGCCGGCCGGTCAAAAGTCTCGCGCGGCCAAGCAACGTCGGCCCTGGCTAAACGGTGAGCTAAATCCCCGCCTCTTGCAGCAAACGTCCAACGGTGCGGTCGCTAAGGAAAAGCCATGTACGCTTTTCAACGGGGTGTTGCAGACACGAAGGCTTCTGTACGTCATGGCTTGCTGTGGTAGCGGTTGATGGGACGCGATAGAAGTCGGGCATTCATTAAACAGATGCAAGCCATCACACATCACCAATGCTGCTATGCTGCACTGGTGAAAGCCTCACCCATGAATTGTAGTGTGGAATCAGTCGCATTTCCGGAATAAGTGACCGTTCAGCAGACGGCAGTCTTGGAGCACGTCCCACGCCGTAGAAATCAGAGGGCACGAATACGCGAAAGCTCGAGTCCTTCACCTGCCCAGCGGCGCATCAACTGCTCCAAGGCAGCCTCGGGACATGCAAGAGGGAGCTGCAAGGACGATCCCGTCTCGGGGTGCATCGAGCTGGGCTGGCTCGCCGGGGATAAAGAAACCTCGCGCCCATCGTGTGGTCCCTTTGCACATATCATTAAGCTTTTTCTTCCCACCTCCGCCTCCGCGCAAACCCAACAAACAGCAGCACGGGCAACAACGCACGTCCGCTTCGCGCTGGGATTCAGGGGTGGAGGGTGGGGGAGGGACGCACGTCGGGCAACCCTCCTGCCTTTGCCCCATTGTCACCGGAAAGCATATCTCGAGGGTTTTCCGGAACGCGAACCTGGGTGCTCTCCGCACGGCCGCGCTGGCCCAATGAGACGCATCTGAGGATTTGAGAAAAGTTCAGATGCCAAGAATGTTTAGAAACACTCCGCGATGTGACGCCGGGAGCTTGGGGACGGAGAAGGGGGGAAGGTGTTAGAGCAGGCCGTTCTTGGCCATGGTTGGCTCCGAGGTCCTGATATCACTGGCTTCGAGGGAAATCGATGATGAGCAGGTATTGACTCTTCTGATTCCGGATCAACTGAGCAGTGTTTGATGATGAGGTCACAAGTAATATTCGCGCACCGGTCGCCAAAGTGATCCCACTGGAGTTGAGCAAAGACCGCATTTCTGATGTCCCCAACGCCTCCGTAATCAATCATGAAATAGTACTGCTGGGGGCCAGTGAGTGGCATTTTCAAGAGGCCACAAGTCTCAGCTTGACAATAACTCCAGTCAAGAAGATGCAGATCTGTTCGTATTGAAATGTGGGAAAAGAGTCGCTTCAACGAATAACACGTCCAGATCTAAAAAAGAAGCTTCCTTCACCAGAACACTAGCAGTTCTCTTCTGGTCAGAGCGGTCCATCGACGGCCTCGGAGCCACTGGAAACCTGCCGTGTTTGTCGCCTTCGCAGACGATCAAGCAGGGCCCTTGAACGTGACTCTCGGCCTTGTTCGTCCCATCGGGTGGCCCAGAGCTGCTGGGTGTCTAACGAGTGTACATGAGGAGAACAACCCATGTTCTGCATTAGACTATTCATCTATCCCAGGCAACCCACCTGCTCGTCTTGCTGCGCCCTGCATCAGGGACAGACCAGTCCGGTCGACACAGAATGAGTGTGACATGCTCGCAGCCGAAGGGGCGAAATTAGAGCACCAAGCACTTATGCTTCTTACTTTTTGGTGCTGGGGGTTCCAAAGCCGCAACGATTGCCTGTGCACCTGATTAGTTCGTGGCCTACCAGACTTGACACTGCCAGAGACACTCGTACCTCGTCAAACACGTCCTTGAGTTTGTATTGCGTCAGAGCACTGCACTCGACATACTTCACAGCGCCCAGGTCCTTTGCCATGCGCTCGCCGTCCTCCTTCCGCACCGGTTGCATCTTCTGCTTGGCCAGTTTCTCCCGCACGCTTGGGTCATCCCTCAGATCGACCTGTGTTCCGACAATGAGGCAAGGGACGCCAGGGCAGTGGTGGTGCACCTCGGGGAACCATTTCTCGCGGACGTTCTCGAACGATGCGGGGGAGGTGACGCTGAAGCAAACGAGGAAGACGTCGGTCTGTGGGTATGATAGGGGCCGCAATCGGTCGTAGTCTTCTTGACCGGCCGTATCGAACAGTCCCAGTGTGTACGGCTCATCGCCGATCCTAATTTAGCACATGTCGTGGTCAGCGCAGTCACAAGCCCCCTCAACATTGGTAGACTAGTATTCGGGGTAGTCTCGGGCGGGCAGGGCGGCTGAGCGGCAACGCGGAAGACGCGACACGCCGCTTTGACACGCGTAGTGCAGAAGCAGCGGAGAATGTTTTCCAAGTCTAGGACGGGGAGAGCGCGTCTTACATGACGGTGACTGCGTAGTTGTCGAATACTGTCGGGACATATTCGGAGGGGAATTTGTTTGTGGTATAGCTGATGAGCAGGCATGTCTTGCCGACAGCACCGTCACCGACGACAACGCATCTGCAGGAGAAATTGATCAGCCACTGCCGCAACAAGGCAACATTTGGCGCGGTGTGCGTAGTCACGAGGTGTGGTAGGAAGATGCTGCTGCACCCCGAGGTCAAGCTGGACCATCAGAGCCCAATAGGGAGGGGGATGCATGTGGCATGTGCAGGCCAGAAGTTTAACTCGGAGAGCAGCACAGGGCGCTGCACTGCGCTGCAGCCCGTCCAGCCCCTGGCACATGAGCGGCCATGGGGGGTCGATGGGGCACGGGGACCGTTGGGCAACGTAGGACGGGGTGCAGGAGCGAAGTGTTGAATGGGACGGCAGTGGAGTACGGACTTGATTGTTGCGACCACCATTCTTTGAGATGCGGGCTGCTCCTCGGGAGGGGCAGCGGTTTGTTGTGGTGGTTGGGAGGCAAGACGACGCACGCAGAATGCCTGCAGGAAGGTGGTTTCTCCTTATCGCGAGCCGTTGCCCGGATCACAGCACTGATAAAGGTCTTGGGTGAGGACGCCTCGACGGGGTTGTGCTGTGCTGTGCTTGTGCTTGTGCGGTGCGGTGCGGTACGCTGCGCTGCGCTGCTGCTGGACCGACTGGACTCAAACAAGACTGAGCGCAACAAGATGGACTTGGCCTCGGGTTCGACTTGATGGGTTGGCTTGCTCGACTTGCGATGTGACTTTCTGTGACGGCGGTGGGGGGCGGAGAGCGTCCAGTTTATCCCAGGTGGCTTGGAGTAGGTGAGCGCAGGCGGTCAAGGAGAGGCGAGGCGAGGCGAGACGAAGCAGGACGGGGAAGCACAGGGCAGGGCAGGGCAGGTGAGGGGGGCCAGTGAGTAAGAGAGAGAGAGAGAGAAAGAGGCAGGAAGAAGTGAAGGGTTGGCAACGACGGGAATGAGGTCGCCGTGAGAGCGGGTTGGATTAGCTCGGACGAGGAGAGAACGTGTGTGGCCAGGTAATAAAGTTCAATTGAATGGGTATGTATGCAAATGCAATTCAGCCTCGTGCAACTTTTTGTCTGGTGCAGGCAGGAGGAAAGACGAAAGGCGCGGGCGGGAGTGCGAGTGGACGGCGGAGGACCTGGACCATGGGAAGTGCTCGCGAGCGATGGCGATCAGTGTGTGATGGGGGGATCTGGTAGGGGGGCCAAGGCTTGCAGTCCCAACCTTGGAAGGGAGGACAGGCAGCCTGAGCAGGAGCAGGGGGGGAAGAAGGGGAGCCCAGGCCTTTTGACCCCCCAACCGGCCTCCAATCGAAAACCAGTTCCAGCCTGCATAGGGCCCGTCAGGTTGGTGCTCCTAGTGCTGCTATCCCTTTTGGGGCACTAATATTGGAGGCCATGCACCTGCAGCTAGCCTGAGAGCCAGTCCACCTTCCGTGGACGGGGGCTTTTGGTTTCTTCCCCTTGCTGTTTTGTTTTGAGAGAGATGTGGCGGAGAGTACAGTTACCAGGGAGCCCGCCTCCGCCAGGAGGGACGCCATGTACCAAGACCACCAGCCCTGATGATGGAGCAATCTAGGCCAACAATCTGCTCTGGAAGCCCTCATTCTCCTACACAGTACCTGGGTGGACTAGTCAGTCGGTCACTCAGTCAGTGGGGGGCCAGAGGACTTGAGCTGTCTTGTCTGTATATTTCATCATCAGGGGACCTTTGTCTACCACCCTCTATCACCTAGACTACTAGGTGCTATCTCCAATCTAGAAACTGTCCGCTTGGCAGCTAGGTGCAGTGTGAGACATCGAGGCTGCTGCTGGCTGCTGAGAGCAGACAGACAACCGCGCAAAACAAGAGATGGCCGAGTCGAAGATCATGGAAGGATCTCCGTATGCACAGGAACAAGACGCGCCAGTCCATCTCTTCGACCTCAACTTGCATATAGCCCCAATCTGTGACGGACGAGAGCCGGGGCCGTCTCGCTGGGGTATCCTGAGTCCTGATTGCGACCCCCCGGGGGCCTGCGATCGAGGCAAACCAAACACAACGCAGCACAACGGAACAAAGGGCAACAAACATGTCAACGCCACAAAACCAACACAGACAGGCCTGACAGCCCGCCTGCTGGGTCGACTCGACTGGACCCGGCTAGCCTCGAGGCTCACGGCCCCCCAGTCAACGAAGGGCTCTCTCGGGCCGGCCTGTGTGAGATGACCCGTAGAAGCAAGTAGGAGCAGGAACAAGTCGTCATGCCACTGGCAGAGTGACAGGCCGGATACTCACCGTGCTCAGGCGGACTACAGCACATGTCCCGGTTGCTTGGTTGCATGCTCGCATGGACTGCTGCTGCTGATGAATGTGTCAAGGCGCACTTGTGGCTGTGGCATGTCCAGAAAACCAGGCTGGAAGCCTTCCGGAAGCCCTGGGCGCCGGTCCCAAATGGGCCATGTCTCGTTCTGGCATGCAGGCCAATTTGAAGTCGCATCTACCAGCTACGCAGCTGGCAGGCCTGTCGCATGATTGCCAAATGACCATTGGCTTCGAACCGACCGAGGGCTCGACTATCGTGCCGCGTCACGACGCCCATCACCCAGCACCCAGCACCCAGAAGCTACCTAGGTAGCATCCAGGTCCCCCCCCCGTCGGGGTTACCGTAAGTATGCTGTATATATGTGCACACAACAACGACGTACGACTGATACAACAAGCCTCAAGTAATAGCTCATGGCCGACGGCTCATATGGCACAGGACACACAGTCCATGTCTCGTCGACCTCTCAGCGGCACGTGGCTGTGGTGGGCGATCTGTACAGGGATGGCGTGTGCTGGCGGCTCTAATACGCCCGAGGGTTACACTCGGCTGGGTGACAAGTAGACACCGCACTGTAGGCAGTAGATGGATGGTGGGCGAAGACCGAGGGAAGCCTGGGCATGTTGTGACCCGGGCTGCGGATCTACAGGAGAAAGGGCAGGGCAGGGCATGGCAGGGACTGGAAGGACAGGACAGGACAGGACGGGTATGGCGTCGTCTGTGCCCCCTAGCCGTTCGAAACGGCCACTGAAACCGAGGCCTTGTAGGCTAGGACCACGAGCGGCAAGCCGGCAGATGTGTGTCCCATCTCGTGCGATGCCCTCACCAGTGATCTCATTCCCCACGGGCGCGAGCATGACGGGTCAGCCAGGTCGCCGATGTCGAGATCTGGGCTGAGTCGGTGCGCTCTGCCGCAATCAATCGCATGGACTAGCGGGATGACTTGCAGCGGGAATTGAATTCGACGACTACCTAGGTAAGTTTTCCCCCGTTCCCAGGCAGACGCCCCCGTGTTGCAACAACGCCCCCGTGTTGCAACAACGCCCGTCCCCTCCCTCGGTGCCTCTCGGGGCAGTTGAACGGAGGTGGCCATGTGTAGACGACCGTGTCTACCTAGTAGGATCCACAGAGCACGCGGTGCCCTTACTCGAGGAAGCAGCCCCCGCCCATTCACCAGCCTCCCACGTAGTTGCATGTTTATAGCCTCTGGCACTCAGGGGCAGGAATAAGCAAACCCATGCTACGAGAATCATGGTAGCATCACCAGGTCTGTGGGCACTGTGGCTCCCCACCTGCGGCAAGATCCGATGGGTGCCCGTGAAAGTTGGCCCGCAGCCGCACACCATTAGCACCCGATCTTATTTGCACCCTGACAAGATTTAGACCACCTCGCATCAAACCAGCCGCCTCAGCTTCATTTCTTTCTCTCACCGGTCGGGGGTTGTTTTTGGTCTTTTCTGGAGCTCGACAACGCCGACTCGTACACCCGCCTGAGCAACCAATCGGCCGTCTCGCCATGGATCCTGACACCATAGATGTGCTCCTCGAGCGCTACCTCGCCCTGCTGGACGAGTACACCACCCTGCGCGCGAGGCTGAGCCAGCTCCAGACCGGCATGTTCCAGCACCTGGCCCGAGCCAACTTCTCAGCCGAGAGGGGCATGCGCTACGGCCCAGACTTCTACGACGAGAGGATGCAGGCGCTGCGACAGGTCAGCATCAGCACCCAAGGGGGCCTGCCAGTCTTCACGGTGTCGCACAGCAGCCGGGCCCGGGGCGACGGCGACGGCGACGACTCGCGCCAGAATCCTGCGCCAGATCCTGCTCCCCCAGCTGAGGAGGAGGAGGCGGCGGCGGCTGAGAGCGAGGCGGGCCCGAAGAAGCAAAACGCGAGGGACCCCCTCCGATGGTTCGGCGTGCTCACGCCACTGTCTCTGCGGCAGACCCAGGCTTGCGCCGCCGAGGCGGTCGACCACGTCGTCCCGCGCCTGGCGTCCCTGAGTGCCGAGATGCAGGACCTCGAGATTCAGGTCCGCAGGGCGAGGAAGAAGCGGGCCAAGGAGAGGGCCGCCGCTGCGAGGCAGCAGCATGAGCATCAGCAGGCAGTCGCTGGCGAGGAACTGGCCGCCAAGTGAATGGGGGCCCGTGAGACCCTTTGCGCATGAACGCAGGCCTACAAAGTGATCGCCCCGTCCTCCATGGCCAAGTCGAACTGCCACCCGGAAATTAATGCGATATGATCGGACTCAATAGTCCAGATGCGGTCGCGGATTGGTTCACCACTCATCGGCGGACTCGGGTGTGACCAGGCCGCACCAGATCCTGCCCATTCTCACCCGCTTATTCTTGCAGCGTGGAAAGCCGCCATGCTCTCGACATTCAACACCAAGAGACACACAGACTTCAGGGCTTCGCCGGCCTCCGGGTCCGAATGCAGCTTCCCTCTGGCCCTCCATTCCAATGATGCACAAGCGATTCAGCTCGTGAGAATCTTGGCGTTGCAGATATCTATTTCGCTACCTCGGACTCCTTCCTGGTGCAGCGAAATGTGGCTGGCGTTCGGGTCTATGGGTGCTGCTGAAAAACCAGGGGCCATGAGGCTCGGAGGGTGTCACGAACCCAGGGCCGATGTAACTCGTGTCTGCGGAAGAGAGTTGGCGCGGAGAACACGATGATCGCCGCGCGATGCCCGTGCCAACGCGGCACCGCGGCACGTGTTTGCGAGACACAAATGTGCACCTCTGCTCGTGCACAGACAGCGACAGCAATTTGGGTTCATGGATCTGCACAATGGTTGCATCGCGGATACGATCATTTGTATGCGTGCGGATCGTGAGCTACCAAGAAGGAGACGGAGTAGCTGCCCGTCAAGTCTTGTCTGGTTGAAAGACGCCGTGTGGAATTACATGCTTCTGGTCTCAAGTTGCAACTGAATATCGAGAAGGGCGACAGCAAGGAAAATTGAGACATCATTCCTGCTCCAGTCCGACCTATACCACAAAATATCTCCCAGGCCAACCGGTTGCTACCCAGGTTGTAACTTAGGGCAACAGTGAAGCAAAATCCATATCCACGACGGCCTTTTGAGTTGGTAGCTACCTTCTTTTCAGACTCATTGTGTTCCCTCTGTTGAAACTGTCTCGCCCATGCGCGACTGCAAAAGGTTCCCTAAAATCTCACCTCGTCCTCACCTCGCGCTTACTGACAACCACCGCGTCCTTGATTACGGATTCGAGCTATGTTACACGTGTGAAGATTGAAAGGCACATGAGAACTTTCGCCGTGATTCCTCGCATGGAAGCAGAAGCGGCGCCTTTGAGCAAACGCGGGATATGAAGGCTCCTCGCTTGGAGGGTCTTGTGCCCTCAGGTCTCCGAGGCCCAATTCGGGAACTAAGCAAACGTGTCGATGTACCTGGTGAGGCCATCATACCAGCAGGCAGGGGATTGTGTATGGTATAACCAGAGTGCTCTGTCGAGGTCAACTTCGGCATCAATGGACTGTGGCACTGTGACCGGACTGACCGAGTCACCATCTACGACAAGCGGTTCACGAGTACGGACGAAGACAAGTGGGCGGCTCTCAAGGCTATGGAGCCCCGGAAGTCTATCGGCATAAAAGCCGTTCTGATGTCTTGTATTCTGGAGACCCTCTAGTCTAAATTGTCTATCAACTATATTACTACTCTAGAGGGGTATTCTTCTACGCTAGACATGCATCCGTCCCAGAAACAAACAAGTACCATAATTGCTCCCAATGGACACGCTCCTCTCTCTTAGTAGCCAGCGGGGTCCGGCTTCGGGGGCAAGAGGTTCCCCTTATCTGTGTTGGCACACTCCTTCCTCCAGTTCTTTGGTGTGATCTTGTCAACGATGCTCTTGAAGGCCTTCAGGGTGCAGAAGGTCTCGTCGCCCTCCAGGTGGTTCCCCGCGGCCTTGCAGCCGGGTATCGTAACGGGCTCGTCGTTGTACCGGACCCGCACGTAGTGGCCCTCGATTCGCTTGAGCTCGTCCTCGGTCATCTCCTGCAGTGGCTTGCGGCCGATGCCGTGAAGGGCACTACCGGCCAGCGAGCTTGGGTTGGCCCCAGCGGCGGCGGCAGGACCGGCGGCAGGCACCTCGTTGGCGCCGGAGGCCTTTGCGGCAGAGGCGGCGGTGGACTTGCGGAAAACCTCAAGTGCGACGTGGCTGGTGTATGGGGGCCAGCGATGAGTCTCGTAGGCGCCGAGGCTGGCGAGAGTGCCGGCTAGGGTGGTGTCGTGGCAGCCAGACATGCCAAATTTGATGACTGCGTTGCCCTGGCTGCCCGATTTGTTGGACGCCTCGACGTTGGCGACCATACGTGCGGTGATGTCGCCGAGCAGGGAGCCCATTCCCAGAGCACGGTACTCGCGGTTTTCCTTGAAACCGGCAAACCTAATTAATAGAAAAGTAGCTTAGCCATAGCGGTATCTACACAAGGGGCTGGTTGAACTTACCACTCCTCAACGTTGATCTTCTCCATGGTCTCAAGGGCCTTTGCGTCGTAGAATACATCGGGAAGCTTGGTCTCAGGGCCGTGAGCAAGAGTGGAGTTGACGGTGTCCATGATGCCCGAGAGTCGGGGTTTTGCGTCCACAGCCACACGGGTGCCTTCAGGCATGTACTTGCCGTAGACGCTGTTCAGATAGTCCATCTCCGGAGTAAAGTTCCAGCGCTCTGCCGTACGCTGGGCGTATGCCTTCATCAGGGTCCTGAAGCGCAGGCAACCCCCCTCGTTGGGCAGCAGTTGCTCGCTGGACAAGTTCCGGAGCAGGATGGTCGGCGGCGGGAAATCAGAAGTGCGTTTGTCCTCGGGGTACAAGCCGACGAAGGCTTGCTGCAGAGACTCCAGTGCACGTGGGACTGGGGTGGCACGTAGGTACATGAAATTTGTCGACTCAATGGTGTCCGGGAGGAAGCCCAGCTGTTGGACATACAGCCCACGTAGACGCTGGCCAAGGCTGTAAGTAGTCTCTCGCCCCTTGTCAGTAAGCATGCCTGCAGCAAGGTCAGTACAGTACACCATGGATAAAAGAAGGGGATTTGAAGGTCTTCTTACCCATCTCACAGATGTCATCCACATGACCAGTGGCACCTGTGGCCAGGATGGGGGCGTCAGTGCCCTCCCCGAAGGACTCGAGGCGTTTCTTCCATTCGAGGGACGAGTATACAACGCCATTCTTGTTTGCCTCGAGCACCACGTTTCTCAGGTGACTTGCAGACTTGCAATAGGGCCAGAATGGGTGAAGGCCGGCATTTTGAAAGCGAGCCGAGACCGGAGTGCGCTCTCCATGGCGGAGGAGGATCTGGGCCTGGACAAGCTCCAGGCCAGGAGGGTAGAGGGCTTTGAGCTCCTCTTCCGTGTACGGCTCTCGTGGCTGGAGGGTCGTCATGGTGGTGTGATGAAGATTGTAACAAAACTAAGTTCTGTCAGCCTGTGCAACACACTGCTGGGATCTTGTCTTTCTTGAAATCAGGCGAGGTGAGGCTAGGTCAAGTGAATGTGGAAGTGAGTCAAGGTGCGAATTAACAACAACGTCAGACAACGTTTGTGTAGACCAGGGTTTCATGATGAAAGATAGTGCAACCCGGGAACAGAAAAGTCAATGAGGTATGTTTATTTGTACTGGGGCTTAGCATCTCTGGTCAAATGCATCGTGAATTAGCCCGGGATCTCCGTCACAGGAGCCCACCGGGCTGTCATAGAAGTGAGACTTGGGGACGAGACGAACATGGCAGGCTGTAAAGACTGCCAGGTGGCTTGTGATGAATGCACTGCAGTGACTCGCTGCAGTGCACCAAGCACCATGCCCAGATGGCTAGCACATGCAGCCTTGACTGGCCCTGGCTGGGGTGTGGGCCCCAGAATCCCGCGTCCCCACAATTATTTCCAACACTGGACATCTTCGCTCATTGCACTACATACATACACACCTGAACTACACACCCATTTCGTGCCTCACAATCTCTGCACCAGGTTGGACTGCACAGGCCAGCATGCAGGGCAAGTCGACATAAACCTGGAGGGGCCGAGTTCAGACGTCTGAAGAAGTTGTGATTGCAATTCCTTCACTGGCCGCAGTGGGGGGGAGAAAATCGCGTCCGATGCGAAGATTCCGCGCCGTATGCTGCCCTTGCCGCAGGCGCCTCCTGGCCGAAGCCCTGTCTCGAGCTCAAGCTCCTCGGCTCCCACAATGGCAGCTCCAGGCCAGGGCACATATGAGCTCAGCCTCGACCGGCAGGCCAGATCCGGCTCCAGACCACACCGTTGATGATTATGTCCCTTCAATCGATGCTGCGGAACCCGGTGAGCGGCAGACATCGGGCAGGAAGGTGCCGGCCCAGAATGAAGGCCCTACCAAGCCTCGCTTCAGAGGCCTGAGTCGGTGGAAGTCTACCAGAAGGCCCGAGAGCGCCTCCAAGGGGAATAGCCTGGAGATATTCGAGCGCGTCGTCCGCCAACAGGTTGATCGGGAGGATACGCCCTCGGAATCGGCGCCGAAGTCACCCGCCGCCCTCGAGTATTACAACGACCTCGCACGGCTAAAGTCGATGCTGAGGGGGCAGAGCATCGAGTCTTGTCTCGAGTTCTTCTTGACCAAAGTGTGGAATAATGTGCCCTTCGAGGGCAGGAATCTGCTTCTGAAGCAGAGAGGAACCTATCTCATGACCAGAGTCATAGAAGCGAAGATGGAAAACTGGGATAACGAGAAGTTGCCATCCCTGGCCCAGGCGTCTCAGATTTTTTCCGAGCTCGACTCGCTGAGCTGCAAGAAATGGACTGACTCCGTCATGAGCCTCATCCAGAACATCGTGACCAGGAGCACTGCCAAAGCCGACTACCCGGACGCGGAGGCATATGCAAGGTCCATGGCCAGGAAGGATGTGCTGCTGCAGGATCTGATCGATACTTGGATCGTATTCCACCGCCACCGCCTGTCCCCCAATAGATATGGCGATGCACAGGAATGGTCTTTCCGGTTCCCGCAGCTTGACGAGATGCTTCTCCTCAGATATGCGCGGGGTGGCGAGGCGGTGAAAGCAATCAACATGATGTTTCCACAGATCTGGGGCAACGATTTCAAGAATATCCCAGCCGTGGCCATCGCTTCTTTTATGGTTCTAGCAGACCCGTCCCACTCCCACCTCGAGGCACAGGAGAAAGCAAAGCCCCTTCTCGACACATTGGGAAAGATACTCGCTGCTGTTCCGATCTGGAAAGCAGGCCTGCATAACATCTTCGCAGAACACCCAGATATTCTGGTCTATGTCTTGGACCGTTGGGACTCGCTCATTTCTCAGCTTCGTCAGACCGACAGGCCCAAGCACAGACTGGAGACTATTGTCAGCAAGCCAGAGGTCAACCCGGAGGCCAAACGACGCGGGGGCCCTAGCAGCAATGTTATCATGCATCAAGTGAACACGGCCCTTGGGATGGGCGACGCTGATGCCGTTGAGGCCGTGTGGGCACGTTTCTGGAATCACCAGGCCGTACTAGATGAAGATCGGAAGGCGGAGTTGCAAACTATGGACAAATTGTTCCACTACTTCATCCTGGCATTCACTGCACTGCATCGACCGCAGAGAGCTGTTGAGGTTTGGGAGTGCATGACACGCATCGGAGTCCAGCCAACTGTTAAGACCTGGACCTCGCTGATTGAAGGGTGCCGGAGGTCCAAGAATGCCGTCGGCATCGAGAATGTCTGGAAGAAGTTGCTGGCTTCTGGCCTCGAGGTGGACGAAGCGGCGTGGTCGGTTCGGGTCGTGGGGCTGATAGACTGCGGCGAGCCCGAGGCAGGGCTGCGGGCCCTCGACGAGATGTTGCACCAGTCCAAACTAACAATCGCCCCGATCAACGCAGCCGTTGCCGCACTGATCCGTTTGAACGCCATGTCCGCGGCCAGGAAGGTCCTTGACTGGGCGTCGCAAAACCACATTGAGCCAGACATCATGACCTTCAACACGCTGCTGCGGCCCCTGGTCGTTCAGGGACACGCCGCGCAGGTCGACGGCCTGCTCAAGATGATGAAGGAAAAGGGCGTCGAGCCGGACGCGGCAACGTTCACGGTGCTCCTTGAGGGCCTCATTGGCGACTCCAAGGACGCGGACGCGGCCGAGCAGGTCAAGAGCGTCAACGATCTCTTCAACCAGATGGAAGCCGCGGGCGTGGAGGCCAACATGCAGACATTCGCGCGCATGCTGTACCTACTCGTCAGCGAGCCCGGCGCCAACAGCTACGAGGCGGTGGAAGCCATCCGCAAACACATCCACAGCAAGGGCCTCACCATGTCGCCGTACATGCACACCATCCTGGTGGATCACTACTTTAATCTCGAACCCCCGAACCTGGCCGCCGTGGAGGACCTCATGAACAAAGACGGGCTGAAGTGGAAAATGTTTGTGGGGCGCGGCCTCGACAGGGTCTTTTGGGAGCGGGTCATCAAGGGGTACGCCACGACGGGGGACATAGACAAGGCATATGAGATCTTCGAGCAGGTGGATAACATAGGGTCGGTCCTCACGCTGGACACGCTCTCGACCCTGCTCCTGTCGCTGGTCAAGGCGGGCAAGAGGGAAGAGGCCAGGAGGACGGTAGACATCGTGAAGATGCACCGGCAGAACTCCCACGTGAACTCGATCGGCGAGAGGGAAGGGTTCGGGAGCAAACGTCAGAAGCAGAGGGGCAGGTACTGGAGGCATCGGTTCTGGGCCTACGCGGTCGAGTGTGGGCTGCTGACGCCTGCCGAGTGGAGGCAGCTTGCGCTGGGAGGGAATCTATCCATGCCGAATCCTGAGAATAGTATGTAAAGAGACAGACAGTCACTATAGATAGTAAGGGCCTGGGGGTGTTGCGGCCTGATGTAATTTTGCACGAACGTCGAGAATACCACACATCTGGTGTATCTTGTAGTATTTGAGGTATCAATCCTGACTCATCGACCTGTCCTTTTCCTTTCCTATCCGACAGCTCCCTAACGCCCATATCCTACGCCCTAAATGCGAAACTCCATGGCAGCGTCGCACATCAAGCTACTAGCCATAGGCATATTCCCAGCCTTGCTTAAACTGCTTGATCACGCCTCTCTCTCTGCTTATAGCCGTTCACAGTGCCAGCCTTGCAACGTGATAAACCACTCCCCGGACCACTGGAGTCTCACGACCGGTGATCACGCTTCTTTACTCGTCCATCTTGTCATCCCCGCCTATACTACCAGAGCCTGCCAGGGCATTCACGACACCCTCCAGAGCCGCGACCTCGCCGCCGGCGAACCTCCTCCCCTCGCCCTGCCACTCTCCATCGCGCACCTCCCCGTCGCTGCCCAGCTCCAGGCCCCTGACGTGCTCGAGGTGTTTCCGCGCCGCGCCCTCGACGTACTCGACCCGCTCCTTCCGCCACGTCCGCCTCGCGCCGCCCTCGTCAACGCCGCCGCCCTGCAGGCTCGGCAGGATGCTCGACAGCGACCCGGACAGGGCGCGCAGCGCCTGGAGCTGCGACAGGGAGAAGGCCGTCGTGGTGGTGAGCGGGGTCTTGGCGTCGGCGAGGGTGAGGTCGCCCCTGTCGTGCAGGAACGCGAGCGGGGGCTTCGGCCTCGCTTCTCCCCCTCCCTGGGGTTCGTCCTTGACGGCCCCGGCGCCGACCCTGCCGACCAGCGACCGCAGCTCGCCGAGGAGCGCGTCGTTGCGCGCCTTCTCGGCGTGCAGCATGGTGTTGAGCTTCTGCGACGCCTGCAGCCTCCTGCGCAGGCGGTTGACGGACTCGACCGTCGGCCGGTCCGGCGTGTCCACGTCCATGCTGTCGTCGGCGCCGCCACTGGTGTTATTGCTCGGTGTTTTCGCGGGCAGGTTGTCAAAGTTCAGCCCCTCGTAGTGCCCCAGCCGCAGCCAGTCCCTATCGTCCGGCTTGACACAGAGGATGTTGCGCATCACGTACAGCTCGAACTTGTCGAAGTTGCGGTCGATGGACGCGCACAGCAGCGTCTCGAGCTGGTGCGTGCCGCTGGAGATCTCATCGTGCGCTCGCTTCTCAATCGCCTCGGGGGATAGGTCCAGTTGTGCATCTTCTGGCGGTGGCTGCTGTTTGCCCTTCCTCTTTGTTTTTGTATTTGCGGGTGGGTTCTGCGGCTTGCCGAAGCCGAGGTACTGTGGTGGTGCGTTGAGGAGTCCCTGCTCGACGCTGGCGAGGGCGCGCTCGGCGATGACGTTGATGCTGTTGATGATCTCGTCGAGGAGCGACTGCAGAATGCTGGTTAGTCTTTCTCGTCTGGCTTACAGTGAGTGCATGACTGCCACTTATGGGTGACTTACGACTGGAGGGTATCCAAAATGCTCTGTTAGCAGCTCGGTGTCTGTGTTGGCGGCCGTCATGTTGGATCGTGACACATGTGAAGGGGAGACGCGAGTGGGCTTGCACCTCTCTGGGCGACGCGTCGACCGCGTGGGGTGAAAGGCTCAAAATCAAGCAAGTGATGTTTGGGTGGCTCTGACTCGGCAGCTTTCCCGGGGCAACAGGGTACTTCCAGGGGTCCTGTCCCGCCGTCAGTTACGTCAGGTTCCCGGTTTGTACGAGCTCTTGACAGCGAATGATCCCCGATCGCGCAACTTTTTGAGCAAGGCCCTTTCGTACTCTGCTTTTGCCTAGACGAGGAAGTGTGCAACAGTACTGACCACCTGGTGCTCAGAATGAACAAATTTAAGGAAATTGCAAAGGACGGCTGGCATCCGGACAAAGTATGCCCTGTCCCCATCTTCAGACCAGATACCTATTTAGGGGGCCCGATGCTGACAGACCGCGGCAGAACGAGACCACATTCAGGGGTCAAGTTGTAGGTGGCACAGCAGCCCGACGCGCAGACAGGCAGACTCGAGCCCATTACTGATTTCAGATGCAGGGAGCCGTCTTTGGCCGGAAGTCCAACACTCAGAGCAACGCAGACCGAGACGTCACGCCCATCTCACATCTCAGAGACCCGGCCTCCTTCGCCCCGCCTCCAAAGAGAACCGGCTCCGTACTTCCACCCCCGGGAGTTGCCTCATCAACTGCCAGGCCAGGCTCTTCGTCACCGGCCCAGCAGTATGGCTATGCAGACCAAGAACAGGGAGTAGAGGAAGCGCCCGCACCACCCAGGCCCTACCGCGTCGACACAAGCGGGCTGTCTACAGCTCACCTTCCTCCGCCACCCGCACGGAGAGACGGCGCTGATGGCAGGGACACAGCCGTTAGTCCTCCTCCGCCACCATACTCGGCAACCGCAAAGCCACCTCCGCCGAGCCTGCCCCCACGCCTCCCTCCTCGGAACAACAATGCATCTCCGGGGCCCTCCCCCGGCGCCTCACCTGCGCTACCAGCCCCGGCCGCGCCCAGCCGGCAGACTGGCTTTCTGAACCAAGGCGCTGTCGACCGCCTGGGCGCCCATGGCGTTTCGGTACCAGGACTCGGCATCAGCAGCGGGAACAGACAGGTCCTACCACCGCCACCACCCTCCCGGTCAGGCGCGAGTAGCCCGGCCCCGCCACCGGCTGCGGCAGCGGGACCGGGGTCGGTGAATGAGCTACAGTCGCGGTTCTCGAAATTCGGCGGCTTTGGTAGCAAATCAACACCATCCCCACCCCCGGCCCAGGGAGCACCGACCCAGGGGACGACATGGGCACAAAAACAAGCCGCCCTGAAGACAATGTCCGACTTCAAGAAGGACCCGAGGTCCGTGTCTTTCTCCGACGCCAAGTCGGCTGCGTCGACCGCGAACAACTTCAGGGAGAGGCACGGCGAACAGGTCGCCTCCGGGGTCAACAAGGCGAACAGCCTGGATCAGAAGTACGGGGTCTCGGGCAAGGTAGGCGGGTACCTGGGCAACGCGAGTGGTGGTAGTGGCAGCGGGGGCGAGGCCGGCAGGACGCCCTCGCCCGCGCAGTCGCACCTCAGCACCATCAGCAACGCAGCGGGGCTGCTGGGCAAGAAGAAACCGCCGCCACCTCCGCCTCCTAAGAAGAAGCCGGAGCTGGGCGGCAATCCTGTCGACAATGGGGATGAAGACGCGCCCCCTCCGGTGCCAATGTCGACACGGCCGTTTTAGGACGAACCCTGACGTTGCGGTGTGCTGTACTACGGTCCTCTCTTACACAGATTCTATCACGCTAGTCTCTTACTCTGGGTAGACATCAAATCATGCATGGCACGGGCGTTCTGGGTAACATAGAATATGGCATCAATATCAAATTTACAACGGGCTCCAAGCGTGCGCGTAAAGAGTTGACCTGCATACTATTGCAGTAGAAATACTTGGTTATAACATCACACGCTACAAGACGCCGGCTTAAAGTATAAGCTCATATATGGGTTGTAATATTCTGTCCGCTCGCCTCGCAGAACGTCTCATGGCAGAGCCTACATCCGGGAAATCTATGGGATGCCTTCTCGTTGTTATTGGACAGTTCATGTCACTAGGGATATTCACACTGCTTTCGAGCCGGATATTATTCTGAAGATTGTGGTGACATCTTCGCGTCGTTCATGGTATCATTTTTTGTTTGTGTATGCCGAGATCCAATCTAGGCAACGCTTGATCGCCTATGCCTCAGGGCGAGGTAGACTAGTGGACCAGAAATCGAAGGGAAGGGGATGTGGTTGAAGTCTGTATGTCTAGACCTTCATCTCCTTCAGGCCGTGCTTCCAGAAGATGAAATAGGGGGTGACACCGTCCTCGCTGGCAACCACATGATCAGCAAGCTTGAACCCCACCTGGTCTGGAACATTGGGACTCACCGGTAGTTAAGGAGGGCGATCATGCCGTCGGGGTTCATGGACTCGCCGGTGTAGAACTCGTAGTCCTTGAAGTTGGGCAGCAGCTTCTCCTTGACGTACTTCTGGGCCCCGGTCTGGAAGGCCTTGACCTCGTCCTCGCCCTTGCCGGCCTCCTGGAGAGCAGCAACGACAGCCTTCATGTAGCCTATGAAATCCGCGTGTCAGAATCTTGCTCGTCTCTTCCAGGGGGGATCCAATCACAGGGGATATAACTATTGTTTCGTACCCTTAAGGTAAGCCAGGTAACCCTTCTTGTCGAACTGGGTGGACTGGAGACGGAAAGAAGCAATGATGTTGTTGACCTTGACGATCTGGTCGTCGGTACCCTCCTCAGCCTCTTCGGCGGAGGCGTTGGCACCAGTGTCTGGAGAGTGAATTCATCAGCTGAACGCCCCTTCGTTCGGCACTTGGGACGCCCTGTGTGAAGCTTACCAACGGTGACACCGCCCTCCTCGATCATGGCGCAGTCAGCCTCGTAGACGATCCCGTCGACCTCCTTGAGGTCGTACGAGTCCGAGATCATCTCGTCGTCGGTGATAACATCCTTGAAGATAAGCATCTTGGCGGTATTTGAAGATGGACACCGGTAGAGGGGGAGAGGTCGCAGGTGATTGTCGTGAAGGGGGAGGCGAAAGAAAATTTGGACAACTAATCGAAGGGTTCTAGAATGGTGGTTTGTGAAGCTGGGCGCGGGGAAAATGTCAATCGAAAATCAAAAGGTGGGGCTTGAGGGGTGGACTGGGCCAGCAGCCATCGCAGATTGGGACTAGCTGGATGAGCTGTCAGGGTTCGGGTCGGAACTGTCATTCTGGCAGGGGGCAGGGGGAAAGGGGGCCTTGATTGGAGCGAGCCCCTTTTACCCACCCGACCGACTGCCAGAGCACCTGGGCAGTTAACAAGGCTGACTGGGTGCCCGGGGAATACTCTCGGTGCATGGAGCCGGTGCTATGGGTCCATGACCAAGATTCAAAGCACTGACTAGCCGCTAGGAAATAAGGCGAGCATCTTGGGATCTCGGTCGAGCATCATGGACAGCCTTGGAAGTCGGTATGGGGTTTTACAAGGCCCAGGTTGGGTCTCTACTCAGGCGCACTAACAGAGACACTGGACCGATGGGGCTGCTCCGTGTTAATGCGTAGAGGCGGCATGTCCGCGACTGTCACAAGCCTGGGACTTGGGCAGGAAATTCGCGCCCTGCGAAAATGGCATTCCCAGCCCGTCCAGGCGCGTCGCATAGGCTGCACTGGACGCATTGGGCTTGGCCCGTCATGAGAGCAGATGGCGACCAAGGAACTCCCATGCATTTGATGCAGGCCGTCTGCCATGGCGGACAACGCATCAGAGATGATGGCATTGTCATTGTCTGGATACAAAAGGCTCTGGGTGGGCTACTTGAGCAAGTTGACAGGAGAGCAAGCCTGATATGCCATTCGTCTCCCAATGTTCTCGACATTGTGGCTTCATCAACATTGCTCGTGCATGCTGTCGGATTGACGGCCCCTAAAAAGTGGTTCGACCAGTGGTGGCAAACAACAGGCGACCCGGAAGAAACGGACAGACTCGACTAGCAAGCGAAATTGGTGAAAAGGGCCCACGCCGCCGGGTTCCAATTGCTCGCGACCGGCCGATCCCATCAAACGTCTGACAAACCTCTGTCGACAAAAAGGAGCTCCCAAAAGGGCTTATTCAACGTTTGCCACAGGTTATAGTCCCGTCAGCCGGCCGTCTTCTCTTCAGCTCTTGTGGCCTCAATTTGTTGCATCGTCAACTCCTCTTCAGCTTCTTCGTCCGGTGTTCCTGTTCCTGTTCCTGGTGCTGCAACACTGCACGCATAGCCAGCTCTCGCCACCCGAGCCCAACGCGACCGGCCGACTTATCGATAAAAAAGGGCCGCCCAAGCTCGTCCTGCACGTCCTGCACGCCCTGAATCATTCACCAGCCCGGCGTTCCGCTTTCGTGATGGTCGCCACTCCGACCACCGTCACGATGTCGACCGCCGGAGTCAGCAACGGCACCATGTTGTCGGATCTGCCTCCCTTGCCCGCGTACACGACCGCCCCGATACCTGACCTGCTGCCCTTCATTTCCGACTTCTGGCTGTCGGTCATCGGCCCACACATTGCTTACTGGGTCGTGTCCTGCGTCTTCCACATCATCGACGTCTACGACCTCTTCCCCCAGTACCGCCTGCACACCCCCGAGGAGATCGCCCAGCGGAACCTCGCCTCCAGATGGCAGGTTGCACGGGATGTCATCATCGAGCAGATCATCCAGATGGCCACCGCCGCCTTCCTGTCGCTTACGGAGCCTGAGCAGGTGACGGGCATGGAGAACTACGATGTTGCCGTCTGGGCCACCAGGATCCGCCTCGCGCAGAGGGCTCTGCCATCTGTGCTGGGCTTGATTGGACTCAATGCCGCGGTCATCTCCAAGAACATGTCGGCCTCGCACCCACTGCTCGCCGGTGCCCTGGCCGGTGGCAAGTATCCATTCTTGACCAGCTTCGACGCGACTGCGGATGTGTCGGTACCGGCCTTTGCGACCTGGGAGCTGGTGCTGGCCAAGGCGATATATTGGTTGATCATCCCTGCCTTCCAATTCTGGGTTGCCGTGGCTTTCTTGGACTCGTGGCAGTACTTTTGGCACCGCGCAATGCATGTCAACAAGTGGATGTACAGTAAGTTCACCCGCAGGCCGTAATACCTGGCTTTTGCAAACCTCATCTGCCGTTGCTCCAATGCTAACGTAACCGTCCACAGCCAACTGGCACGCCCGCCACCACCGTCTCTATGTCCCCTACGCTTACGGCGCACTATACAACCACCCTGTTGAGGGCTTCGTGCTCGACACCGCAGGCGCGGGCCTTGCCTACAAAGTTTCGATGATGTCTCCACGAATGTCCATCTTCTTCTATATCGGCAGCACAATGAAGACCGTCGATGACCACTGCGGATATGCCCTGCCCTGGGACCCTCTGCAGAATATCACGAGCAACAACGCCACCTACCACGATATCCACCACCAGAGCTGGGGTATCAAGACCAACTTCAGCCAGCCCTTCTTCACCGCCTGGGACCGGTGGCTTGGTACTATGTGGCAGGGCGACACAAGCTTGAAGTACGAGAGGACGAGGGAAAACGCCCGTCTGAAGGGCGAGAAGAAGTCAGCCGCAGCCACTCAGTAAGGCATCAGCCAGCTTCTTCTAGGACCAGCTCCAGAGCATCCCGGAGTTCGAATTCTTTGGAGTTTCCATTCTCCGCCACTCGTTGGACTGTGCTACTTTCAAAAAAAAGATTCTTTTTTATTTTGCCCTTTTGATGCTTGGATTGATCAGACGAGGCGCATGTTGAACTCGAGGGATGAATACCGGGCATTGGCAGGCGGCGTTCTGATTTTTATCACTACCTATTCACTTTGAGGCGGGCTTCGAAGGGCCCGGTCGCTCGACCGGACTGCGGGCCTGGTGACCTATATGGTTATATTCGAAACTGTACAAAATTGTTTGTCTCGGGCGTTTCTGCTTTTCCCCCTTCAAAGCGAGCACTGGCTCGGTTGGACACGGCGAAGGTTGGGCAGATAGATTTGTGCTACTGAGTAATCATAATACAGAGAGGGAGGGAGCCTAGGCTTCGCATTTCAGACCAGTACACCGTCATCATCACTCATGCTGTGCTCGTCAGTGAAACGACCGATCTGACTGCCTGGTGATGCCATGTCGCGTCGTGGGAACCGGTGCCGTGGAGGACCGTCTCGTTTGTCCGGAGACACAGGCAGGGTGCCCAAGGGCTCATGTGCTGGGGCACGACAGGACGTACGATGGCCGTCTTTCTCATTGACGTCGCCAACAGACAATGGCTCACGGGCTGAGCGAAGATGGACTGTTCCTGGTGGGACAGTCTGGGCTTCTGTGTCATACAACGGGAGAGCTGCGCGCGCTGCTGGAGGGCTTGCCGGCCTCGAGGGCCACGGTCTCGCTTGAGCTTCGGACTCGGAGCTCACGGGCCACGAACAAGCAGAAAGGCTCGTGGCACAACCTCACCGTACCCTTCCCTTGGCCCGGTCAAGAAATGCGCAAAGGTAAAATGCGATCACAATCCTTTCCGCGTCCTCCCCGAGGGCGTGAAGGTAAGAGAAATCCCCATAGGTCACTTTCCCATTCCTCTCGCCGATTCCGGAGAAGTAGAGCGCGCGCGGGCCATAGTTTGGCGAGCTCTGCACGGGCTTGGTTGGGTGTTGCTTCAGTTCAAAGTCCCAACAGCAACAGCAACAACAGTGTTGATCTCAAACCCGCCAGAGTACGCAGGGATGAACGGTACACGCACTCGGGCCGAGATCTACAATTCTCACCATTGCACCACGCGTGAGGGTGTGGAGGTAGCTTTGCGCCTCGAGCTGAATGAACGAACACTGGGCTCTTGACCGGCACAGGGGAGCGCGGCAGTCCGGATCCGAGCCCTCGTAAAAGTTCAGCCCCGAGCTAACGCCTGCTTGGTCCCGGCTGTTCATCGGGCGCCTAGCGGATTGAGTTCACATTGGTGCCTGGCTGAGCAACCACCACCAGCCGTCGGGCTTTCTGATCCCATCAGTACACAGGCATGAATGTTTCATATGTGTTCCTCTGAGCGTGAAACCCCCCTTTCGTCGCATTCGCTCCTTCTCGCCTCAAAGTAAAGGCGAGGCTGCAGCCTCCACCCAAGCTGCAAGATTTGGGGCGGGGGGAGGCTTGTTTACCCGCGCGGTGGTCTAGAGCCCCCAACACCACAGTACTCCATACCGGTGAGGATGTTGGGAACTGATGGAAGAAAGTATCGACGCAAGAGCCGGGTGGGGCCAGGAGGCACGGGAGCCGATTAAGCTCGCATGCCAGACACTCGACAAAGGCAACGTGAAAAAAAGGTTATATTCGAAAAGAAAAAAGGTCATCCTCACACTACCAACCTAGTCAGCAGTCCGCAGGACATCAAACAAACCTGGCCCCCGGGTGGGGCCGCCTGCGCTCCGGACCCCGGGACGGAGTGGCGCGAAGGTGGGAGATCCTTCCTCTCGGGCTGGATTTTGATGACAAAACAACGTCCAAGAGGTCCAGATGTTCTTGGGACATCAAAGAGTCTGAGACAAGACGCCTATGCCTGGCTGTCATGACAACAGCGGCTGACCAACAAGCAATTGGTGTCTGATGTCGTCGCATCAGGGCCTTGGAGATTACCCGAAGGACCACGGGCCTTGATGATTATGTGATAGTCTAGTCTGTCTGACCAGCGCCCGCCCGACATGCGCACCTTAATATCGATGAAACAGGCAGAAGCAGGCGCGCGAGGTGAGGTAAATAAGAGAAGCTGCTTATCATTCTAGAAACGGTTGCCATGTCTCGCGACGCCATGACGGCAGGCCTGGAGACAAATGCGGTGCCACCGGACATTTTATTGATTACGGGCGCACAGACTTCGTCTCCAGTGCGTCCTTTTGGCAAGCCACGCTGCAGATACGTTGTTATTGCTGTCCGATGCGATGTATATCTTGCATAGGCCGAGACGAGACACTGTTGTTTGCAGTCTGTGTCTCGGAAGACGCCCCGGCTGGCTGGCTCGGTGAGTGACCGAACGCCCGATCCATCGGGGCATGCTTTGGGGGAAAAGCCGCATTGATTGATTGGAGGCGAGGCTTGCAGTTGACAGACGGACACAGACATTTTGCCCCATCCTCATGTTCGTTCGTGCACACCCTCCTCGTGGGTATATTTCCGAGTCAGCGGGCGCGAGTGCGGAGCGAAGGGAGCAAACAAGCGAAGGGGCATGTTTATTTGACTTTTGGGTCGGGCCTGCGTCGCGCGCGCCCGCCCGCACGATGAAGCAAAGCAAAGCTTCCTGGGTGTCATCGCTTCGATGACAGCGCTGATGATGGCTGGCTGCAGCCATGCAGCCATGCAGCTCGGCACGCAATCACACGCGGCACACACGCACATTAGCTCAACCTCTGTGCCCTCGATCGCCTGGACAGTCAGCACAAAGTCAAGCCGTCGACTACCAACCATGTCTATAGGCTTTCATCTTGTTGAGACGATCGCCGAGGGCTCTTGGGGGACCGGCCGGCCAGCCATGTCAGCTGCATGACATGCCCGCCTCGATTCGAGTCTGACGTGGGATCAGACGGGGTCCCGATTCATGCGTGGAGGTGCTCCATAGCTCCATAGCGGTGGGATCTTCAGGCTGTGTTTCGTTTCGAGGCAGCTTCTGTCCTCCAGAGTGGTGGCGATCCCGAGAGGCTGGTGCTTTGCTCTCCTGACAGCGGCAGTTTGATGGGCGGGTTCAGGAGGGGGGACGGCATGACAGCATGAGCGCGACGAGGCTGAAAACATGCATACTGGGTGCTTGTGATCTACCTAGGTGGCTGGGTAGTTGATTGGTGACTCGCCTCGACGACTCGCGATCCCTTGCTCGAGCGTCTGCCACGCGTCGTCTCCTCTGTTGTTGATTGTCATGTACGGATGCAGGCAGTATGGATCGACCCTTCAGGTGGTGTTTGATGTGAGGTGGTGGCCTAGGGCTGCATGGGACTTAATTAGCTGGCGAACTCCCCAGGCCGTCAGCTCGAACGAGGGCGCACCCAGTCACCCGGGAAAAGGAGCGGGCACGCACTCTCGGGAAGAAGCTTGGTTGGCCTGGCTGGGAGGCACTGGTTCGTCTCGGGACCCACCCGCCCCAAGATGGCGAGCCTGACACAAATAGATCCCTGCACGATCTGCAGCTCAAATTGAGGAGCGTCCACTGTCGGAGCCAAAAGCATCTCTTGTCTTGCAGGCAGCGCTAACCACGCCTTGCCTAGAGTGCAGCAGACATTTTGCTGCAACTGTGGCAGCATTACCACCCTAGGGCGCGATAGTCATCTCCCTTCAGCTGTCACCGTGTTCCTGGCGTACCGCAGAACTAGCCTTGACTTGCCGTCGCGTCCTGCAGCTAGGTCACGTCACGTCTTCTCTCGCGCGGCCACATGCCAGCAAATGAGGAGGGGCTCCAGTGCGGTCACGATGTTGCCAGCAATCTTCTGCTGTGCTACATACTGCGCCCACGGAGGTGGATGCTTGGCTGCCAGCGCTTTGCTGTACTGCCCACCTGCGTCCCCATAGATAATCGGCCTGACGGGGCAATGACGATTTTCCAGGCTTCTCGTCCATGTCCACTGCCATGTTCTTGTTCTCGTCCCCATACAAGTCCTGACTCCCAACCTGGACCTGAACATTCACGGCTATTACCGCGCCTTTGTGCCCGCCCGTCTCAGGAGTGTACGGCGTCTCCCTCTCATTATCAGCAAACGTTGTCCCTCGTTTGACAAGATCTCGTACGGCCGTGCCACATCAGCAGCAACGAGAAGGAGGAGGTCTCAGCGCGGACAGTTGCCCCAGTTGCCTTTTCTCCGAGAAGCCAACTTCCAGAACACTCAGACGGCCTGTGTCTCTGTGAAGCACAGCCGAAAGTCAAGCCATTATTTTATACTTTGGCCCGTCAGCGCCACCGGGGACCACCACCAGCACCATCGTCCAGTTGGCGCTCAATTCTGCCGGCGCCTCCTGCTTGGAACTTGGAACGACCGGACCCTGGTTTTGGATCTGGCTCCACCTCAACTTCCCCCTTCCGAGCAACCGAATCGACTCGCTAAAAATTTGCGAAGGCCTTGGAAGGACTAGAAAAAGACGACCCAATCCCAGCCTGCCCTGCTCCATACTGCCCCCCGCGCGTCCTTGCGCCCGACCCAGCAACCGTCCTCCGCTCAGCTAGACATCGACAGGCAACAGGGCGCTTCTTGGTACGCGAGGTCCGAGCACATTCGATGTGCCCCCGGTTCTTCAGTTGGTTCACAATCTCACAACTCACCCAGCCATCCTTGTCTGCCCTCTATTTCAGCCTTTCTAGCTGAGGAGAGCTGCTGGCCAGTCAAAAGACGACCATCCACCTGGGTCAGTCCCCATTCTGATCTAAAAGACCAGGGCACTGCGCCTCGTGCTCATCATTGCGGGTTTCTCGTCTCCGTACCTGAATCCTACTTCTGGATACATAGCCTGCATGCTCTGGACGCTCTGGCTGCTCTGCTTATTCCGGTCCCTGGATCCGCACTCGCATCTGCACCCCAACTCTGTCTGCCACGAGGAACCCAAGGTGTCATCCAATCCAACCCCAAGCAGCCCTCCGGCCAGGCGCACACTGCGACTGCCACTGCTACCGTACCTCACTGCCAGAATCCTTCCAGCGCTACCTTGTCTGTTTCAGATAATTCACTTTGCTTGGTGGCTTCCTGCGGCCTCGATCCCGCGGCCACGAAACATTTAATCTACGATTGTTTCTCTAAGCGCCGCCACTGCGATTTGCCTGGGCCCTCCTCCGCATCCGGGAACCAGGCGCTTGCAGACACCGCGGCCCTTTACACGCCATTGGCCAATCCGCCTTGCTCCCCTCGGCACATCGATCACCAACACACCAAGTCGCCCTCCTTTGCACCTCGTCACGTCTATTTTCGATCGAGTATACGGCAGGGCTATCACCACTTCCAGCAACTGTAGGCGCCGGGCGCTTGTCTCATCATCTCAGCCTCAGGGGGTGAAAGCACACCCAGTAGCGTCTTATAGAAGACTGCAGCCATTTCTCCCGACCGACGGCAGTCCCCTTTTAATTCTGGCCCGGCAACACGAGGAGTTGATCTCCGACTCGCATCATCATCATGGACACTACAACGACATTGTTCACGTTCATGCTGTGAGTATTTCTAACCTTTTTTTTTTTTTGGCTTCCGAAGAGCCGATGATTTTCATATGCCATATTTTCATATGCTTTTTTCCCTTGTCTTGCTGCAATTTCATAAAGTTCTGCTTTTGCCTTCCCCACCCGGCAATCCGCGCCTCCCTCGCTTGCCTCGCTCTGCGCTGCTTCCATTTCCCAACTACCGCGACAGCGGTCTTGCCTTGCTTTTGACCGACATGTTTCGGTTTCGGCGGCGAGGAGTGACGTGAGTATTTGGCATTCTATCAATCTATCGTCATCACCAACCCAGCACCGCTGCCCGTATTCGTACTGTGCTTTTTGGCAAGGAATGGCTCAGGATTTGATCCCTGCCAACAACTCTGGTCGGGTATCAGCACAGCCGTGCGGGTACCTGAAGGTTTTGTCGGTCAGCCTTAGTACCCTTCGGGCAAATATGCTTTCTGGGGGATCTCGTTAAGTTTTCCTTGCGAGCCACATGGCGTGCCTGTTTCCCTCCGGCGGCCGCCTTATCGGGCGTCACCAGACGCCGGGAAATTGGCACCTGAACCGGCCAAGCCGGAGAGGCTGAAGCCTATTGCCCAGCTGGCTCCACGCTGTCAGCAAAGGGAAACCTGGGGATTCACCGAACTCGATTATAAATAAAACAATGCTGTTCCCCCGGATGTTGGCTAACTGGCAACCACACCAACAGTGAAACACACCCTTCAGTACAATCAGTCTCACTGGTTGGTTCTTGGGACAACTTCGAAAGAACCTACACAATGGAACGCGACAGCCGACGTGACCGGAGGCAATGGCGAGGATGCTATGTTTTCAGGGACGTCATTTATGACGGCGAGCGGCCAGGATCATCTCGAAGGAATGGTGGCCTGAAGATGGGCCAGCCGTACTATTATTACGTGAGTTGGTGGCTGGTTGTTGGCAGCTGTTGGCAACTCTACCCTGGAGCCCTTTCGTCCACTAACACCGAACAGTATGAGCTGGACGGCTCCGTCGAGACTCACGATCCTTCGCTCCCCACCACCACCACGTGCCCATATTTACCTGGCCAGACTGTAAATATGATGTGGGTGCCCACAGAGAAGTCGGACAGGAAACGAAGCGCATCTCTCAGCTCAGTACGACGCGAGGACTTCAAGACAATGTCGCCCCAAGACAAGTACAGCGCTCCTCGGCCGGCTCCTTCCGCACCCGAGCTGCTCAACCCAGCCTACCGGCCCGCTACGTCCCAAGTGCCCGTCCGGACCCTCAAGCACAAGCGGTCCGACCGATCCATCTCACCCACTCCAAGCTGGTGGTCGCCACGGAAACTATTCACCCGCAAGAACAGCGTGTCATCGCAGGCCAGCAGCGATAGACACTCTGACGATGCATCGGTGGCAGGCTCATCCTCTGGTGATGAGCACAGGCGTAGTGGTCTCTCTTCCTCGTCGGAAGGTAGCCGGACCCGACCCATGTCCCCAGACTCGCTGCGAAGGTTCCTCTCCGATGATACGTCAGTGGTGACACCACCGGCCGACGACGCAGAGCGTCTCTTCCTGTCCATCCCTGACGATATCGCCGAGGAGGACGATGACAACTTCGCAACCTCCGCCGCCTCGGAGACCAGCCCGAAGACCATCCTGTCGCCGCCCCCACCGGTCTCTCGCAACTACTCAGCAACCACTCTTCGCCGGCTTCCCGAGAACGAGTCGGTCGTCACCCTTACCGCACCAAAGCCCGCAACAGCTGTCTCACGGCCGCAGCCGTTCCACTTCGACGATGAACAAGAGACACCTACTTCACGCTTCTCCTTCTCGTCCGATGAGGGCTCCATCTACGGAGATGACGAGACAGACGCCACGTCTCCCGAAACCGACGCCGAGGCCGAGATTCCATCTTTCTACCACTCCGAGGCCGAGGAGGACGAGACTGACTCGGACATCCTCTCACCCCCAGCCGCCTTCCAGTCGTCAAAGACAGGCCTCGCCATGGGCCGCGAGTCGCTCGAGCAGTCGCTCGCGGACGCGTTTCAGGGGTACCGCCTGCCGCGGACATCGATGGACGGCAGCAACAAGGTCCCCGTCGCCGTCGTCCCCAGCCCGCCGCTGCTGGCCGCCCCGGCTGGCTCGGTGGTCGACGACTTCATGAGCGAGATGACCAACTTGCAGAGCAAGTGGATCTAGACTTGCACCTTCCTACCTATCTACACACCTACATACATGCAAACCTACTTACATACTACCGCACCGCCACTGTACCCATCACCCCTTCCTCATGTACCTGATCACCATTTCCATTTGTCACACAACATGCATTGCCACGGAGTTGGATAAAAAGCAAGCGAGCGATCAATTGGGGACAATCTAGACTGTCTCACCCAACGTGTCAAAACAGGAGACACAATTTCAGGGGTTCTGTTTTTTGACTTTTTTCTCTACATATTTTGCTCCGCACCAAATCAAAAATACCCTGGGCTTAATCCTACTCCTTTGTTACATTTAGCGGGGCTGGAGGGGGCGAAGGCATGGACGTCGGCTGGGATGGGTGATGACACAACCAACGACTGGGATTCACTAGGTGAACTCACCAGATGATGGCGCCTGCACGGGGAACAGGCGGGAGATAGAAGATCTGAACAATCCAAGACATTGACAGAGCCAGACTTGTCCTTACCGTGCTTCCAATCGTGACATTCCAGTACATGTGGCTAGAGCAAAGTAGTATTTTCAGCGGTCAATTTATTACAGCGTCTGCATGCAAGAGCAGACTGTGATCGCTACAAAGCGGCTGACAGTGTTGTCAGACGGCACATCAACAAAGGCATTGTGATGTGCGACGCAGAGTGAGCTGTCACTTCCTTGTCCCCAGCCCTATGCACCCACGCTACATCAAGACCAGCCGATCCGTGCATGTCTACTCCAGCCACGTGGGTTTCTCGTGCCTACTCGACAGAGCCGATCGTCAGCTTGGTTATCTGTCGCCCCACCCCCACGACCACAGCTCTCTGAAATGGGTGAGTTTGCCATGGGGCCAACCGTCCCGCAACTCGGGGTCCCGTCAGCTCCGCGCGACATCGGGGGCGGCCTTGCTCGGTGAGTAACAGGCCCGCGCTCCGTCGATAAACCCGCCCTCACTGACGCCCGGCCTCATGACCGAGTCCGAGGGGCGCGATATCTACACCTAGGGGATTTAAAGTTTTTTTTGGGCTCAAAGATCGCCCGTTATGAGCCCCCTCCCCGCTGCCACGCTTTGTGTTTGCGGCACTGCGAAGTTGTCAGCCGGCGAGTCATTGTTGGGTTCGGTTTTTAAGGTTTCTCGCGTGCCAGCCCACGTGGCTGGTCAGTGTGGTCTAGATTGAGGGTTAATCTCCCAGGAACTATCCCCGTACTCTTGTACACGGAAAAATTTGGTCCCATTGGCTTGAAGTGAACGCAACGTCGGAACACAAATTCGCTCTCACATCTGCTTGTCCTTTGTGTTCTAATTTGCTAGAATATTAGATGGCAAATCAACGTTGTACCAGTATATCCTAGCAGATCACGATCAACGTAACGTACAAATATAGATTGTGCTCAAGAGTCTAATGATGCGAGATCAAGACAGCACCACAATCCAAGCCTTTGCACTAACTTTGTCTTCTGTCTTCCCTGGTGAGTATATTATGAGAGCAAGATGACGCTATAGCGGCAGCCTTACTCCTGGCCTCGCTACTGCCACCGTGGTGGCGCAATGCGCACGGCGACAGTGAGTAATTATGAGGGATACCCCCCCTCCCAAGGCCTCATTTGCAAGCCGAAGTAGGGCGTACACCCTATCGCGGAGATCGGTAGCTTCAGATGCCGAGGCAGATGTGAGGAGCGAGTCCAGACTTCCTTTCCCTCCAATCGTCTAGGGAGCGGCGGTCGGCTGTTTTCCACAGGTGTATGTATCATTGATAAGCTCCCATGGAAGCACCACAATTAGATCACAATAGTTCACAAATATCTTTTGCCTCATCACTCCCACCTGAACTGATTACACTCACTTGTCCAGTTGCAAGCATCAGCCCTGCGTGAGCCTTTGTCATGACCCAGGCAAACAATAGGCAGTAGCAGAGCCCCAGCGTCTCCTGAGCCACTTCCTCATAGCCGGCCAGTTCAAACACAGTCTGGGCTAGCATTGAGAGGAGCAGTATGTATATAGCACTACAGTAAGATTAGGGGGAGAACCGTTTAAGCCTTTCCGAATGGCAACAGGGTCCTTAAAGGTAGGTGAGTACTTAAGGTATATGACTTCGGGCTATTCGGTGGATCAGTCCATTTATACCGGTTTGACTTCCAGGCTGGTCAAGCGGCGTCGGACGTTCAGGCATCGCGTCGGAGGGTAGTGGCCTGTTGGCTTCGTCCTCAGTTGAGGCTTGGCGTTCCGCCGCGGTCATGAAAATGGCGAAACCTAAACAAAGTCGTGTACGCTGATGATGGTCTCAGTACTGACCAGGCAAATTGAGAAAGAACAAAGTAGAAGAACAGTTAGAGACCCAGGTTGGCAACTGCGTTGGCACCCTGCAACAGTTTTCATTTATTCAAGCACCAGTCACAGCAGCTGGGCAAAGCTTGTTGGGCCTAGGGATGCTGCGACAGGTCACACAACGGTGAGAAGACTATCACAAGGGGGAAGATTAGCCTAACGGCCGAGCTGGTGATACGGTCGGGTGCGGTTGAGGCCGTTTGCGTGGCACACGATGACTAAGTCAGGGTCTGCACATTCGGCCCACCCCCTAATTCGGCCCACCAAAACGATCCTCCTTGCCATACCACCCCTTTAATTAAAGTTACTTTGAATTATCATTACTACCTATAATAATGCATTTTTCTATATTTATGGTATCTTTAAAAGTATTTATTTTTGCTAAGTTATTCTTAATTACGCTGGCATTAATTTATACCCTATATATATGCTTAATTTTAATAAATATAGAGTTTAGGCTTATTTTAATTTTTCTTTTCTTTTAAGGTATTGCAATTATCAATTTATCTTTAAGAACTTAATTTTTTTATAAAAGCATTATTAATTGCTAATCTTTCTTATTATATTCTTTTTAAACCTTTTTAAAAAGTAATTATTAAGTTATAATTAAGTATTTTTATAGGTTATAATTAATAAAAGCAATTTATATTTTTTAAAATGCTTTAAAGGTTAAAAAAACCCTTTTTTATAGCTTAATAAGTATTAAAGTAATTAATTTAAGTTTTTTAATTCTTATAATATTATTAAAAATAAGTATAAATATTATTTTATTAAAGTTTTTAAGTATAATTATACTTATTAATAGTTTAGCTATATTAATTAGCTATAAATTAATTCCTTATTACTTAAAAAGCATATACTTTTCTTTAAGTATTATAAATCTTACCTTTTAATAATAATAAAGGAATAATTACTTTTTAATATAAGTATTATTAATATAAAGGTTTAAAAGACTTGCTTTTTTTTTATATGCTGCCTTAAGGCTAGAAAATACCCTTAAATTAAGAGATTACAGTATATATAAGGTATATAGCAGTAAATAAAGATAATAAATTTTATATAAAAAGCATTTTTATATAAATTCTAAAGTATAATGGCTTTTATATTTATTTATTATTAATAAATACTATTTTTTAAAGGCATTTAGCTTTATTTAAGGAATAAAGATTTTTTATAATTACTTAAGTATTATAGCATTATTTATTTAGCTATTTAACATTATTATAAACTTTTAATTCTTATAACCCTTAAGGGTTTTAAATTACTATTATTAAATTAACTTTCCTTTAAAGATAATAAGGGGAGGGTATAATTTATTTATTATAAAGATATACTTAAGGAAAAAGGTTTATATGCATAACCCATGGCTTTTTTAAGTAATAACCTTCCTTCCTTTAAGTTTTAAAATAATGCTATTCTTTCCCTTATCTTTAACTATACCCTTTTTATTAATATTATAATAATTTTTTAAGTAAATATTTATAATTACTAATAGCTAAAGAAAATTAAATTATTCCTTAATTATGCTTATTTTTACTTTATTTACTTAGCTTAAAGTTATTTAATAGCTTTATATGCTTTAAATTTTAAGATTTTTAATAAGAAAAGCCCTTAGCTAATACTTATTAAAGAGTGGTTAATATTTTTAAGGAGCGGTTACTTAAATTGCAAAAAACCTTATTTTAAAATATATTATTAATAGCTTTAACATTACTTAATTAATTACTTAATTAAATAAATATATTTTTTAAGTTTATAATAACCTTATTTAAAATTTTAAGGCATTTAAATAGCTTTAAGCGCTATAATGATAATTATAAAGTATAGTCCTTAGGATGCCTTAATATAAGGAGGCCTTTTAAATATCGGCGCTAGCTTAAATTGCCTTAAGTGCTATACTTATATTTTCTTTTATATATGGCTTTATAATTAATGGATAATGATATATTGAAAGTTTAAAGAGAAGAGAAAATTCCGTTGTAAAGAAAATGCGTGATATGTAATGGGGTGGACCTAACGCGCACGCGGGTATGGAGTGGGCCGAATCAGGGGGTGGGCCAAATGTGCAAACCCTGACTTACCACCTACAATAGGATGCTTACAGCCCCAGGTGGGCGCGCCTCAGTAGGTGGGCCCTTGCGTGCAGTTGACAATGAGGAATAAAAGCAGAACATCAGTTAAAGTGGCAAAGTCCTTTCGCTGGCTAATTTGAGCTAGCTGCCTGGTGAGTTTGTCTTCTTTTCCATGAACTTGGCGTGGGTGGGCCTCAACGAGCACGCTATATCTGTGTCCTACGTGAGGCCATGTTGTGGATCCGTAGATAGTGGGCAGGCAGCCGCTTATGTAAGCAGCTGCCGTAGCCCAAAACACCATCGCCGCAGCCCTCCGTATGTAGAAAATAACCAAGCAACCTACATACCCACACCGTACAGTCTACAGCGTCTCTCGTGATCGCTGCAGTGCTGTTTGGTGGGTCAGGTGCACGAAAAGCCACAATGTTGTGCTGGATGAACAAGCCTGATCTATATAGACCACATGAACAATTGCAACAACGCTGTTATTCGTATGCTCTATTTGTGTGAGCGCACATAAATCCGATCAAGGTTGGATCGGTGTGCTCCGTGTGAGCATCTCGGCGCTCAATGTGGCTGGCAAACAAGTGGGCACAACTAACAGCCTACTACACTGCAAACCCTTCTCAGTCACCACAAGTTCATCCAAGATGTCAATTGAGCAAATCATACAACATTGTCTCTACTGGCACCATGGAATACCTATGTATTCAAACACAACTGTAATTAAAAGTTTATAGTGGAACAAGTGATTAGACAGGCAAAAACAAAAAACCTCGACGCCGGCATGATTCGAACATGCGCCTCCGAAGAGAATAGATAACCAGAGTCACTTGAAGAGGAATTCTAGTCTATCGCATTAGACCACTCTGCCACGGCGCCTAGATGAAAAGACCTCACTTTCAACGTATCTATATAGTAATCAAGTTTCCTGAAGATACGATTCCTACTGGAGATAATTTTCATCACTTGACAGAAGACTGCTAGGCTAGAATTTAATCGTCACAGGTCCATCTACTTCTGATTTTGTCTTATAGTTGCGTAGTATAGTTAGGACTTTTGTTACAAGAACCTATTGCAGGGTCATCTGAGGTCCTCCTGTCAGGCTTGGAACATTCTTTGGATGACTTTCCCGTCTTCCCGACTCCTCCCAGAATCATTGGAAGACGCAGATAAGTTCTGGAGCATCTTTCGGGAAGGATGGTATGAAGATATCCAGAGTGTTTGAGAATACGCTCCTCTAGCTTTCTTAGCAGAGGAAGAAGTCGGCTGTCCAAGACACATCGGACTCTAACGCCGAACAAGCCGAGCGCTACGGATTCTCAGCAGCCTGAAAGTATCTCATAACCAGGATATTCGACGCTTCAAGTTGGACCTCGTGTGCGATGAGCTTTCTAACCTACTCTCAGAGAAGGCTGAGGAACATTCCGGACCACTTTCGAAGTTATGAGGAGGTGTGTATATGTGATGTACGTAATAATCCATTGAAAGATACCCTGTCATTCCCTACGCATGACGAAACGTTTGTTAGACGGTACCGAACACGAACGAGCGGTCCAGGACTGTTTGACTAAGAACCTCTTCATATGTGTATACTTGACCACATGCAATTAACCGGGGAAAAGGCGATCAAATATCAAAAATTAATGCTTGGTTTACCAGGCTGTTGTCAGGCCCACCGACCACAGCCGCATTGATGAACGTTGTGGTCCAACTTGCCTCCCTCGTTCGAAACCCTCGAAACAACCAAGTAAGCCCTTCCCAGATCACGCGTGCCACCATCCAGCCAATTATCTCCCAGCCTCCCCAGCCAATCATGACATCTTCGTAACATCTCTGCATACCATCGAGGACGGCATCCTCACGTCCATATGATGCGTGGATGTGACCAAAGACGTGCAGTCTCGGCCTGATCCTCGCAACTTCCACGCCCAAATACGGACAGCCTGCCTTATGGAAATCACGGGCATCAAGATGGAACTTCGGTGGCCCATGGGTGACGAGTATGTCCGGTGCAGTGCGCAAGGGAGCAAATATTTCGGTCCAAAATTGAGGGTCTGGGCAATACTGGAAAGCCGACATGCCGTATCGAGGTGTGAAGGGGCTGCCGTACACCATGAGCCTTCGAGCAGGAGAGCTTGTATTCTCTGTGGACCCCACAGTCTCGGCACCGCTTGCATTGTGCGGATTTCGAGGAAAGTCGAGCGTGATGGAAGAATTCTGGAGGTAGGTGACACTCCCCCAATCTAAATCCTCCTTCGTCCGCGATGACCCATATCGTCTTTGCGGCTGGCTCTGTAAGAAGTCTTCATCCAGCAGCACATCATGGTTCCCTGCGACGAACACCTTGTACCGATGTGGTTGCGAAGAGAGCCATCTCAGCTCCGTTTGTATTTCGTTGAACGAACCGTTCTCGGTCAGGTCGCCAGCATGGATGGGAACATCACCGGGTGGAAGTTCGGGTCGGGTGTTGTGTGTATCAGAAATGCAAACGATCCTGATTGTATCCTCACCGGAGGATGGCGCAGCAGGGTGGACACAAGTCGAGTACAGCTTGAGAAGCCGCTGTGCAGCGCGTCGTTGTCGCTGACCTGGGAGCCTAATGATGCTGAGCGGCCGCGCCTCAGAGGCCATACCAGTCTTAACTTTGGCCCAGGGAAAGTTTGATATAGCATCGACGGTCATCGAATATCGTTCTCTCGAAAAGCGTAGCATGTGCATATTCATGCTGAGTATTGGGTGGGTGGTGCGGCATTGCAAAAGGAGACACGGCCTTACCTTATCAGGAGATGAGCCACTGGCTTGGCCTGTGGTCCAGTGAATCAGCGAATCGGAAACGCTGCTGTACAAGATTGCTAGAACCAACAGGCACCTGTGGACAGTATCACATCAACATGCCAACAACTCGCCGGGCAAGTTTGTCGAGTTACGGAGCAAAGTCATCGAAAGATTATTCCGGCCGGCAGCCTTTGAAGTGTTCGTGCCAGATTCATGAAATGGCCACTCGTCCCCCGGGCTAGTCTTCATTGGAACGGGATTGCACCGAGATGACAATGAATGGAGGACAAAACCAGAAAAGAAGCCGCCAACCAATCTCAACCCCAGGACTCCGATAGCTTCGCCGTAAGTGTTGGACACATTGAAAAGGTACTTCCAGGCTCTTGAGTCACGGATCCGGGCACCCTCGTCATCAACACAACGCAGCTCTGCCTTTCAATACATGTCCGACCTCCACCTTGAAGTCGGTCAACAGTACCTGACCTTCAACTTCGATGTCGCCGCTCCTGACCTCATTCTTGCTGGAGATATTGGCCGACTCATCGACTACCAGGGCTACACCTCGTTCCTCCGGAGACAAATCGCCCGCTACGAGCGTGTGTTCCTTGTTCTCGGAAATCACGAGTTCTACGGTCTTTCCTTCGAGGATGGGCTCGCGCGGGCACGGGCGCTTGAAAAAGATCCGGTTTTAAGGGCAAATTGGTAATTCTCCAGCAGAATACATTCGCCATCGACGATGATAGGGTTATTGCGGGCTGCTGTCTTTGGTCGTTCATTCCTGAGGATTCGGCTCCCGCGGTCGCGGCTGCTGTAAATGACTTCAAGAAGATTGAGGGTTGGACCATCGATAAGCATATAAATCGGCCTTTGCTACGGATCTTTTGTCCAACACGAGAGCGAATTCTTGGTCCCAAGTCAAGTATTGGGTATTTGGGCATACGCACTGGACCACGCAGTTCAAAGTGAAGGGCACACGGGTGGTGAGCAATCAGCGAGGGTACGTCTTCCCAGGGAAAAACGCACGCCTGCAAGTGGAAGCGCAGGCACCGAATCACACGTTCGATGCCAACAGAATGTTCCAGTTCTGAGGTGTTTTTTATTGCATTAATGCTAGGCCCAAATATGCGACGACAGCCGAAGTGCTACCAGTGTCGACAAGGCGATCGTGCCCGTCGGCCAAGCTATCAACCATCGAACGCCGAGCAAGTGGTTATTTGAGATTTTTACATACAGGTGGCTGAGATCAGAACCATGTCTAAACATCCAACCCTCAAGGCAGGAATCGCAATTCGTGCCATTAGTCAATGTTTTCCTGCCGGTGTCGTTGCAGACAGATACCCGTGGCAAAGAGTGATGGGTCCAGCATTTTAACCGTGTCCTGGAGCCGGCGTACATTCCGGAGTCGACATTCCAAAGTCTATTTGGCTATCTTTCACAGAGCACCAGCCCTTGTACGCACTTTTAAGCTGGTATCCTGTCCTTGACTCCTATATTTTACACTTGACTCGGACTCTGTGGTGACCTCAGTGTCCGCGACGTCACTCCTCCGTCCGCCCGCAATAGTGTGGTATATCCCCTTGGCAAGGACCGTCCAGGACTGGGGTTGGTGCTTCTTCAAGGGGAATGAGGACGTTTGGCCTGGCGGACTCGAAGTGTCCTTGGCCGATAGTCCTTCCGCATATTTGGTAAGAGTGAAAGAGGCTGGATTTGACAAAACTTCAAAGTATTTCTTCTGCAACTCTTCGATGCGGCGCAGAATATCTGCTGGTATTTTCTCCCCCCACGAGTACTTGCCCACTGGTCTTTTGTCCGTGAAAAGATCCGAGGCGAGCTTGCGATCATTGAACAGGGCGCTGGCCAGGCTCAGCCAATCGCGCTGCCTGATGAAATGCTGAACATCACCGCCGGGGTGCTGCCCTTCTGCAGCGCTGCACACTTTTGGTTCGACAAGGTGATAGTCGACCATAATTTCCTCGCATGGAGTCGTAATGAACGATTTGTGATCGTCCTTCACTACCCGGTGCGATTCTTCAGCGTAATCACCCTGTTTCGTGATGATAGCCCATTGCTCACGCGTCCAATTGAGAAGGTCTCCAGTGATCTCAAAAGGCTCTCCGGCGTAGTCTTCGAGTAGTTTCAGAGCCAGAAGGCGCTGGAACATGTCGATATTGCGAAGAAGATTCGCGCGGTTAGCCAGATGTTGATAAGTCCTGGTCCAATGGCCCACGACTCCTTTGTATGTTTCTGTAAGTTCCTCAAACTGTTGGTCGTCGATGCTAGGACGCGAGTGCTGCAGGGCGCTAAGGTGCAGTGAAATTGCACATTCTATTTCATGCCGAAGGAGTGGTGTAACTGTTTCCATGGAGAGAATAGTGGTCAGCTCTTCGACTCGATTGTATAGGTCCACGGGTCGATCGCTGTGAAGCACCATTTTGCTATTTTATAGGTGGTGTGAGTGTTTTTCTTGAAATTGCTGGCTCGAGGAAAATTGCAGGTTTGAAGTGGGTGAGTGCAAAAGGTTGAAAAAGTTGCATGCTCGCAGGATGTACTGGGGCTGCTGCGCCTTACTAGTACGGTACTGCGACCAGCGCTCACCATTCCTTGGAATCAGCAAGTATGAGCTCACCAGCACAGCCTGCATGAAAATGAGCGAGTGATACACCAACACGTGTTTCTCAGACCAATGGGGCTAAGCGAGCGCTGGCAGATCAAAACACGAGCTGGCTGCACAGTCTTCATATTCATCGCAGCTGAACTGAACCTTTCGTCACTGTTTTCTCGTCAGCATGTAGCATCCAATCCTGACATACGGGTCATGGTGAAGAAGGGGACTCGGGACATCGAATCAATATGGCCGGTGTTCCGGGGCCGCGTGGGTTCTCGTCTTTTCTGGTCTAGTGCTTTATTTCATTCTACTCATCGTCACTCTGCTTGGCCGTTCGCACCTTGTTCATATAAATGTAGCAGTCTCTTGAGTCCCATGAGGTGATGACTCCAAGTCTTTTGAATTATCTAACTACCTGTGGATATATCTAGCCCATTATTCTCTACTCGAGGCTCTTTTCATCGGATATCTGCAACAAGTGATTCAGTGCCCAGTCCTGGTCATTCGCATAGGGATCAGCATAGTGGCCCGGTCGGCCATTGACCGACGTTGGATATATCCATGCGCAACTCCCTCTTCCATCTTGGTCGAAAAGCGTGAGATTGCTTCGAATGATACCCTCTGCCTTCCTCCAGTACGAGTCTTTGCCCACCGCCTGCCCATAACGATGAAGAGCTACCGCATTGAGCGTGCTCCAGTAATGAGGGAACACATCTCCCCACATGCGATCTTTCCCAAACCAGTATCCATCCCAATGTCTGATTGCAATGTCATGAACTCGGTAATCGGGCTGCTTGCCGGAAAAGCGCAGAAGCGTTTCGAGTTGGAGTTCGGCCGCTGTCAACCACTTCTTGTCGCCTGTCCACCGGTACAGTTCTAGCAGCATGACTACGGCCGGAGCGACGATCGATTGCTCGAAATTGACTTCAAACGCGGGATAATCCAGACCTCGGTCCACGATGTGCTGCCCATGCCGTTGGAAAAGAGATAGTGCACGTTCGTATGCATTGATGTCGCCCGAGGCATTGAGCGCCCGAAGACCTTCGTAGATGGGCAGCCCGATGGCGTACAGCTCTGCTCCTCCTTGGGCATAAAAACTCTCCAGCGTCAACATGAACCGTTCCAACGGTTTCAGGTCACCTACCGCGCCACCAAAAGTAATATTGAGCGCAGAGGTGGCGACATGCAGCTGCATCACCCATGGCCAGTTGTAGAGTCGTTTCCCCCGATTGCCTGGTCCGTTGAGAACGTACCCCATTTCGTCTTGCAGCTGTGTATGTACATAACTGTAGTACTCTTTGAATGATGCTGAGACGGCTGCATCTGCATTCTGACGCAGCCATCGAGCTATGAGATTGCCCATTCCCACACGCTCACGCCCGGCATTGCGATCGGAGCGCTTGTCAAAGAAGACTTGACCCTCCATCTGATTGTCATAGGGTACGAATGCGCCATGCAACGAGGTACCCGGTGCATCTCTGAAATAATAGCGTTGGATGCTTAGTCTATTAGGCTAGCTAACGTCTATTCTACGGGAGGGAAGGCCCCTATTTATAGTTATTATCCTCCATACAGTGGCAAACGTATGGGGAAAAGGATATCCCGTATTAATAATAGCCTAAATATTTAAAATATTCCAACAGCCCCCCTTAAACTAATTCCCTTTTATTTATTTTATTTTATATATAAGGGATTTAGTTTATAAAAGAGGAATATTTAGTTATATAGTGAGAAAACCTTATAAAAGGGGAAAAACTCACTTATTAAGTGTTTATATATTTAAGCAAAAAACCTAAAAATTTGCTATTACTTAAACTTAAATTTATAGCCAATAGGGTATTATATATTAAATTATGGTTTTATATAGGATTTATTAATTATTTTATAATGGCTATAATATATCACGGCATTTTTATATATTAAAGTTACATGTTATTTTATTTATACTATATATACTATGGAAATACGTTTTCTGTATAAAATTAAATGTATATAAACGCAGTATAAGTATATTATAACTATGTGTATATATGGTATATATAGGCCGTGTAAGTAATGCTTATTTTTTAGGAAAAACCTTTATTATTTTAATTATTTCTTTTAAGGGAAAACCTTTAGTATTTAGGGTAATATTATATATATATATAATTAAGTCCGCTTTATTTATTTATATATTTTATAAGTAAAGGAAAAAATCTTAACCTTAGTTATTAAAGAGTAAATACCTTAATTTATTTTACGCGCATTATAATATAGGTAGAAAATCTCTCTATTCTTTGGCTTAATATTTTTTATATTATTTTTCTATTAAACTATACTTTTCTTTGGACTCTTTATAGTGTAGTTTATTATTAGTTTTATAAGGTAGTTTGCTAAATTTTGCTTAGAATTTATATATTTTAATATTACTTTATTATTTTTTATTGCTTTTTTTATATAATAATATGCAATATTTATATATTTAGTTTTTTTATAAAATAAGGTATTTTTAGTTAATTTCTTAGCTTTATTATTATTTATATATATAGTAAGGGGCTTGAAATTAAAGCTAATATTTAAATTATTATTAAAATATTTAAGTAAATTATATAAATATTTAGCTTCTTTTATAGCTTTTCTTAAAGCCATATATTCTGCTTTTATAAAGGAAAGTGCTGGTGTTTTTTATAGCTGAGAATTCCAGCTTATGGGATTTATTTTTTTATTATTATTATTATTATTAATATTATATAAGCTAAATATATAACTAAAGGTGCTTTTTCTAATGAATATATCGTTACCCCAGTTTAAATTTATATAGCCTATTAATTATAAATTATTTCCAGAGTAATTATATACTTTAAATATATATAGGAATTTATATATATATCTTTATATTTTATTTAATTCTTTTATATGCTTTAATCCTAGGTTTGTTATATATTTAGCTAACTTATTTATAAAATAAGTTAAATATAGCCTTATTTTTAAGCTAGCATATAATATAAACTTTATTTATTGCTAATATAATTTTATAATATTTTTATTAGCTTGGTTAATATATTTTTTTAATGTTTTATTAAGAGTATATAATGTAAGTTAAGAGATTATTTCCTTTTTCTTAATCTTTTCTTTTATATTAAATCTTTTTAATATTTTATCCATATATTTATTTTAGTTTATAATTATTTATTTATCTTTTCTGTTTATATATATATCGCTTTTAAGGAAATCTATTGAATCTCCTTAAAAATTTAATTTTATATTTTTATATAATTTATTAATTATTAAATTTATATTATTATTATTAAGTCTTATAATAATAATATTATTTATATAATATATAAATATAATTTATTTATTAAGGTATATAAATACCCCTTTATTATATGGGTAAACAATAAATCTTAGCTTGGTTAATATATTTTTTAAGTATTTATACCAAAGCATAAGTAATTATTTTAGCTTATATAAAGCTTTATTTAGTTTTGCAACTTTATTTTTATATTCTGGTTTATTATATATATATACAGGTAATTTTATATATATTTTAAAATTAATATTAAAGTGTAAAAACGCGTTTTTAACGTTGTAATTAAATATAAAATATCCTTTATTTATAGCTATTATTAATAGCATAATATAAGTCTTAAGGCGGCAAACTATAGAAAAAGTCTTTAAATAATTTATGCCTAATTTTTAATTATATCCCTAAATAACCCATTTAAATTTAAATTTAATATTATTTTCATTATTTATTATTTAACTAAGCTTTATAATAGCTAGGTTATTTATAAATTTCTTTTTATATACTTATTTCCCCCTTAAAGCCATATGGCTAAGTAGTAAATCCATTATTATATAGGTATTTTATTCTCGTAAATTATATATTTCGTTTAGCATAAATTTAACCCATAAGGGTTTTTCTGGGTTATTTAATACCTTTTTTAAAGAAAAAGGTTTATTAATATTAATTGCAGTTAAGTAATATTTTAATATATTTTCTTGGGAATTTAATATAAATATTTAATTATTTAATAATATATCTTATATATGTTGATGGGTATTATATGTATGGAGAGTAAGGGCGATAGCAGTTAATTATTATATGGGTAATTAATTCGGCTATGGTGGTCCGTGCACGGGGCACGTAACCGCCAGCTGGCAGCCAGCTAGCACCAATTAGCAACTACTATTAATAAGATTAATTTAAACCTTGCACCTTTAAATTTATGCATTACCTATAATATACTTATTATATAAGCACGTTATATATAATGTTTATATATATTATTCCTATATTAATAGTCTTTTATATATATATATATATATATATACTTTAAAATCATGCTTTTCCTTTAAATCATTGCTTAGCTAATTAAATCGCTTAGTTAATATAAATATCTTGTCTTTTAAGGGGCTATAAAGGGCTAAATACCTTGTAGCCATTGCTTTAATAAGTTAAGTATAAATATTTAAGTGCAAGTATATTTAAATGCTTTAAGTACTTAAATTGCTTAATTAAATCGTTTAATTACCAATACTTTAAAGCTTTAAAGTATTTAAATGCCGTATTTTAATTAGTTAATTATCACTTTAGCAGCTTCTTTCTTATAATTAATGTTAAACGCTACTTTTATAGCTATAATAAGCGCCACTCTTGCATAGTAAAAGGCGCCACTCTTGCTTAATAATAAGCGCTACTTTTATATAATAAAAGGCGCTACTTTTGCTTAATAGCAAGGCTACTTTTATTTAATAATAAGCGCTACTTTTGCATAATGATAAGGCATTGTTATTGCTATTAAGGCTATTATTATTTTTATTATTAAGGTAAATCTTGTAATAATTAATTATAAGGCAAAGGAAAGGGGAAGAATGTTCTTATGCTGCGCTTATAAATTAACAACCAGCTTTTAAATTATTTACCTGCAAATAATAACGCTTAAATGCTATTATTGCTTAATAAATTAACCTTTATTAACTTTAAAATAATTTATGCTTAAGATTTTATTAAAGGGCATTAATAAAGAGGGTATTAAAAAAAAGAAAGGTTATGCTTATTAATTAAATATTAATTATTATTAAAAGGTAAATATTTTAAAGGTTTAATTAAGTTATTTATATAGCTAAACCTATAATAAATCTTAATTATCCCCCTTAATAATTTTAAATTAATTAAAAAAGTTACTTCTTTTATTAATACTTTAAAGTATTAAATTAAGCATATTAATTAAATATATAAATTGCTTAAAAGAAATATTATTTGCTAATACTTTAAAGTATTTAAGCGCTTTATGCTTTATTAAGTGCTTAAGGAGTTTTTAAAAAGTTATAAGCCCTAAAGGTATTACGTAAATACCTTAAAGGGCATTAATTATAAATAAGGGCTTTTTAAAAGTGCTAAGCAAAGGCTTCTTAAGGGTATTAAGCAAGGGCTTTTTAAAGGTGCTAAGCAAGGGCTTTTTAAAGATATTGCAAGGAAAGCTTTTTAATATGCTAATTATAAGCAAAGGCATTAATAATTAAGGGTATTGCAAGGAAAGCTTCTTAAGCTTCTTAAGGTTATGCATTAATTATAAATAATTTTCTTTTATTACACGCTTATAAATACTTATAAACAGCTTTATTAATTAACTTAAGGTTTTATAAATGCTTATAAATGGCTTAAAAAAGGGTTTTTAATAATATATAATTACATTTACTTAAGAAAATTATAAAAAATTAAGAGTATATTAAAGAAAGCTTTTTAATTAAAGCTTATTATAATTATTATTATTATTAATGATTTATATAATGAAATGCATTATTTAATTAATAAATTTAAGGCATTATTAAAAACTTATTAATTAATAAGTTAAATCTTTATAATAAAAAGGTTAAGGCATTATTTATTTCTCTTTATTAATTTTAATCTTAATATAATTATTAATACTTAATTAAGCAAGTCCTTATTATTAATAATTACTTACCCTTATAATATTAATATTAATTATTTAATATAAATATTATAACTTAATTAAAGTAATTTTCATTATTAATAATTACCGCTTAATTAATTATAATAAAGGTTTATTGCTTTATTTAATTATTTATTATAATTATTTTAATTAATAATTAATTAATATTAATAAGTATTATATATATAAAAAGTAAGGGTAATAATAATTAATTATTATATGAGTAATTAATTTAGCTATGGTATAAAGGATAGGTTGTAGCGAAGCTATAGCCTTCCCTTATCTGGCTATAGGCTAGCTATAGTGGTCCGTGCGCGGGGCACGTAACTGCCAGCTGGCAGCCGGCTGGCACCGGCTGGTAGCTGCTATTAATAAGACTAGTCTAGACCTTGCACCTCCAAATCTGTGCATTGCCTGCAGCGCACCCATTGCATGGGCACGCTGCACGTAATGCCCATACGTACTATTCCCATAATATAGTATATATATAGTTTTCTAGATTCCCTTGGATTATTATTTCATTTAAAATAGGAGGAGAATTTACTTCCCTATTTTCTTCTCTTTATTCTTGCAATTCTAGGAATATATATATATTATTATCATTATTTTTATTATTATTATTAATATTAATATCATTATTATTATTTATATATTGCCCTTTTAATATTTAAACATCCTTAATTAATATAGGCTTTTTATTATTTATATCCCATACTTAATATATATTCGATTTTAAGACTATATTTAATAATATGCCCTTTTTATTTTTAAGTTTTAATTTAGTTTTATAATTATTATTTTAAAAATATATAATAAATCCCTATATTTTTAAGTTATTTATATAGGGCTTCTTTTTATTTATCACCTTATAAGGGCACTTATACCCTAGGTTTTTATGGGGTGTAATATTATATAAATATATAGCATATTTTATTGCTTTTCCCTATAGGTATATAGGTAAATTTGCCGTATATAAAAGGCTTCTTACTTTATTTATTATAGTTAAATTTAGTCTTTTTATTAAGCTATTTGGTTCTTTTATATATAAGGGTGTGATGGGCTTGGGCTATTGCCCAAGCCTTATATAGTGTGGCTAGATAATCCAAGGGAGCTTAGATTATTACATACCTTTTGGCTTAATTGGTTGCTGCTTTTGCAGCTTATGGAAAAAGGCGCTAGCTAGCTTGCAGCCCCTTTAGGGCCAGCCTATAATAAATAATTTAAGCTTTAGGGTTAAAGGTTTAAGTTATATTTGCTGCAATATATGGGCATTCCTTTTATAAAGAAGAACCTTGGCTTAAAAAGGCAATATTGCGGGTAAGCCTTGGGGGTAATTATACCACTATATTAAGGGGGTCTTGGGGGAAGGGGCTATGTAATGGGCTTAGGCTATTGCCTAAGCCTTATATAGTATGGCTAGATAATCCAAGGGAGCTTGGATTATTATATACCTTTTGGCTTAATTGGTTGCTGCTTTTGCAGCTTATGGAAGAAGGCGCTAGCCAGCCTGCAGCCCCTCTGGGGCCAGCCCATAACAAAGGGCGTGGTATGGTGATTTATGAAGTATTTATTTAATAAGATTTTAAATCTTTTATTTATATATTCGCCTTTATTATTAGTAAAGAATTCTTTTATTTTTTTATTATATTTATTTTCTGCCTTATTTTTATAATTATTAAAAGCTTTTAATGCTTCGTCTTTATTTTTAAGCAAAGAAACTTTTAAATATTAAGTTTTTTTATTAAGGAATAATATATAATATTTATATTTATTACATGTAGGTTTTAAGGGACTGCTTATATTACTATATACTCTTTTAAATATATTATATACTTAGTTATTTAGGTTAGTCTTATTTATTCTAGTTATATGCTTAGCTTTTAAGCATACTTTATAGTTACTTATATATTCTTAAATAGGTTTATTTATTAATATATTTATTTTATATTTTTAAAGAAATATTTTTAAAGCTTAAATATTTATATGGCTTAGTTTATAATGCTATTTATATATTTCTTCTTTATTTTTATTATTTATATTTAAATTTTATTAAGTTATATATATTTTTTAAGAGGTATATTTAGGCTTGTTTATTTATTTTATTATATTAATTCTTATAAAGTATAAGCTATCTTTTTAATATCCTTAAGTTATTAGCTTATTTATTTCTTAAGAGTATAATTTAATAATATTTCCTTTTAATTTTAGTTTAATTATATTACTTATATACTTATAATTAAGTATATTTAAACTTAAAGAAGGTATATAATATATATTAAAGAATTTCTTTATAATATTTATTTCTGAAAACTTAATTATTAAGTTCTTTATTTTATTTATAAATATAATATTTGCATTACCCCATTTTACAATTTTATTAATTGTATATATAGTATTAAAGAGATAAATATTTTAAAAACTTATTATATTTATAGCAATATTTATAACTATTTTTATAGAATTTATATATTATTAATTTCCTATAAATTTATTATTAGCTGCTATGGTTATTATATATATATATAAGGTATATAAGGGGTTATTTACCTTAATTTCTATTGAGTTATTAAAAGAGAGTTATAAGAGATTTAATAGATTTTTATTATATTTAATATTTTCTATTGAATTATTTATAGCCATATAGGCTATAGGTTCTTTCTAAGCGCCTTTTAAAGCCATGAAAAACTCTATGCTAGCTAATAAAGCTAAGAGTTGCTCTTATATTTTCTCTCGTTTCTCTTGGCTTATATTCTTCCTTAAAAAACTTAGTTTTTCCTTTTTTTATTTATTTATTTTCTAATTAATAAGCGCCTTATCTAAATAAAGGAAATAATAATTTTCTTAAGTATGCCCCTTTATTTTGCAATTAAGGTATATAATAGTTTTTTTTTTATCTTTTTTACCCTTTATATATAAAGCTTTTTTAAATAATTTAAAGAGTTTCCCTTTACTTTTATTTAATAAGCTAAAGAAGAGAAATTTAATTATATAAGCGTTTAAATCTTTTTTAAAACTTTAAGTTATATTTTAAATAAAGCTAATATATTTATTATTTAAGCTATGGAGAATTTAGCTAATTATAACTTATTTAGGAAGAATCATATTATTAAACTTTAAATCCTTTAAAAAAAGCTTTAACTTATTAATATATTTTTTTATAATCTTAAAATTATTAAAACTAATATTAAAGAACTCTTTATAAAATAAATATTAGCTTATAAACTTAAAGAATTTATAATAAAATTTAAGTATATCCTATGTTTCTTAGGTACTATTTATATCTTTTATAAATATAATAAGCCCCTGTTTATATATAAGTTTAATATTAGTAAAGGCTTTTTTATTTTAAGCTAAAGATAAGCCTTAAAAAAGATTCTTAAGATTATTTTTAATAACGTTTTCTTTTTTAAGCTAAGCTTAAATTTTAATGCTTTAATATATATAGTTTTTTATTTTATGAAAAAGTAAAATATTATATTTATTAAGGGATATTATTTTAAGATAAATAAATAAAGTATTTATTAAGATAATTAAGATAATAAAGAAAAAAATATAGTGAATTTTAAATAAGTTTAATAAGTTAAGGAATAAAGATATAAATATTAAAGTAATATAATTATAAATAAAAGAAGAAGGGCTTTTAAATAATATATTTTTAAGGTATTATGAATTGGAGATAACTGAGATATAGCTAAGTATTTTTAAGGTTGTTTAAGGTATTATTATTATTTAATTAAAATTTGCGTTTTTAGTGCTAATTTAATATAATTTTTTAAAATTTAAAGAAATGCTCTTATTATTTTTAATAAAGGCTCTTAAATGGTATATAAATTATATAGGTAGGTTAAATATTAATGGAGAAATGGTTAAGTGTTTAGGTAGATAAGGTATGGTTTTTATATATAGGCTTTAAGTTAGGAGATGAGGTTAATTTATAATGTTAAATGGGGCGATTTAATTAATTAAGAGTTTATTAATTAGCTTAATTAAGTAATTGGTTAAAAGGTATGTTTTTAAGTGTAAAGCTTATTTTATTTAAAAGGTTTAAAAAGTGGTGGTGATTAAGGGTGTTATATAATGTGTGTTTTTTATATTGGGTTAGCATTGCCGTTTTAAGTAAGCTTTGGAGCTTATAACCTTTGAAATAATAGCGTTAAATGCTTAGTTTATTAAGCTAGTTAATGTCTATTTTATGGGAGGGAAGGCCCTTATTTATAGTTATTATCCTTTATACAGTAGCAAACATATGGGGAAAAGGATATCCCGTATTAATAATAGCCTAGATATCTAGAATATTCCAACAGCATCGACCTGTTGATACTGCGTGAAGAACTTGATTCGCAACGATAGGACTTGTTCGAGTGAGGGGACGGAGTTGAGGAAAATGCCAGTGGTGGAATTCGAGGCTTCGCCTTCCTTTGAAGTCGTGACAGTGAGGGCTTGTTCTCTAATATCATTGGTCGAGTATGTGAAACTGCATTTGGTTCCATTGCAATTGGTCGGAGTGTGCCCGTTGATGGTAGTCCCAGCATTGATCCGTGAACCCGATAAGTCGATGGTGCTATTTCCCCCCGGTGTTATTGTATACTCTGACGCATTGAACGCCACAAATTGCTCCGAGATATCTTCGCATTGCCGGAAGAAGTCGTCCCAATTTTGGTGCCAAAAGAACGTCCACTCCAGCTCGCTTTCTTCTCCAGGGCCAAGAGTAGGCATAGCCGGATGTAAAAGGAAGACGCCTCGGGTATTCGAGAGAGTTGTGTCATCGCGTCCTTCCACGCTATGTCCGCTCAAAGCGCCTTTGACGAGCACGAGCCCGAGGTCCCGATCATGCCCACCCACCTGGTTCATCTTGACCCACGCCGTACTTCCTCCATGTGCCCATATGTGGGCATGTGCACGGTTTTGCAGGGCGTCAGACGTGTTCGAGTAGTGATCGTTGAAGGGAGTAAAGATAGCAAAGGACACAGCTCCTTTGCTTGTAAGATTCAGCGATTCATTGCCCACATTTTTGAACACGTACTTCTTGGTCAGTGTGCCCCGATGACCAGCAGTTGTGCGTTGGACGGTGATATCCAGTGGGCCTGCACTGTATCTTGAGGAACACGTTTCCTCGCCGTCGCATGAGACGTGAGGTGCGTTCCAGTACTGCCGGTGCAACGAGCTGGCGCCAGCGTCGAAGTCCCCGAGACCCCATCTGCGGCCGGTAGGTTGCCAGGGCGTGTTGCTTGATGATCCGACCCAGTTCCTGGCAGTAGAAGCTTGAGGGTCCGCAAGCTCAATTAAGGCGCCCGTATGATCGTCGACGGTGGCGCGGAATGCATCGCTTGTGATTACTTTCGCAGCGGCCACAGCCGCACTGAAAGTAAGAACCGACAATATTCTCATCTTGACAAATTCGGCGGACTCTTCAGTGTGGACAGTGGGTATGGGCTGGATGACCTTGTGGTTGGTGGTCGATAATTGTGTTTGCAATGACCAAACCAGAACGGCAGATATACATTCTTGTGCACGAGGACGGAGGATGTTTGGACTCCCTACGGAAGCAGCCCTCTGCAGAAATGTGGCAGCTTCCTGGGTCCCAGTCGACCCTTCCACAAGGATGTTTTCTTGTTAGAAATGTATCTCTATGATACATCTCCAGCTGTTAAACATGTAGCAGGCGTGATCCTCAATACAACGTTGTACGAATAGTAATCCTGGTGAGTCCCGGATTCCTGTCTTCCCCGCTACCTCCACTTGGATTCAGTCATTCGTCTTACCTTCAATCAAGATTCCTTCCACCCGAAATACTTCGCGACATGTACTGCCGATATTTCTTCTTGTCCCTGTGCATTCACATGTGAGACAAGAGTCATCACTCGGATTGTTGGTCACACGACATGTCCTAGCTGTTGGCCATGGAACCCCGAGTTGCAGCTCGATGGTTACACCTGACCAGCCGCAGTCTTGGCTCACAGCTATGAGAATGAGGTTCCCCGCAGGCCTCCTCCCTACAGGTTCCCCAAGTTGCCGTCATCTTTGAAAAGTATACATGTGTATTAGACCTTGACGCTGGTTAGTATATTAAAAGATTTTAATTTACATGTTGGCAGAAGCCCTCGTATCTCCAGTGGCATGTCCAATAACATAGATGCGTAGTGTGTATGTGTAGGGCGCAGGTGGGTCTTACAAGAGAAACTCGCCTACACGTCGAATACAGGGTAATGGGCGGTCAACGTCTTATGCAGCACAATGCCTCGATGTGATCTCATGACGGAACATCTCGCTATAGTGTAGACCGAGTGTCGAAATATACTAAGACTGGGCACACTCACCCTATATAAGAGTCACTTCTTGATCACCAGGTCGCTCGCTTATGTAGCAGCTTGTACTACTGTGAGATTCCAAACAGCCACCATGGCGGTCTCGATATCTGCTCTCTCTTTCGAACACCACCGGCAGGCACTTGGCATCGCCGAGGCAACACCTCGTGTATCATGGAGGTTCGAGGGAGATGCCGTCGATTGGGAACAATCAGGATACGATTTGGAGATCACACGAGGGCCTGACGGCGTTCCCAAGATCTACAACACACCCGATTCCTCTGAATCTGTTTTGGTCCCGTGGCCCGATGAGGCACTTTCTAGTGCAGAGTCAGCAAAAGTCCGAGTACGGTCGCACGGTAAAGAAGGACAAATATCGACAGACTGGTCGGAATACCACTCTGTTGAGGCTGGCCTGCTAAGCCCCGGAGATTGGAACGGCGCAGTGCCTATTGCGGCCGATAGAGCCACAGAGGTGGACTCTGCAAAGCGACCGGTTCTGTTCAGGAAGGGTTTTGACGTCGATGCCGAGGTTGCATCAGCACGTCTCTATATCACTGCTCTTGGGCTATACGTCGCCGAGCTCAACGGCGAAAGGGTTGGAGACCATCAGCTTGCGCCTGGCTACATGTCATATCAGTTCAGACATACGTACGACACTTACGACGTGACCGAGCTTATCCAACAGGGAAACAATGCCATCGGAATCACAATTGGAGAGGGGTTCTGGGCCGGGCGATTCGGTTTCAATGACCAACGAAACATCTGGGGAGATACGCTCGGTGTTCAAGCTTTGCTGGTTGCTGCCTTGAAGGATGGCAGTACGTTTACAGTGAAGACGGACCCCATCTCCGACTGGCATGCCACCGCGGAAGGTCCGATCATTTCTTCCAATATCTACGACGGTGAATTTTACGATTTCTCTGAGGAGACACCTGATTGGTCGACTGGAAACTTTGACGACAGCAATTGGCTGGGAGTCAAAGAATTACCTGCTCTAGCCGGCCGTCTTACAGCGCCCGATGGCGCCCCTATGCGGAAGCTCCTGGAGCTCGAGCCGCAGAGCATCTCCACAACTCAGAGTGGAAGAACGGTCATTGACTTTGGTCAGAACCTTGTTGGCTGGTTGAACATAAACGTCTCTGGCCCTGCTGGTACGAATATCACCTTCAGACATGCCGAGGTGTTGTTGCCGGATGGCGACATCGCTACGGAACCCCTCAGAACAGCTAAGCAGACCGATACTGTGATTCTCGCCGGAAATACCACCGTTTTTTGGGAGCCACACTTCACATACCACGGATTCCGCTATGTCGAAGTGACGGGTTGGCCAGCGGACAGTACCAGTCTGGACGCATCAAGCATCAGAGCCCAAGTCGTCTTCAGCGATATGGAACGAACAGGCTATTTCGAGTCTTCGCACGATCTGCTCAACAAGTTCCACGAAAATGTAATCTGGAGTATGCGAGGGAACTTCCTAGGTGTGCCAACTGACTGCCCCCAGCGAGATGAACGTCTAGGATGGACCGGCGACGCTCATGCTTTTGCACCTACGGCGAACTACCTTTACGATGCCTCGGGTTTCTGGCGCGCCTGGCTAAGAGACGTCTGGTCAGAAACGGACGCTGATCCTGAGAAAGCTGCGCCGGAGATTGTCCCCACGAACCTTCTCGAGGTCAGCAGTGGCAGCTTTCCTCGGCGGCCTGTGGCTGTGTGGGGAGACGTCATTGTTGGCAATCCCTGGGCGTTGTTCCAGGCCACAGGCGATCTGGGAATGCTGGAAGAGCAGTACGAGGGCGCGCGCACGTGGATCGATCAGGGCATCCCACGGAACGAAGCCGGCCTTTGGAATAGATCAACCTTCCAGTATGGAGACTGGCTCGATCCAAAGGCGCCCGAAAGTGATCCGGCCCGCGCGACCACGCACAAATATCTCATTGCAGATGCGTACCTTATACAGATGACACGTCTTCTGTCCAACATCAGTGCCGCGCTTGGCAGGGTCGATGAAGCTGAGAGATACGCCTCTGATCGACTGAATCTGATTTCGGCTTTCCACGAAGCCTGGATTGAGCCTTATGATGGTCTGATCGCGAACGTCACCCAATCGGCCCTCGCTCTCGGCATCCGTTTCGATATTTTCGACGCCGAAGCTCGTCCTCGCGCTGCAGAGGCTCTCAACAGCATCATTGCGAACAATTCTTACCTGGTTGGTACTGGTTTTGCTGGCACACAACAGCTTGGTTTTGCGCTAAGCTCTGTCAACTCGACTTCCACTTTCTACAACATGTTACTGCAGACACAGGTGCCTTCTTGGTTGTACCAGGTGGTCATGGGCGGGACAACTACATGGGAGCGTTGGGACAGTTTACTGCCGAACGGTACCATCAACGGAAGTGGAATGACAAGCTTCAACCATTATGCATTTGGAAGCGTAGCAGATTGGATCCACCACAAGATCGGAGGTTTGGCACCAGCTGTACCTGGCTGGAAAGTGGTGCGCGTTGCACCGAAGCCTGGCGGGGGGGTCACCAATGCTGATGCGAGTTACCTGAGTCCTTATGGGAAAGTCAGTACCAGCTGGACGGTAGGTCCTGAAGGGAAAGGGTTTTCCCTAGAGGTTACCGTACCTCCAAATGCACGAGCAGTAATAGTGCTCCCTGGTAGTCAGAGGACGGAGACGGTCGGAAGTGGAAAGCACGCCTTCCAGGACGGCACGTTTGAGATGTCAGGGTAAATTTGAAGTGATTGCCACAAGAAGTGGAATGTCGCAGAGGGATTTTGCATTGTTTCTATCACGCTCACAACTATGATTAATCAGAGTACACATAGCCACTTTAAGAGACTCCGGCCGTCTACGTGTGGAGTGGGGAAGGGTTCTGCACATTTTAGCAAGCACCCATGTCGAAAGATTGACAATTGTCTTCCACTATTGTTGACGGCACGGTGCCCACTAAACATAGAGAAGGAGGCAGAAGTGAGCCTGGCGTATGTGAACCTCTGGATATAGTTCGGAGTGGTAGAGTTGCAGTCGTTGCGATATATCGAGTGATATGTTCTTTGTGTCATGGGCAAGTTCAAGTTTGCTGCACGAGGCAGTCAGTACCAGACACACAGTCTCATGGATCTCTCCCGCCTAAGAAGGACAGGGCGAGGGAAGGACTGAATACAATCGACAGGTTTGACCAAGCCTGTATCTATTTGAAGAGACGTTGATGTTGCCATTGAACTCACTTCAGCCAAAGTTTCCAGCCGCTTTCAAGCGTAAACGATACATTACCTATCGTAGGACTGTGGCCTAGGTACTTGGATAGTCTGAAAAGATGAACGTTAGAAGGGAAAGGTGATTACTAGGCAAGTACACTGCCAAGACCTGAAGTCTGACAGTCTTACAAATCTACCACATCTTTTACGTGTCTCTGACAAATCTCGTCTGACTCAGACCACCGTTGTAACAGCGTGAAGATATTCCCAGGTATAAGGCACAAATACAGTGGGTAAGACGTGAGGTACTGCACACAGATACTATAGTATGTTCTCGTCCGGTCTCATCTGCGCTGAGCCTTGTCATAACTCCGCGTCATCCGTGCAAATGACATAAATTGTAGAAACTCTCGACTTGTAAATAGTGATCGCTTCATTCTTAAAATTATTCTTTTTCTACCAGTCTTCAGATATAACACATTGGGTATCATATTTGCCGCTTTCCGCAATGGCTTCTCTTATCGACGCTGTCTTCCTCGCCGTACGCGACGTACCTAGATCAATTGCGTTTTATAAAAAGGTCCTGCTGCCCATGGGAATCACATACGTCTTCGACTACGACGGAAAGAGCGCGCCTTTCGGCCATCCGAACCTGCACGGGTTCGGCAGAGACGGCCGTATGTTCTTCTGGCTTAGACAAGGCACGTCTGGCAACACCGGCGGCACCCATGTTGGCTTTGCAGCCAAGAGCAAGACAGAGGTCGACTCGTGTTACGAAGCAGCGATCAGCGATGGAGCAACACCGAACGATTCTATGGGCGGCCCGCCTGGTGCCAGGACTTGGTACGACCCTCAGGGGGAATACTACGCAGCCAATGTGTTGGATCCAGATGGGTACAGCCTTGAGTTCACCTACAAGAGCTTCCAGCATCCTGCGCCAGGAACAGACTGAATTGAATCATGGAAGGAACAAGATTGTCAGCGACCTAGGCTAGGGGATACATGTGAGCGAAAATGGGACTCTTGAGTGGGGCCAGGTCTCTACGCCAGCTATGGATGCCGACGAAGAATACCATGCACTTACGCAACGTGCTTCTAGCCCTGGCGGTGGGTCACAGGCAGGGGCACAGACTAGCAGGCGAGATCAAATGACGAAGCAAGCAGTTCTAAACTATGGAATAGGCTGCAATATTTTCACACGTCCAGACAAGTTGCAAATGGCTCTAGTACTAAGCAAATTGCTGGTTCAATCCACCCATAGTTTCAGAAATGAGGCACAAATGTCATCCACTCTGCGGCCCTATTACAATCCTCTAAACGACTCCGTAAAGCGAAGAACACAACGAGAATGTGGCGGATGACAAGAAGAGGGAAAGTATAACCTGCGCTGCTTTGACAACGGAAGTATCAGGTGCAATCACGATCTAACATCACAAGCTTGCTCGATCGTTGGGAACGGAAAATGATCTGTTGAAGCTCCTTACAACGGGGTTCACATCCAGCTTACCCTCGGGAAGCAATCAATTGGAGTGGAGTGGCAAACTTTTTGACCATATCAGGACCGGTGCCGTCGTCCACCCGGAGTAGCTGACTCGCAGTCAGATGATAGATTGTATCAAGCCTTCGACTCACGGTAAAAGAACTACTCCGTACTACCGCTGGCATGTGACCAAAAGAGAACAGCTGGCCATCAAGGTGGCCGAATCCCGCTCACCCTATAGTTCCGGTCCGGGGGCAAGAGGACCTTGCTCAACCATCAGAGTAGAACATACGGAGCTCCGAATTTCATGACGCAGGTTGAAATTAGAACATCTTGGTGGACCCGAGTGTGTCGATATCTACCGTATTAGATCACCGTTGCTGTGATGTTGATGGGACGTAGAGGGTCTCGCCTAGATCAGGGCAGTCATTACCCTAAAGAGCAGGCTCGTTTTCGCGTATTTTCCATGAATAGCGACTGAGAAATTCCCATGAATTATAGGAAAAGATCATGTATTCATCCTGAAGTGACTACTTATTGTATGGAGACAAGACGAAACAGGTTGCAGCAACGGCGTGACCGGGTGGTCGAGGTCGACTTGCCCTCGACCTAGGTGCTCATCGCAGAAGCTCCCATTTTCGGGATTTTCAGCGAAAATCAACCGTACTCGAGAAAATTGACTGAATTTTGCAAAGCATCATCATTACTCTTTGAAGACGCAGGTTATCGCTTGCGATATGTATCTTTAGTTCGTGGATCAGGGCTGAGGTTGATCTCCAGGCTTGGGGAAGTGGACGTACAGGGGTCAAAGCTTTCTAAGCGGGAAGCACCCGATTAGATAGCGCAAAGCCGAGAGTAAAGATTCTGAGCGTCACTCATCTTCACCAACCCCAAGCTTCGCAGACAGCGCCTCCTCTCCGTGACCAGCAGAAAGTAACAAGCCGCAGCCGAGAACATCAGCCACCGACGAAGCCATGGACGCCTCCACGATCGACCAAGCCGACCTCGACAGGCTCACCGACAAGGACAAGCAGGACCTGCGCCAGTTCATCCAGAACGAGCAGCAGCGCACCAGGATCCAGGCCCGTATGCGACCATCCCTCCCATACACGCCGCCACAACCTCCCGCGCGTGTTGTTGTTGTTGCCGCGAGCTAATCAAGGCCCCTTACACGGACAGAATCCCATGACCTGACAGAGACGTGCTTCAAAAAGTGCGTGACCGGCTCCTTCAAGAATGGCAAGCTGGACAAGGGCGAGGAGGCGTGCCTGACGAACTGCGTGGATCGCTTCATGGACGTCAGTATGCTGGCCGTGAAACACCTGCAGAGTATGCGCCAGGGCTAGGGAGGACATCGATGGGACGAGATTCATTGAACCACTACAATAATACGCCATACCGCTCCAGCTTTAGAGATTGCACGGGAATCATGACGAGAAGGCCGGGATCGCGTAGACGCATGCACGGCGTCGGACATTGAGCCCAGGTCTACGGGTCACGCTCCAAAATAAAGGGCCTTGTATTTATAGAAGACAAGTCGAACAAGCAGAGAATCACGCGAGTCGCGTTGGACATTCTGATTCTGGCAGCATGCATGTAGAGGCGCACTATCATGGGAGGACATGGACGTGTCAATTCATTCAATTGGTATACCCTTCAGAACCCTGTTGACGCCAATAGATGCCATAATCCCCTCCATTTTTTACTTGGTATCCGCAGACCCTCTCAAATCATTGCAATAGCCCACTTTCCAGAAGACATTTAGACAAGGGCCAGCTTGGTGGCAGCGATGTCGAGGGCATCGACGTCAGGGGTCAGACGGGCGTAAGCCTTCTTCTGGCCGTCGGGACTGTAACTGCGTGTTAGCGTTCATCCCCTCTTTAGATGTTGAGAGTCCATGTAATCATACCGGATGAGGGTGTTGATCTTGACGGTGTCGATGTCGTAGAGCTTCTTCAGGGCGTCCTTGATCTGGGCCTTGTTCGCCTTGACGTCGACAATGAAGACGAGGGTGTTGTTCTCCTCGATCTTCTTCATGGCGCTCTCAGTGTTGAGAGGGTGGACGATGATCTTGTGCTCATCGAGACGGGGCTGGTGGTGGATGGCCTTGCGGGGGTACTTGGGGGCGCGAGCCAGAGACAGGGTCTTGGGCTGGCGGAAGGTGGTCGAAGTCCTGACCTTGACCTTCTTGTGGGAGTGAACCTGGAACGCGGAGGTTTGGTCAGCAGATGGCTTCCAGACTCTGGTCGCTGTGTGCGCTGCGAGCACACGATGTTGACGGATTACTTACGCCCTTCAAGGCGGCCTTAGCGGCGTTCTTGGCCGAGGTCTTGCCCTTGGAAGTACCTGTGTGTAGAATGACGCATCAGCAATCGCTCTTTCCGGGATGAAAGAACTCGCAAAATCTGCTGCTGCTGGAATGCATCGTCGCCTGAGGGAGGGTTCGTGCGATCCGAGGTTGTCGTGCGTCTGCGGTCGGTGGAGACCTCGCCCTCAGGGTGGAAGCGCCGGCAACATCATCTCGAGCGAGCGAAGGAAATCGGTCTCAGGGTGTCGAACCTGTCTTGGAGGGAGCCATTTCGAATTCTCTGCGGGGGGGGGGGATGCGTCGTTGAATTCGGAGTCGTGGGGATCTGAAGGGTCGTTGAATATCAAGGGTTAAGGAGGAAGTCTGAAAAAGTTTTGGGGCTTTGAGAAGGCCGAATGCAAATGGTGGGCCGAGGTGTCTGCCAGCTGGTGGCCAGCTGGCTGCTCGGCGGCTATCCCTCATTGACGCGGCTCTACTCTACTCTACTCAGGCCAAAACTTCACCGACTACACCTCGTCTCACTCAACACAAGAATGTGAATTTTCGAGATTGCTTGCAAGGAACTCGAAGACGAAAATGGGAGTTAACAAGAAGAAACGACCCAAGCTCAATCTGACTGCTGGCCGGCCGCCAACTGTCCAGAAACCACCAAAGTCCATCTCACGGAAAGCAACCAGGACGCTCATCAACCAGATCCACACCCTGGAGAAGAGGAGAAAGCAAGCGGCTCAAAAAGGCGATGTAGCTGCAGAAGCTGCCATAGCCTCCGAAATAGCCTCTCTAGGCGGTATCAAGAAGTACCAGCAGGCAAGCCTCCAGGGCCAGAGGAACGACCGCGGGGGAGACAGTTCCAAGATCTTGCTGGACTGGCTGAAGCCCGTCGAATCCAGGCTTCAGGCCCTGGCAGATTCGGACCCCTCAAGCCGTCTACGCATGCTGGAAGTCGGTGCCCTGAGCACGACGAATGCGTGCTCCCTTAGTGGTCTTTTCGACATCGTCCGCATTGATCTGAACAGCCAGGCCGAGGGCATCTTACAACAGGACTTTATGGAGCGACCCCTGCCCGAGAACGATTCCGAACGGTTCGATATCATCAGCCTGTCATTGGTGCTCAATTTCGTTCCTGAGGCCGGTGGCAGAGGTGACATGCTTCTCCGCACTCTCGAGTTCCTTCACCCGCCGTCACGCTTCAGAGACGGGACGAATGCAGGGCTGAAACGGTACTTCCCAAGTCTCTTCCTCGTCCTACCTGCACCCTGTGTCTCGAACTCGCGCTACCTGGATGGGGAGAAACTCAATGCCATCATGTCATCCCTTGGCTACCAGGTCACGGAATCCAAGACTACCCAGAAACTTGTCTACTATCTTTGGACGCGGGTTGTCGATAGCCCCCCGCTCCTGCGGACAGGCGCATCCTTCACCAAGAAGGAGCTACGCTCGGGTGCGACACGCAATAACTTCGCCATCGTTCTCAAATCCCGACCTGAATGAACGGGAGAAATCACCTCGACGCATTTTCACCCCTTCTCTGGTATCTTGCGCGCCGCGTAAGCTATCGGACAACCTCCACGTCCTGATAAGACGAAAAGCAGTTCGCACCGCCATCCCGGGATCAGCGTCACGGACCCTGGCCAGACCTCCGCCGTAAGTTATCACGAGACAAACCTTCCCAATAGACCTTCGGGCGTAATTTGCCCCCCGCGTTCAACAGTCCTGAAAGCTTGGCTACTAAACTTTCACCTTACCCGCCAGGGCGTTTCTGCCCTGTCGTCGTCGCCTTGCGAACGTGCGGGCCGGCGGGATTGGCTGTTCTCGTCGTCTGGGCTTGGAGCCATGGACAAGTCGACCACATGACGGACTGCACATCAGTGATGTCAGGGTCAATTTCGGCACCTAGTATCGTTGCATGGCCTTGAGCGGACGTCCTCTCTATGGCTGCCGTGACTGCCATGGACTCTTCGCATTTGAACAAGGGCCTTGGGTTAGGATTGGTCTTGACTTGTCGGCGGTGGCCAGCAGCATCAGCTATCAGATCGGATGGCCAAGCTTAAATTGTTTCATACCGTCCTTTGCACTGTCCTGTACAGTCCGCACAGTACGACAAGATGTCATCGAGCAAAAGGGAAGGGGGTAGTCGCTCTTCAAGAGATTGAGAGCCTTGGGTCCCCCAGTCCCAGAGGCCTGGGACGTGGCTACCAAGGGCTTGTCATTGGGGCTTTGCAGAGACGGGCAAAACAACGTGCTCAACTGCAGCACAGACTCGAAGTCTAACTCCGGATGTGATGTCCAAACACCTCGAACGGGGAATGGGCTCACGTCGGGGGTGCATGGCGAAGCAATAGACCGAGTTTATCGCCAGCCGCTTCTTTTATGTGCCGTAAAGGGAGTTGAGTTTCCGGACATCGCGTAGGCTACCGTTCCCGGCAATCCATCAGGAGCTGTCAACAGGACCTATGTTGGCGGAATTCTCCTGTTGGTGGCACTAATATGATTCGTGTCCATAACCCGTATACCTACTTGTCAATCATCAGTCGCTGAAGCACAATTACAATGAGTGATGGGCATTTTGACGATTCTTACAAAGTGGTCGGCAGGACCGGCTCGGGTATCAGGGGTCCACAATGATAATGACCCGACCGGCAAACGTTTCCTGAAGCCCGGTAGGGACATATGCGCCAGAGGGACGTGCTAATATGGTTGATAAGTTCGTCAGGGCGGACCGTCAGGGTGGATACTTCCCGTGCCCTGCGGAGCGGACGGACACCCCGCCTAGACCAGATCAAAGAGAACGGTCCTCGCGTTAGACACACGCTGCCGTTCCCACGGCCGGAACCTTTTCATCTGAAAGCTAATAGTCGAGAAAGCCACATTTTCTAGACTCCTGCAAGAGTTAGGGGAAGCTTTGGCAGCTCTGCCTAGGTATGCTGGTTTGTTGCTGAATGAGAGACGCCGTTCCTCACGCCGGCACCCCTAGCAGCGGGCCTTCCTGCAGCTACCAGCGACCGCGTCCCAGCCCCTCGGACGGCGTTCGCGAGCATTCAGCAGCACAAGTCCCCCAAGCTCCCGCTAACAGCGAAGCGCGGCGGCCCCCGGCGCCCGGCGGAGATCTTGGGGATTGGGGGTGGCCCGTGACTACTAACTGAGCCAGCGATTGCAGCGGCCCGTCTGTCTCGTTGGGAGTGGTCAGACGATGATAGCCTCACTCACGCACGATGATGGGGCGATGAGGGACGCTTTCCCTCCTCCCCCCTGGTCCGCATTGGGGGAGCTCTGACCCTGTACTACCCCCCCGTCCCCCATCGAGGATGAGGGGGCATTGGCGAATCAGGGCGCGTGTCCGGCGAGTAATGGGGGTGCAGGTGACCGGGCGATCGAAACCGGAACTGGGAGCTGGAGGAGAATTGGAAACGTAGGGACCTCACCTTGTCTTACCCCGGATATTGCCTTGGAACAGCTCGGCGATCTCTGTGGCCCCGGCCGTGGCGGGGCTTGTTGAGGTCTTGTCTACCTGGGCCATATTTCTATGGCACGTACTGATAACTTGGATATGGGTTGGGGATAAATGGTCTTGTTCCGAGTGAGGTTGGATATTGTGGTACAAGTCGATGGGTGCTTAGTCACGACAGTCCAGCAGCATGCCGGGGGTTGTTTCATGGGTATTACAACATTTGTCAACTTGATGTAGACAACCTGCCTGATTCAATATCGTCTCATCGCAGGATCTATTGCCGAATCTACCGTATCAGAGCCTGCAGTGATGGACGGCACGTTTTCCCGCTATTCTCAGGGAGCAGTGATACATTGACCCATTGGAGTTTACTCAAGGGTAAGATCCTCGAATCCGAGGAAGGGGGGTAGCAGATACCATCATCTACAACTTTGATAACCTATCCACTGCGTAATTGGTGCCATCCATCGAAAGGGTGGCTTTGATGACGTCGGCTTGGTCCTCCGGATGGATAACCAAGGACGCCTGTGGGCTCTGTCGTTCGCCGAGCTAAGCCCCCGATAACGAGATCTCATCGAAGCTGCTGATGACCTTGTGCTGCTTCTCCATATCCGCCGGTAGGTCCGAATTCCCTGGTCTCTGGACGACGAAGCTCTTCATGCCAGCCGCCTTTGCCGCTTCTGCCTCCTTGACATTGTCGCTCAAAAATAACCAGCTGCTGGGAGGATACTGGTCATGAGCGGCCACAATCTTCGCGTAGCTCGACGCTTCTGTCTTTAGACCAGCGTTTACCGTATCGAAGTAGTCGGAGATGAGAGGGTTCAGGTCGGCTGGCTCAGAGTTGGTATATCTGAACAAGAGTCTCTGGGCTGGCACAGACCCACTGGAGTAGATCACGATCTCCAGACCCTTTTGCTTCCACTCCCGGAGCCGGGGCGCGACGTCGTCAAAGAGAGGTGCCTTGAGCTGGCCAGACTTGTAGCCGCTCTCCCATAGGTATCCCTGAAGAGCCTTGAGATACGAGATCTTGACGTCGCGGGCCATCAGGTCCTGCACATGAGCCTGGAACGCCTCGGGCGACGCCTTGTGCTCGGCTGGGAAGGCATCTCTGTAGGGGACGAACTCTGGGTCATCCCACTTGGACTTCAAAGTTTCAGGGATGGCCTCTAGGGCATAAGGGAACTAGAAGGGTGGTGGTGGTCTCGTCAGTTAGACGATCGCTGGTTGCTGCCACATTTCCAAGCCGAACTGGAGATCGTCGCGAGGACGAACAAAGAAGATGGTGGAAGCACTCCCTGAGCATGAGGTGCTCGTGCTCGTGCTCAGTGTGTGACATCAGCTAGCACACTGCCCGACCGTCCGTCTATCGACAGTCCAAGAATGGACACTTGTTCCAACATCAGGGCCCAAACGGAAAAGGATGGGTGACATCCCATAGGCCTGGTGTCTCGGGGACAGGTCGCGTGCATGCACATGGAGTAGGGAAAATGGGGTCGACTGGGGACGAGAAAGGGAAGATCAATGTGCCCACCAGAACAGCCTTCACGAATGAGATCGGGCAGACGGTACCCTCTGTCAACGACGCTCATCAGCTCATTTGTCCGGGCCAATGCACCGCTGCATCTGGATTTGGAGTCGCATCGCCCGCCGGTGAGGACTGGCGACGGAGCTCGGGTGGGAAAAAGTGGCATAGGGGGAGATGGGATACTGCATCTAGCAAGTCATGAGCTCGTAGGAAGCCCAAGAAGGGTCAGGATGTGCAGCGATGGTGTCGGCAGGAGGATGCAGGTTTCCTGACTGCCGGACTGGGCGCCTGGCGTTTGGAACCTGCAGGAGCTGGGTGCCTCGTCTGATTTTTTTCGTTCTTCGTTCTTTGTTCCTTACCTATGTCTAGCAAGGCGACCTTCACGGAGGCTAGTTCCGCCATGGTACCGGCCCAACGCCTGGGTGCGCTAACTAGCAGTTGCTCTTTGGTCTGGCGCTTTTCGCGGTGAAAAAAACCTTCGACAAGATGCGTTGCACCAGGTGAACAGCCCGGACGCCGATGGACAGATGGTCGATGAGAAGGTGCAAGCTGAGCGGTGAGAAGACAAGCTCCCTTGCAGGAAAAGCCTTAAGAGGCTCGAGTATGGGAAGTAGTGTTTTTTAGGCTGCTTGAAAAGAAAATTTTTCTGTCGTTGTGCAGCGCCAGACGCGACGTTTGCAGGCGGTGATGGTTGTCGTTGTTGGTGTGTCTTGCTAGAATAAGACCTAGCCGTTGTACTTACGGGATAGGTCATTTCCCTTCCAGACCACCATTCTCTAAGCTGATTCAGGCAGCAGACAAGCAGTCGGTACCTTGTCTACCTCACGGAGCGCCGATTACCCTCAAACACATAGGGCGCACCAGCTGTTGGCACCACCATGGGTAAGGGGAGCTCCAGGTGCGGAAAACAGCACAGCAGATTTCCCAGACCGGAAGCGTAGCGGCCCCCAACGAGCGGTAAGAGCAGCAGAAGGCCAGTGCTGCCCAGTGTCCCCCGTATTCTGGGAGGCCAGCCCGTGGCCAGGGAGGGCTTGGGATGGTAGTGCCGATCTACTGTGTCTGCCAACCCCACTATCACGCCTTGGCAAGCTGGCACAGCAGTGGCAGGGAAAGAAATGGAGACACGAACATGCAACCTCTTCGTCAACAGATAGATGATGACAATTTTCCGATGGGACTCGGTGACCTCCTGCCGCATGCGTATGTCTCCACAATACAGACGCTCAGTCTCTGCTAGATACACAGTACCCAGGCACAGTATCGCCAGGCTCGAACTGCACATGGCCAATTTCAACGACAACACCACCAGGAGCAAGCAAGGGAGGGGAGGCAGACGGTCAACAGACGGTCAACAAGTACTGACCTGACCGACTGGAGCAGACTAGGTACATAATGGCTTCAACATTGTGCACGAAGTGGCCTATGCATTAACCACGGGAGGAGCTAGGCCGGCTTCGTGCAGTCCCACGTCCACCCAGCCGCTTCATGTGGCACGGCAGTTGGACCGGCGCGCACAGCAAGACGAAGCGAGGACGAGATGGCGAGATGGCAACGAGGAAATCTGACCACACGACGCGCACCCGGCCACTCCCACTGCCCACTGCCACGGTAACGGCCAACACCAGCCTTCCACTTGCTGCCCGGCCGCCCGGCCTGCTGCAGACTCAGCCAATCCCGGCCCGCCCTGTCACCTCGTTACTTTAGCCAGGCATCCAAGCGTACAGGACTAGCACCTCAGGTACGGATCTTCACTTTTTCCGCAGTACGATCACGACAGCGACAGGCTGGTGGCGAGTCAACAAGCTCGCTCGGCATCGCAACGTGGACGGGGCCGAATCGGAATCGTCATGGGCGTGGCCAGGCTCGTGAGGTCTGCCAGCTTGCCAGGTTGCAGAGGATACGGTGTGACAGGCGATGCGCTTCAATCCTGCGTGCGTGCTTGGGACGACATGCGGCCGAGACAACCAATAACCACACGCATCAGCCCCGGTGCATCACAAAGTATGGGCTGGAATCCAGCAGTAAACAATGCGAGTTGTGACCAGAAACCCTGACCGCCAGAACGTCAAACCAGTTCCAATCTCAGCCAAGGCCCAGCTGTGACTGCCTCGCTCGTCACGCCCCGAGACGGCCCATTGTAGGACCCAGCAGCTGCTTCCAAGGGCCAATGGAGCCGTTCCGCTCCGCGACGCGTCAAGCAGAGCTCCTGCAGTTGCAATACCGTGCCGCCTCTCTTCCGCTGGGCTGACCTTCCCCTGAGCGGCCGCAGCAGCAGGCTGGCAGGCAGGCCAGCTGGCAATCATGGGAGGAATAATAAGAGAGTCCCCAAACAAGCCGAAGGGCTGAAACGCAGCAACGCAGCGCGGGGCAGATCGCACGTATCGCGATGCACGCCGTTTCTGCGATACCGAAAGACGCCGTTGCATTCCTGCCCAGGTCACGAACGCAGGGGTCTCCGATAGCTTGCCCCTATGGTGCGTAGCCTGTCAGGAGCTGAGGTAACCACGCTACCACCCACAAAGCCAACTCGCACGCATTGGCCTGTCCCTCCGATCCGATAGCGGCTCCGGCGCCTGTCACACGGCCTGAAGGATGGGGTCTAGACACTGGGCCAGTCTCACTCTTGCAAATGTGGCGGCCCGGGATTCAACGACGGCACGACGGCGCGATTGACCAGAAGACAAAGGAAAGGGGCGAGATGGGCTGCATCGTGGTCAATGAGACGACTTCCCGTCCGTTCACCAGCCATCGAGAATGAAAAGGCAGAGGACAGCGTGTGCAGTTGCAGCTCCGCAATGGCGCCACAGCTTCGTCGGCTCCCCGGGTCTGATGACCTCGAGGCCGCGAGGAATGGCTCGACGTCCTGGGCCTGTGTTGAGATTTCATCATCAAGCGCGCCTCTCGGGAGCTTAACTGGCCCCCCTGGCAGCAAAGGGGACTCTGGCCAGCTCGGTGCCCGTTTTGAGGGCGTCCCCTCCGGGCGGCCGTCCTGGACCAGCGTTTCGGAGCTCCATCCCAGTCCGCATTATTGCCGCTAGCACCTGGCATGACAAGATTGACGATGAGTTACGAGTTGCTGTGGGGTCCATCACAGGTCACGATGGGACGTGGCCCGGTTTGATTGATTTCTGCGGTTCCTGCGCCTGGAAGTGCATTGATGGAGATTGAATTCAGCCACCTGTTATGATTATTGTTATTTTGTCGGGCTGCCAATGACGTACTACGTACTGCCCTCTTGTTTGTTGTTGCAACGCCTGGCCAACTGCTGCTGGGTGTCTCTGATGAACCGCCATTCCTGCCACGGAAGCACGCACACATGGGGAGCCAGCACAGCGGTCTCAAGTCGTATCATGACGGAGAATTCCAACCTTGTCGCTATCGCCAGTCTCTATCTGAGACGGCTGACAGAGAAGCTCCCGTGCTAGTGGTCATGTTAAGCGGTTGGAACGCATGCAGTGGAAAAGGAGTACCTGAGCTTCAACCAATTAGGGGCCGCACGCCTACCGAAGTGAAACGGAACGGCATGGGGGGATACGTGGTGGGGGATGTGAGCTCCCCCATTGCTCCCTCTCATCTTTGGGGCCCCAGGCAGGCCCGACGGCCATTGCAAGCCAAGGAAATGGATCCAGATAACGTGGCTTCTTTTGCTGTTCTTGATCTGCAGGGACAGAAACGGGGTCCCTGGGGGGCGGCACGCGATCCCTCGAGACCATGCCGTGAGGGTTGAGCATAGAAAGACCCAGCCTTGCGCAATTTCGGGCCCGGACGATACCCAACACCGTGGTCTCGATGCCATTTCTGGTGGCCTCAGCAGTACGCGGGCAGCAGGTAACTGGCGGTGAAAGCGATAGCAGACGCACGCCTATGCAAGGACTGCTGCAACTTGTACACGGTGCATCTGCCTACTGCGGCGTCCTCCTGACCAGCCCCAAACAAGGCAAGGCCAAGCTCAGCAGGCTCAAAGAGTGTGACTCCCAACGGGGTTAGAGGGGCAGCCCGGACGGAGGGCGGACGGTAAGGGAGGCTAGCCCGATCTGTCGCCACGGCCCTCAGGGTCCCCAGGCATCGCTGGTCCCCAGCGGCGGGCGGTTCCTTGTTTCCTGATAGCCCGCGTTCCAAGAATACCAACAGTTGCCACAGGGCGAAGCGCATGCGACCAGGTACTGCACGGTACTCATCTACCGAATCCAACACAAGCCAGTCATACAGAAAGTCATCAGCCAGTCAAAGCATGGGCTCCTGACGTGCTGTTCCCGCCCGTCGACGTTGAAATGATGGCAGTTCAATTTACCGCCCTCCCCAGGCCCCCCCTGCCAAAACACCGTTCAGAGATAGCCAGAGCTCGTCATCTTCTGGGCCCCGTCACACCCAGTGCAGATCTCCCACAGCACAGTAGCGATGTCTCGGGCGGTGGTCAGAGGTTGCCCAGGGACACTGTGCCATCGAGAAAGCTGGCATGTTGTCAACAACGAGGAACTGGCCAGACTGGAATCCGACTGCTTGCACATGCAGACGTCTATGCCAGAGCCGGCCAGTGCCAGACAGACAGACAGGACTGAGCGACTGTTAGTCGCCGGGCAGGACAGGAAGCGGCCGAGCAACACAGCCCGATCTGCCCACCGCGGCAGATGGGCTGCATGGCGCACTGTGGGCACTGTGACCACGCGATGACTCCCAGACCTGACGCTTGCAGCCACCCCTGCCGCGGAGGCCCAGGACTACCCCAGGCGAGATTGCTAATCTCACCTCCAGGCCTGACTCTTTGCCCTTCCATCACCCCCAGAAGCTGCTGGACTGTCCCATCCGTTTCCCTCGGCTTCCATTGCTGCACGCCGCCCACACCCACGCCCTCCGTATTGGCCCAGATACTCGCACACCCACACAACCACCCACCCTCCCACACTCCCAACGCTCCCACACCCCATCCCTTCTTCCCTCTGGCACTTCCTACACTGGCTCTGGCTCTGGGCCTTCCTGCTGCTGCCGCATAGATACTGTACGCACACTTCCTACTCCTTGGCGCCTTGTCCTGGTCCTGGGCCCGGGGCCGGGACCAGCTCCTTGTCCTTGTTCTCGTTCTTGTCCTCACGCCCCCCCAGGCCTTCCGCTGCACAACTCATAGCTCGCACTCACACTCACGCTCTCTCACTTGCGCACCCAGGTCCAGGTCAACCAATCCTCTTCTACCTTCTTCTTCTTCCCATCACTTGATCCCTCCACCGCCATCTTCGTTTCGACTCACCCAACCTCCTCCCTCTGTCCTATCTCTCCCTACTTCACATCGCCATCCCCCTCCCACCAACCTCTCCCATCTTTCCCGTTCACAGCGTCCTCTTCCCACGTCAAGTCAAAGTCCAGTCATCCTCCTTGCAAGCCAATTTCACCAGTCGATAGCCATCGAAGCATCAACTCGATCGATCCAGCCATCCGACTCCCCCGTTATCAAGGAACACTGTGACGTCGGTCCTATCCGCCAAGTGATCTCTGTGACTCGCTCAGCGTTCAGCTCTCACACTCGGCCACGGACCACCGACCTCGACGACCACCGACCCGGCCTCGACCTGTCTCGAAGTCATTTGCACGCCCGCCTCTGTGCTGCCTACCGTAACTGCGTGTGCATCAGTCCCGAGGACACTTGACCAGCGCTTTCCTGCCTGTTCCGCGTTGCTTCACACACCCACCTCCTTGGCGATATATTGGTCACCTCTCATCCCCGACCCGGACCACGTCACCTAGACCGCTGCTCGCGAATCCGTCTCTCGTGATTCGCACTTTCTGGGGAGAGCTTATTGGGACGCCGACTATTGAACGAGGAAGGTTTGAAGAGTCATCTCTTCGCCTGCCTGTTCCGAACAGAACCCACACCCGGATGATAACGACTTGTGTGGCACCGGTGCTTGGATAAGTGCCTACACCTCCCTCACCCGTTACCCACTCGATTCCAGGGTCCTCCCAGCACCCGAGGTCCGCTTTCCTTGACGGCAGTGCCGTGCCTCAACGATTACTCACACTTCGTGTCCGGACCTCGTCATCTCCACCCCTTGCGGCCCTCCACGACAACCTCATCTGGAACGCAACCCACCGCCGTCGGGACGACCTTGCTGTTTCTTTAAGGACACACAGCACTGTCATCCCTCTTTCCATCGCCAACCCTACCACCCTTCGCTGAACGGACCTTACTCGAACAACGTCGCTCTTTATTCAACAATACATCTTTTCAATGCAACTTTGACGACCTTCCTTTTGTTGCCTCTGCTCTACCGGGCACCGTCGACCGACACAATCAGCACCATTAAGCCATCTTTTTCCATTTGTCTTGACCCACCGAAAATACCCATCGATGAGCCTCCGAAGTTGAACGATCTGGAGTTGCTTTTGTTTTCCACCTCGCGTTCTGTACATCGCCTTCTGCCACCTTCGCACCTTCCTACCAACGACTTTCCGCCTCCAGGCACCCACACCTTCCGCCGCTACCTGTTCGACTCTGTCACGCTGTACACAACTGGTAAACTGTTCATTGTGGATTCCAAAAAACGCTAGGCAACATCATCATTCTTCATCGACATAGACTGGCCTTGGGCTCTCGACAAAAGCATTCCGGGGATTTTTGTCACCACGCGGCCTTGTTAATTTGCAATTTACATCTCTTCTAATTTCTGATACTCTTTTAAAACGACAATGGAATGCTTGCGAGACGAGTTTACCGGCGGCGTCGTCCTGGGTGGACGATATGAAACCATCTCACCCCTCAACCATGGATCATTCGGCATGGTCTTCAAGGCCAGAGACCTCGTCACTGGGGACGTTGTGGCTATCAAGTGCTTGACGAAGAAGGCGGCTGCCGACGATGCCGGCCTGGAGTTCGCTATCGACGACAAGTCGGAGGAACTCACACTTCACCAACACCTCGGTAGCCACCCCAACATTGTCAACTTGGTCCACTCCTTCGAGACTGATGCCCACATGTATCTGGTCCTCGAGTTCTGTCAACAAGGTGATCTTTATGAGGCTATCCGCGTTGACCAAGGACCACTGGAGACGGAGCATGTGCGGCGATTCATGTTGGAGCTTGTCGACGCCGTTGCCTACATCCACTCGAAGGGTGTCTACCACCGAGACATCAAGCCAGAGAACATCTTCCTCGCCAAGGATGGATCTATGAAGCTTGGTGACTTCGGCCTGGCCACCACCGAGAAGTGGACATACGAGACAGGCGTTGGCAGCGATCGGTACATGTCACCGGAGCAGTATGACTCCGCCGGTGCCGGGTACGCTCCTGCCCAAGCTGACATCTGGGCCATCGGTGTCTGCCTTCTCAACATCCTCTTCTCGCGCAACCCCTTCACCACTCCGACTGAGTCCGACCCGCTGTTCTTGGACTTCTCCCGTGACAAGCAGTCCCTTTTCGACGTTTTCCCTTCGATGTCCCAGGACACCTACGAAGTCATCGTCGAGTGCATGAACATGGACCCGAGCAAGAGGTCTCTTATTGGGGCTCGCCGTGCGCTGAACCGCGTCGTGAGCTTCACCACCCTCGAAGAAATCGACGACGAGTTCTGCTCGTCGCGGGCCAACATCGCCTCGGCCAACCGGGAGCCGCTGCGCACACCGTCGATCCAGAGTCCTATGGCGGATACTGGTGCATTCCCTTGGGCCAAGGCCCTACACACCACAAGTGCTTTGCTGCCCATCCGGCAGCTGAGCGCCATCCCGGACGACGAGAGCTACTCCGAAGACTTGTTCTCCAAGTCTGCTGCGACGACCGATTGGTTCTCCACCCAGACCCCGTCCATTTCCTCCATCATGGACTCCAGCTTCCCCACCTCCATGCAGTCTCTCAACATCAACAGACAGATGCTGAAGCCAGCTGCAAAGGTGTCGCCGATGGCTGGGTCCCTCCCAATCACCATGTCCAAGCCACGCAACGTGCCTGCCATGTCCATGGTTTTCGGTGACAAGGGGGCCGTTTCCAAGAGCTGGAGCGACCTCTGGGAGGAGGAAGAGGAGGAGCACCAAGAGGAGGAGCGGGCCCGCCAGCTCCGAGCCCTCAAGAGGATGAACTCCCGGACTTGGAGCGAAGACAGCAAGGACGATGACGACACGCCCCGACAGGGCTTGTCGCCCAACGTCAAGTCTTCCGTCATCAACGCTAAGCCCCGAGTTTCGTCTATCGAGGACGCCATCGACATGGATGGAGACCTGCCAGACAGCTTCTTGTTCCAAGATGTCAGCCCGGTCAAGTCTCATGACCTCCATCGCCAATCGCCTCCTCACAAGCAAGGGTCTATGGACAAGTGGGCCAAGCTTGGGGAGAAACGTCGTGCGTACACGGGCACTCGAGAGTCCATGCCCAAGCCGGACTTTACCTTGAAGGCGGGTCACCAGGGCGGGGGCTTCCTCGGCCAAGGCCTCTTCGGCATTGATGGTTCGTCACATCACAACAATTTCACGCTCGCCAACCATCACAACCATGCGATGAACAACAAACATCAAACCCGGGAACGGGTCAAGGAATGTCCTTGGAGCAAGAACAAAGGGCGAGATTTCAATTGGAACTGGCGCTCTGAGAAGCGCCTAGAGTGGGTTGGTGCTAGCCCGGCGTAGCCGGCTTCACCACTTGTAGTTGGGTTATCACTTGTCTTTTCTTTCATCCTTCTCTCCAGCATCTCAACGGCTGGATCAGTATGCTGCTGGGTCTCTCTCTCTCTCCCCTTTCATATTTCCAAAGATGTCGCGCCTCGTGTTTGCCGCTCTGGGAAGTTGCATTTTTCTAGTTCGTTTCTCGAGGGTGGATAGGCTCGTCGTAAACTGCATCGCGTATGGGGTTGAGGATTCAAATATTGCTCAGCATTGGGAGTTCTTGGTATTTTATCTCTTTTTACATCTGTTTTGGTTGGAAAACACCACAAAAACAAGTCATTCATGGGAAAGGCGGCGCAGCGGCGAACTCGAGGCACTTTGGAAATTACGGGAGAGACCGGCTCAAACAGCAGCAAGCATACTAAACGGGAGAAGGGATCAGAAGAGGCATAAAGATCTTGCCTAAACTCGCTTTCTGTGTATTAGATATCTCCACACCATCACTCACACAATACCAGAAGTTACCCACTCATGTTGAACTCTCCTGAATGATCCTCGTTCACACGTGACTGCATGGCACTGTCAGACTGTTAAAGTTGAAGACTGGCAAGCCGGTCTGTCGGCCCCAGGTTGCAAGACATTCCATCGCCGGCTCGTAGCACCATGTACGCCCGCGTTATCATCTCCACTGTGACGGGGTATGTGTGACGATGCCGCAGGCTTTCCAACAACCACCAGGATCAGCCGTTGGACCGTCCATCATCTGGGTGACCGAACAGTGCTGCTTGTCCCCACCCATGATACCACCGTTGCACATCAGGCCTGCAAGAGATGTCTGGGGTGGCCGTGGTGGTGATAGGCTGTGTGTGTATGTGTGTGTGTTCTGGTTCCACTCGAGTGTGCTGCCGCACTGAACACGACATGTCTGTGTCTGTCGTGCGACGAGGCCATGTCGCAGGACCGGCCTGGTGGCTGGATGGCTGGATGGGCGACCGGGTGGGCTGACTGACTGCGCCAGTTATGCTGTCCTACTGTGCCATTTCATTTGACGGGTTGGCCGGTCAAGAGGGAGTACATGGTGGGTTGGAGGGGATTGGCTCGATGCCTCGGGTGTGGTTCCAATTTTCTAATTCTACTTGCTCTCGTTGAGGGAGGCGGGTTGGGCTGACCTGCTTGGTGTTGTCATGTCAGCGTTACCACAGGGCCCGTAATGTTGTTGCCAGGCCGTTGTGGGAGACACGTCACAGCTATCAGGTAATCAAATACATATGCATCATGAACGGAACTGTTAACCAGATGAATGGCCTCTACATAGTCTTCCAGCTCATAGAAACCGGAAAGCAGAAACCAAGATCTGTCCTGTGGGCCAGGCACGATGACATGTCTCTGCCTGCTGATTGCGGCTCAGGACGTAGCGCCACGAAAAGGTACGCCGGGTGGTATATCCAGCAGCCACTGCCGGAGGAGGTCGTTGAACCGCCGCCACGTTCTCGGGTCTTCGCCTTGCGGGAAGGCCTGAAAGCGCCGAATGATTTCATGGTAGGTCCGATCTCCGTTGCAGAACATGCCGTCGGAAAACCCTTCCAAGTGCTTTGCTAGGCATTCTTGGACTTTGCCAAAGAGAAACTCTAGGTATACTTCCTTGGGTTCGAGGAAATGGCAAGGGTCGTGCAACACTTCAGCAGAAGTCTCCAATTCAACGATCTTGTACACCACCTCGTTCAGTTTCGCTGCTTCGGTATCAGCCCACGAGCAGCTGTCTAGAGCCTTTCGCAGCTTCTTCCTAAACTGTCCCCAGTCGCTAAAAAGCTCCAGTGGCCCCACGTGCCCAAGAACTCTATAGTAGAGGTCCTCTGCTGAAATTGTGTAGTCGGCCAAGAGCGGTTTACTAACTGCTCCTCGCTCGATCAGTGTCAGGAGCGCATAGATCCGGTCTCGCGGGTCGCTGCATTCTCCATACGTAAAAGTGGTCAGGATATTGTCGATCGACTTGGGACTGGGTGAGTGCAAGAAGGTGTTGAGTAAAACATCCCACCAGGAGCGCCTTGCGGATATGAGCACAGGCAGTCCACCTTCCACAGTAGGCGGGACTTCCTCCCCCCTAAAGTGCTGATAACCCCAATATGCACCAGGCACGAACTTCCGATCATGCCAGAAATGGAGGAGGTCCTCCCACCACGCTGCCTCATGCCCACACAAGATGACAAGCCAGTACGGAAGCATAAACTCCTGTACAACCCACATACGGCGCCAGTATGATCTTTTTGCGAGCGCTTTGGTGGCCTTCTTCACATCGAAGTTATACTCTTGCGTATGTTTCGTGGCTCTGATTGCCTCCATGACCGAGCCCGAATTGTCGGCTTCATCACCCAGCCAGGATATCACAAGGCTAGCGATTGTAAATATCCTCCCCATCATATTGACCTGATGGTTCTTTTCCAAGGGGTCAGACTGGTTGATGCAGATGGCATCGATCCACATGAGAGGGTAGCCATTCTCCTGCTTCCTTGACTGTAGCACATCGAAGACCGGCGCCTTGCTTGGAAAAAGGCTGCGCAATACCTTCAGTGCCAACCGGAGATTGTCGCGGACAGATAGCACCGATCCATTGACGAGGATGTCGTGGCTCGGCTCGGGGCTTCCCCAGGTGTATGAAAGTGCCACGAAGCGAGGCACTCTGGCAACATCGTACGTCTCTAGAGCGAAGTGATCAAGCTCTGCGGACGGAGGCTGGTCTAGGAAGCGCAGGAGCCTGATGCACTGTTTGGATCGGTCAAGTGGGGTATGCTGAAACTTGTCCATGCTCAGTCACTGCGCTGTGATATCCTCTACATATACAGAGAGAAAAGTCGGCCGAACAGGTGAGAGCTGAAATATCCCAAAGGGTGACCTGGACGAAGATTGGGCTCAGGTCTTGAGCCACGAATATAACAGCACCAGGGTGTTGAAACAACGACATCGGAATAGAGGTAGGGTACTGTTTGCGGTGAAGCCTGCCCAATTTACACCGGACAGTCCCTCGATGGCAAAGTGCATGCGTAGTGAGTTTTTACACTTGGTAGCTGAAAAGTAGCGGCTGCTAGATGCGTGATCATGCAGCAAGCCCCTGCGGCCAGCACACACCACTCTCCGAGGACTGATTGGCTTTCCGCGAAACCACTCTACCTACCTAAATGTATGCAACTTTGATGAGGCCTTTCTGCCAAGGCCGCCCGCTTTTTCGTTGGTAAATTAGCTCCCAAGCGGGAAACTCTTGCTATGTCGACCTTCATCCTGTTGGTCCTTTCCACGCTGCTCTTCCTTCCATTTTCATAATCTTTGATCAATTGTGGCTGAAGGGCTCTCAAGGTACCCAAATACCTTGTGAAAGCACTATCAGGTAAAGCTTCCGTTTAACCAATAACCCTGCAATCTGTCTGTTGTCTAATGGTCCATGTCAAAACCGAGCAAATTAGCTCAGCTTGCGATGACCTGACCTCGTAATTTATAAACATCTTCGCAGGTGACCCCAGTATCAGCTAAATCTTCATCATGGTATCTGGAGCCTTCACTCGTTCAGAATCGCCTGGGCCGCTTCTGTTGTCACTCAACAGAGTGGCCGTCCTACCAACAATGATACGGAAATTCCAGACTCTGCGATTGCGGACACACTATCGTTGTGCATGCTAGACAATAAAAGCAGCAAGAAACCTGAAGTGGCGAAGCCACACGTTGTCTCATTGTTCTCAGGTTCGGTGGATTGGATTCATCACTGAGATCATGGTGAAATCACGTCACCATAATCTGCTCTATGACCATCATTCCCCATACTGACTTGTATGGAACACAGGAACACGCTCAATTGACATCTATTGGGATCCGCAGGGTTTCAGTCTCAAGCTCAATGAATGTGTCAAGCACCACAATTATGCAGACGACACCCCTCAACATCTTCCGACCAGGCTGCTTGACTTGGATAGTCCTGATCCAGACCGTATAAATCTGATCGTACCTTTCGATCTGGTCGCCCGGAGGAAGGCGTCTTTCTGCTTGGAAAAAGCGTGATATGTAGTCCCTTCGTACTGCTGGGCCATGAGCCTTCCTGATGGGATTTGCGATGCCCTTCCGTAGATGAGGTGAGATCAGGCGCTCAGATGCAGAGAAAGCGTAATGTAATTGCGTTGCCTCAAAAGTGGAAAAGCAGGCGAGAAATGAAGGAACACCTAGAGTCTCATGTCATTTCGTTGTACATGGCCAGCTCGTCCGGGCTGTTGTGCTCTGTTCGGGTGGCAAGTAAGAGCAAGAAATGACACGTCTCTCACTAGGTCAAATGGCCATTTCGGAGTTGCAGACTTGAACCGATTTGAGTGTAGAGTTTGTAACACATCCATAAGAACAGGTACATTTCTTAACACGACGTTGAGCAAATATCATGATAGATAAGTATGGATCTAGGAGTAGGCACCCGGGATAAATTTCGCACGTCATATATTACTATGCGCGATTCATTTTTAGACAACTTTCTCCGATAACGTTCATGAATCAGAATAATGTCGTTCCTCATGGTGGATGACAGATATCACTTGGAATATTGCACTTCGTATTGCCAAGAACTTCTCCATGTGTAGTCGGATTAGTGCACAGCGCACGTTCAGTTCCCAATGGTTGACATCGGCAGTATTGGCTAGTCAGGCCGTCACGTGTGGACCTCGAGATGACTCAAGCTCGAGGGCTTGCGCACTTGGTTTGAGCCATCTGGTATCGAGCGGAAAACCTCTTTTGCGAACAAGTCATGAGATTCGCGTGCAAAAGTCCGAGATGCCTAGGGACCAAGACCTCCAGATGGGAGTTGTCTTGCAATGCTTGCTCAATATCCCAGTTTAGGCTCAGTCTGCAGGAAGTTGTTCAGAGTGGAAAGGCTGTGGGTACACAAGCTCTGTTCCTTAGCCGACAGTAGGTATACCGTTGCATGGCCAGACCAGCCTGCAGGTCGCTGCCAAACGTTTCCATTACATTCACCTGATCGTGCTTGTCATTTGAGCGATCGACACATGTGGCCCGCGTTGTTCACCGCCACCTATGTTACAAAAGACCAGGAAAAGGCCAAATGTTAATTGAGAGCCTTCGGGCTTGATTTACACAACATGGTGAACCGCTGTAGTTACATGAATTTTCCTGCCGCCAAATCTAATACATCTCATACCGCCAGCCAAGAGAAACCATTTCCTGAGTAACACCACCCTTCATAGCCTTTGCAATCTCAGCCGGATCACCCGAGTCCAGGCGTCTGTTCTCGCGAAGCACCAGCCAACGGTAGACGGTGATGGTGGCCGCGAACAACACGGCACAGCCCATGAGGGCGCCGAATGCAGCGTAAAAGTGTGGAGGCGCATAGTAGAGATATGAAGTCCAGATGTTTGACGTGCCACCAATGGCATTAATCAGAGCAGAAGCTGCTGCGCGCTTGGAGACGGGTCGTGCGAGGTGAAGATTCATCGTCTTGTACAAAAGAATCTGAGGACCGACGGACGCGAAAGGCAGGATCATCATGGAGAAGTAGCGTGCACCAACGTTGTTTGTCGCCATGGGGATGATATACATTCCTGTTGCAATGGCGATGCACGTAATAATGATCGGGTACACCGTGTTCTTGCGGTCTGAGTAGAAGGTGATGCCGTAGTAGATGAAGCCAGCGAGGATGTAAGGGGGAGCGGTGAGCAGCAAGCTGATGGTTTGAGAGTAGCCGAGCGCACCGACGAGGGTGGGGAAGTAGTTCGCGATGGAGCCCTGTCCTTGCGAGAGCAGGTTGCAGAAGATGAGAAGAAGCAACTTCGGGTCAGAGAGGGCTTTCACGAAGCCGCTCATGGTGCCTTCGTCCTCTGTGCCCTCAGCTGCTCCCGCCTCAGACTCGATGCGCCACACTGCAAGGTCACGCTGGATCTGCGAGAGGACACGACTGTTGTGTGGGAACTCGGGCATGATGCAGGCACAGATAGCACCAATACCCACGGTCGCAGAGCCCTCGATGATGAAGAGCCATTTCCATCCTCGGATGCCATGTTGTCCATCAAGTTGCAGAATGGCCGCGGCGAAGAGTCCACCGAAGGCGTTGCCGACTTGCTGTGCAATGTAGAGACCGGCGAGTCGCTTTCCAAGCTCCTTCTTTGTATACCAGGCAGACAAGTAGTAGATTGCACCTAGTATTGGATCAGAAATTGATGGACACGAGATGGTTCTCGAACGGGGTAAGGGAGGAATATGAACACATGATGTTTGGATGTAGCCTCGTCCAAAAGCCTTGCGGATCCACAGGTACGTTCTGGACACATTGAACTTCCGGACGGCCAACAGAGGACACAACAATCGCGATGTGAAGCAAGAAAATAATATGACAGATAGAAATTCACTCACCAGGGAAGAAGACCGCTTCGACTGCTCCAAGAATAGCCCGAACAGCAAGCAATTGACCATAATTATGCACCGCAGCTGTGGCAGCAGATATGGCACCCCAGATGACAACAGCCGTGCATATGTACATGCCAGGACGAGAAATCTTTGTGATGATGAGGTTACTCGGGATTTGGAAGGGTAGGTAGCCGACGAATAGAATTGAGATGGCCGTTGCGAACTGCTCGGTGGTCATGTTGAGATCGTCTGTGATGCCTTGTAGCTTGGCTGCCGAGAGGTTCTGACGATCGATGTAGTTGAGAATGTACAGTATGCCGATGGGTGGCAGGATGAGCAGGTCGATCTTGCGGACGAGCTTCTTGTTGAGGGCCGCGATCTCAACATCCCCCAGGTTCGCGAGTGACTCTGGCCTGCGGTCGCCTGCAAAGGCAGTGTCCCCAATGTCGATCTGGCCTTCAGCACACGACTGGCCATCGCCAATGTCGCTGACGGGGAGTTTCTTGTCCGCGTCCATTGCACTCGGGAATAGTACAGTGAATATTAGGATGTAAGGAAAGAGATGCTGCTCTGCTCCCCGCAAGAACCACGGAAGAAACTAGGTCACAGAGCACCTCGGTGATTGTCTAGTCTGTGGCGTGAGGAGCCCTCATGGTCTTAACTGCAACATGGCTTACACTCCGAGTCTTGCAGGGCCCGGCTCTCAGGAACCTGGGGCTGCCCGAGGCTGTTTGCCGATAAGCATGCTGCTGACCTTTGGGTTCGTCCTGGGCGTTATCTTCCAATCTGCCAAAATCTGGGGTATCTTTCCGCAGCCCACCCGAGACCTTGGCACGGGTCTTGGGTTTAGTCAACCGCAGCGTCATGTGGGACCCCAAGATAGTGGGAGGAGCTCCTCCCGATTACACGCACCGCCTACCCTGTCCTCCTCCTCACTCAGCTCTGGCGGACGCGATCGCCTCGCGTAAAACGACGGCGCTCCTCCTGGATGCTCCTCCCAAAGAACATGTATGTGTGTACAGGCCAAGCAATGAGGCCTAATTATGACGAGAGAATGGAGGACACTGTACAAGCGGCAATAATAAGCCACAGCACACTCAAGTTAAATAGGCTGAAGACAAACTGCAATTCCGTGCGATACCTGTCAATCGGCCCCATTACCGTTTAGGAAAAAAGGCGAGAAAGAATACTTTGATACTTTGACAATTGCCTCTTGTCACATTCCTTGCCGCAATATCTTGATCGCGTCCGAACTTTACTATCGCACCCCTACAACAAAACTGTGGAAACATGGCTGCACAAACCACGGTCTGGCCGACCGCCCAAACAACCAATGTCCAAAACCCTCGACTCAAGCTCCTCGAAGGCCTCCGGGCTGGGAGGTACCCGCTCATGACGTTCATGGCCATTCCTTCGGTGCGCCAGGCCCAGATAGTCTCCCTCTGTGGGTTTGATGGCGTCATAATCGACTGCGAGCATGGTCACATTGGCGACGAGGCCATGCACAACTCGGTGTCTGCCATCGCGGCCCTGGGCGTCTCGCCCATCATCCGCATCCGCGGGCCAGCGCACGACATCATCAAGCGGGCGCTGGACACGGGCGCCCACGGCATCATGGTGCCGCAGATCAACAACGCCGAGGAGGCGAGCCAGATCGTCGCCTCGTCAAAGTTCCCGCCCCAGGGCGTGCGCGGCCAGGGGTCAGCCTTCCCGGCCATCGGCCACGGCCTGACCACGCCGCAGTACATGCAGACGGCCAACGAGACAATCATCACCATGATCCAGATCGAGACGCGCGCCGGCGTCGAGAACGTCGAGGCCATCTGCGCCGTGCCGGGCGTGGACCTCGTCTTCATCGGCCCCAACGACCTCGCCCAGTCCCTGCTCGGCTACACGCCCGCGCGCGGGGACGAGCCAGAGTTCGTGGCTGCCGTCGACAAGATAGTGGCGGCGGCGCGGAAGCACGGCAAGTGGGCTGGGCGCATGGTCAACAACGGCGAGGCGGCCAAGGAGGCGCGGGCGAAATACGACACGGTCGCCATGACGGGCGACACCAAGGCGATACAGAACTGGTACATGGCCGAGCTCGAGGTCGCGAGGTCATGACACATTGAATCGCCTCCGTAGTAACTGCATAGGGCTTATCACCTCCGTGGCTTGTAGCGTTCTAGCTTTTCCAAGAAATAGTATTACATAAAATTGCAACAAGCACCTGGTATCTCTTCCCCACCACAGTGTGAGCCTTGTCTAAGGGGTGCCGCCAGTACACGAATGCGTCTGCCGCCTAGGTAACCCTAGTAGTTGGCACGAGAGCGAGGGATTGATTGACTTGGTGAAAGCTTAGCCCTCATTGGACCTATGAGGTTTCCGGTCGAGGCTGGAGTGCCTTGCCCTAAGGGGCAAGTGTCTCCATCTTGCAGGGAGACTTATCAGACGGTGAAGGGCTGAGCGGTGGACGCGCAAGTGAGGCGTCCTTGATTGACAAGCAGATCTTACGAATTTGAAAAATGTACTTGTAGGTTCAGCTCATCATGTACCTCTGACATGCTTCAGCGGTCGACTGCTTCTCTGAGCCAAGTACTCTATCCTTCAGTTCTGTTGACGGTAGCCTCCATGTACAACTGAACCTGTGACTGTTGGTTACTATTTAGATAACAGATACATGAGACAGGAATAAGGTAAATCAATACCAAGGAACAGTACCTAATAGGATATCTCAGGCAGTGGGCGTCATCGCATTCAAGGGGACAGTTTAAATTGTGAGCAGTAAAGTCAAATCCTTCTGGAAAAAGTACATTGTCTTGCATGTTGATGGCCTAATTCCATTCCTTTCCTCAATTCTAAGAAGTGACAATCCATGATCCACCCGGAAGCAATGCTTGCAATTTAAGCCTGTGCAATGCACTCGATCTCAATGACCGTGCCGTCTCCTGGAGGAAGTGCCTGGAGGCACGACCGCGATGGCATGGGCTTGGGGAGGAATTCAATGTAAACCTCGTTCATGGCTGCGAAATCCTTCATGTCTGCAAGGTAGACATTATACTTGACCACCTGCTCAAGAGACGATCCTGAGAGCTCCAAGACCTCCTTGAGATTTTGCAGGACGGTCCTCTGAGGGAAGGGACGCAAAATCATCAGCTCATGTTGCCCAAAGCAAGAACTGATTGAATTGATCCAACTCACTGTTGCTTGCTTGATCTCACCCGTGGCTGTTTGACCAGCGAGGAAGACAAGACCAGGCACTTTGGTGGCAGGGCCTTTGAATCGTGTCAGCCATCTTTGCCTGAGGCGCATGACCGCTGGACTTTTCCCTGATTACTCACAGTTGTGTGGCTTAGGTGGGAACTTCTCGCTCGAAATAAGTTGACGGGACATTTTGGCGTCTGACAAGGAAGAGTATGTGGAGGTGTGTGGTGTGTGCGGTGTATGATAGGGATGGGAGGCAGGCCGGAACAGTGTAGAGTGAGTAACTTGGTTTGCTTGTCAAAAGTACATTGGTGTTCCTCTCCCCTATCCGTTTTAAGTATCTACAAAGAAATAGTGGCAATTGTCGTTATGGGTATGGCAGAGGAGCTCTCAGCTGTGTCTGTGCCCCCGGGCGATTCACGCTGGGACCCACCGGCAGTGCCAAGTCCAACCCTTCATGGCCAGTTGGGAGGAGCTCCTCCCACCGACCTGCAATGCGAAACCTAGCACTGTGGCTCCCGTATTCCGGAAGGCTACAACCTGGTCGGATTTGGTTGAATATGCCATTAATTCAACTGCCGCATAGCGGCATGGATCTGACAAGGCAAAGGAGCTCTCGGGCGCAAGTAGATCTGCGGCAGCGGCATAGGAGGACAAGGAGGAGCAGGAGGCGACCCCCATCGAGATTAGATTAGAGCAGGGAGGACAGGGAGGACATTTTGGCACGTGGAGGACGCGTAGGAGACAGAGGTCAGGCGAGGGTGCGAAGCAGAGCAAGGAGCATGATTGTTCCTGGCGAAACCCGAGTGAGCATCCAGGACATCAGGCCATTCTAGCCAAGCTTTGACTGCACCCAGGAACCGGTTGCGCAGTCTCATCGTGTTTGTCGAGCTGAGAAGCCCACACAAGCGATCTTCCTCTCTTATTCCGTAGCCTTGTGCGGAATATCGCAGTCAACTCGTGCCCAGGCTGCGAAAAGATATAAGACAAGGCTGCGCTGCTCCGGAAGGGATAGGATTCAACAGCATCAAACCCAGGAACATCCTTCTACAGATCATTCCAACAAACTCCATCATGGCACCTACTGCACCTTTCAACCCGCCTGCTGCTGACCTGCCGGGCAAGCCATCGGTTCCAGCATGGAACCCCCCTCCGGTCACGAAAGAGAAGCATGACTTTGCCGAGCTGAGCTCAATTGACTTGTCTCTGCTTGACTCGGATGACCCAAAAGTCGTCGATGCCCTGGTGAACCAGGTAAAGAGGGCCATCCGTGAGGATGGCTTTCTGTTCCTTGAGAACTACGGCATCTCTCTTGAGCAGGTAAGACCAGCACAATTCCCAGCCCCTAGGCAGAACGAAGCCACCAATGCTGACGGGCCTCCGTTTCCCAGCTCCACCGCCAGTTTGCCCTAGCCCAGTACCTGTACAACAATATCACCGAAGAAGATAAAGAGAGACTTATCTTCGACCCGGACACGGGACGATGGTCTGGATACAAGCACCCATATGGGTTCAAGGTAGGAGGACAGCGTCCCAACACAGCTGACTACTGGGCATCTCACTTACTCGCGCGTCCCAGCGTCATCGTGGAGTCCCCGATGGTATCGAGCAGTTCAACTGGTACAACCGCGAGTGGCAAGACATCAACCGTATCCCCACGTGCCTGCACCCCTTCATGGACGAGATTGAGGAGTTCTGCAACTACCTGACAAAGTCGGTCAACCGGCGGATCCTGAAACTCTTCTCCCGCGTGCTGGAGCTGCCCGATGACTACCTCTGGGACAATGTCCAGTCGCATGGCAGCCCGACCGGTGAGGGCTACTTCCGCCACGCCCTCTTCCGTCCGGTGGAGCAGTCAACCCGCGAGAAGTCCAAGGGCCTCCGGATGCACGGTCACACCGACTTCGGGCTCACCACGCTGCTGTTCTCTGTGCCCATCTCCTGTCTGCAGATCTGGGGCCAGGACGAGAAGTGGTACTACGTGCCCTACAAGCCCGGCGCGCTTGTCATCAACATCGGTGACACCCTCGAGATTGTCTCTGGCGGTCACTTCAAGGCGACTCGCCACCGAGTCTTCACGCCTCCGGCTGATCAGCTGCACGAGGAGCGCCTTTCACTGGTGCTTTTCAACAGCTCCGTCGGTGATCTGCGCATGGCACCCGCAGCCTGTGAGTACAATTTCCAAAATCTGGGCGGATTCGACGAGGAACATTCACTGACATTGATGGCTCTCTTGCAGCTTCACCACTGATCCAACGGGAAGGCTGTGTCGAGGAACAAGGCGTCTACAAGGAATTCAAGAGGCTCACCGAGCAAGGACAGCTTGTGCCCACAAACCGCCAGTGGCGGGAGATGCAGATTGCGCAGGCCACAGACCCGACGGACACAGAGCGCAACCGCGTCGGCGCCGACCAGATCGTCGTCAACGGCAAGCTCATGCAACAACGAGAGTATATGGGTGTCAGGGTTGTCCTGCCGGTGTGATAGTACCATGTGGTTCTCTCAACCTAGAGATTGTGTACAAAAGACAGGACTGCATTTTGAATCTCATAGCAATCAATTAGTCAAGGTCACTGAACAGTTGCAAGGGTTGTGGCTGAATCTCGTAATCCCAATCCCACGATGTTGGACCTGGAGAGTAACCCCGGAAAGGGACCCTGCTGCTCCCAGCCCGACACCCGACACCCGATCTCGGGATTCTCGGCGGGATATCAGAGACACGTAGGTAGTCTGGCTGGGTGCTGGCGCCACAATGTCCGGGCTAGGGTCCCATAGACAGACTGACTAGATTGTAACGGGCAGCGTGTTATTGGCTGAGGGGCCCTCGTCCGTCGTCCTCTCCCTCCCCCCCCCCCACTTAGATACCGAATCCAGAGTCCCGGCACCGCCCCCAGAAAAGCCGACACGTGCCCACCCCCAGAAAAACAGCCTCCTGATACGGCCCAGGGACCGTCCTATCGGCACCCACCTGGGCAAGCGAGTTGATCGCTGCAGATAGCAGGTGCAGAATGCGGGGGAGAAGGCAGGGACAGGGCTGGCATGTGGGCGAGATGAGAGATAAGCAAGAGGGCACAGCGGCAAACACGTCCCAGCCCCCTGACGAGAACAACCACCGGCTGCGGCTGGTCTCGTGTCTGCTCTATCGACATTCTCCATACCAGATGAGCCCATCCTCCCACCGCTGAACCGATCACCGAGCCGGCTGCTACTACTACTACAGTATGTCTCTGGTCGCGCCCGCTGCAGGGGAGCAGTCCCAGCAGCCTTTCCAGTGCCCAGACTGTCGGACCCGTTTTACCCGACAAGAGAACCTCAAACGCCATGCTGCACTTCACACTCGCTCCCAAGAGAAGGTCTCATTCCCCTGCGGCTTCTGCCGTACCACCTTCTCCCGGAGGGATCTTCGTCTTCGCCATATAAAGAGGAAGCATCCTGAACAAGAAGATGGATGGCCTCCAAAGAGAGTGCGCCGCAGCCCACCGGCGGCGGCGGCGGCGGACCTCGATTGCTCCAGTAGCGAGGCATCTGAGGACGCCAAGACGCCCTCGGTCTCGCTTTCAGAAAGTCAGTATAGCTTACTCTCCCAGCAGTGGGAGAAGGAGATGCACCTGGACTTGAGCGACGCGGCTTGGAACATCGAGCTGCCTTGTATGGACGGGCAAGGCCAGCTCGAGCACGACTACCAATATCGTCATTCCCGGGGAAGCTTGGCTTTGTCCACCAGCTTGCCAACAAGTGCTGGAGGGGGCGATGTTGTCCACAGCCGGCGGTTGATGGCGGCGGGCTCGACACCAACTGGTTCCTATCCACATGGCACCGCGGACTTAGACATGGCCATGTCACTTGGCACATCCGTACTCGACTATGAGCATGATGCAGGTGCTCAGATACCTTCACCCTCAGCAGAAATTTGCAGACCTCGTCTCCGGAAGCCAGTCCAGATACTGTCATGTGTAATACGCATATACCTGACGGCCTGTCACCCAGGGACCTGGCATATGTACAAGATGACTGGTATCCCTCAGGATCTCAGACAGTACGCGGCCTTGACCTGTACTTCGTCCACGTGTCACATTTCGTCCCATTTCTTCACCAGCCGACCTTCGATGCTACTCAAACCGCCCCTTACTTGGTGCTCAGCATGCTGTGCCTGGCCTATCAGCACGGCGAGGACCCCGACCGCGGTGACCAGGCGGGCTCAGGCAGCAGCATATCATTACGTTGCTTTCACAGGGCTCGGGTGCTGCTTGCGACGCAAGAAGAGAGCGACGACGACTTCACACACAACCTCGCACTGGTGCAGGCAAATCTGCTGCTCGAGATCTGCGCCATCATGTACCTCTGCGGGAAGGACTCGGCGTACGGCCTCAAAATGCACTCGAGGATAATATCTCTCGCGCGCTTCAGCGGACTGACGCAACCGACACCACCCGAGGTTGCAGCGACCAAGGACCTGGAGGCATTATGGGGGGAATTCATCAAGGCAGAGTCACATAAACGGACACTGTTCGCCGTCCATCAGATAGACGCGCTCCTGTACCAGTTCCTCTCCATCCCCCGCTCGCTCTCGCACCTCGAGATCAAGCACGAGCTCCCCTGCCCGGAGGCCTGCTGGGCCGCCCGGTCCGCCGCAGACTGGGCGTACCAGCAGCTGGTGACGAGGCAGTCCGCGCCGCCGGTGCAGTACGCCGAGGCGGTGCGACGGATCCTCTCGCCCGACCCGGACCTCGAGTCGCTCCCGGCGTTCGACCCCTACGGGGCCATTAATATCGCGCAGTTCCTGCTCTCCAGCGCCCGCGAGGTGTCGGGCTGGTCCACCATGACGGGCCGCCTGAGCCTGGAGAGGCTGGAGCCCCTGAGGTCCTCGCTGGTCGCACTGGGCCCTTGCATCCGGCCGCAGACTGGGACGGCCGCCGCCGGTGCCAGCAGCAGCAACGGGTCGTCGCCACTCGCCGCGTCGCGGGAGGCGACGTGGGAGATGGCCATGATCGAGCTGCAGATCTGGTCGCCATCACACACCTGCGGTATCGTAGGCGGGAGCGTGGACGCGGTCCTGAAGGAATCGACGTACCTAGCATCATCCAGCGAGATCCTCTTCGGCGCCGAGACCGCCCACGCCACGCAGCCGCACATAGACTGGTTCCTGCGATACCTCGACACGACGCTGGCGCCCGAGTCGGAGCCGCCGTGGGTCGCCCTGTACGCGTTCAAGGCGTTCCTGATCGCGTGGCAGCTCGTGCGCAAGGGGGTCTCGGGCGCGATGCAGGCCGTCGGCGTGCTCGACGGCGATGCTACGGGGGCTATCGAGTGGGCGAAGGGGGCGTTCCGCCGCAGGGAGCGGTGGCGGCTCGGGAAGTTGATCTTGGCTTGTTTGGAGGTGTTGGAATAGTGAGACAGCGCTGTACGAATTGATGTCTTATGCCAGCTTGGTAGGCTGAGCAAACTCCGTTAAAAGCGAATGGGTTCTCATCTTGTGCATCGTGATAACTTTTTTGTTTACTTACGCGAGTCAAAATTTGGTATGCGCTCCGACTTTGCGTGAAGAAACGCAGGTCCTATTTCGGGGATGCCAATGTGCGTGAGTTGACGTACGTCCGAATGTGTGCAAGGGCACGCATTTCCATTTAGATGGATCCTGGCCGAACCATCATGCTTGAGCAAAGCACTGCTTCTTTCGTTAGCCAAACGTCAGTTCTCGAGTGACACTCTATTGGGATATAGGTTCAACCATAGCGTTGTGTCTGATTTCCCCATTGTAAGGGGCTGCCTGGATCGCTGCATTCAGACTGTGGCATCTTCTTTCCACTAGACCATGTGCCGTGTGCCTCTAACACCCTCCTTCATTGTTGTAATCGTGGGAGGCAATTATCAAGAGCAAAATCACTTTAGAAGGTGGATTACATTGGGGGACTGCCTCCAAAAGCTACCTCAGCACTGCTTAGTCCGATGTAGCTCTGGATACTGTCTGTTGACGAGGCATCGCATGCGAGTGTCGAAGCTGTCTGATGCAGGGGGGCAAAGAGGAAGCCCATCGGCAATACTCTGTCCGCCAGTAGCCACAGCTGTTACACAGGTCAGAGCTACCCGGGAGGGCCCTATAGACTTGATCGATGAACGAAGTAGAATTTGTAGAGACAAATGTTAATAGACCAGGAAAGGGCCAATCACCATTTCAAACAAAAGTATCTTGTTGCTCATTGCTGCCACTGCTCTCGTCCTTATCGCAGTATTTTCAAAGCACCCAGGCCCTTGAGACCTTGTGGCAACTTTCATACAAGACTTAAAAAAGGAAGAGGAGGGAGAATTTCGATACACAATATCATCTTATGTTGTACTTGCGTATTGATGGCCCTCGACGCCCACGGCTGTCCGTGGGCATGTGCAGCCAGCCAATCATCTTACACGATATTTGTCCAATTATGGAGCTAGGGAAGATCCGGGATTAGGCGGGCCACATTGCTCATACTGCGCCAACATCTAAGCATGTTTTACCTCACCGTAATCTAGGAAAGACTTTCAAAGTGGACGTTAATCAAGAATAGTGCTTTTCCACAGCTGAGACCAATCATGCAACCTGCTTGCCCGTATCTGCTGTGCCTAGAGATCATATGTGCAGCCGAGGAGGCGGGCCATGGCAACCCGCGATAGCTGGTTGATGTTCATATTGAACATGGGCGTCTTCATTATTTATCATGTTTCATCCTGCTGACCGCAGCAGTATTTCTAAGAGCTATAATGTGAGACTCCCACTCATTTCAGATCACTTGTCGCCTAATGCCATCTTGCAGGTCTTCACCTCAGGTAACATTCATAGAGCTGTCACTTCCCACGTTCTCGAGTTTCTGAGTCAGATCGGGGGAGCTGTTCCATGGACTAAAACTTTTCAGCGTTCAAAATCACGCGATAATTCCATTGGGAGCCATAGACTATGATATCCCTACGGAACCAGCCCAATTCTTTATTAGCAAAGATCCATTTAGTCTGACTCTCAGCCCATCAAAGCACAAAACCAGGGCAATTATCGCACTTCGAGTACGTAAAGCATTCAGCAATGCACCTAGAATGATATTAGTAAGAGCTCATGCAGCTGCGAAGATGTAAAAGGAGGACCAGAAATCTTGAGAAACTCGCTTTTGATACTCGTCGGCCGACCCCAAAAGGTCCAAGCAATCGAGGCGGCACTTGATACAGGCTTCGCAGCTCGGAGTCCTTGGACTGCAGCTCAATGACTGGACTTTCGGGAGGTCACCTGGTGCGTTGGAACAGCCCGGGTGGTTGTCGTAAGAGACCCCGCCTTTGACCTGGCGTATGCACTTGTTGTCGCGGTAGATATTACAGCAGCCATCTCCCAGATACCACGATTTTGGCTGGAACGGCCAGGTCCCACCACAACATTGTGCATTTGGTGCGTCGCCGGAACCGTAGGTGCAGCTCACGTTCCCTCCGTCTGTCTCGAGCTCACTGGGCTCGCTGATGCAGTAGCTGTTGGGCCCCTCGCTGAGCTGCGTGAAGTTGTATTGATAACGTCCCCTCACCCGATTTGGACCACCCCTGATTCGGACCGCCCTCGCCACCACATATGCCACTATTCCCAACCTTAATTGCCCGCCATAACTATTACCAATCCCTCTTCCGTTAATATTAAGGAATTATTAAACTTTTCTTTATTTATAAATACCTTATTAGCGTTAATTTAAGCTTTTTAAATAGCTTTAATATTAATAAAAACTATATTTAAATTAATTTAAACCTTTTTCCTTATAACCTTTTTATTAACTTTAATTTAAGCTTTTAATAATTAATTTTTTTAAGGTTATTATTAACTTAATAGCTATTTAATTATACTTTTAAAGAATTATTTTAAATAATAATTATTATATAAGGCTTAAGTATTTTTATTAAGTATAATAAGCTATTAAATTTCTCATTTTTTATAATCTTTTTAAAGTTATAAAAATAAGGTTTTTAAGCTAAGAAAAAGATTAAAAGGTATAAAATTAATTATTTAAACTATTTTTATTATTAAATTATTATAATTTATATTAATTTTAACAATTTTTAAAAATATAAATATTTTTAAATACCTTAATTTTATTAATTAATTAAAGATTTAATGCTTTTTATTTAAAATATATATTTATTTTTATAAGTATCTTTATATAAGCTTTATAATAATAATAATAAAATATCTTTTTTGCTATTATTATTATTATTATATAAAGACTTAATAAAGTTTAAGTTAATAAAGATGCTTTTTAAATATTATTTTAAGTAAGTAAAAAATAGTTATATTAAAAGGTTAAAAAATATAAAAAGTATATATAAATAAAAAAACTATATATATTTAATGTAAAAAGCATTTTTATATAAAGTTGATAATTATATATATATAATGCTTATTTATTATTAATAAACATTATTTAAAAAGGTTTAAAAAGATAATTTAAAAAATGAATATTTTTTAAGCTAGTTAATAATTATTCTTTCTTTTATTTATTCCTTTTTTTAAGCTATAAATTACTAGTTATTATAATCTTTAAAGATTATAAGAAATTATTATTATTATATACTTAAATTTTTAAACATAATAAAAAGTAATAAAATCTTACTTATAATAAATATATATTTTACAAAGAAAGTTTATATTTTTAAATTATAACTTTTTTAATAAATAAGGCTATTATTAATATAATTAAAAATAAAGATATTTTTAAAATAATTTTTATTAACCCTTTTTTATTAACATTTTAATAATTATTTAACTTAATTATCTTTATAATAAGTAACTTAATAAGGTTAAACTAAGGCTTAATATTAGCTTTTAATAATGCTCTTAATCTTTTAGCCTTAATATATTAATTTTAATAGCTTTTAAGTTAAAGGTAATAAGTAAGAAAAAAGGTAAATTATTATCTTTTAAGGGGAAAGCCATTAAAGAAAGAGAAAGCTATTTAACTTGCAAGGATTATTATTTTAAAGTAAGTTAATGCTAGCCTTAAAGTACTTTAATTAAGTATAAATAAAGCTAATTAATTCTTTTTAACATTAAAAAAAGCCTTTAAGGATTAATAGCATTATAATAACTTTATATATTAATAAGGTAATTATATAATATAATTTTAAGGATATATTATATTTTAAAGGCTACTTAAATTAACTTATTATTTATAATTATATTAAGTATTTTATATAACTTAACTTTTAAATATAGCTTTATAATAACTAAATTAATAAGGAAAAGAAGTTTAATAATTAGAAAAAAATCCCTTATAAAGATATTTAGGAGTATATATAGGGTGGGACCAGACGCGTGCATGCGCGTACGCGGGTGTGGGGCGGTCCGAATCAGGGGTGGTCCAAATCGGGTGAGGGGACGTTATCCCGTGCAAGCTGGTTCGGAGAACAGTGATAGAGTCCACGGAGCGCCCGATGCTGAAGTCGACGATGACCCGGCAGAAGTGGAGCTGGAAGACGTGGCTGAGGTTTTTGTGGCCGTTGAAGATGATTCAGAGGATACCGAGCTAGCAGTGGACGAGTTCAAGCTCGTGGAGGTCGCAGCCATGGGTGAGGTCGAGTTGCTCGCAGTCAGAGTCACGGTTGAGAAGCCTGACCACCCGCTCGGCAGGTATGTGGGATCAGATGTGTAGGACACGGTGCCTAGAATATACAAGGTTAGCTTTCAAGAAGAATCTGGCGCATTGGATATTGTAACAAGTCCAGAAGAGATCATCCCCAGGCCATTGCCGGTGCCTTGGATAGAATAGCCTCAGGGAACTCCTTACCAGTGCTGTCATCGTCTGGGCCCACAGTCCCACCGCTGCCGCCTTTTTGTTTTGGACAGAGAATACCCTGTCCAGGTGGGGGATTGGGGAATCCGTTGACATTCTTGCATCTCTGGTCACCAAATACACCGTTGTAGATCACTGGAACGTAATCTGGTACTTGCCAGGGGAACTCGTCGATGCCCTTCAGGGCCTGGTTGATGATCTCGTCGTGGTCCAAGCGTTGGTAGGCGTAGAGCTTCGCAAGCATCACCTTCATCCGATAGCCAACGCTCACCGACTGCACATTTGGATCAAAAGGGTTCCTGCCTGCTGGCCAACGGTAACTCAACAGTGATGCTGCGAGGCCTGCCTGTTAAGAAGCCAACAGTTAGAACTTATTTCCCGCGGCACGCCACTCCCGATGCTGATGGCAAGTAGATGGATGGACTTACTACTTGTGGTGCGGCAACACTGCAACCGCTCTCAAGATAGGTTTGTCTCGGTCCTGTATTCGCTTGGCACGTCCTGACATTTACTGCCTGTGCGTACAGCGAAATTGTGGCATCTTCCTTCGTGCTTGAAAACCTGGAGCATGGGGGAGTAGTGTATTCCCAAAGAGAGCCATCATGGTACTGCGAATGTCAAAATTCCGTGAGTGTCACTGGATATGCTATCACAGTCGATTGATTGAGGTTATTCACAAGAAACCGTCTGGAACAACTGAGAGTTTTGCGACCTCTTGCCAGACTCCTTGAAGCAGGAAGGGAATCAGTTTCATGTACCGAAACAGAAGACCGGGATTTCGCCCGACTCTAAGATGCATATGTATATTATAGAAAAGCAAGGTTCACAGCACATCACCATACCATCCACTGATTTCAGTAAGTCGTATGTGTTGACCGCTCCTGCGAAGCGCACTCATGGAGGGTTGAAATTTGCGAACGTTGTAACACTCGCTTCCCAATTTACCCAACTTTTAATATGGATTGCTTAGATACGGCCACCATAACTTCTAGAAAGGTCGATTGTCTTGAGCTATTCGACGAACGGCTTCGTGATCGCACTCTTCCCGAGGCAAGTGCAGGTCCATTCTCACAGTGAAGAGCTTGTATTTATGTTGGAGTTAAAACATCAATTCATGACGCCATGTAGGAACACTTGAGCATTTTCTGTTGCCATTGCCCAGAGATGGACTTTTTGTTACAAGACATGAGCACACTCTGTCATGGATGTGTACTGGTGGCGAAGCATATGCCAGCAGGCAGGCATACGAGTCAAGGACTTGAGCACCGCAGTTTGAGAAATGAACAAGCTTGTCCAAACCTAGATAGCAGGGCTCACGATACCTCGGCCAGAAACCCAATAAATTCGGCATGTCTGCGTGGAAGGTTCGGTCAACCGGTAGTGTGAATGTCAAAACTTTATCGAAGTTCTATGATCTTCACCAGAACCTTTCTGGGAAACCACCTTGCTATCTCATGCCAACTAGTGTAGCACAATGTCGGAAATAAGCAGAAATATGAACCATTGGGAAAGGATTTGTGGGCGGCATGCTATATGGACTACACATGTAGTTTGCCTTAGCCATATGGCTGGTCGGTCACCATGTCGACGCAATTGGCTATTGCAGTTTGTCTTGCCCAACAACTTCCAAGGTTATTATTGACTGAACCCGCTGGTGGGCCAATTGCTGCAGCTCCACTCTGGATGGGCATGCTGCCTGCAACGCACCAGCGGAGCCATCCCATGCTTGTTATACGGCTTCTTTGAGATGCCAAAACCTACATTAAAACCATGGGAACGAAGCATTATGTACCACCGAGTCACACTCTACTTCCAACCACCTGCGATTACACACAGACAAGCTTGGACTTCATGCACCTGTCTCCTCTCCTCCAATATATCGACATGGTCTAAATGTGAAGATTTACGATGCTAGTGCAGTGCTCGACATAGCACTACCTAGGGAGATACATAGGTAGCTGCTGGTATGGAAGAAGCCACAAGTCATGCGTGGCTCAAAACAGTGAAGGCTCATCGTGTGCCGCCCAATCCGCCAGCTTATGCTACAATGTTATTATTAATGTGAAGCGTGTCTCGGACACTTGCTTGAGTTATCGGAGAGCCCGTGAACGGACAGAGACTCTTGTTGGCTATTTTCGATAGGGCACCGAGTGTTGCAGTACCAGGAACGGGTGGGGAAGTACCTGCCCGGACTGACGGCCCGTGGCTGCATCGTGTCGTTGAGGCTCAGAGCCTCCAAGTGATGTCTACACGAGATACCCGGGTACGGTCAATACACCTAAGCCTTGAAGCTGCAGACCGACCAGAATGACCCATCTGAATCAGATCCGGCACCTGTTTTGATGTGTGGCGGGTATTAGACATCAGGAGAGTGGACGTTGTTTACTGCGGACTAGAAGAGTCAGTCCCAATGTCATGCGGCTCATGCTCATGACCCGCTGACGCGGGGGAGTTTGTCAAGCTGCCATTGCCCAATGGGTGGGTAGAAGTTGGGCCCCGCTATCGCGATAAGCAAGCTCTTTGGAGAGTTGGCTTGGCGGCACGGTTGACCAGGGCAAGCTCGTACCCACCCCGATGATAACCTGAAGTGGGCCGACTGCACCTTCCTGAACCTTAGCACCTGCACGCGCCGCACGATCCCGTGTTACAGGATTACTTCAATGCATCCCAGTCCTGCATCGTTGATTTCTCTATCAAATATCACCTATCTATCAGTTTCTACCAGACCAGTGGCTGCAGCGACCTGAGGGCCGATTTGTGGGTACTGGCTCGATAACAGCAGTCTCGACCAGCATTGGCCTGCGCCTGGGCCTGCACCCGCGCCTGGGCCGCGGCATCACGCGGGCATTTCTGCTTGCTTTGCCCTGCTGGAGATTCTGCATCATTACGTATTGCCCTGCCCCAACAGCCAGGCCTGAGGTTTCTTCCTGCCCTGCTGCAGATAGACTCGGGCGATAAAGAGTCTGGCCATCACCAGATCCTGCTCGGTGGTTCTTCCCCGTTGCAACACCAGCCGGGGTAGATATTTTAGAGGGCTAGTCGCTGTCCCGTTCTTGTGCATGCCTGTTGACTTGATTTTGGACAAAAACTCTTTCTCCCCAACATCACATTGAGCCAGCTAACTATATCCTCTCCTCCCCATTCGAGCTGTCCTCAGTCCACCAAACCCGTCTTGCCTTCAGCACATCCTTCCTCCATGTCAGGAAGCAGCCGCAGCCGCAACCCCTCAACATGGGACCAGTATGAACGAGGGGGTTCGCCCGGCCGCGGCAGCGTCTCTTCCAACGGCGGGAGAAGCGTTGCCTTCGAAGATGAATACCTAGACCACAGCCCCGGCGCGGGCGCTGACGACCGGAACTTGACCAACGCGCGGCGCAGAAGGTACGGCAGAAACCTGCATGCAGTGCCTGCACTATTTGATCGTACCGTACTAAAATCTCCTCGCACCGCAGATCTTCCGTGACGCACCGAATCTCAGCCCTGGGCGATGTTGGTGGAGTGAACAGTATTAGGTCCTTCGCACGATCCTGGCAGCGGGCTGCAGGTTTTACTGAGGTCATACCCCAGCGGGCATCGTTCGTGCTGGCACCGGAGCAGGACCCCATCGGCGCCCACGATGGCCTACAATATGGCAGGTCGGATGAAGAGATTGGTCGTGCTGGCTTCCCCCAGAGTTCTGCCCCGCGCGTGTCGCTGTTGCGCCAGCATCTCGAGGCAGCTCCAGAATCGGCCGTACGCGATGACAGCCCAGAGCCCGGGGCAAGCGAGACGCAAGGGCTGCTCGAACCCGGTAGCCACCCCAGCATAGGCTCCTTCCGCGACCGCGAGCGCAAGGCCCTGGACGACGATTTACGACGGACCATCTCGATCAGCAGTGGCACGCCGACATCTCGCTCCATCTTCGCCGTTCCCCCGCAACTGGCTACACCAGACATCGTGGGCAGCTACAATGATTTCGTGGGAAGCTATGGGTCTCATCGCACCTACGGGACTATTGCCAGCGACGACAGCTTCAGCAGGGCGTCCATGGCCCAGGCGGCTGAGATGTGGCGACAGCAGCAAGCGAGCGGCAACGTGCCGGACGGAGAGACCCAGCCGATCTTGGTGAAAGAGGTCGAGGATCGGGACGGGAAGATCGTGTTGACGGTTGAGGGGCAGAGCACACTGCCTCAAACCATCTTCAATTCTACCAAGTAACAAACCCCCCTCCAGCCTAATTATGTCTGGTACCATTGCTGATTTATGTCTTGCAGCGTCCTGATTGGAGTCGGTCTTCTGAGCTTGCCAGTGGGCATGAAATATGCAGGCTGGCTGTGTGGCATGCTGATACTGTTCGGAGCAGCTGCAGTGACTTCGTACACGGCGAAATTGCTTGCAAAATGTATGGACCTGGACCCAAGTCTGATCACCTTCTCGGACCTGGCCTACATTTCGTTTGGCAGAAATGCGCGGATTGCCACAAGTATACTGTTCACCTTGGAACTACTTGCGGCCTGTGTTGCTCTTCTGGTCTTGTTTGCCGACTCCATGGAGCTGCTTTTCCAAAGGTGTTTTGTCTGGGACAGAGTGGAAGATTGTGTGTGCTATTATTTTGATACCCCTCAATTTCCTCCCATTGCGCTTTCTGAGCTTTACCAGCATCGTCGGGATTGTGTGCTGCTTTACAAGTAAGTCCTCACGGGCAACCACTGTTTGCTACTGGGCATATTTGGTACTGACGATGCTTACACAGTCGTTGCCCTTGTCATAATGGATGGCTTTATAAAGCCATATGCTCCAGGCTCGCTCCTTGAGCCAGCAGCCACATACCTCTTCCCTGCAAACTGGCTGACTCTGCCCCTCTCATTTGGGCTCTTGATGTCTCCATGGGGAGGTCATGGGGTTTTCCCTAGCATCTGTACGTCCATTTCGTTGTGATCCAATTCAGCTTGTTGTAGGAGTGCGAAGCGTGGCCTGCCCTACTTTTTGGGGGTGAAGGGCGGGCATCCCCTAGTGAAGGTATCTCCAGCCAATTGCTAACAGTTTGGGCAGATCGAGACATGAGACATCCGCACAAGTATGGCCGCGCATTGAAGATCACGTTCTCCTTCACTTATTTACTTGACGCCACGGCCGCCGTTGTCGGCTTACTCATGTTTGGTGACGACGTTATGGATGCTAGTAAGTCAATCGAGGAAGAACTCCCTTTTATGAACGGCGTCGATGGTCATTATATCTATGCCACGGGGATTCAGTTGAATGATCCTTGATAACGCCTTTGAAAGGTTATTCTTTGCAAAAAAAAGGACCAGAAAAGCTTGCTAACTGAGGGCTAGTCACTTCCAATATCTTGACGACTTCTGGCTACCCCCAGGCGATATCGTATATTCTATGCGGCGCCATTGCCATCATTCCCTTAACCAAGATCCCACTCAACGCGAGACCGATTGTTGCGACTCTGGAGGTGTTGCTAGGCGTACACCAGCAGGCTATAGCTGAGTCGTCCGCAATAGTTGGCATGTCGAGCTATTTCCGGGGCATAGCGAAGATTGCTGTGCGCATCGTGACGATCCTCATATTCTTGGCCATCTCAATCATCTTTCCAGCATTTGATAGTATCATGGCTTTTATGGGCTCTGCGCTCTGCTTTACCATCTGCGTCACGTGAGTCGGACATCCCATCGCTCCATCCCATTCCTCCTTACCTCTTTGCTTCCCCTTTTTCTTCCCGTTTTCCGTTTCCCATTTCCGGTTCCCCTCCCATTTCTTGCCTGTCTCAGGTTTCTTCCAGTACCCTTAGGGGCCACCAGATGCATACTAATGAATCTCCTCCAGCTTGCCCTTGTGTTTCTACTTAAAGCTCTTCAGCACAGATATCCCACGGCTCGAAAGGGCTTCTATATACGTTATGCTTGCTATATCTATAACCCTTTCGATCATCGGCACTATTTTCTCCTTCCTCCCACGATCTGTGTTTGAATAACAACAACGATTGTGGTGGCATGGATGGGTTGGCACTCTCGAGAGATCTGTCAGGGCGGCAGGGAGCGCAAGGTTTGGGCGGGTGGGAGTGATTGGGAATGTGAATGCTAGAGACTGGAAACTGGAATCGAGGCGCAGGAAACAGGAGAACGCGAAACTGTGTTTGCCAAACCGTTTTCAGGATTCCGACCACACCACCAGCCGGCCGACGCACAACATGTACCTGGGTCACGATGTACTTCGCCTGAACATCTCTGATTCCTGGCCTCGATCGCGCATTCTTTCTACCAATGCTACTACTTGGTCTCGAAATTGAATCTGAGGCATACTGTGAAGCCGCCGTGACCCACTTTCGAAGATGTTGCTTCCCCCCATCCCCTCCATTTAAAAATTCTTAGCTGCTCCCGCTCCATTTCCCGTCCATGGTCCCCCTACTGTGTCGTCTTGCACGCATAGATTACCAGATATTCTCAGAGCTTAAGGCTTGTTCTCGTAGTTCACAAAATGAATCCCGAGCCGTTCGACGAATTGGATCTTTCTTCTCTTGATCTGGACTTCCTTGGAGAATTCCAAGGCAGTGATGATGATGGAGTATCAAATGCACAACATACCAGTGCTACCAACATCTTCAGCCTCAGGGGACAAGACGTTTCTTGCCGCTGCTACTAAGGACCAGACAGACCACGGGAATCCATATACGCCTTCCGCTGGAAAGGTAGCAGAGCTAGGGACGTTGTTTGATGTCCCTAGTCCAGGAGAGGAACGACAGCAAATGCCTGACCTGGATGGGGCTGCATGGGCCAGGGACAACACGGCCTTGTTCCCGACGGTGAGCATCCAGCTAGCTATGCTCAGCCGCCAGACAACGGTCAATAGGGTAATGATGCCTTCATCCATGGCCACAGAAGGAGACAAGAACGTGTTGCTTCATGGTGAAGGGTGACCCGCCTTTTCTGTCTTGCATGACCTGGTCACGTCGCTAGGGAACAGCTTCAGTCGCATCGTCCCGAGATGGATCAGGTGGACGTGCCGGCTGGGGAACAGGACGCAGGTGCCGGAGGGTGAGTATTGCTTCCGTGTGTGCCCGCTGAGTACATGGGAGCATGCTGCCGACCTGGACGCCGTTCGGGACTGCATTGTGACGGCCTCGTTTGACCTGAGGTATAAGACGCAGCGTGCTGGAAAACCTGTGTTTCTTCGTGATTTGCATGATCTCTTGCAGAGTTTGATTTGGTCGACCTCAACCAAAGTTCTGATACATGTCTTTGAATAACGTGCTCTCCGCCGCCGCCGATGAAACCAAGTGTTCAGCTGCCCCATTATCGAAGAAAACAATATATCGTCAAAGGCAGCTAAAGCAAGAAGTGCAAAGAGATTCAACCGGAAACGAGTGTGTATATTCAGAATGTGTCTGTGCTATTGCCGACCCCTTAGGTTTCCCGCCATGCTGCTGCTGCAACGTCGCAGGTCAGCCTGAAGTACGAAATGTCTTAGCCTATGCATGGCGTTGGGTAAACAAAGGACTTGGCGCAGGACACCATCAAAACCTGTGCCAGGAACAATGCTTTCTGGCCAGTGTGGTGATGCCGTACCTTCTCGAATCAAGACCCCAACTCCGGCTTGCCCGGGCCCTTTGTCACGCTATGCGCGGTTCGCCCGTTGTCTCGTGTTTGGTGTGGTGATCCCTGCCCTTTTGTGACTTGAGCTGGGTTGGATTCCTCAACATGATCAGTCACTCGAGGCGCACCCTCTGCATCCACAACTGACGCATTGGATATCTTGATCTTCCTTGAGCTGTGTTCGAGGCACTCGACAGATACAAGTCGAGGCGAAATTGGTCTCCTTCGTCTGGACGCATCGCAAGCAGCAAAGCTTCTCATAGCCCTGTCTCTTCCACTTCGCGATCAGCATAGCATCCGCATAGCCGTTCTTTAGCAGCCAGTTATAAAGCTCCTTACTAATAGCCTCCTTCTCATAGTAGAGCTCGTAGATGTACCGACTCCGCTGGTGGGAGACCTTGAATATGGGCCATTGAGCCTGGTGCTTTGGGATGTCGTTGGTCGGCGTGTTCTGCGCGTCCTTCATCTTATTGCTGAAGATAAGTAAGTCGTCCTCGATGTTGCTGAAGCCTTCTGGTGGCGGCTTGCGCTCCGAGGTGTGTCTGATGGCAGGCATGTTGAGTTGATTCGGTGGCGGTTTGATCGGAAAGAAGTGTGGTGTTCGAAAAAATACAGAGCAGAACTCGTCGCACGAATAGTGGGGGGAAGGGGGCAAGATGCAGCTGGTTGTGAGGGTCTCTGATTCGGATGGTAGTTCTCGGTATCTGCCAGTCCCCTTTGTTGACATACGGAAGATTCTGGAAACAGCGTTGTCGGGGTGATCTGGGCCTTGGGGCAGGAACGAAACGGGTTTCAAAGGCAGGGGCGATGGGTTTGCTGGTTGAGACTCTGGCTTTACGGATACTTGGGGGCTTGTTTGGTCGGTCCGTTCTCCTTGTGTGGGCTTTGATCGGCTCAGGCTCGGTTTTAACTCTGGGATTTCGATCTTGAGGACTTGATCTCTGTGTCACGATCCGAATAGGACCTCCATGTAACTCCGCGACCAGTATGCGGAGAAGAAATGCATTAAATATAGTGCATACGATTTCGGGGATTTGGATGTGTAGTTATTGCTCGAAAAGACTAAATCTATCTCCGGGCCTAAAAACTGCCTATAGTCGCACCACACCAGGAAGTGCAATGCACCTGCGGCCACTAGGCAGGCACAAGCCAGTCAGTGCCAGACCAGCGTCTTAGCTTTTGCTTATAGAACAAGTTTAACCACGGAGGCACAGGATTGAGGTAGCGCTCTAGCCGGTTGTGGCAGCAGGTTGGGCCTGCCCCAGGAAAGTTTGTAGCTGGGTAGTGGGCGTCTAGTTGTAAGATGTAATATGGTACAGGTCAGCCTTAGTTCATTGACCTATTGTGTTGGCTATTGTGTTACTGCTTTGCAGGTTTCGAATGATTTGTGACAAAGGCTCCCGAGGTCGGAGAGTATCTGAATCAATCGACATGAACCGACCATACTGCTAGTACATATTACAAAATCTGCGAGTTTGTTCTTTGTAACTACACCACTTGACAACGGGGTCTGATATACCTCAATCACCGTCAGGTCGGCGAAAGGGACTGTTTCCATAATTGTTGCCACGAATCCTGATATCCCAGTCAAATCCAGTGGTGCTGCATAAACAAGGAATTAAGCGAATCTACGCCCACTCTCTTGCACCTTGATGACATGTTTACATCCAACCTCTTGTGTAAGCAGTACAGCTTTCCAGCCACCCTCTTGTACAATTCTTGTTTCGATGTTCGCGTCTTCCATACACCGAAGACAGTGGACGGGCTGCGGCGATGACTACGGCGGCTGCCCCTGCCCACCTGGCTTCCCCAATTTGCTTGTTATGGTGGCAAGGACTTGTGCACACGGCCGTGACAAAGTGTGCTTGTGCTTGTGTTGGATTCCACAAGCGACAGAATTGTGGCTGGGGGGGGGGGCGGGAGTGCCGTGAACACAGCCTCGCCTCCGTCGCGCCCGGAATGAGACAGAGCATAGTATGTGGGCTTTTTCGATGGTGGTAACGTAACGTCCTCCAGAAAACAAAAGAAAAAAAAACGACAAATCCAGATAATTTGGACTTCATTCTCTTGGAAGCCACGGGCGTGTCAGCATGAAACACAGCTGTTTAAGCCCCAGCAAGGCGGCCGGGGGGCGCAGAAACAATCAGGCAAATCGTGGCGTTGATCCCTGATTCCCAAGCGTGACACAGTGCTGGGAGCAGTATCTGGGGGGCTTAGGGAGGGACAAGATATTCATGGCAACGAATCTGATGCCTGGTGGTGATTACTATATGTGTCTACTCAAAGTCATTACCGTCATTAAATAAACCCATACCTGCACTCCTCCGAGGCGTTGATCAAAACTCAGCACACCGCTCAACACATAACCAGAGAGCCACGAGAGTGCGCCCTCGCTTGGCTGTCTTAGACAAAAGTGCGGGTCACATTGACCTCCTCGCACGTTGGGTTGATCGGCTCCCCCGTGGTGGCCCAAGCAAGAGCGTGGTAGTAGTAGCCAGTGTACGTGTAGCACGCGTACCACTATGGTGCAAATTGAGATTAGCCAGTCGGTTACACATACACACATTATCAGGTCATGGAAAACAGGGCGACACTCACCTGGTACTGCGGCACCGACGGCGCCCCCACGGGGTACTCGCCAGCCACGAAGGTAGACTCGTCGTAAGGGCCGGAGTAGATGAAGAGCTTGTTGTCGGCGTCGAAACCGACGTAGTCATAGCTGGGCGAGGGCGTGAACGTGGGGACGGCGACGTTGCTGTGCAGGTTCTGGCTGAAGGACAGGCCCGAGCTGAGGTTGAAGTCGGCGCCCCGGAGGATCCAGACGAGCGGCCCCGTCTCGAAATCGGTGCTGCCGGAGGTGACGTTGAGGGTGAAGGTGTTGTAGTTGACCGGGGTGCCATCCGTGCCGGATAGGCAGAGCTGCTCGATGGCGGCGCCGGCGTGGCAGGCGCCCAGGAACTGCCCGTTGAGGTCCTCGTTGTCGCTCTCGAGCTTCAGCGTGAAGGGGGCCGAGGTGTTGTATTCCTGAGCCGAGACGACTGAGAGCGTCAGGGCGAGGAGGGCGGAGAGAATCGACTTCATGGTGGTGGAGATAACGTCAAAGTTCGACGATGTAAGTTGACGGGGAGAGAGGAAGAGAGAGGAGACGTAAAGGTGAAAAGCACGGCTGACGGAGTGGCTGGAGTGGGTAGTAATTAAAGATTAACAGTAGATATGCTCGGTTGATCCTACGATGATCGACACTGCACTGAGTGGAGCGAGATTGAGAGAAGCCCTTGGCGGGGAGAAGAGGCGAATGTTGCATTTATATGTAGACCGCCTGCGTGCAGCAACTGCCTACCTAGGGCAATACCACGCAAATGTCCATAATAGGAAAGAGGAGGTGACAGACCTACACGTACGGTTCTCACAATACGAACGGTTGCGTACCTTCTGCTTCTTCACCTGTCGGGCTGTGCGGTGTTTGACCGACTCGGACAAGTTGATTCCACGGACCAGTGGTGAGCAGTCGCTAGAAAGGACACTGGCGATGAAGCCGGACGGCCCATCTCAGACACCTTGTTGGTTTTTCCTCTCACAATAAGCGAGCTAGGTTGCTTGCTTGGTGGCGGAGACAGCACTTGCCGTCAAGCGCTGGCCCCGGGCGCGATTAGCCTGCGCAACTGCACGCTCCCGTCGGTTCATGACTTGACGACTGAGGTCGGAGTCGGCTGTCTCGGGCTCGATCCATGGAAAGGGATACCTCGCCACAGGGCAAAGGCTTCGGTACGAGGTCTGTCGTACGACTGGCACTCACGCCCGCGGCTCAGAGTCGCCATGTGTCAGACTGCGGAGTGCGGTGAACGGATTGGGATACGAAATGTTGTTTTGGACGTTGCCCTTCTTTTTGGGTGCCAGTGAGGGAGTAGAGTAGAGTAGACCGTGGAGGGATCGGCAGGTCTCGTGACGATCTTCAACAGGGGCAGGGAAAACGGGAGGGGTAATCACTGCTCCTGTCGCCGTGTGGCCGTGCGGGTTGGCCTATGGCACATCATCCCCAAGATGCAGAGCACACTGCATTGGTGCGTGAGGCCAAGAGGATTTTGGTCTTCGTATTCGAGTGTCAGGTGTCATTCTAGCTTGGTTTTTATGAGCGTCCCTTTCTTACTCTGGCTGGCGCTTGCATTTTACATCGAGCGGACAGCTGCTGGCATTGGAAATGCAAAAAAGCAGCTAGTGAGTGGTCGTGCATGTTAGACCTCCGAACCCCTAGGGGAGGTCGTCGAAAGCCGGTGGGCGCAATGTATCCCTGCCTGACGAAGTGGATATGGGATATTTCCGCCGTGAGAATGCTGCTTCTGAAGAGCCGGCTGGTGTGCAGTTCATCGAGACAGTCAGCATGATTTCGCCTAGTTAGGATAGGCTCAGCCATAATTGATCCGATCTCTCCGATCGTTGTATACGTCACAAGTAAGCTGGGACTCGGAAACAAACCGATCAATTAAGAATATATCATGATCCAACGTCATAGGACCTGGTTCAATGGAAAGCCACCACGGGGTCGGAGCATCGGTAGTAGTAGTCCAGTCCTGTCAGTGACACTAGTGCCGCGAGAGGGGCACTGGGAGCAAGAGCCGATATCAGATCGAACTACTACTGTAAGGAAGGCATGTACGTCTGTCAGGCCTTCACACGTCTTGCTCCCCAACCGGTATGTCAGGGACAGGCCGGCCAAACCGAGCTTACCTGACCCTCCTGAAACGTTGTGCAGCATTTAGTGCAGCATTTCCCTCAGCCTTGCATTGAGCGCTGCATCTATTAAATCAGAGCCCACGATGACCGAGACAGGCTCGCCGCCGCCGCTCCGGGCCACCTTCGTGGGAGTGAGCACAATCCTCCTGTCCGCTGGGCGGGACGCGGTCCTCATCGACGGATTCTTCACAAGGCCGTCATACCTGCCAGTCTTTCTGGGCAAGATCCAGCCAGACGAGAAGGTAGTCGCGGAATGTCTCGCGCGGCTAGGTGTCGTCGAGGAGGATGAGTCGAATACAGCCTCGCCAACAGATCCGCGGACGCAGACGCTGCACGCAGTCCTGGTGGCACACACGCATTTTGACCACGCGCTCGACGCACCGCTCGTGTGCAAGCGCACAGGGGCGAAGCTTGTGGGCTCGGAGTCGCTGCACAACCTCGGCAGGGGCCAGGGCGTGCCCGAGGACCAGATGGTGCTCGCCCTGGACGGGGCGGTGCTGGAGTACGGGCCGCTACGGGTGAGGGTGCTGGAGGGGATCCACTCGCCGGGGGACGTGGCGCCGGGGGAGATCGACGGCCCGCTCGCGATGCCGGCGCCGTACAACGCGCTCAGGACCGGGAGGTGCTACAGCTTCCTGGTGGAGCACCGGGGGCGGCGGGTGTTTGTGCACCCGAGCGCCAACTACGTCAAGGGCAGGCTGGGCGGGCTGGGCGAGGCGGACTGGCTCTTCCTGGGCGTCGGGGTGCTGGGCAAGCAGTCGGGCGAGTTCATGGAGGAGTACTGGAAGGAGGTCGTCGAGGTGCTGGGCCCGAAGCAGGTGGTGCCGATCCACTGGGACAACTTCTGGAAGCCCCTGAGCGTGCCCTTGTTGCCGCTGCCGTGGTTCCTGGATCGGTTCTCTGTCGCAGAGGCATGGCTTCGGGAGAAGTGCGAGGCTGCGGGCATCGACCTCCGTGTGATGCAGGCGTGGGACAGCGTGGATTGTGCAAAGCCAGCCTCGAGCCAGCTCCAGCCATGAGTCGACTGCTTGCTGTGTCCCCGTTGATTTGACACATGCTGCATATTGCTGGTCAGTAATCCGGTCTAGCAATAGACCTATTGGTGGACGGTTGCCATTAGGGTGAGGGTAACGGAATAGCATCCGAAGACGAAAGGGTGCTTGTCCGAAACAAGCTTCGGCCGAGTGAGTCGGGCAGAGCTGGGACGGGAGACGGAGACGGGAGGCAGGGGTTCTTCTTGTTGGAGGAGCAACCAAGCTGCAGCGCCGGGCAAGGGTACACAGCTACAAGGTACACACACAGCCCAGGTGAGCTGGCCCAGCCGGGCCCACTCTCCCAGCCTCATGTTTACTCTAGCTTGCCTATTGATGATGCACCCTCAGGCCCAATGGTCTCAAATCCTGCACAATTCTCAATTCTCCTCTCTGTTCCTGGCCGTCAAGCGAGACATTCATTTTTTTTCCTACCGGGCGACAACGTGCAAGCACACCTGTTGCAGGGAAGACGCCGTTGCTAAACCGCCGTAGCTCAGAGCTTCTTCCTAGCACCCCGCCGCTGATTGCCCCGAGCTTCAACACTCACACGGCCGCACGCCTAGCGAGTGGTGTTAGTCTTGGTTAGCTGCTGATGAGTTGTCTGGCCGACCACCACCACCAGACAAATCCCATCCGACCTGGACACCCTTCCATGCCAACTTTCCGCTTTCCAATGACGAGTGGGCATTCCTTGCCTTGAGTGTTTCTCCATTCCTCGCCTATCGCTTCCAACCTCCTTCCATTCCAACCTTATCAGGAAACCGCGAGGCGAGCACAGCACAGCACAGCACATTGCTTCCACTTGATCGCTCCCGCTGTCTGTCTCTGTCCCCACGTGGTCTCGATTTGTCAATTCGTTCATTTGAAACCGAACGAACAATTCCGGCCGCTTTGCTACGCCGTCAGGCAGGCCGGTCGGGCGGACCGCCACCATGGCGCCGCTGAACGACATGTCGGCGCCCGGCACCGCCTCCTACGAGTCCGATACCATGGAGGTCGGTGACGGGACATGGGACTTCACCAAGAATGACTTCCTCCTCCCAAACCTCGTTGGTCTCAACTTCGAGACCATGCAATACAATGGTGAGTACCCGAATGTCAGAGCTGCAAATGCTGCAGCTGCAACGACAACTGCGGGACCGAATCTCGACACAATCGCTGACAGCATCCTCCTTCCTCACCTCTTTAGGCATGGGCAATCGTTTTTCGACTCTCGCACAATACCACACACTCATCAAGGCCCACGGCATAATAGGCGCCATCGTCTTCCTCTTCATCGTTCCCATAGCCATCTTCTACGCCCGCTTCTACACCAAACGCCCGGGCTATGCCATCCGATACCACGCCTACCTCCAGATCCTCGCCGTCCTCTTGACCACCGTCGTCTTTGTTCTCGGCTGGTTCTCAGTCGGCCCAGAGCGGAGCCTGACGAACCCACACCATGGCATTGGCGTGGCCATATACACCCTGATCCTCCTGCAGATCATCGGAGGGCGCATAATCAAGAACATCAGGGGTCGTTCGCTGAGGGTCATGCTGCACCAGTGGTTCGGCCGGACCATTGCCCTGCTGGGAATCGCCCAGGTCCCACTTGGCCTGACTCTCTACGGGTCCCCGAAGTACACATTCATCCTCTTCGCCGTCTGGATGGCTTTCCTGGTGTTCCTCTACTTCGTACTCGAGTACCGCGCCTACGACCGACCAGACTACGTTGTCCGTGAGGGAAGATCCGAGATCGTCCACTCGGAGCGCAAGTCCAGTGGGGGAGGTTCACGCTGGCTCGGCCCCCTCGCGGCCGGCGGTGCCGCATGGGCTCTGCTGCGTGGCCGCAAGAGGGAGCGGTCTCGAAGCAGGAGCCGCAGCCGCTCACGCGCGTCCCGCCTCCGCAGCCGAAGCCGAAGCCGTGCCCCAGAGGTCATCCCATCTCGACGTGCTAGCTACGTCGAGGATGAGAAGTACACCGATCGCTACAGTGAACGGCCGAGGAAAAGCACCGACGAACACGGTGGCGGCTTCATGAACAAGTTCCTCGGCGTCGGAGCTGGGCTGGGAGCTGGTGCGCTCATCGGCCGCATGATGGGCAAGAGAAAGCGCGGGGTCGACGACGACGAGTATTCGGCTGTGGCAACCGACACGCCCAGCAGGAGACGTCCGTCGAGGTCCGGCAGGAGGCACGGCGGCACGGTTTATAGCGACGAGAGCGAGGAGTATCACAGAGATGGGCACAGGTCACCTTTACTACCCGGTCCGGGTGGTCCATCAGCAATGGCAGCAGCTGTGAGCGCAGCCGAGGCTCGGCCGGGGGCTCGGAGATCATCGAGACCCATCACTCCGCCACCTTCTCATCGCCGGGGAGATCCGAGGCTCGAAAGTGTGGTAGACTCTGACTACTCGTCATATGTCAGCCCATCGAGACGGGAACGGGTGGCCAGCCATTCGGGCAGAGGGGCTGCGGAGAAAGGTCTACTCGCAGGGCTGGGTTTGGGCTGGTTCGCCAAGAAGATGAGAGATCGACGGGAGCAGAAGGAGGAGGACCGTATGAGGATTGAGGAAGAGGAGAGGCGTACAGGGCGCCACAGTCCGAGGTACACAGGAGATGGATACTCGCCGCGCAGGGACTCACGGCGTGCGTCCATTCGGCCAGCTGGGCCACCCAGGAGGGGGACATCACCATCCCGTCTGACGGAAGAATCGTCGCTTATCGAGCCGCGACCTCTGTCGGGATACGAGTCACACCCGCCACTTGAACCTCTACCGACAGGGGGCTACCGGCCACCACCGACAGCGTCAGGGCCTGCACCTCCGCCGGTCGGCCAGTACGCCAATCTAGTGTCTGCGCCTGCGCCAGGCGTCATACCAGTGCCAATGGATGGCGGAACACATTCTCGAACGCACTCTCGCCAGAGTATTGTCGAAATGCCTCTGATGCCCTCTGACCCACATGGCGTCTTACACACGGCTAAGTCGTCAGAAAGCGAATCATACCTGTCCCGGAGAGACAGGCGGTCCGAGAGTCGTCGCAGGGCAGGCGACGACGCGGCTGCAGCAGCGGCCGCATCGGCCGGGATCCTTGCAGCAGAGCAGGAGGCACAGCGCCGAGCGGAGTCGGACCGTGAAACGTCGAAAGACAGGACACCGCCGGTGAGCGTCAAGGTCAAAGTGCACGACGACAAGGACCGGAACGTGACGCTGCGCCGCCTCACCGAGGAAGAGGCTCTTGCAGCCCGGCGAGCGCGGAGGCGACGCACCGAGTCGATGAGCAGTCTCTCCGGGAGCGAAGCACCAGGGGGCTCCTCTCGAACGAGGTACAGGCGTGACACGAGCCGCCGGCGGGCGGCAGAGGAGGGGGCCGAGAGCGCAGCGGAATCGTCACTGTCACCGCTGCCGCAGCCGACAACTGCGTTCGCGGGCGGCAAGAAACCCAAGGACTCAGCGTATTACTCGGGGCAGCCTCTCCAGCAGTTCGGACCAGCAGGTACGACGCCAGCGGCGGGCGCGACGGTCTCAAGCCTGGGAAGTATCCAGAGCCCCGGTAGCCACGGGACCTGGAGCGGGATGAGTCCGGCCGGCCCATCTGTGGCTGGAGGCATGCCGGCGGCTGGGCCGAGTGAGGCGAGCGCGACCGCTTCGGCGGCTGACAGGAGGCGGCGGCGGCGGCTTGAGCGGCAGAATGCGCGGCCTGGGGCGAGCGGGACGGTGGACTTCACATGAGTGAGGCATGGCCGATTTTGCGTCCCCCTCCCCCCAAATTCCCACCCTTGGGGTTTCTGTTGTGCTCTTAAATCTGCATATGGCAGGTGGAAACGGTCCTGTCTGGCGTTCGAGGTTCGCTCAAGCACAGGGCGATGGGCACATGTTGAAGACAAGATCTGACATGATCTGGGTCAGGTCCGGTCGGGCTGTTTTCTAGTGACCCCTTTTCCTTTTTTGGTTTCACCTTGGGGGAGTGTAAAAATTGATGTCGAATAAATGAGACGAAGGAGGAGAAATGGTGGGATATGTGCACATTACGAAAGACAAAGATGTAATGACAGTAATACCAAAGATGCTCATGATGCAGTGTTGTTCTGCCTCTGCCCGGAGAACAAATAACCAAGTGTAGATGTTGATGTGTCGATGGTGGAAGTGGAGGCAACAGGGCTTGCCGAGCCGAGAGCCGAGTAACCCCTGCAGACCCAGCAGCGTGGCGTGGCGGGTTGTCAGGGTTGGTCTGGTCTGTTGCCTGCAGGGGTGCTTGTTCAATGTCGTCGTCTAGTTTAGAAACTTTCTGCTCCAATCTCAGCATGTGAGGCAGGCCTCAGCCCGCCCAACAGCAACCACAATACGCCTGTATATCCAGGTGTCACCTTCGTTTCCGCCTTGGTGTGATGCATTGTGATGCGTACTTTTCCCCATTCCTCATATCTCTCCAGAGCAGCGTGTAATACTCACGAGTTCGGGGCTATGACACGATCCTTGGCCGGGCCCCACACAAAGCGCGTCGACGAGGATCGGATCGAATTGTTGAGGTCGCCATCGAGATCCAAATAGATTCGAGTCTCCCATCGTGACCGTTGCAGCCACCACGTCTCGACTGCAGCGCCCGCCTCCTAACCTGAGCCATGTCGACGATAGCTCATGGCCAGTACCCCCAGCGCCGGCCCAACGGCCTGTGGCGAGGGTCCTCTGCCATGGTCATGGGTCTCACGGGCACGCTCTCCAAGGGCTTCCTCAACGGCCTCAACGAGGTCCAGACAACCGGGCTCGACAACTTTGTCAAGCTGCTAGACAGCCGTGAGGATCCATTTCGGAGGCAGAGAGGTCTCATCACAGGTATGTCATCACCACGTCTCGCACATACCTTCCCATTATTCATCATAATTCTTGTTGTCATCATCATCATCATCATACTCACGTTCACTTCATAGTCAGCAACCACATGTCAGTGTAAGTGAGATAGCTTATCCTCATCTGGGTTCTTGTTCGGGCAAGCTTCGAAGTTTCTCACACGGCCGGACAGAATCGACGACCCTATAATATGGGGCGTCCTCCCCCTCCGCATGGCGTTCCAGCCCTGGAACCTCCGCTGGAGTCTCGGCGCCCACGACATATGCTTCAAGAACAGGCTGCTGAGCACCTTCTTCACCCTCGGCCAGGTGCTACCCACCCACCGCGCCCTGCACTCCCAGCACGCGGGCCTCTACCAGCCCACCATGACCCAGGCCGTCCGCCTGCTGTCCGCGTACCCCTTCAAGACCACCGGCGAGCACACGGCCCTCGCGCCCGAGCAGCCCCGGACCGTCACCGCGCAGTCCCTGCTGCAGGACCTGCGCGACCCCTTCTCCGAGGGCAGCCTGACCTTCAGCACCGACGGCCGCGACGTGCACACGGCGCCCTCGGCCTTCCTGTCCAACCGCCACGCCTGGGTGCACATCTTCCCGGAGGGCCTGGTGCACCAGCACGCGCAGAGGCAGCTGCGCTACTTTAAGTGGGGCGTCGCGCGGCTCATCCTCGAGGCCGAGCCCATGCCCGACATGGTGCCCATGTTCATCGACGGCACCTCGGACATCATGAACGAGAACCGCACCTGGCCGCGCGCCGTCCCGCGCCCGGGCAAGAAGGTCCACGTCGCGTTCGGCGACAGGGTCGACATGGAGGCCGCGTTCGGCGACTTGCGCCGGCGCTGGAAGGCGCTGGTCAAGAAGGCGATGGAGGCGCGGGAGGCCGAGATCGCAGCCGCAGAGAGGCTCGCCGAGGCGGCCAACGGCGCCTCCACCACCAGCGCTGCCAAGGCCGCCGCTTCCGAGTCCAACTCGGGCAGAACGGGCATCGTCGCCGCGCTCCCGAGGCGGTCGCCCGTCGCGAAGCCCGATGTCCTCCGCGTGGGCGACCTCCCCGAGGAGCTGAGGAACAGCAGGGAGGCGGAGCAGATTCGGGTCGAGGTGGCGCTGCGGGTGCGCGACGAGGTGCTGAAGCTGCGGAAGAGCCTGGGGTACCCGGACGAGGACCCGGCGTGGGGGCTGGGGATGGCGGAGACGTGGGCGAAGGACCCGAAGAACACCAAGAGGAGCCCCGTGGACGGGAGCGCGGAGAAGCCTAGCACGTGATATAGATATTTAGATGTACAATGAACCGTGTAAGATTTTAGAACAAGACTGAAGGGATTGTGGTCGTGGTGCAGGTTGTTGTTGCATGCTTTGATCACACCAGCATCCCTACGGCCTCAGAGTCCCACATGCTTCGGAGGGCGAATGGCCTCGTGTGGGGCTTGAGATCAACACAGTGATGATTTGGATTACATGTGTCACCTTCGATCGAGTAGTACATGAAATCAAGACAAGGACGAGGCGAGACGGTGCATCACATAGAACCGATCAGCGGGTGGTCGTCCGCCCGTAGACCTATCTAGACCTCGTCGAAAAGGCCGCTTCGTATATCACAGGCCGACTGTGCCATCTCATTGCTTCTCCAAGTCGTGATCTTGATGCTCTGCGTTTGACGTATCGCTTGTGGCCTGGATAGGGCAAGTATTGGGGGATATCACGTCTGGTCCACGCAGGGGTCCCAAGGTGGAAGGGCTCAGACTGGAATCAACTCCGCAAACGGTCTTGGGAACCTCATTAAGTGTCTGGATTTTGCTTTTCTCTATGATACTATGTCTTCCTAGCTTCAGCGCATGTGCGCTGCACGAATCCCGGTACACACAGATGTTCCCGTTTCCTTGGCCTTATGAAAGGGAAGGTGGCCAGCTGGATCGAAGCGTCGATCAAGCCCAGGAGACTGCCAATGATGAAAGTCCACCTGCAAGTTACCAGTGCCAACTTGGGGATTCTCGGACTCCGAGTTATGCAGTCCTGTCTCGACCCCCTTCACGATACTTTTCAGCTCCCCACCATCGCGGACTTGAGCAACCGTGGCATCGTCCTGTACTAATTGTGATGGACTCTTTTGATAGTAGTTTACTCAATTTGACACACGCACGCAGAAACTTCCCACAGATGTCACACCGAACATCAAGTTGTCGAGCCATAGAGAAGCAGCAAGATACTGTGCACCCTTTGTGAGAAGCCAGAACTGACCAACACAAAGGCTCACATAAAGAGCTACCTGACACTATTGATCTGACCATGCACTCCTTTGCTCTGGCGTGTGACAGCTTTTCTTTTTCCTCTGGGGCCAGCACCCCCTAACTCAGTCTGACCCGTTGGCGGCTGATCGCCGCGTCTCGTGTTGCACGACACGAGGCCGATGAAGACTTCTTTATCGGCCTTGAGCACTTCCCGGGAGAATCACTTGTGGGAAAGACGGAGAAGAAGGAAAAATCGGCAAATAAAGACAACGGAAGGGACGTGGCGGCGCCTCGGAGGGGCGCGCCCCGAGACCTTGCCCTTGCTTTTCCCCTTGCTGCAGCCAACGGTTGAGCGTTGGCCACGCAGCTGCCACGAAGGCCGTCAGTCTTTGGGTGTGGCTTGACGATTCCTTCCACGCACGGTATGTGAAAAAAAGCAGGCCTGACATAAATTCCCCTCGCATCCGGCCCCCCCTCCCCCACGCGGGACCTGCGGCTCGCACTCGCGAATATGCTCACCGGTGTTGGACTTGTCCCCGGTATTTGCTGCAGGAAGAATACCTTGTATCGTGCAGGCGAAGTGCCGGGAAGCGCATATAGGCATTATATTACCCGAATGCGACGGGCTAGAGCCTGAGGCTTGACCATGGGATCAAAGGCTGCTTGAATGGTGATCCTGTCTGATACCGAGCAGGGCAGAGCGCACTGGATTGGGCAGATAGGCGTGGTTCAAGACCTGCGCCCCGTTGATGCTGTCTCCGGATGCCGGTATCCATCTTCAACCACCAAGGATCGATGCTGCCCCGGTACATATTGTCATGGCCATCCACGCGTTGCAGGAAGTCATGAGTGAAGATGTGCCCCCCCCCCACGAAGCAACACCGCACCATCGGAAATCCGCTGCATCTGAGTGAGATTCGCCTGGACGGGCTGATAGGTGCAGGTTGCAAGGTGACACCGTATGCGCATGCATGCCCTCCGATGCCGTGAGGCTTCACCGGTCCTGGAAGCGAGGAGCTGAGATGCGAGATCTGTAGAGGACGTGCCGTCCTGCCTAGACCACGCATAACCTGGCGGGAACAGATCCGACATGTCATATATTGACTGTCAAAGCTGTTACCAGCGAATGTCTCAATTCGTGGTCAATGCGAGCCGGTCCTGCATCCTGCACGAGGACGGACAGATGAGAGGCGTCACGTCGTCGGTTCCCCCAGGCGTGAGGCTCTCGGGGCCCTGTGGTTGCCCGCCCCAAGGTCTCTCTTTCTGCGTCCCCGCCCGAAATCTCGAGAATTCCACTCTGCGAGACGTGCTTTCGCGACTTCGGCCGCCGAACGGCTAAGCCCGTCGTTCTGCCAAATGCCACGTGGTGCTCCGGCTGGGGCTCCCCTTCCTCACGGCCGAGTTGCGCGGTAGTCTCAGCCCGGCTGGAAGGATCAACAGGGCCCCCTCCCCACACTGGATTCGTGACGGGAAATGTGACTTGACTCGCCGGGCTCGGATTGTAGGTGGTGATCTGCAGCTGGGTTGGCTGCGGTGGCCGATCACGTCGGCGCGACGACGCGAGTGCGTGGCACAAGTACTGTAGGTGTGTTGCAAGAACAGGAAGAGTGAGGGGAAGAAAGGAGAAAGGAGATAGCCGTCGTTGGTCTCATCAACGGGCAGCGCCACATGCGTCGTTGGGACGGCGTACTAAGGAGACTAGCGATTTATCCTGGGCGGACGGCAGTATCGAGAAGCTGCATACATAACTAGTGGAAGATGGATAGGCGAGGTAGACTGTGCGGTAGGTGGTCTAGATTGTATGCGTAACGAGGGGGGGTTACTACTTGTAGAGTGTAGACTGACTGACTACCTGGAAAGGGGCGGCGCGGAGGGCAGGGCCTGCAGGGCGGGCTGGTGAGTGCTTTCAGATGTCAGATCCCGGATCTGGCACAGGTGGACGCCCACTGCAGGCAATTTTGTCGCGGCCGCACCTGCCACAGGCACACGGAATGTTTCCACAAACCCCTGTGCAGGTAATACCTGTGATGCGGTCTGCGCTGCCGCTTTCGTGATTGGCCTTATTAGCTGCGCTGCACTGGCAGCCTTGTAGGTTTAGAGCGATACCCGGCCGGCAAGTTAAGCGGTACCTTTCTAATTATTAAATAGTAATTAAGTAGTTATGTATATTATAGCCCTTAGCTAAGGCGGTAGCGCTGCAATAATAAGCTAGGCTTTTTTATATATATTAAAATTATCTTGCTTTATAACATCCCTTTAGCTAACCATAATTAATAAACATAAAATGCTTAATTTATATTATTATATTAATATTATACTTAAAGTTATAATATATATATATATATATATATATAATAAGAATATAAGAAATATAAGAAATATAAGAAATATAAGAAATATAAGAAATATAAGAAATATAAGAAATATAAGAAATATAAGAAATATAAGAAATATAAGAAATATAAGAAATATAAGAAATATAAGAAATATAAGAAATATAAGAAATATAAGAAATATAAGAAATATAAGAAATATAAGAAATATAAGAAATATAAGAAATATAAGAAATATAAGAAATATAAGAAATATAAGAAATATAAGAAATATAAGAAATATAAGAAATATAAGAAATATAAGAAATATAAGAAATATAAGAAATATAAGAAATATAAGAAATATAAGAAATATAAGAAATATAAGAAATATAAGAAATATAAGAAATAAAAGAAATAAAAAGAAAAAAAGCATAATAATTTTAAGAAAAGATTATTTAATAAAACATAAAAAAAAGAAGCTTAAATATTATATTATATAAAGTTATTAAAAATTAAATTTAAATCTTTAAATAATAAATAAATATTATTTATAACTTTAATTATTAAATTATAACTACTTTATAAATATAACCTTTATATTTCTTAAAAAGTTAAAGATTTTAAAATATATAAAAATAATTTAAATAAAGTAAATATTAAAAATATTATATATATATATATATATATATATAATTAAATAATTAAATAATTAAAAATAATTAAATAATTAAATAATTAAATAAATAATTAAATTAAATAATTAAATAATTAAATAATTAAATAATTAAATAATTAAATAATTAAATAATTAAATAATTAAATAATTAAATAATTAAATAATTAAATAATTAAATAATTAAATAATTAAATAATTAAATAATTAAATAATTAAATAAATAATTAAATAATTAAATAATTAAATAATTAAATAATTAAATAATTAAATATAAGAAAAGTTATAATTATTATAATAATTTTTATTAATATATTATTATATATATATATTCTTTTATAATTTAAATATAAAAAATAAGTTAAAACTCCCTTAAAATTATTAAAATATTATTAAATAATTAATTATATTAATATGTATATATTTAAAGTTAAGGGAAAAAAACTTATATTATATTAAATAATATAAGTATAAATATAATTTATTAAATTTATAAATCTTTTATAAGGGTAATTTAAAAGAAATTTCCTTTTAAATTTCCTTTTCTTAATTTTTTAAAAGTTAAATAATAATTTAAAATATTATTAATATTTAAATATATTTTTATAAAATTAAAATATTAATTACTTTTTATTATTAAATAAGGTTAAGTTTATTAAAATATATTTAATATAATTATGTTTTAAGATTATTAATTAAGTTTTATTTTAATAAATTTAATATTAAAATATATATTAAAATAAAAGTATTTTAAAAGTATATTTATTTTAAAAATAAGGTTAATATTTATAAAGTTAAACCTTAGGAAAGTTAAGCCTTAAAAAATAAGGGGCTTTTAAGGTTTAAAATTTTATTAAAATTAAAAAGAATATTATAAATCTTTAAAAAAATATTATTAAATAAAGTAAAAAAACCGGCTTTTAAATAATAAATAACTTACTTAAAAATATAAATATTTAAGGTTATATATAAGGCTTAAAAAAAGAGGAAAAGAAGGAAAAGGGGGTAAGTTAAGAAGTTAAGAAATATTAATATATATTTTATTAAATTTTTTTAATAAGTCTTATATTAGGTGCACTTTTTAATGAGCAAGGCCCTAGAGAAAATAAATTTAAAACCGGCCGTAGCAATAGTCCTTAATTACCTTCACACCACCTATATTATATCTATCCATGGTTTAAGTATATTAAAATAAAGTATATATCATGAGAGGGAATATAAAGACAAGATAGCTATCCTTAATATATTAATTTAGATTAAGATGGTGCTACCTTTTATATAAGGAAGAAGTTTTATGGAAATTGCAAGGCAGGGGTTTTATGCCTAAGGGGTATAGGGCTTAAAGCCTTAATAAATGCATGCAGTTAATGGGGTTCTTTACCCATACACTCACTCATAATATAAAATAAAATTAATAATAATATTATAATTATAAAATAATAATAAAGAAATTGTTTTAAAATATAATAAATAATTATAAAAAAATAATAATTATTTTAAAAAAGAATTAAAAATTATATAATAATAATTTTTAAAATAATATAATTATAATATAAAAAAGATTTATTAATATTTTAATTTTTTTAAAAAAGAATTAAAAATTAATTTTAATTATTATTAATATTTATAAGTAATATAATTTTTATTTAATTTTTAATTTTAATTTATTTTTATTATTTATTAATAATAATATTTTATTAATTCTCTTAATTTTTAAAAAATTAAAATTAAATAAATAATAATTTATTTTTTTTCCTTAATATATATTTATTAATAATTAAAACAGTCTTTACATTAAATAACAATGAAAATATAAAATAATAATAAAGAATGGTTAATTTATAATTAAGATTGCCTTAAAAAAAAAGAAGCAAAAATTGCCCAAAGGCTGAATTGCAATTGCTTTTAAGGCCAGTTGGGCTGATAGGATCAGCCAACCAGACGGGCCCCATAATGGGGCTTGCGCACAATCAGCCCCACGGCCCTGACAACAGCTATATTTTATATACTTATAATAAAGTAAGCTGTCCCATTTAAAATCTCTTTTAAAATATCTTAAATTAAATTCATATTATAAGCCTCCTTAAATTATATTAAACTCTTGCCCTTATATAAAACTAATAGAAAATCTTGTTATTGTGAGTATGTATATGAGTGAAGGCCCCATTGACTGCTTGCATTCACTGGGGCTCTGGGCCCCACACCCCTCAGGCATAAAACCTTTTGCCTACGATTTCTGCAAGACCTCTTCCTTACATAGAAAATAGCGCCGTCTTAATCTGAATTTACGTATTGAGAACAGCTGCCTTGTCTCTGTAATCCCTCTCGTGACAGTTATCCCATTTCAAATGTTGATATAAAATACATGGACATGTTACTACCCTCCCAAGGGCGCCTCTAGGAAGAGTAAATACGTTGGGCCTCCCGTTCAACATCGCTCTCTGACGCTAGTGTTTGGTTTTGTGCTTGCTCAGTGTTCCGTGACTTCTCATCTTGGCCTTTTTGGCAAGATCCAACACGTTCCCTTTCTTTAGCAATATGTTTGATATTGAACCATTCCATCCCGCACGATGCTGGAAATGCAATACAAGCCGCGGCGAGCGATAGGATCAGGGTTTTGCGGACAGAGCTTGCATAAGCCTGACGCAGAGCTAGAAGGACTTCGGCCGAGCCGTTGGACAATGCTCCAAGACCAGTAGCTCCAGCCGCTGCTACTTGATCAGGTTTCACGGCCTCCGTGTAATTTGGCACAGCGCTGTACAGCTCACGTATCAGTAGATTTTGGCCTATCGCAATTCCGAGCGCCCTGTCTAGCGTCAGTTACTGTATAGAGCTGTCAAGAAGGATGCCAGGTCTGGGAAGTGACTGGCAGACTTACCCAGCGAATTGAGAGGCGAAGGTCGCAATGGCTACCACAGGTCAGAAAGGTCATCAGAAGTGGCAAGTCAGAGAAATTAATAGATGCATACCATTGCCAGTGGCCACATCAACCGGGCTAGCAGCTGTTAGCTCATCCGCGGCGCAGCATAGAATTAGAAGGATGTGAAGATCTGTCCAGCTTACTCAAGGACAGCCTGCACTGCCATGTAGGGGATCTGTCCACACATCCCGAATCCAAAACCAGTTACAGCGAGGTAACTAGCCCATTTAGCAGTCGGCGAGTAGACATCAATGGTTATGAGCAGACCACTCCCGACACATGTGATCGCCACACCGGCTATCATGTAAGGAACCTTATGAGAGTGTTAGCGGCTACATTTTGACATAACCGGCGTTATAAATACTTACATAATAGCCCCATTTAGTTACAATAGCACCTGTAACGGCCAGAGCTACCATCTGAGGTATAATCGACGACAGATAGCGAACCCCGCTTGTCACAATAGAGACTATAACAGGTTCAGGTCAGTTCTTGGTTCAAGTTCTTGCGCCTGAACATGAGTGCCGTGAAACTAGAAGTAGTCTATGAATCGATCGTCGAAAAGCTTGGTAAGCATGCTCACCTCCTTGAGCGGATTGAAAGAATATTGGGAAGTAGTAGCTGTCCTATGTCCTATGATGTTAATATGTGTAGTTGAGTAAACTGTAAACCAAGGGTCTTGTGGGAAATACCCACCACATTCACAGCCATATAGATTCCAAATAGCGCTACGGCCCCTGCGGATATCGAGCGCTGTCGAACCACTCGAGGTGGGATGAGAGCAAAGTCTCCCCGTCGCCACATCCAGGCGCAGAATACTGTTGTCAGCAACCCAAATCCAGTGAATAAACCAATGATCCTAGAGTCACTCCAGCTATATCGCTGCCCACCCCAGGTTAGAGCCAATAGGACACAACAGACAAGACCCAAGAACAGCACTGTGCCAATAAAGTCCATATGTCGTAGCTTTTCTCCTAAAGGCAAACTCCTGTTCGGTGCGTTCGATTGCTGTGTCTTGGGGACGAAGACAAAAACCATGATAATCACAAGGAAGCCGCATGGCACATTGCTTGGTGAAATAGATTAGCTACGCCTGCGGAGTAAACCTGCAGGTTCACTTACATCCAAAAGCACCAACCTGTAAAAGTCAGCTCAGCATTTGACATCCATACGAGCCATTGGAAATTGTGACAAGCCACTTACGCCAGCTGGTGTACTGCGTTAGGGCTCCGCCTATAACCGGACTTATTGAGACGCTCACGCCCAGGGCGCTGATGACAATGCTTTGGTACACTGGAACTTTCCCCAAAGGCACCGAATTCGATATGATGGCTAATGCACCTTGAAGCAGACCGGCTGCCCCAACTCCAAGAAGGGCTCGCCCGAAAATGAGAACATTTGATGATGGCGCAGTAGCACAAACGGTGGAGCCAACTGTTGTTTATGGTGCTTCAGCCAGATAATTGACACATGGGGAAAGAGATTGTGCACCAGTGAATCAATCTCACCTTCAAAGATGATCAAAGAACTTAAATACGTTATTTTGGGGTTGAAATAGGAATACAATGTGCCGAATCCCGGTTGAAATGCGGTTACCGTTAACAAGTATGCTGAGCCGTACCACGATATAGTGTCAAGTGAAGCAAATTCTGTCGTAATTTGGGGGATAGCAACGTTTAGGATGTTGATATCGAGACCAAACAAGAGAATTCCTAAGCAAAGGCTCCCAATAACAACAGCCAATCGCCATGATTGAAGGGGTTGGGAAGAATTGTTGAGGCCTTCCGGGCTCGCTGGCAACGGCCCGTGGCAGTCAGCGCCTGACATGTTCGAACTTGGAGCTTTCGCTCTCGCGTAGTCTGATAGTCTGATAATAGTATTGGCCAGAACCGTTTAGATTTGTTCTCACAAATAAGATAGCCTCTCCGCTGTGAGCGTGAGTGGTGCAGGACAGGCGGCTCCCAGGAACAACACAAGAAACTTAAAGGTCAGTAGAGCAAGATATTCAAGGAAGTGTGAACTTGCGGGTTTTACTGCCAAAAATGAGAGGCGCAGTGCGAAGTCTGCAGTGCATGCATTGGTGCACCTGCACTAGCAGGGAACTAAATTTGGCGAGACAAATGCAACTTGCGGGCTGAAAACTGGGCACCCACACATTTTTGTACAAGGTAGAGATTTGTACAACGCTGACTTGTTATTCAAGCATATTCACGATCTCTGTCATCTGCGAATATTTGCAAAGGAGGAACTTATCACTGGATGACAATCCAGCTCATTTGCGCTGCCACGATGTGGAATATCACATGTCGTCCATTGCATAAAAGTGGCTTGCCACAGCAGAAGCTGTGCGCAGAACTTCGATGGAGCTCCAAGCTAGATACTTTGGAAGCGTGGGCACGCGAGACTAGGAGAAGGCTTGTGTTCCTAACGGCATTTAGAAAACAAAGGGGGAAGATCTCGGAGTATGTCAGCTGTTGCAAGCCCGCCAGCGCATCGTGTTGGGCGTGGGGGCGGTCATGGGGCGACTGAGACAGACCCCTGTTGATGAGTTCGTGAGCAGTACACCACAAAGGGTCTTTGCAACGAGAGGCGACATTTTTCAGCTTGCATGTGATTGAGAATGATATGTGGATATTCTCACACGGCTGAGCTCAAAAGTGAAGTGCTGACAGCTGATTTGATTGCCACTTAATACAGGACACGCGTCCTTCCGGCCGCGTCTTCATAATTAGCAACGCCAAGAAATTGAAAGTGTTGTCTTTTCGGATCAAGACATGGCCATTGTCACATTAAAGGGCCAAATGATCTGTCGCAACGGTTATACGACATTTCGTGGTGTGAGTCACTCGGTTTGAATGAAGCAGTGCACAGTCTCATCAGGCTGAGATGCAGGCCAATAACTGTTGGAAGGTCAGCTCGGCTTGAAAGATTATCGTTATCGGCATATTTTCCAAATTCCAGGGCCAATGAGCATGAAGTAGGCAGAGTTGTCGCCATCAACGGTCGTTCACAAGGGTAGCATTGTGTAGGCATGGTAGCACAGCAGGTGGTCTGGAGCTCAGGGCGTTTAGCTGAGGACGTTATGGCTCGTTACAATGCCTTTAATCTCATGAATCACCTTGCAGTTCACCCAGGCTGGGGGTTAGGTAGGTGATAGGGCAAGCCAATATTTCTGCCAAAGATAGAACGAGAAGCAGTATGGCAGCACAGCAGGTGACTTGCAAACAGCTGGCATTCAGTGGTGACCAAACAACATGTTCCTACATGTCGCAATCTGCCACCCTCATTTATGCAGAAGTGGCTCAAGCGGGCTGAGAGGTGAGCTGGATCGTAGCAAGGCAGAGTTCAGGCAGATTTGCTTTCATCAATAGAATGAATGCAAGGGGTAATGTTATGTGAGTACAGCAGGTGATCTGCAGCTCTTGGCCTTCAATGTGGGCACCAAACTTGTTTCAAGGCTTCCAATATGATATTTGTATGACTATCGCTTACACACAGGCGGCCAGATGAGCCAAAGTATGCCCACCCAGCTTCCACAGTACGCCTACTTAGCTTTCAGCATTAACTCACCCAGTATAATTAAATTAGCTATATATACTTTAAAATATAAGTATATCTTAAAAGCTAGCTTTTTAAAGTTATAGTTATTTTATTACTTTATTATATTTACTTTATTATTTTTACTTTATTATTTTTACTTTATTATATTTACTTTATTATATTTACTTTATTATTATTTTTATAATATATTTAATTTATATTTATTATATTAATATAAGGTATAAAAAGGTTTTTATAACTTTAAATTAACTTATATACTTTATTATTACTTACTTTATATAATATTTAATTTAATTTATAACTTTATTATAAAATAACTTTTTATTTATTTATTTATTTATATATTTATATATTTAATTAATTAATTTATAAAATAATGTTTATTTTTTTAAAATTATTAATTATTTTATAATTTTTACTTTTAAATATTATTTTATTATTAATATCCTTAAACTTAAATTTAATATAATTATAATTAATTAAAATAATAATTTATAAATAATTTAAATATGTAAAATATTTATAATATATTATTTTTATTTTTTAAAGTAATTATAAATATTTTATAAATATAATTTATAAACTTATATTTTAATTTAAGTAATTTTATTATTTATTTATTAAAATATAATTTAATAATTATAATTTTTATATTAATATTTATAAAATAAAGTATAATGTTTATTTTTAAATGTTATGGGCTAGCCTTGGGTTATCTATCATAAGGTGTTTAAATGGGGTTTATATTTAAAGTATAAAGGAGAAGGTTTACTTTCCGTTTATATTTACGCTGAAGCCTATTCTTATAAGGCTAAAGCTTATTAATTAATTATAATGAGTAAAGCTTAAATTATAATATATCCTTCTTTTCCAGGTTTTTATAGCGGGTTTTAAAGGGTAGCTATATAATAAAAAATAAAGAACATTATAATTTAATTATAAATTAAATATTGCTCTTTACTTAGCTATTTAATTATACTTTAGCGCCTTTTAATTATATTAAAGGCTTAAATTATTATTTATAATTAGCATGCTTTAATCTTTATAATTTAATATACTAGCTAAAGCAAGCTAATGAAAAATAATTATTTAAATATAAGTTAATAGCTAAATTAATAGTATTTTTATAATTTTTTAATATAAGCCTTTTATATAAGCTTCCTTATTTAAAATCTTGGGATTATGGATTTATTATATAATTTGTAATTAATTAATGCTTAATTATAAGTAATTTGCTTTATTAATAGGAATTTCTTAAATTTTAAGCGTTTTTATAAAGCTAAACTAGCTAGTATGTAGTTAGTTTGCTTTAAGTTTAGGCTGGCGTTAAGCTGGCATTGCTTTTAGGCCCTACCTTATAGATTAAATTTTGCACCTTTTTAAATAAACTTCTTTTCTTTGCCAGCCTTAGTTAATAAAAGTTGCATCCTTATTCTTTTGCAGTAATTAAAGTAGTTATGCTTATAATAGCTAAGTTAGTTATATATAAAATATTTAACTTTGCTTATTAAGATTATTATAATATTAATATTTATTACTTTGTTATTTTAAGGTTAAGTATTATTTTCCTTTGCTATGGCGTTAAAAATATCTTTATATTATTATAAGGCAAAGTAAAAGGCCTTAAATATATTTAATTATTCTTTATAATTAAGTTAGGCTTTTATTATAAAAATTAAGTTATTAATTATTAATAATATTTTATACTTATTTAATTAATTTTAAGTCTTTATTATATAAGTTAATTAATTAAATTAAGTAAGAAATTTTATTATCTTCTTTTTATAGCGCTATTATAATATAATTAAGCTAAGCTTAATATGCCTTTACTTAAAAGGGTTTTTAAGCGCAAAGCAAACCTTTTTTAAGAAGCTTTTTAATTACTCTTTAAATATTTTTATAAAATTAATATAAAGTAAAAATTAATTATGGAAAGTTTTTAGCTAATTAAATATATAAAAGAATTAAGCCTTTTTAGCATTAATTACCTTTTTATTTATTATAAACTTAGCCCTTATCTTTATTAGCTAAATTATTAAATATTTTTAAGATAAAAGTTTTTTTAAATAAGAAAGGGCTTAATAGATTATTATTATTCTTTTTAAATTTTATTATATTAAGTTTTATATAATTGTATTATAAATTTATAATATAAAAAGACTTTAAATATATATTATAAGTTAGCCTTAAGTTATTTACTATAAGGTATTTAAATAAGGTTTATATTTAAAGTATAAAGAAGAAGGTTTACTTTTTATTTATATTTATGCTAAAGCTTATTCTTATAAGGCTAAAGCCTATTAATTAATTATAATAAGTAAAGCCTAAACTATAATATTAAAATATATTTAATATTTAAATTAAATTATATAAATATATAATTATAATTATATAAATTAAAAAGAGATTATTTTATTATTAAATTATTATTAAATATATATTTAATAATAAAATAAAGTATTATAATAAAAACTTAAATAAAATAAAAAATAAATTTATTAATAATTAAATATATTATTTAAAAATAATTTATTATTTAAAAGTAATTTATTATTTAAAAGTAATTTATTATTTAAAAATAATATATTATAAAAGTTATTTTTAAATTAAATATAATAATTATTATAATTAACTTAAGTTTTTTTAAAAAAATATTATTAATATTATTTTTATATTTATATTTATTAACTTTATAAACCTTATTAATTAAAATATTTATTACTTATTATTTTTAATTAATATTAAACTTTATAATTATTTATTTTATATTTATTTAATTTAAAAGGCTTTTATTAAATTTAATACTTTAAATAAGTATTTATAATTAATTTTATATAATAAAAATTATAAAAATAATATATTTAAAGTTATTATAATTTAAGCTTTATTAATTATAATTAATTAATAAGCTTTAGCTTTATAAAAATAAGCTTTAATATAAATATAAATAAAAAGTAAACTTTTTTCTTTATACTTTAAATATAAACCTTATTTAAGCACCTTATAATAAATAATTTAAAGTTAGCTTATAATATATATTTAAAGTTCTTTTATATTATAAACTTATAATATAATTATATAAAATTTAATATAATAAAACTTAAAAAGAATAATAATAACTTATTAAGCTTTTTTTTATTTTAAGAAATTTTTATTTTAAAAATATTTAATAATTTAGCTAATAAAAATAAGAATTAAGTTTATAATAAATAAAAAGGTAATTAATATTAAAAGGGCTTAATTTATTTATATATTTAATTAATTAAAAACTTTTTATAATTAATTTTTATTTTATATTAATTTTATAAAAATATTTAAGAAATAATTAAAAAGCTTTTTAAAAAAGATTTACTTTATATTTAAGGACTTTTTAAATAAAAGCATATTAAGCTTAATTTAATTATATTATAATAATATTATAAAAAAGAAATAATAAAATTCCTTATTTAATTTAATTAATTAATTTATATAATAAAAGCTTAAAGTTAATTAAATAAATATAAAATATTATTAATAGTTAATAACTTAATCTTTATAATAAAAACTTAATTTAATTATAAAAAATAATTAAATATATTTAAGGCTTTTTATTTTAT